ACCCCTTTGAAATCTGCCAAAAATTGACCTAGAACAAATCCACCTAAATCGGTACTTAATGGACTTAATCATTATTAAAGAATAGCCTCACGCCGAATCCGTGATCTGTAGCCTTCAATATCCAAAGAAAATGGCCTTTCGTCGCCCATAAAATTACGAAAATTTCATCCGAAAATAAATTGGTCCAAATTGGTGCTTAATGGACTTATCATCCATGGAGAATAGGATCAATAGAGTTTATTATCGGTGGAGATAACCTTGTCCTGATTCCGTGATCTATAGTCTCCAGAATCAAAAGAAAATGGCATTTTGGAAAAATCGCCCGAAATCAGTGATGGTACCCTATGGAATATGCCAAAAATTGCCCGAGAATAAATCCGCCCAAATAGATTCTTAATGGACTTAATCATCGTTTAAGAATAGCCTCTGGCCGAATCTGTGATCTGTAGCCTTCAATATCTAAAGAAAATGGCATTTCGACGCCCAAAAAATTACGAAAATGCTATCCGAAAATAAATTGGCCCAAATTGGTGCATAATGGGCTTACCATCCGTGCTGAATAGGATCAATAGACTTCATTATCGGTGGAGAATAGCCTCGACCTGATTTCGTGATCTTTAGCTTCCAGAATTGAAAGAAAATGGCATTTCGGAAAAATCGTTCGAATTTTGTGATGGTAGCCCTTTGGAATCTGCCAAAAATTGACCCAGAATAAATCCGCCCAAATCGGTACTTAATGGACTTAATCGTCATTAAAGAATAGCCTCAGACTGAATCCGTGATCTGTAGCCTTCAATATCCCAAGAAAATGACCTTTTGTCGCACTAAAAATAACGAAAATGCCATCCGAAAATAAATTGGCCCAAATCGATGCAGAATAGGATCAATAGACTTCATTATCGATGGAGAATAGCCACGGCCTGATTCCGTGATCTATAGCCTAGAATCAAAAGAAAATGGCATTTCGGAAAAATCGCCCGAAATCTGTGATGGTACCCCCTTTGAAATATGCCAAAAATTGACACAGAATAAATCCTCCCAAATCGGTGCTTAATGGACTTAATTTTCGTTGAAGAAGAGCCTCGGTTTGAATCCGTGATCTGTAGCATTCAATATACAAAGAAATGGCATTTCGTCTCCTAAAAATAACGAAAAATGCAATCCGAAAATAAATTGGCCCAAATCGGTGCATAATGGGCTTATCATCCGTGCAGAATAGGATCAATAGACTTTATTATCGGTGGAAAATAGCTCCGGCCTAATTCCGTGATCTATATCCTCCAGAATCAAAAGAAAATGGTATTTCGAAAAAAAATGCCCGAAATCTATGATGGTACCCCTTTGGAATCTGCCAAAAATTGAACGAGAATAAATCCGCCCAAATAGGTACTTAATGGACTTAATCATTGTTGTAGAATAGCCTCAGGCTAAATCTGTGATCTATAGCCTTGAATATCCAAAGAAAATGGCCTTTCGTCGCCCAAGAAATAACGAAAATCCTATCCGAAATTAACTTGGCCCAAATCGGTGCGTAATGGGCTTATCATCCGTGCTGAATAGGATCAATAGACTTCATTATCGGTTTAAAATAGCCTCAACCCGATTCCGTGATCTTTAGCTTCCATAATTGAAAGAAAATGACATTTCGGAAAATCACCCGAATTTTATGATGGCAACCCTTTGAAATCTGTCAAAAATTTACCCAGTATAAATCTGACCAAATCACTGCTTAATGGACTTAATCATCGTTGAAGAATAGCCTCAGGCCGAATACGTGATAATGGTCTAAGAAAATGTAGCCTTCAATATCCAAAGAAAATGGCCTTTCGTCGCCCCAAAAACAACAAAAATGCCATCCGAAAATAAATTGGCCCAAATCTGTGTTTAATGGGCTTATCATCTGTGGATAATAGGATTAATAGACTTCATTATCGATGGAGAATAGCCTTGGCCTGATTCAGTGATCTTTAGCTTCCAGAACCAAAAGAAAATGGCATTTCTGAAAAATCGCTCAAAATCTATGATGGTTCCCCTTTGGAATCTGCCAAAAATTGATCGAGAATAAATCCTCCCAAATCGGTGCTTAATGGACTTAATCATCGTTGAAGAAGAGCCTCGGGCTGAATCTGTGATCTATAGCCTTTAATATCCAAAGAAAATGGCCTTTCGTTGCCCAAAAAATTACGAAAATGTCTTCCGAAAAATAAATTGGCCCAAATCTGTGCTTAATGGGCTTATCATTTGTGGAGAATATGATCAATATACTTCATTATCGGTGGAGAATAGCCTCGGCCTGATTCCGTGATTTGTGGCCTCCATAATCGAAAGAAAATGTCATTATGGAAAAATTGGCCGAAATCTGTGACGGTACCCCTTTTGATCAGCCAAAAATTGATCCAGAATAAATCCGCCCAAATCGCTTCTTAATGGACTTAATCATCGTTGAAGAATAGCCTCATGCCGAATCTGTGATCTGTAGCCTTCAATATCCAAAGAAAATGGCCTTTCGTCGCCCAGAAAATTACGAAAATGCATCCGAAAATAAATTGGCCCAAATCTGTGCTTAATGGGCTTATCATTCATGGAAAATAGGAACAATAGACTTCATTAACGTCGGAGAATAGCCTCCGCCTGATTCCATGATCTATAGCCTCAAAAATCGAAAGAAAATGGCATTTCGGAAAAATCGCCCGAAATCTTTGATGGTACTCCTTTGGAATATGCCAAAAATTGATCAAGAATAAATCCACCCAAATCGGTGCTTAATGGACTTACTTAATCATTGTTGAAGAATAGCCTCAGGCTGAATCCATGATCTTTAGCATTCAATATCCAAAGAAAATGGCCTTTAGTCGCCCAAAAATTAACGAAAATGCTATCCGAAAATAAATTGGCCCAAATCTGTGCTTAATGGGCTTATCATCCATGGAGAATGGGATCAATAGACTTCATTATCGGTGGAGAATAGTCTCGGCCTGATTCCGTGATCTTTAGCCTCCAGAATCGAAAGAAAATGGCATTTCAAAAAAATCGCCCGAAATCTGTGATGGCACCCCTTTGGAATCTGCCAAAAATTGACGCAGAATAAATCCTCCCAAATCGTTGCTTAATGGACTTAATCATCGTTGAAGAATAGCCTCAGGCCGAATTCGTGATCTGTAGCCTTCAATATCCAAAGAAAATGGTCTTTCGTTGTCCCAAAAATAACGAAAATGTCATCCAAAAATAAATTGGCTCAAATCTGTGCTTAATGGGCTTATCATCTCTGGAGAATAGGATCAATAGACTTCATTATCAGTGGATAATAGCCTCGGCCTGATTCCGTGATCTTTAGCCTCCAGAACCAAAAGAAAATGGCATTTACGAAAAATCGCATGAAATCTGTGATGGTTCCCCTTTGGAATCTGCCAAAAATTGATCGAGAATAAATCCGCCTAAATCGGTGCTTAATTGACTTAATCATCGTTGAAGAAGAGCCTCAGGCTGAATCCGTGATCTGTAGCCTTCAATATCCAAAGAAAATGGCCTTTCATCGCCCAAAAAATTACGAAAATGTCATCCAAAAATAAATTGGCCCAAATCGGTGCTTAATGGGCTTATCATTCGTGGAGTATAGGATCAATAAACTTCATTATCGGTGAGAATAGCCTCAGCCTGATTCTGTGATTTGTAGCTTCTAAAATCGAAAAAAAATGGCATTTCGGAAAAATTGCATGAAATCTGTGATGGTACCCCTTTGGATCAGACAAAAATTGATCCAGAATAAATCCGCCCAAATCGCTGCTTAATGGACATAATCATCGTTGAAGAATAGCCTCATGCCGAATCCGTGATCTGTAGCCTTCAATATCCAAAGAAAATGGCATTTCGTCGCCCAAAAAATTACGAAAATGTCTTCCGAAAATAAATTGGCCCAAATCTGTTCTTAATGGGCTTATCATTCATGGAAAATAGGAAAAATAGACTTCAGTAACAGTGGAGAATAGTCTCGGCCTGATTCCGTGCTCAATAGCCACCAGAATCGAAAGAAAATGGCATTTCGGAAAAATTGCCCGAAATCAGTCATGGTACCACTTTGGAATCTGCCAAAAATTGACCAAGAATAAATCCGCCCAAATCGGTGCTTAATGGACTTAATCATTGTTGAAGAATAGCCTCGTGCCGAATTCGTGATCTACAGCCTTCAATATCCAAAGAAAATGGCATCTCGTCGCCCAAATAATTACGTAAATGCCATCCGAAAATAAATTGGCCCTAATCGGTGCTTAATGGACTTATCATACGTGGATAATAGGATCAATAGACTTCATTATCGGTGGAGAATAGCCTCGGCCTGATTACGTGGTCTATAGCCTCCAAAATCGAAAGAAAATGACATTTCGGAAAAATCGCCCGAAATCTGTGATGGATAACCTTCGTCAAGCCGATCCCACTTCCTCAAAGACCTAAACATCAATTATTTGCTATGAAGCAAGAGTCAGCCAGAAAAAATGTGGAGAAAGCATTTGGGGTGCTCTAATCACGATTTGCTATCGTTAGTAATCAGTCATGAATATGGTGCGCAAGAAGACAATTGGAGAAATAATGAGAGCATGTGTAATTATGCATAGCATGATTGTGGAAGATGAGCGAGATTCATATATCCCTCATTTTGATTACAATGACGATGGAGTGAATTTCAACGTATCGATGCCAACAATTTCTCAAACCCGGCTTTCAGAGTGCGAAGAGTATCTCCGGAATTATTCAAGAATACATGATAGATAAAAAAAATTCACCAACTTCAAGCAGATTTAGTTGAAGAAATTTGGAATAGGCTTGGAGGACAGGAAGATGACAAGTAATCTAGTATTTTTATTTCTTTCTATAATTTTTATTATTTTAATATCCGTTACGCCTTGATGAGTGTATTATGTATTTGTGCTTGTTGGATATTGAATATAATTTTCCAGGTATGATAAATATTAGTGTGTCTACATCTTATCTTAAAATAGGCTAATCTTTTAATTTCATATTTATTTTATGATACTTGTTTCAATTAATTATTAGGGGCAACAAATTCGCGGGACCTACGGAGTTTGAAGGTCCAAATCCGTGGACCCCACGAACTTGAAAATCCAACCCCTTTGGGTGGGAATTGATCATGGACTTCAAAGTCCATGATTTATGACCCATCTACCCCTCCCATTTTCTTTTTCTTGCATACCAATAAGAACAATAAAGATTTGCAGTACTTCATACATACAAATCTATAAAATCCAGTTTGAAATCTATGAAACAAACAATGGTATTTTTTATATAAAACCAAAACCAAAACCTTTACATATTCATGGTTTTTAAAATCCCAGACATATCAAAACTAGGGATGGCAATGGGTCGGGTTGGGGGCGGGTTTTGTCAAACCCAAACCCAAACCCATGGGTTTATCCGCCAAAAAAACCCGGGGTAAAACCCGTTGGGTTTGAAAAACTCAAACCCAACCCAACCCGCTGGGTATCCGCGGGTTCATGGGTACCCGTGGGTTTTTTGTGGTAAAAAATTTACAATAACAAGTTTCTTTCAAAATAAAAGTTTAACATCAATTTTCTCGTACAAATTAATCATATAAAAAAACACCAATCTAGAGCATACAAGCAAACCGCAAATGATCAATACAAATTGTTCAAAATTAAAGATAAACATCTATAAACAAAAGATTAATTGAAAGCTTCTTGCTCGTCAACTAAGTTTCTTCACTCTCCACTTCATAATATCAACTTCATTCTAAACAATTAGAAAGAAAAAATTATACATGTCTCCACAAACATACAGAATATTAATTATTTAAGGAAAATATATTATTTAGAATATTAAATATACCGGGAAAGTAATTATATGTGTGTGGGCGGATACCCATGGGTCGGGTTTACCTAAACCCAAACCCAACCCGACCCGGTGATAGTGTAGCGGGTTTAAACCCGAACCCGGCTCAAAACCCATCAACACGAATTTTACCCGCGTTGACCGGTTTGGGTAGAGTGAGTACCCGTGGGTTCGAATTTTGAATCAAAACCTTCATTTTTGGTCAGCTAGTGCTAAGTGCTAACCAACTTCCTGTATGCGGGCTTCTCTTGTGGTTTTCGCATGAATTGTTGCCTGGTTGGAATTTCATCCACATCCCTTTCTGGTTCCGCTTTCGAATCTAGTTTATGGGCGTTTTTATTATCTTTCTATCGTTCTATTACTTCATTATGTTGAGCGTGTTAGAGCTGGAGCCCCCGTGAACATAACACTCGAATCTATGTGATGAATCAAATCATTTTTCATTTTCATATAAATTAATTTGTTTTCGAAGTTTATTACGATCGTAGAATGCGAACCAATCTTTTCGCGAATGCGCGGAGAGTACGCAACAAAAAATGTAGGGGTTTGTCACCGTGCGATCTGATTTAGCCTTTAGACTTCTATTCATCAATGTGGTTGACTAAATGAGATATCATGAAATTTGTGTACATCAACACTAACTAAATGAAATTCGTTATGATAAAAAAAAAAATATATTAGGAACGTTGAAAAATTACAGTCCAATACCAAAAGAATTCACTAATGCGGGATATTACTGCCATTATGGTATATGCTATTTGTAAATGAAAAATTGATAATTTTTGTTACTCATACATCACTGCTCAATCATTCATTCCAAATTCAAGTACTTGTCCCAGTCATATGTTACATTCAACTGTTTTTTTTATCACAAAAAATAAACTGGTAAAAGGTAATCAAATTTACATGGGTAGGTTTTCACCCCCTCTTTATTTCATCACTATACTTCACCTTTTGTTTCCCCTAATGCAAGTCACACTTATAAATCAAGCTTGGTTAAATTCGCTAATCCCTCCACACCTCATGATGAGTAGTTAATTAGATCACTGTACCTCATGGAGTTGTTAGATTAGTTTGATTTTCACCAAACGAATTCCTTACTTCCGTCCTTCTTTATGTTGGGGAAGCGAAGCCAGCAGCTACTTGCTCGTTGTCAGGGTTCCCAAAAAGGGTATTCAGATACATAGCTAACCGAACTCCACCTTGCGCGATTCGTTTCATCACGATTGGCATCCTCGACTCGAAGTACTCATCTGTAAAATGTGTAAATTGTCGATCCAGATCGGCTGACTTGGTTCTGATAAGAGTTTGATCCAAGAATTAGAAACAAAGTTTTTTTTACCTGATAGAGTTTGACCTTCCTTGACGCCTTTGTAGCCCCATTTGCAAGCTATGGTTATGCTCTCCACTGCATATCTACAGACGCCAAACGTAAAGAGACACCCGAAGTTATGAATGAAATTTTCTCTATATGATTGAAGAGAGGAGGGAGAAAATCATTTACTTGTCAGGACATTCCAGCAGATCGTCGCAATCTCTCCACGACAGCAGATCGTCATGCCATAAACCCTGCCATTTTCCAAAAACGTAACACGACCCCCTCATCTTACTTACAGCACAAGAAACCAAAAAGAAAGGCAAAAACAGATTAACATTTCAAAAGTGGAGTGTTGATTTACGCACGTCCGTGAAGTTTCCTTCGATTGCTTGCTGGAGGAGGTCGACGTCTTTGTCGTAGTAATCCTTGAGAGCTTGAAGGATGATCTCCCTATCCCATACCTGCCACCATCAACGTAACGGACTCATTTAGCACCGATCGACTAATCGATAAAAGGTATTATTATTATTAATCTGTTTAAAACGAGTTGGAGGTGGGAAAGAAAATGTGATTTGAGATCCTGACATGGTGGAGATTGGATTTGTGGCGGAACCAGCGCAGGTCTATGGTGTTGCCGCCTTCGTCAGACGTGAAGCCAACATGAAGAGGCTGGTGAATATCACCCATGAAGTGCGACAAGAAGAGCAACGCTTCTGTCAAGTTGTCTGCGAGATTTAACGAATTTTAATGAGTGATTGTAGTAATTCATTAGGCTAACAGATCAATTAACATGAGTTATAGCAGCCTCGTAATGCTTACATCGTCGATCCGTGCTGCCTTCTTTGTAGTGTGAGAGCTGAGAGGTGAAGTTCTGAATCGCACCCGCTACGCAACGATCCTTAACGCAGTCCCCTGAAGTGCAAATAATTTATTCAATACATTCCAAACTGATTAAATGTACGAGAGAAAGTTGGTTCGATCAAGCTTTGTTGAAGTTGATTACTTGAATGGTCGAAGGTGCAGGCATCATCAGGGGTGTCGATGAAGTGAAGTGGGCTGGTCCACCTGTATCTATACCAATGCCGGATTTGGTCCGGCCAGACGCAGAGCGCTGACAAATCGCCGTTCACATTTTCCGGCAACAGTTGGGCCACGGCGTGGGCTGCTTCCGGCTTCAACAGATTCTGTAATATGTATAGATTTACAACAAAAGTCCTTGCTTTAGGTAGAGGCTTGTAGTTGTGGCGTGTCAAATTGTAAAAAATAGAAAAATTGGTTGCGTGCACAACACTTTCAACAATTCATCATGCTTTTGGTAAACAAGAAATGATGTAAAAGGCAAAAGAGGAACTCCCCGCTTAAGGCTGCAGATACTGGGGCGGCGAGGAAACCGATTTTTAACCAGATCCAGAACCGATCAGGATAAACTGGTTTGCAGTGATCCATGACCCAAAATTATCAAAACTGCTCGACCGATGATTCAGTATGACCCAACCAACCCATTGACGCAATTCAAACTAGACCTGTTTATAAATTTGTAACACTACGACCACCCACCCATTACGACCCGACAATTTATTCGGACCTGAATGACAGACATATGACTAACTGAAAGGAAGACGAAAGGAAAGAAGAGTTCGAGTGTGAAAGCATTACCATACAATTCGAAACAAAGGTGGATGCATGGCGGAATGATGCAAAAATGACATTGAGAAATGAAAGGGAACACGATCAACGTACCTGTGCAATTCGACATGTTATCATGTGACCTTCCTTGCTCCAGCTCACAGCTCCAGGCACCAAGATCACGGCCAGAGCTATTAACAGAAGTAAACCAAATGGCCGCATTTCTCTTCAAGGGGTTTTCTTCTGTCCTTTCTCAAGTCACCAGGTGGCCAAATGCTTCCCTGCCACAGAATAACTAAGAAGATACAAAAAGAAGAAATCAGGCAAACTAAAATTTCAGTTACATATGTGCACAAGCAGTTATATACAATAAGGGTACAGCAATGAACATGTGATGACAGTCAATATGTCCTATTAATAAAAAGGTTATCATTGAGTACAAGATTCAACTTCCCCTTATCTTGAGTGTCCTTTAAGTTTGACATTCATCCTAAGCAATACAACAGGACAGAGCATATTCTACAGGAATTTTTCATTCCATGTGAGATTTTGAGAAGGGAAGTCAATAGATAGTAGCTAAGGGCTCACTGATTAGCCTGCCTAACCTATGAGAGGCGCCCAATAATGCTGCAGATACAGATCATACTGCATATGTTGTTTGTTCTCTGAAATCTGAACTACAATTACCTAACACCTGTCATCTAATATGGACTCTCATCGTAGCTTCCTTTCTTATCCCATGATGGGCTTTATCTTCGTGACTCAGCAATTTGTACTTTGGAAGCAAAGATGCCGTTGAGGGTAGCAGCCAAACGGACACCAGCTTGGGCCAGCCGTTCTTACACAATAGGCAGCCGAGAAAGGAAGTACTCATCTGTATAACGCATAAAAAGGAGGGATTACACAATGAAATGAAGCATATTGCCAACTCAAGTAGTGAGATGTTGGTTGAAGAACATGATATCGTGTGAACAAGTATGCATTTTGCAAAACATGACTATTTTAGATCAGCATGCCTCCACGTATAACTTGGTAGCTTAAAAGATATGTTGGGCTCTTGTTGTTTCATGTGCATGGTCAACAATAGTTAATTTAGGAGTTACCAGTCAGGGTGCTTCCTGGTGTAGCATTCCTGTATGCATACTTGCACGCCAAACTGATACTTTCAGAAGCAAACCTGCGTAGTTCAAAGAAGAATCTACAAATCGCCAATGTCTGATCTTCTAAGAGATGCATGATGTCGGTTCTCTACAGCATGTACATTTAACATGTAAGTTCATCTAATGAAGTTTCAAATGAAAAGTTCAAGTTAAAACTAATCCATGCTGAAAAATCAGGTCTTATATAAGCAGAGGGTGTCACATATGCCTTAACTAGGCTTTCTCATATCTTAATAGTAAGCTAGCCAGTTAATGTTTTCATACATTTTGACCAATTCATAGACAGAAAGCAACATGAAAGAACATCTGATGCAGATAACGACAGCTATGAGTGCCACTAGATAGAGAAGCACATACACATTTGGATAGACTGTTTGATTCCCCTCACAGTCTCCCCACAGCTGCAGTTGATTGTCCTGTTAAGTTCATGAGATATGAGACACCGATATCAGGAAAGCAAATGAAGGTGCAAAGACAATTAGATACTACTATGCCATTACAGTTAGTGCTACAGAAACCTACCGTTATATTACTCTGAATCGAGTTAATCATGGTTGTGAGATCCGAATTATAGAAAGCAGCCATGGCAGATTCAATAATGCTCGTATCCCACACCTGAAAGAGAATCATAGCATGGTAATCAGTTTTGAAATTACGAACAAAAATTTTACACTTTCTGCCTCAAATCCCATATCTGAGAGACAATCATAGCATGGCAGATTCAATAATGCTCGAATCCCATACCGGAGAGACGATCACTGCCTTAAATCTCAATCAGATCAATCGGAAGTCGGAACAAGAGCAGAGAATTAGTGCTACTCGCCTCAGCGATTTAGCAAACAGTGTAGTGACCTTCCTTTCCCCAGACGAGAGCTCCCGTGACGAACTGGAGACGAAGAATAGCTCTCCAGTATCCGCGCAGAGCTACTCATTGCTATATCAGTTGAGCTGCCTCCTCGATTTGATGAAACAAAAGAGAAATGTAGTTCATATGCAAGTGTTATACTTGATAGAGGATTGAAGTGAAGAAGGGGAAGAGAAGGCAGGAGTGGAAAACGATTCTTACCGACAGGAGCAGTTATAGGTTTTTCCGGCGGCGGAGTCCGGGGAGGCGAGGAGTTTGCAATGGCGAGACGAGAGGAGTCACTGCTCACTGCGCGACTGACGGACTGAGGAAGAAGGTTTCCCGGCTTACACGGAGAATCTAAAACGACATCGTTGTGGTTTGGTTTCCTGGGAATTGGGATACCCCGTAATTAGGCAACGGTGACCAATTTATTAGACATCCAAAGTTTGGTGGCCTGTTCGGTAATTTACTTATTTTTAATTAAATTATCCTTTTTCAGTTTCTGTATGAAAAGCATCCTCCATTAATATATGGTAGAGTTTTGTAGGGATGGCAAAAATATCCGTAACCGTGGATATCCACCCGAATCCGACCTAATCGGGTAGGACAAAACCCGAACCCGAAGCATTTTTCGTGGGTACGGGTAAAACCCGAACCCGAATGTTGCGGGTAATGGGTGGGCATGGTTATCTCACTATCCAACCCGAACCCGCCCGATTATACACATGCATATTTATTTTGTCTAGAAATAATCATTATTTTTCTCTAGAATATTTTATATTTAGCATATAAATATAATATTTTTATGAAATTATGTTGTTTTAATTAATTTTCGTCATTCTAGTGAATTATTGTCGTACTTTTCCTCTTACGTCATGTGAGTATACGTGTGAATTTTTAACATATTGGTTGGAATTATAAGGAGAAATTATTACCCATGGATAACCGTAGATACCCGAAACCGGAACGGGTATGGGCATGGTTTTGATTTTCTACCCGTTTCTCGTATAGGTACGGGTATGGGTAAAACCCGAACTACATTGGGTAGGGTAACGGATATGGACTATCCGCCCCCGACCCGACCCATTGCCATCCCTAGAGTTTTGTGTACTTTTCTCCATTTCAAATTTCCTACAACGAGAGTGAAAGTAGGAAGGTCATTTTTGTCTTTACACATTTATTATTTATTTCATATAAAAATAGCAATATCAAGGTTTGAACCCGGGTCTCTTCAAACAAAGATAATAATCACAACCAGTTACACTAAACAAATTTATTGCATTCTTTTTTATAAAAAAATAGACAAAGTTAATCTCTGAAAATCAGATGACTTTTTATCATAATTAGCAAGCTCACTAAGTCTACCGTATTTATTTTTATCGAGCTTGATACTTCTATTTTCATAGTAAAGTTTCATGTAATTTTCTCAATTTTAAATTCCCGCTCTCTCCTTAATTTTTGCTAAAGGTAAATGGGTAATTGGCCAACATGGAAGAAACTAATTATGTAACTACTGTTGTATCCTTGCATTTTTCAATTTAAATTTAAATTTGTGTTTTTTTATCTTTGTTCTTTTCTCTTTATAACTTCCTCCGAAATTTCATCCATCGTGCAATAGTTTGCGCCTTTCACTTCCCAGTACAAGACTGTCATTGAAAATCAATCTTCAGGTATCTCTTGGCACTACGGTTTATTGTTGGGGATTTTAAGCTGAGCGAGTAGAAGATTTCAACTCCGATATCAATTCATGGCGAATAGAATGGAGTTCATCAATAACTGAAGTTGTAGAAGGAAGATTAGAAATTGAATTTTTGGTTGAATATATGCCTCTTGAGATAGAAATTTGGTTGTACAACGGAGAGTGGTGGCTATTGGATCTTTAGGTTTATGGTTTTTGCAACTGTCATAACCTATTTCTATCTTAAAACGAGGAATCGTTGATTGATTGTTTGAAATAGGTCGCTTCTTTATTCAACCTACTGGAACTAATAGATAATGAGTGTCTAATTTTGCGCCTTATTACTTTGATCGAGTCTATTCGTATATTGGAGATAACCCTGATTTTTTCGTTTGCTCTCAAGTTGTGATGGTCCCCTCTTATCTAAGTTTTTACTATATAGATGACTTGAATCAACAACTCTCCATTTCTTTTTGATTAGTGACATATTGTTTCTAAAAGGAGAGCATTGAACCCTTTATATAGGATTGTGAGGTTTAAGATTTAGTTTCAAACTATCTATGGGTTGTGTGAGAATTTCAGTGAGTTTTTATACTCTATATTTCTTGACCGTCAAAGAAAACTAACCAATAGCATTTTAAAAGGGACTTAATTAGCATAATGAAAATGGGGTCAATGATACATTTTTATATTTTATATTCTTAAGTGATTATGATATTTCTCCGAATCTTCGACCTATATATTATTTCTTTATGTATCATCTCGATCGAATGATTATCAATAAGATTAAACGGATTAATAGACTTAAAACTAACATAAAAATACAAATAATCAAATATGAGCATTCTGACCAAAGGGCCGGGTTATAAGCTAGTAAGAAAAAAACAAGAGTGAAAGAAAAACTAGTCTCTTTCGTTCTTGTCTATCCACTCGACCTGCCACTGCCAGAACTCCAGAGTAAGTCAAAAAGTGAACGGCGAGCTCGAAAAATGAAAGCGGTGGTGATCACATCTCCCGGCGGGCCGGACGTCCTGCAACTCCAGCAAGTCGACGATCCACAGATCGAAGACGACGAAGTTCTGATCAAGGTCGCCGCCACCGCCGTCAACCGCGCCGATACCAACCAGCGCCAGGGCAAGTATCCGCCGCCCAAAGGCGCCAGCGAGCACCTCGGCCTCGAATGTTCCGGAACTATCGAAGCTGTCGGGAGCAGCGTTTCCCGATGGAAAATCGGCGATCAGGTGTGCGCTCTCCTCAGCGGCGGAGGCTACGCGGAGAAAGTGGCGGTTCCGGCGGCGCAAGTTTTTCCCATACCGGACGGCATCTCTTTGACTGACGCCGCCGCTTTCCCTGAGGTCGCGTGTACTGTCTGGTCAACGATTTTAATGACCAGTCGGCTCTCTCCCGGCGAATCGCTTCTGGTAAATGTTTAATCACTCGTTCTTCTCTCTCTTTCGCCGGACGGGGGAAGGGGAATTAGCGAAACGTTTTGTTGAATCGTTCGAATTGTTTACAGGTTCATGGCGGCTCGAGCGGGATTGGGACGTTTGCGATTCAGATAGCCAAACATTTAGGGATTCGAGTTTTCATCACTGCAGGTATGTTTGCCAGTTCCAATTCCAGTTCTAGTTTTCAATTCAATTTGCTGCTGAAAACCCTAGAGTGTGGTTGGAATTCATTCTCATTTCTGTAGAATTGTACTCCGAATTTCGAATGGCTTCTGTTTGTAGCAAGTTCTATGAATTTGACGGCCAAATGGAACTAAAATTCTCGATTTGGCTCCAAACATCACAACTAGCAGAAAGAGGTTTAGAAAGGGGGGCTGGAGTTAACTTTGCTGACTTGCCATTTACCCAAATCCGTAGGGAGTGAGGAGAAGCTAGCGGCGTGCAGAGATCTCGGAGCTGATGTTTGCATCAACTACAAGACTGAGGATTTCGTGGCTCGAGTGAAGGAAGAAACTGATGGAAAAGGTATATACTTTGGGCTTGTTGACATAACCTATTAAGTAGATGAATGAGCCAGCCTTGTCTTCTTTATCTTGCAAAATGCTGACTATTTATTGTGTGGCAGGAGTTGATGTCATTCTGGATTGCCTTGGGGCGTCCTACTTCCAGCGAAACCTCGAGAGCTTGAATTTCGATGGAAGGCTGTTTATCATCGGATTGATGGGTGGAGTCAAGGCGGAGATGAACCTGCCTACTCTGTTTGCGAAGCGCCTCACAGTGCAAGGTATGACAGCATTGACATTGGTTTCGAATTTGCTTAACTTTCTCAGTGCGAGATCTGAATTGGTATATATGTGTATGGTTCTGGTTCTGGTGTGTTTCTTTTACAGCGGCTGGTTTGAGATACAGAACTCCGGAGAACAAAGCTGCCATTGTAAACGAGGTGGAGAAGAATGTGTGGCCGGCAATTGCTACCGGGAAAGTTAAGCCTATTGTGTCCAAGATCTTCCCGTTCTCTGAGGCAGCCGAGGCTCATAAGCTGATCGAGAATAGCCAGCATATCGGCAAGATTCTCCTTGTTCCGTCCTAATGCCTTCTGTTTCTATTGGAATGAATTGAGCATGTTAGTGGGACTTGTGCAAACGGATGCTTCGTAGTTGTGCGTCCAGTTGGTGCAGCAGTACTGTGTTTCGTTGTTCCAGTTCGCTGATGTAGAAGATTGTACACAGTTAATACTGTTGAAACATGTGTCCCAAAACTATTTCAATTCCAGGCGCTTGTTCCTGCAGGATGCAGACTTGCAGTTTAGGGGTAGTTTGGACGAGATATTGTAAAGGATCAATTTGACACAGTTGTCTTGTTTTGAGACAATTATACCAAATTGTCTTGTTTGCCAGCAAAAAATTTGGAGAGATCAATCTGCCTGAAGTATTTTGAATTGATCCGTTTTGAGTCAATTTCAATTGTTTGGGGTGGAGCAGGTAATTTGAATTGACTCGTTTTAATTGCCTCCTTTATAAAACGAGACAATTGATCAATTGACTCATTTATAGGTTGATCAAATTAGACTTTAGAGTTATGCACACCAAGTGTTTGACTATTTGCCTGTCACAACTTTCAAATGAATTCCTGATCATATCGACCCAATATATGATTATGTTGGCTTAAACAGTGGCATCTATTGAACACATTACTTGATAGTCGATACAAGATGACATGGATAATAGTATAGATGAATTTACTAAACAAGTTGTTGTTGACGTGTATTAATTTGGTATCCTAATCAGCGTATTATTAATTTAATTGGCGAAATTTTAATACGGTTGAAGTTTGCAACGAAAATGCATAAATTTGTCAAATAACTATAAAAATTCACTATTTTGTGTATTCAAAGTTGTGAGTTATAAAAAAAAAATTGTGAGTTGTGATTATAAAAGGTATTGCCATTTTTAAAGACAAGGGTCTTTCCCCCCGGCGAGAGTGGCTCCGTCCTCCGATTTCAGGGTACTTACACTTACTGCCACTTGATTCGCCGAGTCACTTTGCCGGAGATACAGCTGAAGAATTAGGGTTCTTCCTAGTTTTACCGAGATCGTAAGTTTCAGCGCGATGATCCCATTCTCTCGGAGAATATGGCGGGAAAGAAGACGGGTAAGATTCCGGCGGGAATCTCGCCATCGCCAGCTTCTAAAGCTTTTGATGCCTTTCGCCCATATAAGTATTTACAATTGGTAATGAAGTATGTGGTTAGCGAAAGAAGCAGACGATTGCGATTTTGGAGAACATTGATATTTCGAATGGCTACCCCACGGTTTGCTTAACTAGGTTATCTTGAATCCCAATTAGTCAAACAACAGGAAAAGGAAATGAATGGCCAGTGGCCACCTCAATGTTGGGCGTGGATTTGACGTTTTGTCGCCATTGAAGCTGAAGCTCGACGTAGCTTTTCAACCTTCGTCAATATCCTACGGGGAAAGGGGGAAAAAAAGAAGAAACTTCGTTAGAAGAGTCTGAAGAGCCCTATTACATTTCAACGTCTCCTATTTATGGAGACTAAATACCATGGCAGCCCGCAGGTGCAGATATTTCATCCTGCTGTGTTTACTGCTGTTGTGGACTTTCCTTATGCCATCAATTTTGCTTTGCTGGGGAAGATGAGAAATGGTGCTAGAGCTAAAATTTTCAAGGTGGCTTCAAGGCTTGCTCTGTTTCTTCTTTTCCAAGGTACAAGCTTTGCTCTCAATGACACTATACATGCTAATGGGTCACTCAAGGATGGAAGCTTGGTCATCTCCAAAGGGGGTAAGTTCGCTTTAGGGTTCTTCAGCCCTGGTCGATCCAGCAACAGATATCTAGGGATTTGGTATCACAACAAGCCAGGACAAGCTCCTGTGTGGGTAGCAAACAGGAACAATCCCATCAATGGCACTTCAGGAGTTCTATCGAGCGATGGATATGGCAAACTTTCTCTCTACAGCAGCTTAGATCAAGAGTTCCCAGTATGGTCTGCAAATGTTTCGAGGGAAAAATTTGCAGAAGGGCCATGTTTAGCTCGGTTGTTAGATTCAGGAAATTTAGTATTGGTCCAGGGTACAATTAACAGAATGATTGTGTGGCAAAGCTTTAATCATCCTACTCACACCTTGTTACCTGGCATGAAACTAGGTCTGGATAAGGAAACTGGTTTAAACCGCTTCATCACTTCATGGAGGTCACCAGATGACCCTGGAATAGGTGATTTCACATTTAAGCTTAACCCAAATGGCGTGCCACAGTTCTTTCTGTATCGTGGTACAACCCCCCAATGGCGGAGCATCCCATCAGCCTGGCGCATACACCATGAGTTATATGAAGAATTATTTGAAATTAATGAACGTGAGATACGTTTCTCGTTTCACTCTCGTGATCCTTCTATTGTAATGATTCCTACAATGGACAACTCGGGAACGATGGGGGCGGCGATGTGGGACGAAGCTGATGGCCAGTGGAAAGAGTTCTATTCAGTAACCCATAAAAAATGTGATGTCTATGGTTACTGTGGTGCTTATGGAAAGTGTGAACCAAGCAGCCCTTTTCTTTCTGAATGTGTTTGTTTACCTGGTTATGAACTAAAGTCTCCAAGCAAGTTTCTTCTAGGAAATGCATTCGGTGGGTGTGTCAGGAAGCGGTCAGAATCCTCATCTTTTTGTGCGCCCGGAGAAGGGTTTGTGAGAGTTGCAAATGTGAAGGCTCCTGATACTTCAGCAGCCGTGTGGGTGGACATGGGATTAAATGAAGTGAACTGTGAGCAAGAATGTAGAAAGAATTGCTCCTGCTGTGCATATGCTACCACTAAAATTGATGGCAAAGGGGCTGGTTGTTTGACATGGCATGGAGAACTAATGGATACAGTAAGCATGCCCGGCCTTGATCTTGCAATCTATGTTCGTGTCGATGCTCGTGAACTAGGTAATCAAATCAGGAGGCGTTCGATTTTCATAGACAAGCTTGCTTCTTCGTGTCTTCCCCTGCTCTCTTTTTTACATCTACTGATGTTGTATGCTCTTTTTGATCAGCTGACTATGCACTGCAATCTAGTGGCTTTCGTGAACTTAAGTTGAAGTTAGTTGTTCTCATACCATCTTTTGCTTCTGTTTGGCTTGTCGGCATCTTGCTTGCCTATTGGTGGCTCAAGAGGCTAAAGAAGCGGAGGAAGAGCAAAGGTATCCGTTTAAGTTGTGTTCTTACTTTTTGCACTCCGATGACTAATAATCATCCTTGCTTTTATTATCCAAGGACAGCAAACGAGAGGCGGATCAGAAACTTATTTGATCCGGGTGAAGATGGGTCAAACTACTTCCAAGATTCCTTGCTGACCAAGGAGATCGAGCGGAGTAAAATTTATCCAGAACTACCCTTCTTCAACCTTAGCACGATACGAGCTGCTACCAACAATTTTTCCCCTGACAACAAACTTGGACAAGGGGGTTTTGGTTCAGTGTACAAGGTGGTGTCTCCACATAGTGTTTGCAATATCTGAAAGACGGAAATATGACACTTTCCTGAACGTAAATGGTCCCCTTTGCAATTTCAGGGGAAATTTTCTTCCGGAGTAGAGGTTGCTGTAAAAAGATCACCAAACAATTCAAGGCAGGGGCTGGAACAGTTTAAAAGCGAAGTCTTTCTTATTGAAAAACTGCAACACAGGAACCTTGTGAAGCTCCATGGTTGCTGCATTGAGGAACAAGAGCAGATGTTGGTTTATGAGTACTTGCCCTACAAAAGTTTGGACTCAATTCTTTTCGGTAAGTCATCATGGTAATGAATAGCCAAAAGGAAAGTTGAACGAATCCTGAATTTTGCTTTCTGCATCTTTAGTTGATCAGACAGGAAGCCCATTCTTAGACTGGTGTAAACGGTACAATATCATACTCGGGGTTGCACGTGGGATCTTATATCTTCATCAGGACTCAAGGTGCAGAATAATCCACAGAGACCTGAAAACCAGCAACATTCTTCTTGATGCAGAGCTGAACCCCAAAATTTCCGATTTTGGAATGGCTAGAGTATTGGAAGGTGACCAAGTTGAAGAGAAGACAAGTAGAATTGGCGGAACCTAGTATGTCTTGTGTTTTTCTATAACAAGTTATCTTGTTATGTAAGTACCACTGTGAAATGTGAACTTAAGATTTTGCTTTTTTTCATGTTCCCCCTTCTGCAGCGGTTACATGTCACCAGAGTACGCATACCTAGGGAAGTTCTCGGTAAAATCTGACGTCTTCAGTTTCGGAGTTATGTTGCTGGAAATCGTGACCGGGATGAAGATCAATGGGTTTTCTCAGGAGGATCCTGCCTTGAGCTTGATTGGCTATGTAAGTGCAGTCTGGTTGCTTGACATCTGAATTCAGTCCTTTGAGCATAATATTACGTTGAGCTTTCATTGAGAGGAAATGTTTTCAGGTATGGGAGTTATGGAAAGAAGAGAGAGCCGTGGAGGTAGTTGATCCTTCAATAGAAGTGTCAAATGGTGCCCTGAGATGCATCCACATCGGGCTGCTGTGCATCGAGGAAGATCCCGTTGACAGACCTGATATGCAGGCAGTGGTTGTCATGTTGAACAGCGAAATGACACCTCTTCCTCCGCCGAAACGTCCTGCATTCACTTATGGGAAGTCCAGAAGAGTCGAAGAAAGAGTGGCAGAATGCTCGAGGAACGAGCTGACCTTTTCCAACATCCTTGGTCGCTGATGATGTCTGCGACAATAAACTAATGTAGCAAATAGATATGTATAAATATATATATATAAGTCTATGAGATGTAGTCTTTCGTTGTAGATTCGTAATGGAAGGCTTTAATTTTATAGTGACCCAAGAGTATATTTATGCTTAACCAATTTGCCAAGTTTCAGCACGCTGAAACCATTCTTGCGGAGAATATGGCGGGGAAGAGAAGATGGGAAAGATTCTGGCGGGAAGACGCCATCGCCAGCTTCTGAGCTTTGATACTCTTGCCATGTTAGTGTTTCTATCTGTAGTTAGTGAATTCAGTAACAAAAGACGATAGTGATTTTGGAGAATGGTGACATTTTGAATGGTTATTTCAGGGAGGGAACTTGAGAAGTCGAGTTCTAAAACTTCACGGGTTTATCTTGAATCCCCACGAAAAGGACACTTGTGGCCACACGCAATTTTTTTTTTTTAGTGTTGTTGTCTAATCAAACGCCGTTGATATTGAAAATCTCGAACGCAGCTTTCAACCTGTGTCTATATCAAAACTGGGGGAAAAAGAAGAAGAAATTTCACACAAAAGATCCCTTTGACATTTCAAACATATGGTGCTTATGGGGACCAAAAACATCAGGAAGAGTGGCGATATTTCATCCTCTGGCTATGGTGGACTTTTCCTTCTCCACCATTTTTGCTCTGCTTGGGAAGATGAAAAGTAGTGTTGGAGCTAAAATTTCCATGGACGATGATGCTCCCAAGCTTGTTCTGCTATCTCTGCTTCTTCTTTACCAAGGTATGACCTTTGCTTCCAATGACACTATATATGCTAAGGGATCACTCAAGGATGGGAGCTTTGTCATCTCCGAAAGTGGTAGGTTCGCTTTAGGGTTTTTCAGCCCTGGCCGGTCGAGCTACAGATATCTGGGGATTTGGTATCATAACAAGCCAGGACAAGCTCCTGTGTGGGTAGCAAACAGGAATGATCCCATCAATGGCACTTCAGGCGTTCTATCAAGCAACGAATATGGCAACCTTTTCCTATACAGCAGCATAGATCAAGAGCTTCCAGTATGGTCTGTTAACATTTCGAGGGTGTTTCTGGAGGGGTCTTGTTTTACTCAGTTGTTAGATTCAGGAAATTTAGTGTTGGTCCAAGGTGCAAGTAATAGAACAATTGTGTGGCAAAGCTTTGATCATCCAACAGACACCTTGTTACCTGGCATGAAACTGGGTCTGGATAGGGGAACAGGTTTCAACCGCTTCGTGACTTCATGGAGATCAGCAGATGACCCTGGAACAGGTGATTTCTCATTTAAGCTCAACCCAAATGGCTCCCCACAGTTCTTTATGTTCTACCAGGGTACAGTTCCCAATTGGCGGAGCATGCCATGGCCCTGGGAAATATACCATCAGTTCTATAACGCCTCTTTTGTTAATAACGAACACGGGATACATTACTCATTTCTCCCGAGTGATCATTCTATGGTCATGATGTGGAAAATTGTCAGTTCTGGAACAATTTTGGCGGTTGCCTGGGACGAAGTTGACGGTCAGTGGAAGGAGTTCTATTCAGTAACGCATCGAAAATGTGATGTCTATGGTTATTGTGGTGCTTATGGAAAGTGTGAACCTAGCAGCCCTTTTCTTTCTGAATGTGTTTGTTTACCTGGTTATGAACCAAGGTCTCCAAGCAAGCTGCTCCTTGGAGGTTCATATGGTGGATGTGTCAGGAAGCGATCAAAATCCTCTTCTTTCTGTGAGCCTGGGGAGGGGTTTGTGAGAGTTGCAAATGTGAAGGTTCCTGATACTTCCGCAGCCGTGTGGGTGGACATGGGATTGAATGAAGTGAACTGTGAGCATGAATGTAGAAAGAATTGTTCCTGCAGTGCATATACCACAAAGAGTATTGTTGCGAAAGGGACTGGTTGTTTGACATGGAATGGAGAACTGATGGATACAGTTAACTTCCCGGCCCCTGATGGTGAAATCTATGTTCGTGTCGATCAAATTGAACTAGGTGATGAACTAATCAAGGAGTATTCAGTTTACAGAGACAAGCATGTTTCCTTATGTCTTCCTTACTTTCTTTTTACTCATTGATTGATTGTTTTCTCTTTCTGATCAGCTGACTATGCACTGCAATCTAGTGGCTTTCGTGAGCTTAAGTTGAAGTTAGTCTTTCTTATACCATCTGTTGCTTCAGTGTGGCTTGTTGGTGTCTTGTTTGCCTATTGGTGGCTAAAGAGGCTGAAGAAGTGGAAGAAGAGAAAAGGTATCCCATCTTTTGTGTTTCTATATTCTTTTACTCGGACTGTTAACAAACATCCTTGCTTCTTATTCTGCAAAAACAGCGACTGATAGGCGAATTCGAAACTTATTTCATCCGGGTGAAGATGGTTCAAATTACTTCCAAGATTCTCCTGTGATCAAGGAGATCACGCGAAGTAAAATTTATCCAGAACTACCATTTTTCAGCCTTAGCACTATTCTTGCTGCTACCAACAATTTTTCCCCTGATAACAAACTTGGACAAGGGGGATTTGGTTCAGTGTACAAGGTTAAGTCTCCATATATCAGTGTTGTAATATTTGAAAGACTGGATTGTGCAGTCTACTTGAACCTAAATTCCCCTCTTTGCAATTTCAGGGGAAATTAAATTCTGGAGAAGATGTTGCTGTAAAAAGGTCGCCAAAAAATGCCAAGGGGCTGGAACAATTTAAAAGTGAATTCTTTCTGATTGCGAAATTGCAGCACAGGAACCTTGTGAAGCTCCATGGTTGCTGCATTGAGGAACAAGAGCAAATGTTGGTTTATGAGTACTTGCCCTACAAGAGTTTGGACTCAATTCTTTTCGGTATGTCATCATGGTGTCATGGAATGCTGAAAATATATTTGAATGAATCCTGAATTTTGTTTTCCACATGATGTAGTTGATCAGACCACAAGCCCGTTCTTAGACTGGAGTAAACGTTTTAATATCATACTCGGGATTGCACGTGGGATCTTGTATCTTCATCAGGATTCAAGGTGCAGAATTATCCACAGAGACCTGAAAACCAGCAATGTTCTTCTGGATGCAGAGCTGAACCCCAAAATTTCCGATTTTGGAATGGCTAGAGTATTGGAAGGTGACCTAATTGAGGGGAAGACACGTAGAATTGGTGGAACTTAGTATGTCTTCTGTTTTTTATTTTTTATAACAAGCTATCTTGTTATTCAAGTAGATATATGAAATGTAGACTGACGAAGTTGCTTTTCCACGTTTGCATTTCTGCAGTGGTTACATGTCACCAGAGTATTTGCACCTCGGGAAGTTTTCTGTGAAATCTGATGTCTTCAGTTTTGGAGTGATGTTGCTGGAGATCGTGACTGGGAAGAAGATCAATGGGCTTTATCAGGATGATTCTACCTTGAGCTTGATTGGTTGTGTAAGTGGGGTTTGGTTGGTTGAGAGACCTGAATACAGTTTTTCTAGTATAACATTACATTGAATGTTCATCAGGAGAGGAACATGTTTCAGGTATGGGAGCTATGGAACGCAGAGAGAGTTGTGAAGATAGTTGATCCTTCATTGGAAGTGTCGAATGGGGTCCTGAGATGCATCCATATCGGGCTGCTGTGCGTTGAGGAAGATCCCTCGGACCGACCTGATATGCAGGCAGTGGTTGTTATGTTGAACAGCGAAACCATCCCCCTTCCTGCACCAAAACGTCCTGCATTTGTTTATGCAAAATCTAGAGTCGAAGAAACTGCAGCAGAATGGTCGAGAAACGAGATTACATTTTCAGACACCCTTGGTCGCTGAAAAGGTACATTGATCTATTAGAAGGTCGATCTTTTATGCATTATAAGGTAAATCAGATATTTGACGCGTGAGTTATCTGACACATCGAAGGCACTTTTATTACAGGATTCCAGCAATGCTCTTGTAAAGGAGGCTAGATGTACCTGGCCTGATCTACTTGTAACGGTTTCTGAGTGACGAGTGGACAAAATGCAAGAGCGGTAATGCGCTATAGCCTTAAATGTTACACAGATGATATCTCATGGAGGGTTATAGTGTGGTGGTGTTACTGAAAACTCTCCCTCTCTCTCCTGCTTACAGCAATTGAAGCTTCATCTTGAGGGAGGAGAATCTCGTCGTAGCAAGCTGAGCCAACCAATCAACTAGTTTGTTGTTCCTGCACAACTCAAACTCGAACTTTAATCAAGTACGTTGTCCGAAGGATTGAGACCACATTAGCATCAAGAATGGCATTACCAAGACAATTTAATCTCTCTCCTCTGGAGTAAGGATCAAAGAAGGCTATCCAACTTAATGACAATCAGAATCTCTTGCTGAGGGGCTAGAATAATTTAAAAGTGAGTGACAAATTGCAGCACAGGAACCTTGTGAAGCTTCATGGTTGCTGCATTGAGGAACAAGAGCAGATGTTGGTTTATGAGTACTTTCCCTACAAGAGTTTGGACTCTCTTCGTTTTATGTCATCATGGTGTCATGGAATGCTGTAAAGAAAGTTAGTCGCTATGAGGGTACATTGATCTATCAGAATGCTGATTTGGTATGGATTATAAGCTAGATCATACATTTCCTCCGTGAGTTATGTGACACATCGAAGGCACTTTTCACTACATGGATTGCAGTCATCCTCTTGTAGAGGAGGCCATTGGTTCCTGGACGGATCCACTTGTAACAGTATTGAACCAATGGGAAAACAATGTGTTATAGATGATATGTCGCGGAGCGATACAATGTGTGTTTTTTAAATCTCTTATGCTAGCAGTAGTTAAAGCTTCATCTCCAGAGGAGCCCAGGGAAGGATAAAGAAAATGGGGCCTTCCAATTTAACGACGGTCAGAATTTCGTCTTGAGCAGCAAGTCAGGGCACTTCAAGAAATGCATATGGTTCAGCTTAAATTGGGTATGAATACAGGAGGCTCTCAACCTTGTCACACACCTCACTGACTGATGTAGCAATGACGATCTCATAAACCAGCAATTATGGTTCAAAGATGAAATCACTATCACAAGGAATGCTCGAGAGAAATGGCTCTTTTATGTGTCATAATTAGGGCTTGCTTGTTGAATGTTTTCTACTCACTTCGTTGGTTGATAGGCGATAGTTTTTCTTCTTAACGTGGACTTGGACATGTCGCAACTCGTACAGTACACAGAACCTCTATAGATCTGATCTCCAAGTCTTCCTCAATAGGGTATGACGATCGACTCTCAACTGAATAGTCCTAGGTTCGAACCCTAGTTGGTGGATTCAGAATGGAAGGTCTTGCTTTGGTAGTGAGTAGTGATTCAAGAGAGTATAATTTACCCGTTTAACCATTATAGTTTTGCTGATAACACAAGGCGAAGACATACAATTATGTGAACAACCAATAATGAAAAGAGAAGTCAATGTTACACTAAGTACGAATCTCAACATACAATACCTTTCAACTATTACACTGCCTAAAAATATACACTAATGTTACATAGAGTTACAAAAAAAAAAGGAGGGCATAAAAGCAAAAGGATAAGTTAGCAAAGAAAAGGCATGTAAGCGAGTAGAAACGGCCACGAAACAGAAGGAAGCTAATATACAAAGAATTTTGCTGGCTCTCTAAGTTGGTGGATGAGGGGGTTCTACAATCTACAGTGCTCAACTCGTATTTCCGCTGCTTCTTTAATACGAACGAAGATGTACAGTAAGAACAGGCGCTACCAAATTCTGGAACTTTATGTTGTTGAGCTCGTGGATGTGACAGTAGATGAAGAGGCTGAAGGGGGGTCGAAAGGAGTCTCTGTTGGTGGTGGTTCATCGAGGTTGAGCATTGGTCGTAGTCTTCTCTCGACCTCGTTGCTTTGCAAGTCAATCTCCTCGAGAAGCATCGACAGAGCATACTTGCAGGATTCTTCATCCCGGAATGCTAAGGTCCATCTGCCATCGACCAAAGTTTTTGGCTTTGCCTTTCTGGGAGTACCAAGGGCAGCAGATCTGCCGGAATCAACAAAGGGTAAAGTGGATGGACGTATTCGCAGGTGTAACCATTTGGGGTGCTTCTCGTCGATTCTTGGCTGGAGAGTTGAAAACAGGGAAATAGCTAGTCATTACCCCAGATTTCTAACAGGTACGAGTAAAATTGTGACTTCCGAAGATTTTTTTTTAACAAATCACAAGTCTTATAGACCACAATTCTATGGCAACATATCAAACAAGGATAACCTCTCCAGAATCGTCCAATCCTAAGATTGGAAGATTCTAAACCGGGATTTTGACAACATTAATCTAGCATGAAAGGAGTTGCAGAGAATATACGTACACTCGAACCCGCCAAAGGAGCTGTAACGCGCACAACTCCATACTGCTGCTTTTGAGGGAACTCTTCCAAGAGGAGAATCCACCCAGATGTGCCAATAGATATCGCCAGAAAGGAGAAATGGCGTTCTTTACCCCTTTCAAATGCGATCCTACAAGGCACTGTATCAACTGCAGACGGCAGTGAAGAAAAAGGAAAAAGTGTGAATTTATGTTCAGGCACCGAAACAACCTAAAAAAACGAACAAAGGAGAAATTACCAAGTCGTAACTCGGTTCCCGGTTTGGGGATGGAACTATCAATGCCAGCGGTCCTCGCACGAGAAGCTCCAGGTGTATCGGCTGGAGGATAAAAGGGAGGCTGCTCAGGCAAAGCCCTACCAAGGCAGAAAATTTGAAGTTGATGAAGAAGCACAAACACCTATGACAGCAACATGAACAGCATGAGAAACCAGTATGAGTAGAGATCAAGGAACAGCAATATTAAAAACTAAGCTCTATAATCAGTATATTAAAATTCAAGTTTTTATCCAAAACGAAGAAATGAAGAAGAAAAGATTGCAAGCTGGGAAGAGAAAGCACTCACCTTCACTCGTTCACACATTTTTTCTCCGTAGGAGACTGACGAGTCATTATGAACATCTACAGAAGAAACAATGTTTGGTGTTTATGGGAAATTGCTGAACATGCACCTCAAGGAACATTGATATTTTGACTACTTACCATCTGAAGATGATTTCTGAAGAGGCAACAGAATGCACTTTGGCTCCTTCCTGGGGGATGAAGCTTCAATTGCTGTAAGCAGAACAGAGATTTTGAGCAACACACATAATATCACTAGGATAAATAACACATAAATCGAGGGCTATGCGGATCCTCAGACATATATGAACAAGAGAGATAATATATCACATTAAAATTCTAAGGGGTACCTCTCTTGCATTTTTTCCATTCGTCACTCAATACTGTTACAAGTAGATCTGGCCAGGTACCCCTCGTCTCTTTCACAAGAGCATTACAACAATCCCTGAATGAATCCTGAGAACAAGAAAAGAATGTACGGGTAAGAACAGCCAAGTTAACTAGGAGGAAACATGACAGTCCCACAACCTTGAAGAAAATGCGATACTTATTGCAATGGAATGGTCACAAAGTTCCATATGCATTTGGTCTTCAGTGATAATAACGTACTTTCAGCAATTTAAGATGCTGACTGTTGAATTCCGCCTCACTGTAAGGAAGTAGTTGACGCAAAAGCCAACCACCATCCCATAGTATTTCAGCAGGAACACCTGGCCGGCAGAAAAGACTCACCAATGCATCCAGAACCTACAAGATCATGAGAATAATAAAATTCCTGCAATGATAAATGAAAAGACAACTGGAAATATCTCAAGAGACAAACAGGTAGCATTCAATATATTAGCTAATTAAGTCTCAGTAAAAAACACCAAGAGATTCACCTGAAATCTATGTGTGCGAGAGCTTTTCCCAAATTCCGAGGAAGAGCATGCTACTCCGTAGTCTTCCTGACAAGCATAATTTTCAAATGTATAACAAAATTCCAATAGTCCAAAACCAAGGATTGATGCTTCTAACAAATGGACTATCGTGTCATAAGAATATAGGCATCTGCTTCGGAAGAAGGGGGGAAAAAATATAACCACCAACAGAGGATAGTATATCAGAAGGGTATATTGTGCTTATACTTTCTATTTTCTGTTGCTCGTAACAGAGGAATCGAGAATCACATAAATCACCTTAAGCCTTTGCAGGTAGCCACCAATCTCATTGCTAATCCCATCTTTGGTAGAGCAGCTCTCCGGTGAGAAAAGTTGCTCTTCACCTAAACCTTCACCAACCAATGCTTGCTGACAGAAGAAAGACAATTTGTCATGTTTTGAAAATCAAGGTATAACTCTAGAAAGAAAGATAAAATAGAAAAATGGTAGTTGAGCTCCCTGTAACCCGAGGAGTTATGAAAATTCTCCGCTTTTAACTCAAAGATGGAGGAGAAAAAGTGTTCTCAAACCCCGAATTCATTCAGAACAAACACAGTACTCAGCATAAGGATAAAAATAGTACATAAAAAACGACTGCAAGAACCAAAATGGATCCAAACATCTAGGCTGTTCCATGTATCTTGAGCAGCGCCATTACCTACCCCCCCCCCCCCCCCCCCCACACACACAACACACACACACACAAAAATAAGACCAACGCGAAGCGAAAACCTATAAAAAAATAAAAACGATTTATTTTTTTCAAAAATTACCCACCCTTAGCTAAATTAGCCTTAATTTTCAACAGAGAAGCTAATTAATATTAATCAAAATTTTATTCGGAAATCACAGTTAACAAAGTCCAATATGTGTATCAGTGTATGTAACCAGACACCACTTACCAACAAGAGTTTCTTATGTTGCTTTCGCTGGGGTAGAATGCCAAGAGCATCAAGCATTGCTTCATCCAGTTCTGCAACAGGTGTAGTTAATCAATAAGATAACAGTATCCAGGAATGACATCAATAGAAGTTCAATAGCTAAGAACAAACCTTTCGTTTGTAACAATGTAGCGAGCACATTCAATGAACCCATAACCAGTTGGCTGTTTCCGCTTACAACATAAGACAGCAGAATGTCCCTACAAATACCACGAAAGTCTTAAAGATGGGACAAAGAAACATGACTAAATTCATTATGTGAATCTTCAATAAGAAGTGAGTTTCAATAACCAAAATACAAATCAGTGACCTCCTTAGACCCAAAACAAGTAATAGATGTGTGCTTCAAATAAATAATCTGTCTATGTTCTTTCACTTTAATGAGGCATTTGCTTGATTGAATAAGAAGATACAGCAAAGCAAGCAATGAGAATAGTATAATCCCTGAGACGAACACATCCCACATTGAATAATACACCTAACTAGTTAACCGGAGTTGATTATAAGGAATGTCATTAGACAAATCCTATTGGAAAAATTCAAGCTGATAGAAGAATCATCATCAATATTTACCTGAGACCATGCAGTGACCTAGTGCTACTGGCTTGCTTTGTAACGTCTTCAGGATAAATATGTGAAGTTGACAACTCCGTGGTTACTCCTAGTTGTTCATCAACTGCAGCATTATTGTTTTCCAACTGGTGGTGGCTCTCGTGGCAATTTCCATTAGTCACATGACCATTGACTTTAGGTTCTGCATATGGTAGAAAAGCCTCCAGCGGACAAAAAAGAGCAGCCGCAATGGCATTTGCCAAATCTTTGATTTTGACAATGCGCAAGATGCAACAGAGCAAATACAGAGAAGTGACAGGACCAATAGGGGATTCCTGGATTTTGAAGCTATCAAAAGTTAAGTAAGAACAAGTGATACCATTAACCTGAATGTGGATCAAACAAATACTAACAGACTTTAAATCCAATAAAAATCACCAGACAAACGAAAGCATGCAAAGGACAGAGATCTTTACCTTAAGAGCATCTAACCGCAAAGACGGAAGAAGCAAAGGAAGTATCAAAAGTTGCAAAATGTTGTCAGTTATCAACCTCCCAACATCAGGAATGCCAGCAGATATAACATCACTAAAGTAGTAGAGGTTGTCCTCAATTTCATCAACAGCAGCAAGAATTGCTGTTGTTCTGTCTGGCTCTGTTTTTCTGTCTCAACCATAAAATAACATTTAGGAGCTTCACACAATTTGCTTTAAAAGAACACAAAAAGAGGGAAACAAGAAAAACTTCTTACTGTGGAATTTCAGAGACCAGTCCATTTAAATCAATGCACTGCTTACGGAAAAATGATATTAAATCGGAAAAGTAGCCATCATATGGGGCTTTGCTCACGAATCTATTAACAGGACCATCTCCAACTGAAACAAAGCTTATAGAAATTAAGGTTGCTTGAGCAAGAGCCAAACATTAAGACATGTTAATGGAAAGGAGACACAATTTACTCACCATGGTAGACATTAAGTGTCAAGGCACGTACTGCAGTGCGGATCATACTCTCTTCATGGAAAGCATACCGGATGGCCTCAACATATAGAGGAAAAGAAACAATGTCCTCCTAGAAAAATAAAAGTTAAAGGCAAATGTCAATAACATGGCATTACAACAGCTATACAAACTTATGCATCCCCTCTCCCTCGGGTGGCGGTGCACCACAGGAGATGCTGCCAAAGACTTATTAAGGAGCAACTTGTACAATAACGCTAGTGGCACATTATTGAGCTCAAGGATCTTATTATAACAGAAGCAATCACTTATTCCCAATAGTAGCACAATAAAAGGTCTTACTCTCCATCAAAAACTTTGTCAAAAATCAAAATGGCCACACAATACAGTTTCCTGAAACTGTCGATCGAAAAAGGCAAACGGTACAATTATAACAATGTAATAAAGACCACAAAACCTACATTCTGAGTCTTGACTAGGAGAGAAATTGTGTTCCTATTGAGCTTTCCACTTATTGCTCTGCATATATGAGAAACAAGCCAAACCAAATTCTAACATCAATGAAACTGTGAATCACAAGCGCTGAGTTGGGGAAAAAACAGATCTTTAGCCATACGGAGAATAAAGCTCAAATAAATATAATGACAATTTTACCTTAAAAAGGACATGTAATAAGACAGTAGCTCTTCATTCCGGAAATCAAACTTGTAAGTAATCAAGAAGTTAATATATTCATTACTGAACATATAGTCTGCAACAACTTCCAGAGGTAAGTTAATTAATAATTCCAGATTGTTTGGTACTGTATCATTAATAAACTGAACAGCTTCAGATTTTAATCAAAGAAAAACATACAGATGGCATGCTCTGTTCTTAGGTTCTGGATCATAATGCTCAATGTCTGCAGTATCTGAAGTGAAATGATCATAGATTTGCTCATCTGCAACATTCTTACGAACTCTCCCATGACTTGCTTCTCCATAAAAAAACTGAGGCAAATCAAGCAAGCATAAGCAAGTGTGGCTTGCAAAGTTTAAGATTTATGGTATGCTGAGGGAGAATTCTCACTCAAAAAAGCTCGAGTCATGTTGGTCGCCGTAAGTTATCAACTCGGCTATTGATCTCAACGCCTCAACAACAAAATCCTAAGTTAAATACAAACACAAGGACGAGTTACAAAAACAAAGAAAAGAATGGAAATAGAGAGGTCAATAGCTAGTTCACAAAATAATGATAATATTATTAGGAAAAGGAAAAAGCATCTCTCACCTTATTGACCTCGTTTATAATTCTCACTTTCTGAAGCTGATCTGTTAAATACCTGCAGATAGGTGGTATGTAAGCAGCATAAAGAATTTCGTCAACAGAAAACTAATGGAAAGGCTTCCAAAAATTCAGAGGACCGACTTCCTAATTCTTATACACTATACGTACAGACATGAGCATTACCCCCCCTCCCCCTCTCTCTCTCTCTCTCTCTCTCTCTCTCTCTCTCTCTCTCTCCACATACAGAGATAAAGTGGTGCTTTAGTGGCCTTAGAAATCAAACTTATTAATTCTTTAACATGTCAGATTCCATTCCATCACCGAACCACTGCTAGGCCATCCATTAAAGGAAAATTCAACGACTGAAGACAACTTTATAAGTTCAAAAAACGGCAGCACTGTTGTAGTACTAACCACGAAAATTCAATAGTCCTACCACGATCTTAGAAACATGCCTTCATTTTTGGTAAAGGAAACTGCTCATTTCTACTCGTCAGCCTTACAAAAGATCAAAGCATTTGTGCCAATGACGGCCATTCCAGAAATCCAATGACCTACACATTCTAAGAATCCAACCCACTGCTAATATGCTTTAATCAGTCTATCATTATATCATAGTTGACAACGAAAAGTGTGTGCTTGCTACCAAAGAGTATAGAATCCATGATCAACATATCGAAACAACTGCAAAAGAGACCGACAGGTCTCCGCAACAAGTAAAAGCTATTAACTAGGCCACAAGACCACAGAACTTTATCTAAACTTAATCCAACTAAACAGAGACGGCCCCCTTCACATTAGGACTTCCCTTAATGAGAATGACCAGCCAATTCTACTGTCGATTTCCAGCAGAAAGCGGAGAACACACAGCCAATGCATCTCCATGGTAGCACTTCGAATTCCATTCTCAGTACAGGTAATTCTTAATTGGAACCAGTACAAGCCAGCAACCATCTATCCGGGGGAAACCGAATAACAACTTGCGCCCGAACTCCTAAACTAGAAAGCACACATCGGAGGCGATTGGGCACTGTTCAACTCGAGTGAGGACTCCTACTACCAAGGCAATCAATGGCTAGAACTCAGAAAACCCTCGCCCACCGACACTAAGCCAAAACCCCCCACTCCATCAGATTTTTAAACCCGACTAGCAGTAGCAGCAAAGAACGGTTCGCGACAGACCAAAATCGCCAACAAAGGTATGTAGAAAGAGCGAGTGGAGAAATTGAGAGGGAAGGAGACCTGAGCTCGTCCAATGAGAATCGATCTCTGGATCTCCAGAAGGAAAACCACATGATTGGGCCCTCCAAATATGGAGAGAATCAGACCTCGAGAGTCAGCGTCGGCGCGTCCAGCAACGCGGGAGGGGTAGAATTCATCATCCACCCGCAGCAGAAATTTGCAACAGGAAACTCAGAAGCTGTGCGATTGCGGCAATCGCGCCACTGGCCGGGAAGGTTGTGGGAAGAAGAGGTGACGGTTTTAGGGATCGGTACGAAGCTTGAAGAGAAGAGAAACCTGGAGAAGACGGCTTCTGAAAAAAGTAGTGGAAGAAAAAGGAAAACGGAAGAAGGAAGGGATTTCGTTTTGTTTTGCTTCTTTATTTTTTTTCCTTCGTAAATTGGCTAAGTGCGACAGCCTGAAAAAACATTAAAATCTATTTCATTACTATATATATATATATTTTTATGCACTCATTTTTTTATGTCATCGTTTGCATGACATATAACCATATCATAATCGTCATTTTGAGTGGATGATTCACAACAAAATAATGTCAATATTTACTTGTAAAATGTTGGATAATGAAACACATTAATTTGCAATATCATCACTTATTAGTTATTACTATTGTTCCATTTCAAATTTCATGCAACAAAAATGGAAATAGAAATGATATTTTTGTCTTCAAAATTATTTATTTATTTCATATAAAAAGATATTAATATCAAAACTTGAACCAATATTTCTTTAAAGAAAAACAAAAATTATAACCAATTACACTAAACAGATTTTTTTTTTATATTTTTTAATTAAAAACATATACTAAACTAACATCTGACAAGCGGAGAATTAGCTATCCACCAAATCTCCTATAAATATTTCTATGGTGTTTGATATTTTGATTTTTTTATTATTTTAATTGAAGTTTAATAAGTAATTCGGAACTTTTTCTTACTTATTAATGAAAGAAAATCTTAAAATTGCAGCTCAAATATCATTAGTTAGAATATTGCATTTTGAACTGCAGTATTGAATATGCAAATCCAATATATAATTTTTAAATTAACTTTGATTTTTAAAACTACCATGAAGCAATAATTCTATACAAACTATAAATGAGTAGTTCCCTAAAATTTTATCTTGGTTAACCGCTAAAATTTAACCCTCTTGCTAATACGTCATGATTTGATCAAACAATAAAGAAACGATATTAAGTTTGAAGTGTTATTCATTTCATCATTTTTTATGTGTCAATGAATTTGTAGGGCACTTACATATAAATGCGAAATGATGAACCTGATTATACATTTTTATTCTTTATACAAATAAAATTATTTAAGGCATGAATTAACTTTGTATTCACTCGATTGGCGGAATGAGTTTTGTGTTATCATTTATAATAGTTAGTTTATTCAAATATTTTGTGATGTTTGAAAATCTTAATTATGCACGATTTAGATGTATACTTATTATTTGTAGTCTTTGTGATAGATGGTTCAAAACGTAGTATTTCATCAAATAGTAAAAAACCCGAATATTGATTGTATTTATTGGGTGTCTTTTAACATTGTATAGGAATGGATAGAAACTTATTTATCAGAATGCATATAGCTGTACCTAGACACTGTAGCGAACGAGATAGCAAATGAATGAAAAATATCTTCTCCACTTAATGGTTGTTGTTTCTAGCTCAGGCGCTCTTAAACGAACGGACATGTAGCGGTAGGCAAAGCCCAAGAAGTGTCGGGAAGTCAGTTCGTACCTCTGCGCACTGGTTCTTAGATCACTTACGCAAATATAGATCAATTTCGTCAGTTAACTTCTTTCTTCCTTACCAAAAGTGTTGCACAAAGACTATTTGACATCATTGGCAACTGTATCTACCCCAAACCTGTACCTCTGCATGTCAATCAATCTTTGCATTCACGGGCAGAGTGGTGCTTCTCAGGTTGTGAGCTTCTGGCAATTCTCTAGATGCGCCAGTTGCTGGATTCCACAACACAAACTTGGGGAAGCCAACACAAATTCTAGCATCCATACATCATCTTCAAGCCTTATCCTGATGTTTAAGGCTGCTCATATTCCACTGAAGTCGCTCAAAGGAGAATGCTTGAGAGGAACATGATCAGGCCCAGGAACTTCAGGCACTAGTTCCACATGAATTTGTAAGCCAGCTAATATGATGGAACTGATGAAAACTTCAAAAAAGGAGCTTCAGGCACTAGCTGCCACATGAACATGAAGGCGGGCTGTACTCTTTATATACGGAAACAAATCATTCGAAAGCACACAATACCGACGTAGTGTTACTCTCCCAAACGACAAGAAAACTGGAGTGAATAAGGAATTGCTATAAACTATCAAAGCCAATGACACAATCATAACTAGTACCGAAAAAGGAAAACAAGAGCCAAGATGGGGGAAACAGGTAATTCTCTCATTTTACTCTTCTTCGAAGCAATGCGTCCTAATAAAGGGTACGCAAATAATCTTTGACAAAGCCCTCTATACGCTATACTACTACTATACAGTATATATACTGTACTAACCGTCGGAGGTCGAATGCATGGATGGTGATTTTCCTATCGGAGACAAGTAGTCACGCGTCCTCTTCTTCTTAGGCACATGTAAAGGCACCAGCTTTGCATCACCATCCACATCTAGTCCTTCGAACCTCACCCTTCGAACATGGCATGGTTTCTGAGCATTGTTGGTGTAAGAACCCGAGACACCAGTGCTAGGAGGCAAATTGCAATTCCTTGGCGTTAGTACTAGTGCTAAGACGGTGAATAGAAGAAAGTTGGGCGCAACTGTCCATCGCCATTGGTGAAGCACTGGAGGAGCAATGATCCGGCTTCTGGGGTATTTCTCGTCCTGTGGGTGAGAACCCCATCGATATGCCGGGCCGAGATGGGGGAGTCCCTCGTGTGTCCTCGACGAGTGGATTTTTCGTGGGAGTGAATACAGTTGCTGGGGAGGTAGATGGGGCTCCCTGAAACAGCATAAAAATGGTTTTCAGCAAAAGTTGGCTGAAAATGAGTACAGCATAAAACCATTTTCTTCGCGCTAGAAATAATAAAGCACATTCTCACAGTGGAAGTAGAAGCCAAAGCAAGACGGTGACATGGCCCTCCAGGAAGTCCTGTCTGTGTGACTGGCTGAAGGATAGGATAATTTTTTAGAGAAGGAAGATTAGATACAGCACCAAGAACATAGACTTGCAAGAACAGATGGACCAAGTATCTTACCAAGATGATGATAGGAGCAATGTCACTCCCTTTGCAATGGCTACGCTCCATAACATCAAGGGCCTTATGCTTCCAATCCTCCATAAGCTGGTTCAGAGATTGCACTTGAGACTCCAGTTCACGAACCCGCTTTTGAGCCAATGAAGCCTCCTGTGAGTTAACCCTGGCCTGGTGAGCTGCCTTCATCGCGTAATCCCAAACTCCCCTCAGATAGCCTCGGGGACCCTAAAATCAAGGACTAAAAGTCAAAGCGTGGACAAAAGCTACACAGCAGTAAGAGAGAAAATGTTTTTGTTACCCTCTGCACCCCTGGTGGTAAATCATCAATAGCCTCCTCCAAATGGTTACCAATTGGGAGACAACATGGATGGCCATCTTTCATCCCCATGAAGTGCTGAGGGACCCTCGGTAAAGGTATTTCTTCTCCCGTACCCGAATCATGGATTGGAGCCCCTAAACTGTCATAGTAATCATCTCCAGATTGGTCCTCTTTGTTCAAAGAATCAGTTGCATCCAAGGAAAACATTTTGTTGCAGCGAAGGCTACTCATTCCTGCTTCAGAACAAGTACCTATAGGCCAATCTTGTGGCTGAACTCTCAGAATGTGAAGCTCTCACCTCAGGCTTAGTGACATGAGACTCATGGCAAGGAGAATCCACGGATGATCTCTGTGGATCACCTAAAGATCCATAGCTTAACTTTCTACTCTCTTGAACCCCTTCTACCACGACCATGGTTGAAACATCATGGCATTCTGGTAGCAAAACTCCAACGCCCGCCCTTAAACTCTCCTTGTACCCATCACCACATTCATCGCCCTTCTGCAAGGCATCACTCATATCCACAGGAACATTCCTTTTGCACTGAGGGCTATTCTCTGCTCCTCCTGTATCTAGAAACATAGGTTGTTGTTCAATTGGCTGGCTGGTGATAGCAGTGGCAATGGAATGAAGCCCCTCGGACTTAGAAGCTCTCGCCTCAGGGTGAGTTCCATGAGACTCATGGCAAAGAGACCCAACAGATGATCTCTGGGAATCACTAGAAGCTCCACCACTTAGCTTTCTACTCTCTGGAACCCTCTGTTCCACCACCATGATTGAAACATTATGGCATTCAGGTTCTAAAACCTCAACTTGTGCCCGCCTATTCTCATTGTGACCATTTCCACATTCATCACGCTTCTCCATGGCATCATTCAGATCCAAAGGAACATTCCTTCCACAATGAGTGTTATTCTCAGCTCCTCTAGAGTCTACATCCACAGGCTGTTCATCGTGTGACTGGCCAGTGCTAGCAGTGCCGATGGTGGCAGAATAAACACTCTCAGAATGTGAAGCTCTCACATCAGGCCGAGGGACAAGAGTCCCGTGGCAAGGAGATTCCGTAGAGGATCTCTGTGAATCATCAGAAACTCCACCATCAGTTAGCTGCCTACTCTGTGGGACCCGCTCAAGCACCAACATGGTTGAAACAACATGGCATTCAGGTTTCGGAACCTCAATTTCTGTCCCTACATTCTTACTGTAACCATCTCCACATTCATCATCCTTCTGAAAGGCATCATTCAGATCAACCAAAGGATTCCTTTCAAAGTGAGGGCTCCTATCAGGTCCTCGTGAATCTAGATCCATAGGTTGTTCATCATGTGGCTGGCTGGTGCTAGCAATGCTAATGTTGTCAGAATGAAGGCAGTCAGACTGTGAAGCTCTCACTTCAGGCTGAGTAACCAGGGACTCAGGGAAAGAAGATTCCATAGACAATCTCTGTGAATCACCGGAAGCGTCATCACTTAGATTTCTACTCTCTGGAATCCCCTCTGCCACCACCATAGTTGAAATAACATGGGATTCAGGTTTCAAAACCACAGCTCCAACCCCTAAATTCTTGTCATGACCATCTACACATTCATCACCCTTCTTCAAGGTATCATTCAATGGAAAATTCCTTTCACAGAGAGGACTACTTTCCACTCCTCTCAGATCTACTTCCATAATAGGCCTTTCATCATGTGCCTGGACGATACTACCAACACCGATGTTGTCAGAATGAAGGCCCTCAGATGGTGAAGCTCCCACCTCCGGATGAGCAACATATGACTCATGGCAAGGAGATCCCATAGATGATCTTTGTGGATCACAGCTAGCTCCATAACTTAGCTTTCTACTCAGCAGAACACCCTCTTCTACCACCGTGGTTGAAACATCCTTGCATTCAGATTCAGGATCCAAAAACTCAACTTGCGGCGCCAAATTCTCAAATCCACATTCATCATCCTTCTGCAAGGAAACATTACGATCAAAAGGAGTATTCCTTTCACAATAAGGGCCACTCTCTGCTCCTTTAGAATCTTCATCGATGAGCCGTTCGTCATTTGGGTGGCTGCTTGTATTACCAGTTTTCAACTTATCCTGAGTAACATGAGACTCATGGCATGGAGACTCCATGTCTGATCTCTGTGAATCGCCAGAAGCTCCACCGCCACTTAGTTTTTCACTCTCACCCACCACCATGTTTGAAACAACACGGCAATGAGGTCCCAAAACCTCACCTTGCAGCCCTGGATTCTCATGATATTCATCTCCACATTTGGTATCCTTCTGCAAGCCCTTGTTCAGATCAAAGAAAGCCTTCCCTCCGCAGCAAGCCAATCCTCTCAAATCCAAACCCATTTGTGGTTGTTTATCTTGTGGGGTTTCAGTCTCCGCAGCATTGGACCCTGAGTTCGAATCAGGGGTCACAATCTCGGAAGCTCCCACCACTTCCTCAGTCGCAGGCAATCCCTCTGAATCAACTAGCTTATCACTCACCAAAATCGTCTCTCTCGCCATAGCCGAATCAACCAGGAGTTCTTATTCCGATTCTCTAACAACCGCCCCAGGATTTCCAGCATTATGATCAGTGGGATTAGTATCACTACTCTCTTCAAGGTTCTCTTCCATGGGTTCAGAGTACACACGGCCTGAAACTTCGCAAAACAGACCAAACCCACCACGATTCAAGTTCCAATTTGTACCCAAAAAAAAAAAAAACTAAACCACTGGTTCAATTAGAATTCATAACAAAAGCTGTTCTCCAAGCAATTATCTACCGTATGTAATTCTGATTTCTGACAAAAAACTAAAAAAACTAAAAAGTCGAAGCAAAATCGGCATTGTTGCACATTGTAGGAGAATTAAACTACCCTGGAAGCTCTCTCTCTCTTCTAGCACAAACTTCAAACCTCTCGGCCACTTGGAAAATTTCCAACTGGAGAACATGAGATAGTAGTCAGAGAAAAAGAATTGGGACTGAGCTTACCTGAATCAGGAACAATGGCGGCCGTCGCTGCAGCTAGTGGTTGGCTTGGTTGCAGGACCTTAGCATCTTCAACTTCTGGAATCGTCAACTTCCGGCGTCGAGCATAGCTTAGGAGCCGGGGCTGGGGGAGAGACTCATGCACGGAGACGGTGGAACACAGAACGAAGCGCAAAGAACACTGAAGACCGAAGAGAGAGAGAGGGGAACAATTTAGAGAAGGAAAAGGAAAAATATACGAATTCTAACTCCTCTTTTCCCCCCTCGTTGGAATATGGGAAACGGGCCTGTATTAGTTTATCCAGGCCCCACAACTTGGGCCTCAGGCCTTTTTAGTATGCCCAGGACCCATATCCTAGCCACTAAAAGCCCACGCGGGCCAATGGCCTATTGACAAAACCAAGCGACCAAAAGTTTCAGCAACCGGAACTCGATAACGGCCGAAAAAGATATATTGATGACATATCGTGACATTTACGCGATATATTGAATCGGATACTGTTTTCCGGTTGCCTGCGCTGACCGACGGCGACGGCGACGGCGACGGAGACGGAGAGGACTGAATTACACGACGATCAATACAATGGTGCCTATGAATAACTGGAGAACACTTCTAAGTTCTCACTTAAGTACAAACTGCTTCAACTGCAAACCGTTTCACGAGACCGTGACAAAGACCATCATCAAGCTCCTCTGATTCTGTCATCACCGGGATCGAGCATCCTTTCTTCCCAACACAAGCCTGCATGCAAAAAAACAAAACAAAAAGCTCAATTCACCATACATCAGGAAAACTGCATGACGTGAAGGGAAGGGGTACTCTTCTAAAGTTCTGTCCTTTTACCTTACGTACGAAGCTCGACATGTCAGCATGGCAATCCCCGGGAACAAACGAGCCACAGTTCCCACCAGGGTTCCCGAAGCCGGCAAAGTTTATCGACGAAATGAGCCGTCGTTCGTCGCTGCAGGCAAGGCGTACTTCGGGCTGGCTCTGACGAGATTCAAACTCGTTAGCATTCGGTTCCCACGAATCGACTGGTGGAGGATCGTCCTCTGAGACCACTGAACATATAACTTCTGCACCGGTTTGTGTCAGGACCGTGATTTTCGACGGATCGCCTCCCAGCTCTTCGTGCAAGACGAGCAGGTTTTCGCCGCTGTGAACCCAGGCTCTCGGCACATGGTACCTGTGCAAGGGGGATTGGTTACAAAATGTCAGGTTGTCAGTTATAAATTCAACCAGTCCTAACAGGAGCTGGGAAACAGAATCAACAAGATTTAACACATGTGCGGAGATTAGATCCAACATTTCAATTCGGTGAGGATGTGTACTGAATCAAAGAGTGAGCAACTGCAGTAAGACTTACAATGTTTGAGTAGGTTGGCCACATTTCCTTTGACAAGTAGATGAGTCATGATTTCCTCTGTAATCGCAGTTCTCGGTGCAACCAGTGGGAGGGGAAAGATAGGCTGGCCAATATCGACCGATGCCATGCCCGTTCACCCATGCCTGACCTTTTCCCATGCTGGATAGGTTTAGAGCTAAAGGTCCCTTCCCTTGTGGAGCAAGGAATGTGGTCTAAGACAGAGAAAATAAACCAGTAAAAAACCAGAAAGCAATCAAATCAGAGTGCTCTCACCGAGATTTTTCACATCCTACTGCTTCTAGTTTGAGTTGACATCAATCAAGAAACTAACCTTGTACCATATCAAACTATTAGCAACAGGGGGAGAACTTCCATAAGTCCAGTATGAACTGTTTGCCAAACTGATTTTATCTAGTCCAAGGTGTTCTCCTTTGAGCCCCACCTAGAAGTTATGAGCGTGTATAAATTTCATAAGATAAAAGAAGCCAGAAATACATTGTCATGACTTGATCTGAAAGAAGAGTTATACTCAAAAGCAAGTTGGTTTAAAATATCCTTAAACCTGGTAGGTCCATCTTTGAGAAGAAATGTCACGGTTGCCATTCTTAAAGCCAGCGAGAACAACTTCATCAATCCCAGCTCCTTGAACATCGAACCACGGTCCATAGTTCTGAAGCAACAGCAAAAAATGAAGGTTGATTACAGGAAAATCGAAGAAGTATTCACTAAAGATTTAAGAACTTGTTCTTTACCTGCAAACCAACCATCATACTCAAAATATCCAGGGTATTTATACCCTCTTCAAGGCTGATCCTCTGAGCAATTGAGAATTTTTCATCATCATGGTTACCATATCCAAGACCTGCAGCAAGATTACCCCAAACGTTAACAGTGTCAAGCAAATGTGGATAGACAAAACAGAAACAATATACTAAGTAGGGATGATAATAGAATCACCTAGGAGCTTCTTGTTAACAAAGACCAGTGCTACATGTCCCATGCTCTGGACATTCAAGAAGCCATCCCTATCTTCCGTCGAATTGACATATATACTGCCAAGCACAGGGGGGGGGGGGAAATGGAAATATGAACAATGGCAAGATTTTTTTGGAACACTATCACCCCATTTGATTCAACTAGTTGCCAACTGCCGGTGCCTCTAGTTGAGCAAAACCAACTTCTCAATCAAATTCCAACTCCTACGATATGTTTGAGGAATATCTCTTCAAACACACTTTCCTTTCTATGATATGTTTCTGTTTGAAAGCTTCTCCAATATGACTAAGCCTGGTTGACATACCTTGTTGAGTACCAAAGAAAGTCACTGGTGTCTTTGGTGGTATTGATCTGCTCCAATAGTCCCGACTTGGTAAATGACTTGTTCCCCCAGATTCCAACATATTCTTGGTACCAGCTCCAATCTGATGTTGCGAGTGAAACCTCGTGCGTACTAGTTGATCTAGTGAATGCATTTTCAGCAGGATGCCTTTGTGAAACAACCTTACAAATCAACATCACCATATTGATCATTTTGTCTGTATGAAACCACCGATTCAGTTCAAATGTCACAATAACTTGAAGAGTTCATGTGGCACAATACTCGATCTTTCTATCACTCCGGTACCTTTGCTGTGTTGAATACGACATTCTTACAGTCTGGAAGTATGCTCACAGACCAAGCAGGAAGGAAATACTCATTCCCTTTGAATGTGACTCTGGCATCAGAAATGCTGTCGAAATTGGCAAGAAAGGCTGCACAACTGTTGGAAGATTTGTAGTAAACGTGCGCCTGAAATGAGCCAAAAAAAAGGTTGTAAGCAACTAAAATATGATGCCATGAATGGAAGGGGCTGATATTGTAATATGGATCGCAGAAAAGGAAGAGAAAAACCTCTAAGTTTTGGCCTAGTTTCTCAAGTGTTGGGTCTGAGCTTATGAGATATTCCTCACATAGCTTTATCACTTTGTGCAGGTCTCGGAGATGGCCCCACTTTGGTTGTCTAATAAAACCTGCATCAGAATTTTTCACCACCCAGAACAAGCTCAAAACGTTATCCATCAGTAAAATTAAACAAAAAAGTATTTTTAGAGGTTGTTTGGATAAGAGATAAGTGCACTGCAATCACTGTCATTGAGGGTTGTTAACGACTATCACTTTGGAGGAGCAAAAAGTGGTTATGAATGGACAGATTGAAATATTTAAAGACTACAAATATTTCATCCAGCAATCTATTCTAACAATATACTTATTTCAAATGCACCATATCAAGAATCCGCCTATTTTTACAATCTCTCATCCAAAATCCAATTTAAGGTAAGCGACTTGTAATGAATAGTGTGAGTTCTTAGTCTTACCATATTCATCAATTGGTGCATCATAGTCATAGCTTGTTGCGACCAGAGGGCCTCCAGCTGTTCGTCCAAAGTTTGTTCCACCAAAATACTGTACTACATATAACACAATTGAGAACATTGAAAGGAACCAGATGATGACAAGTTGTTCCATTAACCAACATATCGAGTGATCAGAAGGCATCTCTTACCATATAATAGTTTTGAAATGTGCCACCATATTCGAAAAACCGAGCAACAGAGAAAGCCAAGTCCTCGACAGGTCGGTATGGGATGGGGTAACCAAATGAAAGAAACCTACCAGGCCAAATTTCACCACTAGGAGATCAGATTTCTAAAACCACAATATGCAATTTCAGGGTAAACAGGTGATAATAGTTACCATCCACTATAGTTCTCTGTCCACATTTTAGGCTTGGAAGGAGAATTTGGAGTGAACTGATCACAGTAAAACCCATTGCATGTGTTTATCTGCATGGAAATTCTCATTATACAAAACTAACCACACATCTGAGATTGAGAGAAAGGCATCACAAACCATTTAGTTTGGTGATCTGGTGTAGAACATAATGGATAAAGACATAAAGTAATGAAAAGATAGCCATACTATTGGATCTGGAGCATCGCCTTGTGCGCACATCACCCAAGGAACAGTGGTGTTCAAACTGACAGCAGTTTTTGCAGCCCATTGAACATACAACTCCCCAGGTTGCCCATATGATGACTCCACGTTCCCATATTCATTCTCAACCTGTTTCACCATATTAATCAAAGGAATAAAGCCAATATATTGAGTATTATGAATTTATGATCAGAAATGCACAGCATGTCATTCTAAATGCATCAATTCACCTGGGCAAGAATGATCGGACCGCCTTGTGATGCAAAGAGACGCTCCTCCTTCATCAGGTTCACAACTTTTGCAAGGAACCGCTTCATCTCATTCTTCAATGCCAACAAAGTAAATACGCATTGCTATATGGAAGAAGAAACCAAAAAGCAGAGAACTTCATATACACAGTCCAGACAATGTTCTTGAGCAGTAAGTACCTTGAATATTGCATTATTGGTACGGAACTGAATCCCAGGAAGGAAATGCAACCACATTGGAAATCCGCTGTTAGAACAAATAAAACGTGAGGTAGAATATACGAAGTACACAAGATATTTCATATAATTTAATGTAAGCGGTTGTTTTCTTTCTGATGGTTTCGGGGTTTTTCAACGGAGATTATAAAGGAACAGGATGGACTAGAAAAGATGGACGGAACAGGAAGTTCGAATTACATATTATATTTTAATCTCTGCCATAAATAAGTGTGGCAGAAAGGCATATGAAATCAAGAAAGAAGATGAGACGCAGAAAGGCAATAAGTATGACTTGAACACACACCCATAGTTCCATTCAGCACAAGCATAAGGACCGATCCGCAAATGAACAAGAAGACCAGCTTCCTGAACTGTTTTGACAAACTTCACCAAGTCAAATCTGCCTTCAAAGTAGTACTACCACAAAGAACAAGAGAAAAAAGTTGTGTAAGCAAATGGCATTGATCGCAGCATGACCAAAGAGATTGAAACTGAAAGCTCAGAAGTCCTAACTAGGTAGTAAAAAAAGAGATCCTCTATTGCAGATTGGACAGTGAATTTTAATTACCTGCCCTCTCTCAGGCTCATGATTGTTCCAAAACACGTAAGTTTCAATCACGTCCAACCCTCCTTCCTTCGACAGTCTAATAATCTCTGGCCACATCTGAAACACACAAACAATTCAAATCCAATGTAGAATCATCTTTTAGTATCAAGAAAACAAAATAAACCAAAACAATTTTTTTACCAAACATAAAACTCAGGTGTTGGCCATAGTGCTCAAGTTTGGATCACCAAAACTAACCCATCTAAGTTCAAACTCTCGAATTCAAACAATCTATGAATAATTCGGCATTACCATGAATTTCTCGTTCCACTCCTAGCATTTTAACTTTACAAGAACCATGATCCAAATGTATTGTGCTTGACCATGGCTAACTCACAATATCAACTAATGTACTAAGACCCAACTTTAAGCTAGACTTCCGTTGAAGTAAGCAAGTGAAAATTTGGCTAGCATAACATCAAGTCGCAAACATCTACCAACGACTCAAGTTACTGGAACAAACAAGTTACCTCAGCTACAACAAACTAAATGAAAGATTCTGGAAGTCTTAAAGAGCATATACACCTCAGATGTAGTTCTAGGATAATGAACGGAGCCAGAGAGCAAAACCCTTCTCTTCCCATCAATAACCAGAGCCCGATGATCATAACTCACAGTAGAACACCTTCCTTCCTCAAACCAACTGCATTCACAAATTAGAACACAGAGCAACACAATTGCCAAACGATTCAATCCCCTGGCCATGTGACAATGACAAAGTAGAAACAATGAACCAATGGAATGAAAAATGGGAACTCTCACTCGTTGGCAGTGGAGGATATGTAGTAGCGCTCCTACAGAATGTGGGCGAAGAAACAATTGGAATTTCGCTTGTGGTGATCGATGGCGACAAAAACCAGAATGGCGCATCCGCCAGAGCTTTGTGCTTGTTCTGTAATGGAGGGTTTAGGGTTAGGGCCATCTTGTGCCAAGGAAAACGATTGGTTTTTCCCCAATCAATGGATAGGAATTAGAATTTAGAACAGTACGCAGCATAAGACAGTGAAGCGGGAAGATGTCTTTCTTCGTTCACGGGCGAATTGTTCTAGATAACGGAATGAGATATTAAAATGACGATTATTTTAAATAAACGGTCTTATGAAAAACGTGGGGATTAGAGAAACTGGACCGATGGCCCAATTGAAGAACTTCATTTGTGTGAACATTGGGCTCAGTCTGATGGGCCTAAGCCTAAGAAGTAAGAATCACAAGAAATGGCCAGCAAATTGGGCCGAATTGCGAATATCATTTCATTAAAGGACCTGTAAATATTAATCCTTGCCATGGTTGTCAAAACGTACCAAAAGTTGTACAGAAAAAGTTAACGATAAGATATTTTGTGATGAAATTTTGGTTTAATCGTTATTTAACTCTTTATTATCACCAAAAATCACCTGCCGATTTTCACACCATTAGAAAGTTTTTCCAATCGAATAGTTGGTAGTAAGGTTCAAGAAGGCATTGGGCCTTCCGCGGGCGTTGGGGTCTCGCCTAACACTGCTTGCCTAGGCGTTGGGAAAAAAATAATTAGTAACTTATTTACCACTTAACAATAAGAAAATTAGTTGAGATGTAGATAGAATCATAGCTCAATAGCTCACGAGTTCAAGGAATTATAGCTTAATAGCTCACAAAGTTCTTGAACTATCGAAAATATTGATAAAGAAGATTTAATTTGTAGATGATGTTATCCCCATAATGTTGACTACCTAATTCCATCTAATCTAGTTATATCTAGTACACACCTACCTAGTGTCTCATTTATTTCGTCTACGTGTTCCCATTATATAATTTACTTTGAAATTCAAAGGCGAGGCATTTTTTCGTTGCCTAACACCTAAATACACGTAAACATAAGATTAAATGCGTCCTTTCGAACCATACGGTATAATTTCACCAACACCGATTATTCGGCATTCAGTATCCCAACAAGAATGTCCCATGTCGACATGTTTTAACACTGTTGCAGTTTTGACAAAGCGTAAAGAGAACCATCACCATCCATCATCCATTGTCGACATGGTTAGTACTAATTTGCAATAAGTGACATATATCCAAAATCTTACCTACTGCAAATAAATAGAAGAGCCAGCTTGACCATTAATGTGAATTATTGTGAGTTAACACTAGTAGGACCTTGCTCCATAACCATTTATGCACGAGAAAAGAACATCTACCGGTACATCGTGCCATGAATAATACAAGCTAGGGACTCTTTGTGTCATGTTTCTCTAAGGATAATTTGTTTAAACTTTATATTTAAATTTCACAATAATTTGAGTTATTGAGAGAAATTCTTACAAGCATCAGGTTGCTATTATTCAATCTGACTATAGTGCTGACAGAACTTGTTTACAGATGACGACAGTCACAAAGTGCAGTGAGGACTTGAAATAACAATGTGACAGATCGAGACGGGTGTCTCAATAACCCTACTCAGGAACGGAGCTAGCCCCTTACAAAGGGGGTTACATGACACTCCCCTTGATTTGGAGAAACCACCAAATGTTAGTAGTATAAATGTATCAATAATAAACAAAAAAAAACTATAAATCTCATTGTTAATTGACAAATTTTAGTATCCAATCACGATCGTTTATATTAATTAATTCAACCTACTATTATCGACATTAACAGTTTATCAAGATGGGTTTGATGTGCATATTATTAGAGAAAATAAATAACATTCTATGAAAATGATAATCAGAAGAGAAAATTGGTTCCAGTCAATGTATGTGCTTCTAAAATTAGGTTTAGTTTGCTACTACCTGTTGTCAATACACATGTTAGCATAATATTTTCTCGAATGGGATAGTTGACCAGCCTCTCGCCATACTCGTACCGTGACAAATTGGGTCAAATTCAAGTAATTTATTATAGAACACAAATCAGAGAAGTCCATCCATATGGACATGTAAAAAATCATTAAACAAGTCATAACATGATAAACTTGCTTAAATTATTGGGTAAATACAATATATTAGCCACAACTATTATGAAACGGGGAATTATTGCCACAACTATTAAAATTCAAATATTAGCCAAACGTTAACTCTCTGTTAACAATTCAGTTAGTAATGTTGTCTAAACTTTTATATTTTTAAGTTATAAATTAAAATCAGTCAGACGTGGCTGCTGTCGTGGGCTCGTGGCCGATGACGTGGCTTTCTCCGTTAAAAATTCAATAATAGTAACGGACAGTTAGCCATATCTTGACCCACAACAATAATTATGGCTAATAATTTGAATTTACATAGTTATGGCTATAACTCCCCGCTTCATAATAGTTGTGGCTAATATACTGTATTTACACTTAATTATTCCATGAATTGAAGTTTTTATCAAAATAGCTTTATTTTCAACAAAATTTTCCAAAATAACATATCCTTTCAAGGTGGGCCATATTTACCTGTCAGGACTCCATACGTCCACCCCGTGTTTTCCGTTTTTCCCACAGCTCTTCAGATCCCGACAGCAAACGTAAATAGCAGAAAGAGCTGAAGTCCTCATAGAGTCTTAGTACTCTACTGAACGAAGAAGAAGGAAGACGAAGAGCTCCATTATCAATCTCGGAGAGGGAAGATTTTTCATCCCGGTTTCACTGCTCGCTGGATCCGTCGCCGGCCGCCGCCGTTCGCTAACCGGTAATGTTTTCCGTCTCTATCACATCGTCGTTGATTGTTGATCGTGTCATCCCTGGGGTTCGTCCCACCATAATTTGTGCTAGCTGGAATCCGCAGTTCAACCTGCGATGAAGTTAGGGATTCAGTTTGTTAAGTTTACACCCGCCAAGGATTGAGCATTAGAGCAAGTAGAACAAGTTCTCGAGCTTTCAAGTGCCAAGTCAGCTGGATAAAATGCGCTTATCCCCTTTTCTGGCTTTTGCCGTCGATTCAGCATACGAATTGGAGTTGCTAGGGTTTGTGCAGTGCTAATTCATCGGCGGAGAAATCACGGGAACTGTGTATTGGATACTGGTGGTTTTACCATGGAACTGGAGTTTTCTTTCAGTGGAATTGATGACTTTGGAAGTGTTTGGTGAGTTGGGGTTTTCAATCCCATGAACTGGGAACTGAATTATTGTTCATTTTGGCAGGACTGGCTGTTGAACAGCTGCTTCTACTACAATGGATATTTCGAAGTTCAGTCGCGGTCAGTTGACCGTGATGGGATCAGGGTTGAGTGTGATGCTCACGATGCACTTCACGGTGCAGCTCGTATCTCAGCATCTCTTCTACTGGAAGAACCCTAAAGAGCAGAAGGCCATAATCATTATCCTCCTCATGGCGCCTATATACGCTATTGTGTCGTTCGTGGGGTTGTTGGATATCCGCGGAAGTGAAGCTTTCTTCATGTTTCTAGAATCGATCAAGGAATGTTATGAAGCTTTGGTGAGTTACTGATGCTGCTGGTTAGATATGGGGTTTTTTCTCACCTGTTGTTTTCTGATTGTGTTGTTGACCAGCTTTTTCTTTCCACCTTTTTGCATTTCAGGTGATCGCCAAGTTCTTGGCTTTAATGTATAGTTACCTCAACATATCCATCAGCAAAAATATTGTCCCGGATGGAATCAAAGGGAGAGAGATTCACCATTCTTTCCCAATGACACTTTTCCAGGTGTGTGCTAAGCCATCTCTTCTTACCTAGTACTTCAATGAAACATAAACCAGCTGTGGAATATATTATATCGGACTGCTGATTGTATCAACCATGTGTGCTTTACCATTTGCCATTTTGTTCCTTCATTCTCACAGCATTTTGATTGTGTATGTTATGCAGCCTAAGACTGTGCGGCTTGACCACCGAAATCTGAAGCTCATCAAGCACTGGACCTGGCAGTTTGTCGTCCTCCGCCCGATATGTTCCATACTGATGATAACACTGCGAGCTCTGCAGATATACCCTTCATGGCTGAGTTGGACGTTCACCATAATCCTTAATGTCTCTGTTTCTCTGGCACTGTATTCCCTGGTACTCTTCTACCACGTCTTCGCAAAGGAGTTGGCACCTCATAGTCCACTTGCAAAGTTCTTGTGCATCAAGGGGATCGTCTTCTTTTGCTTCTGGCAGGTAATATATCTCACTCCCTTCCAATTCCAAAACGACCCTAACTGGTTACTGCTTTTTATCTTCCAACTTCACAGAACTCGATGAAGCTTCCCTTTCCCCCATTCTTTTCCCTACTCAGTTTCATCTCGTTTATTCACAAACCCCACTGTTCAAAAATCTGCAGAGTATAGTGCTTGACGCGCTAGTTTCCATGGGGATCATCAAATCCCATCACTACTGGTTGGACGTAGAGCATTTGGAGGAAGCTTTCCAGAACATCCTTGTCTGTTTGGAAATGGCTGTATTCGCAGTTCTCCAGCAGTATGCCTACCCTGTTACACCTTATAGTGGAGACGTACAAGCCAAGCTGAAGATGAATAAGAAGACTGAATGAATGAATGATGCACATCAGACCATTATTAGACTACACGATAATAAACGCAATGTATGCTTCGAAGATCCACGATATCTGCCACCATATATTCCCCCCCCTGGATCTCACTGTGGAGCATACTGGGAATGAATGTATGCGGACTCATTTCGTAAGCTGTTGTAGTGTCTCTATATCCACCTCTCTTGTCTTACAAATGTGGTTTATCTAATGTTCTGAGTGTTCTAAGTGACCTGCGAATCTAGTTCGTCATGGAACCCTACTTCGAAACTTTCATATCCGATTCTTCAAGATGGTGACTTGCAGGTTTGGGTGGGCATGGGCGCATGGCATGGTGTGTATCTTATTGCTGTGTGCTGGTTGGCATGTTGTTTAGGAATTGACTCTTGTGCATTTGGCATTTGCATTCTGAATTTCTGATCCTGATTTCGCCTTATTGAGTGGGCCTTCCTTCGTGTTGGGATTCGTTGATCAATGGGCCTTGACGGATTGGGCCGGGCCGAAACCCTGAAAAAAGATGACTAAACCGAAACTCATCCAGTTCTATTGAGTGCAACGCCAGCCTCTTTCATCCTAACCATGAGAACTGACGGATTGGGTTGGGCCCAATCTTAGGCATTTGATACCTTTTCAGTGGAATATAGAGTTGGTCGGCCTTAGCCTCTTAGGTCAAATCATCAGTGAAGCACTAGTACCACTACTATAGTAGTTTTTGCTTTGCCTGTTTTGTTTTTAGCCTCTCCTTTCCTTTCATTTCTAGATCATGTGTTGTGATCCTGGGTTGTGGTTGGAATTCTCTGTACTTTATTTATTCTTTTTCTTTTAATTAATAAATCTTCACCCTGATAAAAAAAACAATCGTGTAAGTTTTTTCTTCCATAAATAAGCTCGTTTATTCATCGAGAAAGAATGGTTATAAGTAATCATTCTAACGGGTAAGCAAACATCACCACCATTTATCACAAGTACAGTCCTCTTTCAGGCACTATCTATAAGAGAAACAAACTTTACAACTAATCACAACAAAAACTTCTTTAAACTATACTATTTATCTCTTCTTCTGAAATGACTACACTAATTTGAGGGTATCCATTTCGCAGTAATGACAGCAGATTCTTCAGCTTCTTCAGGAACTGAGTTTCGACCAGGTATTCACCCGCATATAACCTTCTGCATCTCTCCCTCCATAACTGCTTACCACTGTAATCCAAAGGAGCCTGCCACGATCAGACGCTTGGTTGCTGACTCAGAATTGTGCAATAGCTAACTCAAAAAAAGCCTCCCAACTACCTCCAATTAAAAGTTGTGACTGAAACACAACTTGTATAATGTTCCTGGAGAATGGACTTCCAGGCAAATTTGTACCACCGAACTTTCTCATACCTTAGTCTGGTTGTTTCCCAAACCTTCTTAACAGAAAATTGTACAAGTTTTGAACAAATTGTGCTTAAGATTTTGCATCTATGCTCATTTCTCTTTAACCCATAAGTACCACCTCAATATCACCCCATATTACTTGACACTGGGCAACATATGGTCAAAATCTAGGAATATATTATCTACCCATTATCTTACTTTTGTTTAACCTCTAAGTAAACCAAAGTTTGGTCTAGGTTGGTAAATGACATATCTCTTCCTTGAGAGAGAATGAGTTGGAAACGAAGCTAGAAGATTCCCCATTCCATGCATTAAGGAAAAAGAAGAAGAAAAAAAACATTAATTAAGGATAAGGAATGTAAGATCTAGATTCTAGGCAGCCATAACGTGTACGAGGTTACCATTTGGCAGTTGGCACCCCCAAGGTAAATGGGCGGTCGACTAGATCCGATTTCCGATCAGAAGGTATTAAAAAACAAAACTAAAAAGAAAATGGAAAACTGCGTTGCTTATTTAAGAGAGGGTGGTCTGTGCACTGTGCTTTCACACGGTTTGACTAATTGACCTTTGAATTCTGGGCCGCCGTTTGGATGACGGAGAGAAAACAGACTTCTTTTTATATGGGTTTATCCAATACCGGCATGCAAACCGTTACTGTAAACGGTGGGTGGGCCTAAGGCCCATCATTCTCGTTTTAATCTGGTCTGCCCGACTTGGCCATATGTTTGGTGGGCCCCGGAATGGATATACGCTACAATCAGGCTAGGTTTGAGTAGGATGTCACACGAGACACGTGGACGTGGTGATATATGAAAAAATTAATCACGGCCATTAAAATTTAAGTGCAGACAATTTATCAACAAAAAAGAAAATTTTAGTTACGAGAAGGAAAATTTAATGAAAGGGTTTGAGGGTTATCAATATATTAGAGGTCTTTATAATGAAGAAAATAAAATGAATGGGGAATTCACAATGTGAGAAAGTAAAGAATATATAAATTTAGGTGGTTCAATAATATAATTTGTGTTAGTTAGTCAATTTCACTATACTTGAGGAGATACAGATTATGAGAAATTTTATAATGTTTTAAAGTATTGGTGCTTTAGTTTTTGTCTTTATGATATAAGTTGAAGTTGTACCTTTACGTTATGGTTCAATTTTAGGTAGTACCTATACATTTTTGTAAAATTCCTTTATGGTCAAACTAAAGTTGTACAGCTATGTTTTGGTACAACTTTACAACTTAAAATTGTACCACAACATAAAGACCAAATTCTCTTATGGTACAACTTCAATTTATACCTTTAACGTTATGGTACAATTTCAAATTATACTATAGTAGAAGTGCTCACCCGATTGTAAGAAAATTTTGAAGTATATATAGGACATTTTCAAACGGACTAACATTTTATTTATTGTTTACACATCTATTCCAATTATTGGAAGTTTGGAACCAACTCATCAAGAAACACACACTTCCAACCTTTTCAGTTGATCCAACCTAGTCTATAACAATAATAACTCCTAACTACCTTTCCTAACCGGCTTTGTATTTCTTAACCTACATGACTACATCTCTTAACTTAGTACAACAGCTTAGATGTGTTAAGTCTTTTGACTGGATTTTTTTTTTTTTTTTTTTTTACTGGAGCTTAGATGTGTTAAGTCAAAGGATAAAGAGTGAGATAAATTCCCTTTCCACCCAAAAGAAAAGAAAAAAAGAGGAGTCGTTTTGCATCATGGAACAGCTTCCACACGTCGAGTAAAGGAGTAAGAAGTGTCGAAACAAGCGACTCATATTGAATATATTACCCTACATATGCACCGTCCAATTTTCCTGTATTTTCCCGCGGCTTTCAGCAATTACTTGCGTAAAGGGCAATCGATGACAGTTATAAGAGATTATAGAGTAGTTGAAAACCATAACCATAAACCATGTGGTTCAAAGACAACAATTAATATAATGGGGATGGGGACTTAAACACGTGACTTCAAGGACAAACCAACTCTGATGTCATGTTATAAACCAACCAGTCATAGTAACAAGAGTTGATGGGAGAGGTCCGTGCATGGTACTTAACTATTTCCTTACATAATGATTGGAACAAATATTTACCCCATAATAGAGAGGGAAAAAAAGCAAAATTTGATTTCTGAAGATTGTACATGTATCTATCATATGATCTCGTGCTTTACAACAACATGCAATCGGAGTATGTATTATTCCAACGTAAAATCGTCCTTGCGATCAAGCACTCTATATATATCGTGCATTCACCATGACGAGAATCAATGAGTAATAGCATTAATTTAAACTATTGGGGGGAGAAGTCATAACATATATTATAATAATTACTAGGGTCGACGACCCATAAATGACTATCTTGCTTCGATCTCGATCATGAATTTTGAAATGCTAACTTTCAAAGTGTCGATGACAACATTTACTAGGCAGATCGAAGATCGAACTGGTAAACTAAAAAAAATGCAGGTATTACATGCGCATATATACTCATTAATCCACAAATATCAGTGAAACAGGTATCATCCAACTCTATAACTCGAATCATCCTTAGCCATGATTGAGTCGACCATCATGATCGAGTTCACATTTACTCGAGCGGGGTAAAAATTACCTAGTAGCTAGCTAGCTAGTGATCATAGAAAAACTGACAGTGGCATACATTTTCACGATGACAAATTGACCGACCTCAAATATTTATGATAATTATCTTTCAACCATGCAGCATTTTAGTCTCTACACGTACAAGTCCAAGAAGTCGCCATCCCAAATTGGACGTTATAGTTTTCAGTTTAGTTTGTTAAACGGGAAGAGAGGGAAAAGTGGAGAGGAGGGTAGATCTAGATTCTCGAGTGAAAATCTGAAATATTTTTTTTTCTGGGCCCAAACTGTACGCGCCAGACATTATCCACAAATAAATGCTGCATGTCTCTGCAGTTACATCTTGCCACCCGCACCGCCATTTTTGCTTTATTTATTTGATTATTTCTATTACTTTTACTACGTACGTTAGCCAGCCAGCCAGCCAAGTGGAGTGAGAATGGTAACTGTTGAGACTTTCTATCGAACCCTTTTTCTATATTTGGTTGACTCTTTGAGTAGCTATTGAAGATATTGGATTTGGATGGAGGTTAATTAGTTTATTGTTTCCTTCCTTTTATTTTCAGCTATGCAATCTCTTCTGGGTTTAAGTCCTCGCGTACACACTTGGAGCTGGAGTAAGTCATCAACTATTGATTTGGGTAATAAACAATGATGGTGGATATTGTTAATTGTTGTTATAAACGTGCGCTGCTACGGATCGAGAAATCACTGGAATATCGAGAAAGCAAGAATACGAAAGCGAGAATCGAAAAACACAGACTCACGATTTACGTGGTTAAATAACACGATATGTGTTAGCTAGTCCACGGGCGAGAGAGAGAGAGCCAGTTTCACTATATCGAGGAGATTACAGATTACAGAGGAGTATGAGAAGTATTTATAGTACTTCCCCATGTGGCCGGGTCTAAACCTAATCCAATCTGGCAAAGGAAACAGTTACAGACCAGGCCCAGAACCCGAACCCAAATAACAACGAGCCCCCCCGACTAATCCAATCATAGCGGCTGATAGTCCGATTCAAGTCACTTCAACAATGGTATTATATTACATGTACTCCACCTTTCATGGGTGATTAGATTTTGTATGATTACATGATGTGGGTGCAGGATTTTGGACATTTCTCTACATGACTCGAATTAAAGGTGAAAGATCGATCAACTTCCGACGGGGAACAATAATGGAAAGTTAAAAGGTGAATATGAAAATAAAAAAATTACATGGATTGCTTAACAAGGTATCTCTTCCATTTTGTATGGACCGACAATTCTATCCACAAAGTAATTCCAATGAACTTTCGAATCATCTCACGATATACCACCAGAGATATTATTCATTAGTATATTTCGCCGTAACTTCAGGGACAGCGAAATCAGCAGAGATGAGATGGCTCCCCCTCCCTCCATCCCTCCCTGTATTCTTTAAGGACATGCAGGAAAATCAAAAGATGGGTGATGGACTTTACCACGAGATTGATATCCCGCAGGAATTCTCTTTTTGATGTGATGCTTCTTATTTAGAGTTATTCAAAGACCAAGTTCTCCATCCTATTTTCGATTCTTTGAACTTGGCTTCTTACTATTGAAAAGAGGCTAGACGAAGTAACTAAAGCTCAATGCAGGTTGAACTCTCTTGAATCTAAGCCTCACTACCCTCTTAGAGGGTTACCAAGGAATTTTGGGCGACCCCATTGTAAATAAGTACTAACTGGAAGCTAAAGAACACCGAGAATTAACGTGGTATCCCTGAGGTTCAGGACTAATCCACGGGAGAGGCAGAGCTCTCCAAAGGTTTCACTATAATCGCCGTCAAACACCTTGGCCTTTACAACATTAACCTAGGCTATATATAGGCTGAACATAGCAACCCTAATTACATAGACACGTATGACAGAAGGAAAATATCCAAACAGATACATAAACTTTGATACTTCAACACCCTCCCTCAAATTGATCTGCGGTGCGCAGCATCAATTTGGACGATAAATACCAATGCCTACTGGACGCAACGGCTTTGGTTAATAAATCTGTTGTCTGATCTTCTGTTGAGAGATACCCAATTTGTATCATTCCTTCTGCAACCAGCTGTCTAATGTAATGCACATGAACTTCTATATGTTTAGTCCTGTCATGCATCACCGGATTTACTGCAATCTGAATTGCGCTCGTGTTGAAGTATCAAAGTTTATGTATCTGTTTGGATATTTTCCTTCTGTCATCCGTGTCTATGTAATTAGAGTTGCTATGTTCAGCCTATATATAGCCTAGGTTAATGTTGTAAAGGCCAAGGTGTTTGACGGCGATTATAGTGAAACCTTTGGAGAGCTCTGCCTCTCCCGTGGATTAGTCCTGAACCTCAGGGATACCACGTTAATTCTCGGTGTTCTTTAGCTTCCAGTTAGTACTTATTTACATGGTATCAGAGCTCCCCAAATTTTTCACTATAATCGCCGTCAAACACCTTGGCCTTTACAACATTAACCTAGGCTATATATAGGCTGAACATAGCAACCCTAATTACATAGACACGTATGACAGAAGGAAAATATCCAAACAGATACATAAACTTTGATACTTCAACACCCATATGGATTCAGCTTAATAGATTCCGCTTAGAGGTTTATGAGAGATTGATGGAGTTCCAGCACATCGTGCATGTTAAAGTATGTTGCAGAAATATGGGGGACCAAAAAGACGTGATAATTAGAGTTTTAGAAGTAGCGATTTCGTGTTCAAACTATCGTTACCTGCTATATTAACAGTTGATTTAGTTAAAATTATGATATGATAGACGACGGGAGTTGCTAAAGGTCGCCCTTAAAATTGCTAAATGTCGCTCTAAAAAACATCAAAGTTACAAATTTAACCTTTTAGCTTCTTTACTCTTCCTTTAGCAAACAAACACCTCTTAGTAAAGAAAATAAAACATTATTCAAAAGAGAGAATCCATGATCGTCATTCTGGAGTTGGAATCGTCGATATGATGTCTGGATCATGACTAGCGACTCTGAATCGGTAAAGTTCACTCAAAAAATTGAAAAAAAAAACAAAAAAAGGGAACCGTAGCTCATTTGCGGTTGCACCATAGGCCAACCGCAAATGAGCTGCGGTTGGTCCATGGTGCAACCGCAGCTCACTTGCGGTTCCACCATGGGCCAACCGCAGCTCACTTGCGGTTGCACCATGGACCAACCACAAGTGAGTTGCTGTTGCACCATGGACCAACCGTAACTTGCCTTAGGTTGAGCATTTTTTTGGAAATTTCATTAGAGAACGGGCGACGACGATGGCGGGAAAGACGCCGACGAACTGGTGCGTCGAGAGGGATTCGCGAAGAAGGCAGATGAGGGGTTAAGTTTGAGGGGTTAGGGATTGTTTGGTTTGTTTAAATTTTGAAATTTTATTGGGGGTATATTAGTCATTTATCATTAGAGTTAGGGCGACCGTTAGCAATTTTAAGGGCGACATTTAGCGATTCAGTAGACTTATGTATAGATGTTTACCAGTAAAAAAATCACTTAGTACTACGTAAATTAATTTCAAGGAATGATTATGGTTTATATGTCAACTTAACCTGATGGAGTTTTGGCTACTCATTTTATCATGAAAGATACCTCGATGGCTAGCCACCCCCTCGACACCAACCACCCAAGCATCCACATATCAAGCATCGACCAACCAATTGGTATGCCTATAATCAAGGGCTTCAAGCTAGCTACATCAAGCAACAAGCAGTGGAAGAGCGGTTACAAAGAGGCAGTTACGACCGATGACTATAAATAGTAGAAACGAAGATGAAAATGTTCCACAACAAACACTTGACTCACAATGACAAAATATACATTTTTCTCTGCAAATTCGCTGTAGGTAGTTAATGTCGCTCTCACTGGACCTCCATAGGAGTAGAATAACATAACTTAGTTTGTTCACAAACCCATAAAAAAAACATCAAACACCCTCGTTCAAACATTGTTCGGAAAGGTGTGAACCGTATTATTGTCATTATTCAAGAAATCAAATGTGCATTTATTGATTTCAAACATTAGAAATTTCCTCGCGGGAAAACAATATCACGAGCACATACGGCACAAACTTTTTTTATTAATAATGTAGAAGTCATATATATGTTTATACTCTATTTTGTGTTTGAGCGCGCATGATGTAAAATATATAATTAAACTTCTCCCAACAAATTGAATTATTAGCACAAACGAATTCTTGACATATCTAACTTCAGATTAATATAGGGTGTTTAATTTCTGCCTACTTTTTGCACCACAATGTGTACAATTGCGACATCCTAATTTGTACGCGTGTACGCACATGATCATACTGTGCCTATATATGTTAATTAATTTGCTGACAATAATAGCAAGAAAATGGGAAGTCAATGTTCCTCAGGAGTTGACTTCACGAGTCTTCACCAATAAGAACGGCACAAACGTACAGTTTCTGCCGTAGGCACTTTGTTGTTAGATTCACAATCGTCGCAGGGGATCTTATCAATCAAGCTGAATATGTGCATGATTACCTGTACAGAAAGAAATAAACAGTACTATGTATATATTTTAGAGCATTAACATTATAATTTATAGGAATTATCTTATTATAGTTGTTTGATTCATTAAGTTTGGATCTAATCCAATCCATCGTGAATATGGGAAATTATTTGCTTGTAATTTTGAGGTGTGGGATTTGAGACGTTGTTATGAATTCATGATGATCATTTACTTTCATATCCCCATGCAAAAATAAAAATGTTTTAAATTGACGGTAGAAAGATAAATTTCAATTTTAAAGCTATCAATCCATAAATTATGAATAAATCCAACAAATTTTCTCAAATCCGTAATGAACCAAATCCACCACCGAATTCAGGGTTTCTCAAAACTCATATTGAACCAAAGCTCTATTTTTCAAATCCAACAAGCAAACTGCTACCGTCTCCAACAAAAAAGCCGCGACTTTAACTCTTCACTACTTACTTACTGGATTATGTTAAATGCGCAGATTTGGGCTGATAATATTTCCGAATTCGAGTCTTGGTAGTTGTCACTCCTGCATTACTTTTAAGATGACCACCGACACGGGTATTGCGCCGATACTAAAAACCACTTTGATGAACATTGTCGGATGTTCATGAGGGTCCGAGTTTGTTGTCTTTAATGAATTACTAGTATTAAGATAAAAATCTCATTAATTAGTTTACAACAAAGGGGATTAGATAAAAGATTATAGGAAAAAAAATTGGTCATCAACTCATCACACTACTAAACGCTATTATAATCCTAATCCTGTGACTGCATATTTGTCCTCTAACCAACCAACACAAGTGTGCATACGAACGGCGTCATAAGGGTACACCGATCATCAGCCTAACCCAAAAATCAGTATTAATCAAAATTACAAGTCTAACGCGTAATCATGCAAGCAATTGTTAGATTTTCTCTGCCATATTATATTTTTCCCCCTTATTTTTTATATTAATTATTTTTCAACAAAATAGAAGTCCATCACATTCCAACGAACCGGCATTAAGTACAGGTGTGGGGAGATTGAAACAAGTGGTAATTAGCCCATGACATAACCACTTGTTTCATTCTAGATTGTACGTATTAATAGTGTTATGATAATTAAACCAAAAAAAAACCCTATATATGAGGCTAAATAAGTACTTGGTATGTAACAATAATAAAATACACTAAATGATTATTATTTATGTAAGAATATATGTTATAAACCAACTAATTCAAATAACTCGAGTAGTAATTGGGAGAGATTCATGTATGAATTTTAACCATGTCTTTAGATGGATTCTCAAACGAAAGTAAACTTATAAACTTAAAATTTGCACATATCCGTCATCAGTGGCGGATTTATGAATTTTACATAGGCGTGTCCTCTCTTAAAAATTAAATTTAATTAATAATTAAGTTAAATCATTATTAAATATGAAATTATCCGACTAGTAAAAGTTACAATAAAATTTCAAACGTGTTTCGTATTATGAAAAATTATAAAATGCATTTTTTATCTACAATGCTCAACAAATCTCTCTCAACATATATCCTAATAGACAAGGATATCCCGTAATTGAGTTTAATCATCAGGTTTTGAAAATATTTTGGGATAAGAATAGTTACTATTAATCCAAAGGGCTAGTTACTGGCTAAATTTCCAAAGTTAGATAATTTGACTACCTATCAAGTTTTTAATTTATTTTATTTTAGCAGTGTAGCAAAATAACGTATGACATTTCTATTGAATGCATGTAAGAGAAATTTCATAACTGTTAACATGTCACGACTGAGATGACTATGTGTGCTCAGTTCGTTTACAAGAATATGTCATTTTGATATGATCGTACAGTAGTCGGAGTTCAAATTACTCATGATTTCACCTTCTTCAGTATTTTTTTTTTTAATACTATGATCGATTTCTTGTTACTATTGTACTGAATATTTTCGTATATAATCATTGTAAGCCAATAATGTGTCCTTGTTCTGTCTTCTTTCACATTTTATCTGAACAGTCTTCAGAAAACTATTGTCACTATGGAGAAAATATTCTCAATAATTAAGCAAACCGGTTATTTTGGCTTTTATCCATTTGAGACTTGATAATGTAGACAGCATCATTGTGGTGAGTTCCGGAAGCAAAGCAAGTGCCCCGATTCCTCTCCTAGTCGGCAGCTCCTCCCACTACTTCCAAATCTCCATCACTTCACACCCTTAATCCCCATTAATAAAATTATATATGTCACCCCTAGATTGCCATAATTTACAGCTAGTCAATCATGATAATGAAAATATCAATGCTCATAAATATCAATCACGTGTTGCGAGCGACCTGATAATGAAAATATCAATGTTCATAAATAAACTGATCAACCATACTATGAAAAGGCAAACCAATTAGTGCTACAGAGGTCTTCATACCCCAAGTCGACGTCGTGGATAGTGCTCTAAAGATAATGAACCCATACTTGTACCTGAAAGGTCAACCAGACATTCGGAGCAGCCAACATGTGTTGATTTACTCGTAATGAGCAAATAACTACTTTTGATGTTCCGACGTCTTTTCTACTTCGCCAAGCTCAAAGTCCACAATAATTTATTCACACGATTTATAGAGTGATAAACTAATAGTGCAAATTGTTATTTATAGAGGTTTATATATCATATATGTTGCTATTAAATCATGGTTAAGTGATAACAATCTTTGTTCGGTTATGAAATCTTTCTAGTGGTGGAATCTTGTTCCAATACTAATAAGGTATTGATAACCGGTCGTCTACTTTAATTTTCCAGTCGAACACTAATCTTCTTTGTAATGGTACAATTTTGTCATCATGCCGACCATTTTTTGCGACCAGTCGATCAACATCTTTCTTTGTAACGGTGCAATTGAACCATTCAATTTTGACCATTTTTTAAGAACAAATCAACCATTGTGTCCAAATCACAGTGACTTATATGATTTAACCAATATATAACTAATATATGGTTCACAAACAAAAATTATGAACCGAGAGTATGGAACTAACAGATAACTAAATGGTCTTTGTCTCTTGGATGACAGATAATTACATCTCTTGAATAATACTTCCATAATCATACTTTAGCTAAGCTTAATCCCCATATGTTCAGGCAGTAGGACCCAATCCTACACCCGACTCCAGACAGTAACACTCTCCCTCGATCTCAACCGTCCAGATCGAACTTAAACTTCAATCCTACGGCCCACTTCCCTCCTCCCTCCTCTATATAATCCCTTCCCTCCTCGCTCCTTGCTCCCTAACTCAGAGCCAGCCTCCTGAAAACTGAATTCCATTTCTCTGCCGTCTCCTCCTCTCACTTCCCTCGCCGGGAAAGTTTTTTTTTTTCTCTTCCAAAACACAAGAACATAAAAATGGCATCTCTCACTTTTTCCCTCCGGATTCTGCTGGTCTCCACCGCCGTTTTGTCCGCCGGCGTGGTGGTCAAATCCTCTGTTCCATTGGTGAGAGATTTCTCCGCATACAGAGCTCCGGTGCTCTGGAGCTCGATCTCCTCGTGGCTCAGGCCTCCTTACCTCTACTTCGTCATCAACTGCATCATCATCACCATCGCCGCCACCTCGCGGTTCCACCACGGCCACGGCGAAGAAGATGATCAGCAGCCGCGGAAGGTGGAGGCTGTGGCGGTGGTGCGGCCAGATTTCGACGAGGTAAAGGTTTCCAATATTGTTCTCGCTGCTCGTTCTATCAATTACGGCGGAGCGGCGGAGGAGAGGCCGCGGATGAAGACGGTGGCGTTGGATGCCGATTCTGGATTAATGTTCGAGGATAAGCAGACTGTAACCGTGCTACCGTGTGACGAGGATGATTTCGTGATCTCGAGATCCGAATGGATTCCGCCGAAGAAGAATCCGACGAGAATCGACTCGTCGGAGAAATTTCTACAGGAGGCTCTGTCCCTAGTGCCGGCTGCTGAGAAACCCCTCGTTTCCGCTCGATTCGTTCACCGGAAGCCGGTCAAAGTCAATACTCCCGAAGGTAATTAACTTTCTAGAAATTCCCACTGTCGAACCAATTTTTTTTCTTTTTCTTTCGGTCGGTGCGGCGGGACCCGACCCGTTCCCGGCGCCGATTTCCCTGCTGTTGCTGGCCATCCATTTCCGTTTTTTTAGCCGTACCGAAATTCGAAGTAAGCGTAGGTCTGAAGTGTTGTCGTTTAGGGAGAAAATCGTTGAAAGCAAGCTGGTGGAGTCTAGTTGACGCGGGCGCGTGTTGAAAAGTCGTAACAGCACCTTTCCAGTTTTGTTTTTCGAAAAATTCTTCCCGTTGAGAAAGCGGATATATAATCAGAGTAAATAAATTCTTTTTATTTTGAATATTAATTAATGAGCTGGCAATGCTGATTGGGCAGGTGGGAGAGCGTTGAGGAGGGTGTCGCAGTCCAAGCCGAAGCGCCACGACACGCTGGAGAACACGTGGAAGATGATAACGGAAGGTCGTCCAATTCCGTTGAACAGGCACCTCAAGAAATCGGACACGTGGGAGAATCACGGCCGTCATCACGTCAACGTACCGGAATCTTCTTCCCTCGACGACCCGAGTCCACCGCCGGCAGCGTTGGTGAAGAAATCGGAGACGTTTAAGGACAGGACCAACCAGCTCCCCCCGTTGAGCGGGGGGACGCCGTCGCCGGCGGCGACGGCGGGAGGGGAGAGGAGGCTGAAGAAGGAGCCGTCGCTGGGTCAGGACGAGTTGAATCGCCGAGTTGAGGCGTTCATCAACAAGTTCAACGAGGAGATGAGGATGCAGAGGCAGGAGTCAATAAACCGGTACAAGGAGATGGTTAGCCGTGGAAGCAATTAATATGTGAAATTGCATTTGAAATTTTTTTTTCCTATTAAACGGTGGAAAAAGATAAGAGATCAATGGGGTGTTGGGTATTATTATGATTATATATGGGAATTATACCAATAGTGAAATTTTGGTTTTTTGTTTTGAATTTTGGGATGTTCATGTTTGAATTTCTATTCTAATTAGGTTTAGGGAGGAGTAAAAGAAGAAAAAGAGGTTGAATATTTTGGCTCTGTGTGGCATGTAAATTACTGACATTTTAGTGGTTGATTTTATAAGAATGGGTCAAGATATATAAATTGTCCCAATTAGTTGTTTTTTTATCAAAATAAGTTTAGAGGGGCATGGTTCAGTATGAATAACCAAATGTAATAGTATGTATGCAACCAGACTAATGATAAAATGGAGTTTGTTTTGTTACAAAAGCGTATCGAGCTCTATGAAAGTTTCAAAGAGTAAAATGACATGAACTAAACGAGAAAGTAGAAAGAAGAGTATAGACCTCATCTAGAAGAACTTCGGATAAATCGATAACTGAACAGTGTAGCAAAAATCTAATGTGCAGCACTCCTAGACCATGGCCCAGATCTCGCGTATGAGAAGCCATTGTGTAAGTGTCTAAATTTGAAAACGAAGGAATAAGACCCTCCAAAAATAAATGAAGATGCTCCGAAAGGAAACTACAAGTCTACCATAAGAAGTAAAAACATACCTATGAAGAATCATCGGAATTTTCGAAAGCAACGTTGTGAAACGAATATAAGAGAAACAATTCGGTTATTGGTAATAACAGTAAATAACAGTGACCGACAAATGTGTCATCCATCCCATCTACAATTAAACCAAACAAACGTCAACATTGATTTCAATGTAGTCAATATCACGCTTTAAAACTTAAAACTTTACGATTTTACATTTATAGGTCAGCAAAACACTTTTTTTGTAGACTCGCACTTTGGCTGCATTGATTAATTTACTATCAAACTAACTTAACACTCACGCCTAATTATAGTAATTAGTAAACTACAAACCGAAAACATTAAAACTAAAATTTGTTTGCTTCTATTTTGGAAATAGCCAAATAGCACATGAATTGGTTCTTTTTCTATGAACGAAACACGTTATCGTGGTTAATTAATCCCAAAGGATGCTAATCAGTAATCAATCTGAAATTGGGGTAGATGGATATCTCGATACTAATATTCATCTTTGATAGGTTTGGTAATTTATTTTGGAACATGGTTGGGGACATATCGATTTATATGAGTGGGCAATTCAAACAGAAAACATGAGAAACTTTATTATAACTATTTGAGCTAAAAAAAAAAGTAAAATGCTAACTAACTTGAGTAAAATTACATGTAATCTCGACAAAAACGAATTAATAACAAGTTGAGTCAGAATATATCAAGTCGAAGAGAGTATTCATGACTGCCCTACTTTATCCACAACCTTTGACATTACCAATTTCAGATGCGATCAAACAAATCGAAGAAAACCGGTCATATCAAAATTGACATCCTAAAAGCCATAACACTTCTACTCTGTCGTTGCGAGACTACATCTGGTGACACGAGGAGTTGGACGGAGACGACGACGTCTATAGCGGGAAATTGATCATCAAGTGCGGAAACAGGCTTGGACCGCCAAAACTCTTCTTCGCTCAGAAACGACTGGGCCGGGCCATATTTTCGATCCGCGGGCTCAATTAAAGTCGTTACGGACCTAACTGAAAGAAGCATTCTTGGCCCATATCTCAGGACCTGAAAACGTCAAACTTGTCACCGATTCCCGAGTCGGTCTTTATAGCTTGGCACCATCAACGATTTGGTCAGAAACCAACCACATATTTTTGTTTAAAAACTCGCAACTACTGCTCCCACTTTTGACATAAAGCCATTCGCCTTTTTGAGTTAACTAATGGAAAAACCATGCACATTATACACTACTTTAGTTGTTAACAATCATTCATGAAAAAACTTCAAAAGAGAGAGCCTTTAGTCCAAAAAATATATATTTGTAGAGACCCTACATTACTCCATCCATCCTAAATTTGGGATTCCACAATCTCATGGAATTGATGTTTCTACAATTATTGAGGGCAACATAGCGTGTTTGGAAACGTAATGTACGGTTAGTTATTTGGAACATATGCTTTAAAAGGAAGAAGAGACGATCGAAAATTATAAGGTATAAATATGATTATCGTAAATTACAGGATCACAGTGTTTCAAATACCATCAAATTACAAGATATCGTGGAACACAATTCCCGTGTCTTTTTTTTTTAAGACGAAACTAACTTAATGATGACCATACAAAAATCATGGATAAGAGACACGAACATTACGTCACAAGAGCTATTGCATATGATCTTCTCTGATACATTTGCACGATGCTTCAATCTCTAATGAGTTTACGACGTTCTTTGAAAAAACCAACTTAGACATTTGGATAATCAAACCGCCCTTTTTTTTCGTATTGTAAAACTACCCATCATATTCGGTTCCTTCCAAGTATGGTTCGATTGTCTATACATTTTTACATTTTCGTTACACATGAAAATCAAATGATCAAACACTCCATTGTAAGATAATAAGGCTTGAGAGAGAGAGAGAGAGAGAGAGAGAGAGAGATGTGCAGAAAAGGAAGTGAATGGGCGAAGGGAAAGGGCAATCAGCTTGGTGCAGAGAGCTCTCTCAACTGCTACACGTAGATGCCGTAAGCAGTAGAATGGGAAATCCAACCCACACGCCACCTCTCTCTCTCTCTCTCTCTCTCTCTCTCTCTCTCTCTCGTGTAATCGTACTCGTATTGAAACCTTCTTCACATTTGAGACTCTTCAATCTAGATTTGTGCATTCCAGTCCTTTTGATATCGAGACTATAGGTCATGACACTCGTGATGGATTAAGATGAGTCAATAAGGTATAAATTGTCTTGTTTGCAAACACAAAACAAGAATTCAACGGTTGGATTGAGACAATTAGAATTATCTCATGTTGCATCAATTTGAATTGACAGGAGAGAAAGAACTAGTGTTTTGAAATGATGCATCAATTGTGCAATGAAACAAATAAGATAAATCGTCTCATTTCATAAATTCATCATCCAAACGACCCCATAATTCGTCTTTTGTTCCATTAGGATAGTCTGAAAAGCGATCACCAAATGAGCTGTGCTACTTGCCAACGTGAAGGGGTATAAGACAACGAAACTAACGTGCATACAAACATTTCAATATTGCAACATCTCTTAGAGAACGATGCTATCATCCTAATTTTACATCACAAATGTTGTGATGTGTGAGCACAAGCCTGGTTGACAATTCACTTGCACATTGCTTCTAACCAGCATATCCATCCATCTGGAGCCCACGACGATCATGACTGAGTCTTTATGCATCTTCGAAAACTAACTAATCCACAATTATATCTCGACATTGTTGTGAATGGTGATAAATGAGCTATCACCTGTTGGTGTGAAACATGATTTGTATAGATGAAAACTACACATGTTTTGATAAATTGTCTTACTTTTGCCGAAAAATGGTCATATAATCGACGTGGCAAAAGATTTCCGCCTAACTTATCAAAACATTAGAACTTCGAGGTCAAAAATGACAATTGAAGTTTATACATGTACTGATACATCACATCTTTTCTTTTTCGAGGGGCTCCAAAAATTATGTTCGGGAACTAACAGCGTCGGGGAAAGAAAGAAAGAAAGAGTTACAGAAGAGAGAGGCCCTCTTTCACGTCATTCAAAGCCGCGTTCTTCACTTCCTCCTTACCTGTAAGTGGCCCTCTCTCTCTCTTCCTCCCAGCACGCATCTCTTTATAATTTGTTTTCCCTCTCCGCCTTCCTCTGTTTGTCTTGGTTCCGCAGCTTTCCCCTTATGATGATCTGAGGTAAAAGAAAAGGAAAAAACAAAATATCTTTCGCTTTCTTTTTCTAGGTTTTCTTCTTCTAGGTGTTTGTTCGTTTACAATTCCGTGAACCCTTTGTTGATTTGTATCTGTTGAGCTTGGAAAACGGTGAATTTTACCTGTGCATTGTATTTGCTGGATTGGGTTCGTAGAATCGGGGAGATTGGATTGCAGAACTGGGGGAAAGTTCTGTGCTTTGCTTTCATTCCTTCGTTCTTTTGTTTCGATAGGTTTGAAATCTTGTATACTCTGTTCGATGGTAACAATCCGTTTGTGTGATTCAAATTTCTTACCTTTTTGGCTTTCCTTCTGAATGGAATGTGATTTTAGGAGCGGAATATGTGCTGCTATTGCTCATGTTACTTGTAATTATGGTTTTGATTGGTGCAGTATCTGGAGGGGTTTGCCGGGTTCTAATTTTGTGAACTCTTACCTGTTTGTTGATTTGTTTCAGTGAAGAGGGCTAGTGCTCTTTTGCGCGTGTCCCATTCTCTTCTCCAAATCTCTTCCACCTTCCTAATCCTGCTAACCTACCCAAGTTTTGGGAGTGCTCAACTCTATCTAAACCAGAAAAAAAAAAAAAATGGAGGTCAAGCTATGGAATGATAAGCGCGAGCGAGAGATGTACGAGAACTTCGCCGAGCTCTATGCCATAATCAAGGCGACAGAGAAGCTGGAGAAAGCTTATGTTCGAGACATCATCAACTCATCTGATTACGAAACCGAGTGCCAGAAGCTCATTGCTCATTTCAAGACCTTGGCTTCTGCTCTGAAGGACACTGTCCCCAGCATTGAGCGGTTTGCTGACACATACAAGATGGACTGCCCGGCTGCTATAAACCGCTTGGTGACTTCTGGGGTACCTGCCACGGTCGAACACAGGGCTTCTGCTGCTGCCACCGCCACTACCTCGGCTGCAACAGTTGCGGAATGTGTCCAGAATTTCATCACGGCTATGGATTCGTTGAAGTTGAATATGGTGGCCGTGGACCAGGTGCATCCTCTATTGTCAGATCTCTCGGCTTCACTCAACAAGCTCAGCATTTTGCCCCCTGACTTTGAAGGGAAGACCAAGATGAGAGAGTGGATTTCGAGGCTGTCCAAGATGGGGGCTTCGGATGAGTTGACAGAGCAACAGTCTAGACAACTTCACTTCGATCTCGAGTCCTCGTACAATTCGTTCATGGCAGCTTTACCTAGCTCTGGTACTTGAAAAACTGGCTTCCCAGCTGAGCATAGAAAACCTATATGTACATTATTCACCATGATCTCGTCTGTTTTTCGTGCTCAATATTTTTTCCCTTCTTTGATGTTGATGCGTTGGGAAGTCGCCAGCCAGACTTCCCAACAGCTTAATATGTTTTGCAAATGCTGCAGGCGAGCTTGGGTTGAGGGAAACAAAGTATGTTGTACCAATTCTGGAGTGACTCTTCATTGTTCTCATATTGTTAATGCTTCATATGGGTTTGTTGGTAAATGTAATGTCCTATTGTTCCAACATTCTTTCATATATTTGTTTTTGGCGAGTTTTTCCTACTTCTTTATGTAGTACTAATGTTAGTCCAATTTAAATGCGCCAAAAAGAGGGTCCTTTTCGATCTCAGAATCTAGGTAACTTATGAACTGCAGATAACTGTTTGTGGTCGTTTTCACAGAATGCAGATAACTGTCTGCTTTCCTCTTGCACAATTTGGCTTAGGGCCAACAGTGGAAGAGTCCCCATTTCTTCTGCAAATGCAAGAATGTGCAGCAACTGTTGGATGAGGCTCTTGTGCGTTTGCAGAGTAAACGAGCCTTCCGTAGCTGTTTCTTTGCTTCCAAGTTTCAATGTAATCATATATTCCTACTTAGAAATGACATCAAAATTTTGGTCAATTAAACGAGGGAAGAGGTTCTAATTTGCTGTTACAAAATGAGTTTACATCATGCTTAGGTCTATTTCCCCCCTACACCACCGTTTTAACAGTTGACACAAGCCAAGCCAACCTCGATGCTCTTGTTTTCTCTTCCTCTTTCATGCACAAGAAGAAAGTGGTGTAAAATTGCCTCTGTTCTCGAAGCCAAGAAGTAAAAAAATAACAGGCTTCAAAGGGCAAACGCCAAATGGGCGGAAGTGGTTCATTTCTCTGTTATTTCCCCCTTCATCTGCTGCTACGTATGAGAGCTATGATGGATGGCACGAGGGGGAGTAGAAGGAGAATTATGAACACAATCCCCAGTATAATTGCATAGCAGGTCCACTTCCTGGAGCTCTTCTGGTACTCCCTGGCCTCCTGGAGCTGCTCGGTCCCACGTCGTACAAACGAGCTCGCGTGCGCGACGTGGCTCTCTATGTCGTTGAGCTGGTGGCCCTGAGCCTCGACGAGCGCGGCCATGTCCAGGAACACCTGATGCAGCTCTATCAGGTTCTTCTCGATCTCCTTCACCGCGTCGTTTCTCTCCTGGATCTCCGCTATCGTGTCGAGAATCTGACCCCTGCCCTGCTCCTGGATGGCCTTCTGGAGGAAGCTCTCGCTCTCCCCGCTGGAGATCAGGTCGTCGATCAGCTCCTCGCTTGCCTTCTCCCCCGTGATGGTGAAGTACCTCCTCTCCACGGTCTCCTTGTACTCGGCCGCCATCTTGGCCCTCAGGTTCTGGAAATCGTCCATCAGGTCCTTGAGCTTCTTCCCCAACCCGCCAACAACAGATGTCCTGGTTCGATCTGCCGACGAACCGGGTCCACAGCCCGGTTCGTTGCGTGCTGCGACGTTGGACCTGTCCAGCGCTTCCAGCTTGCCCTTGATCAGCTTGACCCGCTTCAGGACCTGACCGACGTCGGCATCCATCTTGGCCCTCAGGGCCTTCACGGTCTTGGCATTGTGCACGGTCTTGCATTCTTCGTTGGTTTCTTGCAGAGCCTTCTGCAGCTTCTCCACTGTTTTCATGTCGTCCTTGATGTTCTCGACGTCCTGGAAGAACTTGTCGAGGTTCGAGTTCTCCTTCCCGGCCTCCAAGTCGTCCATCTGAGTCTGCTGCCTCAGATCGGTGTACTTCTTGAACGAATTTGAGAAAAGGTCATTCATCTTGCTGTAATTTTTTTAGAAATTCCCTCCAATGAATAATGTTAATTGTTAATTAATTAACAATAATTGTCATCAAACTATCTTCCTCTTCAGGGTTAATGAGGAGGAAGAGAGAGGTGACGTGAGAAGCAAGAAATTTTGTTCCTGCAAAACAGAAGATGGGAGATTTTCTCTTTTGGGTTTGAGAGGAAGGCCAGGGGAGGGAAGGAAGAAGGCAAGAGAGGGAGGGTTAATATGAGACCAGTGATTGTTAGGAGGCGGTAAAAAAAGGCTTGGTAAAAATTGACCCCCATCTTACATTTCTTTTTTCTTTTCCATCCATTTTGAAAAGGTAAAAAAGGAAGGGGTTAATTAGATTAGGGTTTAGTTGACCTGGTCTTTCCCCATCTTTACCTTTCCTATATCTTTCTTCCGACCACAAAATCCTGTCAGGGTCATGCATCTTTCAATCACGGTTTAAGAAATCGTACAGGTCGGTAAGACCGAAAAATCGAATACCGAATTCTAAACGATAGTGATTTAGGCGGTATGAAACGATTGAACCATGGCTTAACCACACTTTTAGTACAAAATACCTTACCAACTAACTTTTCCGGTATAACTTTTGGTACAATTTCCCAAACATTGCTTTCAATGGCTGACTGGAGTGGCATTCACCAACGACCAGTCAATGGAGGCTCCCCCCCCCCCCCCCCCACCACCGGAAGGAAATCCCCAGTTGAAGTTCCACTATGATGGAGCTTTCTGCTCGGAATCCCAAGTGGCGGCATATGGTGCTGTCGTTCAAAACAATCATGGACAAGTAATTGATGGAAGGGTTGGGACTTTGTTTTGTTCATAAGCTATTGTAGCGGAAGCAAATGCACTTTTAACGGCTCTCAGCTTCGCACAGTCATTATGACTCACTGCAAGTGTTTTTTCGGATTGCCAAGTTCTCATTAATGCGGTCAAGGGCCAAACACAACAGGGCAATGGCAAGTGAGGGTATGTATCCATTGCATCAGGCAGATCTTGGAGTATAATGACAGTATCCGTGTTGATTTTACACCAAGAAGATTGAACAAAAGTGCGGACTAGGTTGCAAGAGAAATAGCAAAAGGATCACTTCCCATGGAATGGATTCAAATCCTAGATCTTATTTCACCTTTGTTGTAAATGACTTTGCTTGTACTACAATCTGTTCATGAATGAAATTTACCCCATTGTAAAAAAATACCCCACCTTTTTTACCATATTTTTTCAAAGAAAAAAGAATTTGCAGGTAGCTTGATCGATTAACGATCAACGAAATTGGGCCATAGTAAAGGAAATCGTTTCGCGCTCGACGCACCAACAAACTCTATTTTCAAAAACAAGTAAAATACCTTGGAGAGAATGTTATATATCGTGGATAGTATTTCTTTTTTTTTGGTAGAAAACAGACGCAACTGCGTCCTATATCATATCATTAATCAAACAATTCCTGGAAATTCCCATAGAATCGTGGTACAACCAATAACAGAAGTTCGGGTCGCTCACATCGAATAGATGTGTGCCAAAAGGAGAACAATGACCCTTAGTAGCTAAGAAGTCCGCTGCAAAATTACACTCACGATAAACATGATTGAATTCAACAGTCCACTCCCTCAAACGTAAGCTACTAAACTGCTTCGCAAGCAGCCTGTGACAGTGATCAGTACGATCTTTGTTTTTGATGATATCCAACGCTGTTCTAGAGTCCACATTCAGCTCAACATTTCTGAAGCCAAGCTTCCAAGCAAGTTCCAGAACCTCTGCTGCACCCTTCAGCTCCGCCCTGTTGATAGAACACTTCCCGAGATTGCAAGTAAACGCCCCCATACATCTTCCAAGGTGATCTCTCAGCAGCCCACCTGCAGCAGCACTTCCAGAAGGTTGAAGGACAGATCCATCTGATTGGACCTGAATCCATCCCTCTCTAGGAGGTTTCCAAGCAATCTCATGACTTGTCTTGGTGGCTTTGGGTGACATTAAGCTCTTCTGGGCATTCAAAGTGGCCCGACAATAAATATTGATCCATGCCGTGATTCTATGAATAAGTCCTTCTTCACAGAACCTCTTCCCATCCATCACTTCCTCGTTCCTTTGCTTCCATAGACTCCAACAGATGATGCCGAAGTCCACACCTTTCTCAGGGTCCATCATATTCCTATGCAGCCATTCCTGGAAGTTCAGGTTCTTGTCTTCAACTGTAAGCTTGTTACCAAAGAATTTCCAAACCCTAGCTGTCTTGTTACAGGATCTAAGGATGTGCTCTGTGGTTTCATCAGCTATTCTACAGAAGTTGCAGCAGCCATCCACAGCCAGCTTCCTCTTCTCCCTCTCCTTGTTGGTAAGCAGTCTATTGTGGCTTGCTAGCCATAAGAAATGCTTGATCCGACTAGGGCCTCTCCATTTCCAGAGATCCTTCCAAGTCTGCAGTGGTGGATCCTCGTTTTCCCCAGTCACAAGAAGGTAGGCAGACTTGAGTCTGAACCTTCCGTCCCTCTCAATTCCCCAGATTGTCTTGTCCTCTCCTAGCCCTGATTTTGGAGCTTCAGTGCCTGCAATAAGATCAATGACATCATTAGGGAGGTAAGATCTCATCCTGGTCCAGTCCCACTCACCTGAGCCATCCACCCAGCTAGCCACTGATGCTGCCAGCTCTTCCTCTGTCAGTGCTCTTAGTGCATGCTCTTTCAGAATCAGTTCACAGGAGATCCAGGGGTGAGTCCAGAACCCTGTTGTTTCCCCATCTCTTAAACTCCACAAGGTAGCCTTCTTCATAAAGGGCATAGCTCTCACTATTCCCTTCCACAAGCTTGAGTGATTGCTTTTTTTCATAGAGCAGATCCTTCCCTCCTTGTGGTGAAAGTACTTACCCTGCAAAACTTTAACCCACAACTCAGAATCATTGTTGAGAATTTGCCATGCCAGTTTAACCATATACGCCATATTGAGGCTTCTAGCAGACCTAAGACCTAGTCCACCCTGATCCTTAGGTTTACAAACAGTGTCCCAGGCAATCAAGTGCACTTTTCTCTTCCCCTCACAAGACCCCCAGACAAAAGCTCTAATTTTTTGGTCAATTGCATCACAAACTGAGCAGGGAATAAGAGAGGTTTGCATAGCATAAGATGGTATTGCATTCGAGACAGTAGTAGCAAGGGTGACCCTTCCAGCCAGGGAGAGGGTTTTTGCTTTCCATGTTGAGAGCTTGCTATCCATTTTTTCAAGTATGTACTTGTAAGTTGATTTAGACATTCTACCATGGAGCACAGGCACCCCCAGATACCTACCCAGGTCCATAGTAGATTGAATACCCAACTTAGCACAAATACTTTGTCTAGTACTACCTCTAATGTTCTTAGAGAAGTAAACCCTGGATTTCTCTTTACTAATAAGTTCTCCTGAAGCCCGGCAAAAAGAGTCAACACACTCCATGATAATCTCAGCCTGCCTACAGTTTGCCTCAGCAAAAATGACTAGATTGTCTGCAAAAAATAAGTGGGAGAGGGTAGGACCACTAGCAGATAATTTAACAGGTTTCCAGTTCTTGTTACTAACTTCCTGAAGAATGCTATGACTAAGCCTTTCTACGCAAAGAGTGAAAAGATAAGGGGATAGAGGACATCCCTGACGTAGGCCTCTGCTTGGTTTGAAGCTCTCTGACTCCCCCCCATTCCACAACACTTGCATTTATGAGGTTGAGACACACTCCATGATCATCCTAATGAAGTTCTCTGGTAAACTAGCACATCTCAGGGTCTGCTCCAAGAATTGCCAGTCGATTCTGTCATACGCCTTAGCCAGGTCCACCTTCAACAACATGCTCCCTTTCTTTCCCGTTTTCCTTGCCATCGAATGCACAGTCTCCTGCAAAATGAGGATGTTGTCAGTAATGTGTCTAGCAGGGACAAAACTCGTTTGGTTTTGATGCACAAGGACTGGCATCAGAGCCTTGAGTTTATTGGCTAAGCACTTAGCCACAACTTTGTAACCTACGTTATAGAGGCTAATTGGTCGAAACTGGTTCATAGAATAAGGGGAGTCAGTTTTAGGAATCAAAGCCAGGAGGGTTTGATTCAAAAGTCTAATATTAGAAGGGGCAGAGAAGCAAGACAGAATGAAAGATGTAAAATCACTCCCTATTTGCTTCCACCATTTTTGGAAGAAGATAACCTGGTAGCCATCTTTTCCTGGTGCCTTCAGCCCATTCATCTCCATGACAGTAGCTCTGATTTCATCTGCACTGGGAGGGCTGCTCAGCCTAGCTCTTTCTCTTTCTCCAATGCTAGGAAAGGCAGCAGGAACCAGAGAGGGGTCAGTTTGTCCATCCTTGGTATAGAGAGCCACAAAGAAGTCTCTAGCCATTTGTTGCAGGATGTTGGGATCAGTAACCAAGTTTCCCTCCCCATCTCGGAGTCCCAATATTTTATTCCTTCTTCTCCTGCTCATTGTGGAGTTGTGGAAGAATCTCGTGTTCTGGTCTCCTTGAAGAATCCAGTTAGCCCTCGACTTTTGCAGCCAGAGAATCTCCTCCTGCCAAAGAGTTTCCTCCAACTCTTCTCGCACCTTCCTTTCTTGCAGTCTAGACTGGAAGCTTGGGGATCTTTCATTCTTTGCTTCCAATGCTTGAAGTCTGCTCCAAAGACTCTTCTTCCTCTTGAAAATATTTCCAAACACATCTCTATTCCAGTCCTTAAGCTTCCCTGAAAGATCTTGCAAAGCAAAGGGAAGTGCATTACCAGGTGTCCAGGCTTTATTAAGAAAGGGAAAGAAGTCTTCATGAGAAATCCAAGGTGCAAGGAAATGGAATCTTCTCACCAAATTACTCTTGTCCACTGGCCCTTCATTGCTTAGCAAGATCGGCCTGTGATCTGACTTGAGTTTTGTCAAGTGCAGGTTGGTAGACTTTGGAAACCTTTCCAGCCATTCAGAGTTGCAAACACACCTATCCAGGCGTTCTTTGAGCCTAGACCCTCTAGTAAACCAAGTAAACTTCGGGCCAAGGAACCCCAAATCCACTAGTTCATTATCATCCAAGCATTTGTTGAATGCTCTGACCTTAGCAAAATTGAAGGGGGCACCACCCACTTTCTCCGTTGATTTTGAAATAGAGTTGAAGTCTCCAATCAAAACCCAGGGGATTGTGGTTCCTCTTCTGATTCTTCCAATTTACTCCCAAAGAGCACCACGACAATGCTCGTTTGGGCTGGCATACACTGCTGTGATCTGACAAACCAGCTTACTATCCATTGAGCACTTCAGGTTGATGAACTGCCTGTGGCAATCCACTTGCTGAAGATCCAAAACATCCTTATTCCAAAGAATCCAGATTCCTCCGCTAAACCCAATGGCATCCGAGACCTTCAATGAATCAAACCCAAGGGACTTGATCACTTTCTCAGCTTCATCGCCACTGACTCTAGGTTCCAAAATGCAAACAATATTTGGTGCATAAGTTTTCATGTAAAAATCCATGGTAGATCTAAACTTCGGGTGCTTTGCACCTCGACAGTTCCAGGAAAAAATTCTAATCATAAGATATAGAAAACTTCCCTTCACCAAGCTTCACAGCTTACTTTCCATTGGAGTCGACAGCCATAGCCGTCTCTTCCTTGCCCTTCAGGTTAGTTGCACTTTTCTGATGGTTCAAGGCCGCATTCTCTGGCATTGCAGTTTCCTTCCCAGCAACATGGACAAACTCCAGTTTTCGGGGTTGACTACTCCCACTTTCTGGGGGTGGATGTTTCTTCTTCTTGGTCACCTTCTCACCTTGTGGTGAGGGATCCTTCATTTTAGGCTGGTGTCCTGTCGTTCCATCCACATTCTGCTCCTTCTCTCCTTCATCCTTCTTACTGTCACTCACTTTCTGTTTCATACTCAAAGGGGTTTTGCTTCCCCCTTTGAGCTTCTCCTCTTTTAAAACTGTTTCCCCTCTCCCTGCTCCAATAGTATTTGCTCTCGAGTCCCCACCAATCTTAGCACTTCCACCAGACTTTGAATCCGCTTTCAAGATCACAGGTGAGGTTTTTTTTATTCTCCTTCCTCAATGATTCTTTCGATTGTTGCATTTTCTTCGAGTTCATCTGATGTGGTTGATGGATTTTCTCCCTCTTTTCCTCCGTGCTCCCATTCTCCTTCCCTTATTCTCTTTTAAATTCTCGTTGGTTTCCTCCCCAGCATCTGCCTTCTGTTTTTCTTCTGCCAACTCTTTATCATCATTCTTCTCCTCCCCCACGTCCTCCACATCTGTCTTCAGTGCACTAAATCTAGAGCCTCCCACTTGTTCTTCTCTCTTTAGGTTCCCTTTACCCTGCACCTCCTTCTTCTCTACTCCTTTGGTTGGATTTTTATTCCTCTTTGCTCTAGTTGCAATCATCCACGGGCCATAGTCTTCCAAAACTTCTGGACGTATCTCGTGACTCACCATTTGTATTCCTTCATCCACAGTCTTGTGCTCTGGTGTGGCATTCGCCATTGATGCTGAACTGGGGCAGCTACTCTCCAGGTGTCCGTGGTGTCCACATTCATAGCAAACTGTGTCCAGCCCTTCGTACTCCACTCTTCTAACCCTTCTCTTTAGTCTATACTTCGGGACCAACCGTTTTCTTAGGTCGATTTCTATGCAGATTCTAGCGTAGTTCCCTCTAAATCCATTGACAGTGTTGTAATCAATTTTAACCACCCTCCCAAGTCGGCTTCCAATGCTCTCCAGGATCTCTTCATCGAAATACGCCATTGGGAGGCGTGGGAGGCAAACCCACACCATGGTTTTGTTGATCACATCATAGTCTGGATCGAAATCCAGTCTCCACGGCTCAGAGGCAATATACTGATCATCAACCGTCCATGGACCTCCATACAGGGCACGGTCGTAGTCCAGCTGCGATCCAAAGATGGCCTGATAATAGCCATTACCAATGTCTCCAATCTTCACAGTTCCAGTTTTTGCCCACATCGAATGGACCCTCCTGTGAATGAAAGCAAATGGGAGGCTCTTACCAAGTATTCTGAAGGTAATGGCTTTGCTCCAACGGTGTCGCACCCTAGCATCTATACTCTTTTTAATGCGGATGGTTGGGTGATAGACCGTTAGTTACACATGTTTTCACCCCTGTTCTTACACCGTTTGAGATGTGGTTTCTCGTGTTTTAGACCGATTTCACGCTAGGTTGTGCTTGTTTGTGATATTTCAGGTCCTGGCAAGTGAATGAAGGTTTAGGAGCGAGTTCGGGGTCGATTGGGTGAAGATCGGGCGCGAGACAAGTCACAAAGGAGGTCACACGGGCTGCCCTGATGTTCACACGGCCGTGTGAAGTAATGGTCTGGCCGTGCGAGTTTTGCCGAGAGCACACACGGGCAGAGCAGAGGATCGACACGGCCGTGCAAGTGGCCGGGTTGGCCGTGCCACATTCTGCGAGAGCAAACACGGGCAAGAGGGGATGTCCACACGGCCGTGCCATTCTGGCCGTGCAAAGAGCCTGGAATTCGAACTAAATGAAACGATGCGTTTTGACTCACACGGGCAACTGGGTGAGCTGCACGGCCGTGCCACCCTGGCCGTGTGAGTCGGGATTTTCTCCCTTTAAGCAGAATTTCAGCCACAATTCGGGAGGATTCGAGTTTTTGAGAGATAGAACGACTTCTAGAGAGAGAAAGTGACGAGCAAGAGTTCCCAAGTGCCCTAGATTGATCTTCAACACCATTGGAGGCTAGCTTGAGCTTGGAGAAGTGCCAATCAACGTCCAGAAGCAGGAATCCATCCTTCGCAGTATGAATTCCGTGTCTGATTCTGCTTTTGCTTTCTTCTCCATGGAGTAGTTCTCCCATTCATCTGGGTATGGAGAACCCTAGATTTGTATGTTAGGCTTTGATTGTATGAACCCAAGTACTGATTCTGTGATTGATTATATTCGATTGAGGTTTTGATGATTGAATGACTTGAATCCTGATCAAATTCCTGTTGTTTCTGCTTTAACCTAGAATGAGAATATCTGCCTAGGTTAATAGAGTATCCTTGATTGAAGGTAGGGAGTTGGTGACTTTAGTCGAGGAACCAACTCACTATTCTGTACCGGATTTACTCCGGTAGTGGAGGTTTTGTTCTTAGGGCCTCAATCTGTTTACTCCGGTGGAGGTTAGTCGCCCGCTAGAGACTCAGATTGAGAGGGTCTGAAGACCTTTAGTCGAGACTTCAGGCTGTTTAAGAACCTTCCACAATATAACTATCATAGAAACTGAACTTGGTAATTACAATCCGGCTTAATTGCAGTCTAGGGGGAACCATATCCGGGTGACCTCTCTTAACTTGAATACAACCGTTTGTTTTCTTTGTTTGTTTGGTAGTTTAGACTTGCATTCCAGTTTCATTGCTAGATAACAAGAACTCACTGAGTAGTCATCAAATCTAGGACCCGGGTTGATAATTAAACCCAAACCCGCTATACTACGCTTTAGGAAGTGGTTTCACTTGGCCAATTCCTGGAGTGACAGTAGAGTCGAGTCAAGTTTTTGGCGCCGTTGCCGGGGACGGCTAGGTTGTTGAAGAAAAGTGATTTCTGTTAATTTAGCTTTTCTTTTTGCTTTATTTGCTTTGTCCCACTTGTGCCTTCACGGGTTTGCTGCTTGAGTGTGTGCAGGTAGTGCATGACCCGTAGCCAGTCGAGAGGTTTACTGTCGTTGAATCCAGAGATTGACCGCACCTGTCGCCAGCTCAGGAGACAACAGCGAGCTAGACTGGCTACGCAAGAGCGCATAGACGGCCACCTGCGCAGCGATTCTGAAGAAGAGCACGGGATGGACGGAGACTACAACCAACACCAGGGGAATCCACAGCAGGTTCCCCCGGTGAATCAGGTCCTGGGGAACAACCCCATACCCCAGGATCATGGAGTTCATCATCCACCGCAGCCGGGTCCCACCTTGGAGTACTACTATACTCCTCGGATTGCTGACATCCGCCCGGTCATCCTCTACCCACCGATCCCAGCAAACAACTTCGAGATCAAGCCATGCTGGATTCAGCTCATTACATCCTCTATCCAGTTCCATGGCTTGAAGGATGAGGAGGCCAGGGTGCATCTTTCCCGTTTTCTGCAGCTGACAAACGGGTTCAAGCTGAATGGTGTCCCGGATGATGCGATCCGCCTTCATCTCTTCCCCCATTCTCTGGCGGGGAATGCTAAGAGGTGGTTGGAGACCCAGCCCCCATTGTCCATCACCTCTTGGGACGATCTGGCTGACAAGTTCGTGCACAGGTACTATCCGGCATCGAAGACTACAGAGATTCAGCGGGAGATCACCCACTTCCGCCAGGAGCCAGATGAGTCACTTCGTGATGCTTGGGAGCTGTATATGGGCTATTTCTGGCAGTGCCCCCATCATGGCTTCAGTGATGCATTCACTGTGGGGAACTTCTACAGCGCTCTCTCCCCAGATAGCCAGAGGGTGATTGAGTCTTTATGCCCAGGAGGGGATGTTCTCACCAAGACTCCACCCGAGCTGAATCAGATGATTAATACATTGGCTGCCAGAGATCATTCTTGGGGACAGGGTAGCCGAGGCAGACAGTCCCGGGACCGTGGTGAGCACGCCATGGAAACCAGATCCGGGCTCGAGCAGCAGGTAGCTGAGCTAGTGCAGACATTGAAGCAGCCCAACAGTCTGATTCCGGGCAGAGGTTTGGCTACACCTCCAGTAGCTCAATGTCAGTGGTGTGAGAGCTCCAATCACCTAGTGGAGGACTGCCAGGCTATGAGGGAGTCTACCACACCCCAGGAGCAGTTGGCCTTCATCGCCAATGCGAGGCGCCTCGATCCATACAGCAGCACATATAATGAGGGGTGGCGCCAGCATCCCAACTTCGCCTGGAGCAGCAACACCACTAAACCACCTGGTTTCCCAGCACCAGCAGGTGGTTTTCAGCAGAGGCAGCCCTTCCAGGCTCGCCAGGGGCCAGACCCACAGCAGCATCCCTACCAGCCCAGGCAGGGGCAGCCATTCCAGCAGCCCCAGCGCCAGTTTGCCGAGCCAGCAGCACCACCGGCCCCAGATGACAGGATGACGAAGCTGGAAAACATTCTAGCTTCATTCATGACTAGCACCCAGGCTACTATCACATCACTGGAGGCAGGTCAGCGGAACCAGGGTGCTATTTTGCAGGATCTGCAGACCCAGGTGGGCATCTTGGCCCGCCAGAACACCACCAGGGCACCAGGGACTTTGCCTGCCACCACCGTTCCTAATCCTCGAGATCCTCACCAGCATCAGCAGCTGGATGCCATTTTTACCAGGAGCGGTAAGGTCATATCTGCTGATCCTGTCCCGGCCAGACAGGAGGAACCACTGACTGCTTCTGCACTTCCAGCCGACGATGCAGAAGTGCGGGTGGAGAAGGACGCCCCTGCTCCCAAGCCACAACCAGTGGTTAAGGAGCATGTGCCCCAGCTTCCCTTCCCCACTCGCCTACACAAAGACAAGCTGGAGACTGAGTTTGCCAAGTTCATGGCAATGTTGAAGCAGCTCAACATCAGCATACCGTTCATGGAGGCACTGTCGAAGATGCCCAAGTATGCCAAGTTCATGAAAGATATCTGCACCAACAAGAAGAAACTTGGGGATCTCTCGACAGTGATGCTGAGCGAGGAGTGTTCTGCTATCCTGCAGAACAAGCTGCCCGAGAAGCGCAAGGATCCAGGGAGTTTTACTATCCCTCTTACTATTGGCAGCATGCATGTAGGAAAGTCCTTGGCGGACCTAGGCGCTAGCATTAACGTCATGCCGTATAAGTTGTATAAAATGCTAGACCTAGGTGAACTTAGCCCTACTAGGATGAGCATTCAATTAGCTGATCGTTCTATTGTGCATACTAGGGGAATCATAGAGAATCTGCTTGTTGGTGTTGGTGCATTCACATATCCTGTTGATTTTGTGATTCTTGATATACATGAGGATGTGGATGTGCCTTTGATTCTAGGTAGGCCATTTCTTGCCACCGCCAAGGCACTTATTGATGTGCATGATGGTAAATTGATCTTGCGTGGTGGGAATGAACAGGCTACTTTTTCTGACTGAGTTTGATCACTGTGCTATGATTGCTGTCACGCCTGTGCATGCTATGTCTGATCAGGTACACGAGCCTGTCGTGTATCCTTCTGCTCCTCTCATTTTGCAGGACCCTCCTATCATCCCTTCGCCGTCACTCCATCCAGCCTCGCCTCAGAACAAAAAGATCAAGGAGGAGTGGCGGCCGAAGCAGCAGGTTGCTAAGCCTGCACGAAAGAAGAGTGGAGACCACTATGAGCTGGTCCCACCTCCTGCACCACGACCACCCTGGCCGTCTGGGTACTCACTCGCCTGCATCTTGCCAGATGGGCAGGTCGAGCTGACTGATGATGGTGGTCGCATCCGTCGGGTGCATGGCCACAACCTGAAGCTGTACCTCAAGAGCGACGTGGATCCGCTCTTGAAGGCACCTGTTCCTGCACCGCCCTAAGTATCCACCATGGGCGTCCAGCTAAAAGACGGTAAAGAAGCGCTTGTGGGGAGGCAACCCCACCTCGGTTTGACTTTCTTTTTGGTGTTTTGAGTCGGATTGTAACCCGGTTTGGGTTTGGTTTGTTTTTCTTTTGGTTTGGATGATATTTTATTGGGCTGACCATTGAACCTAACATATTGTGTTTGAGCTCTTATGGTTCCCTTCGGCTGTGCTTGCCCCGACGGGCCCGTATCCAGACTCCTGCAGTCCATGCATACCGGTAACATCGTTCCTCTTTCCCTTCCCTCTTCTCCATTGAGGGCAATGTCGAGCTTAAGTGTGGGGGGATGTTTATCTTTTGACTGCATTAGATCTGTTTGTGTGCTTGGAGCCTAGTCCACTGTCCAAATTTTTAAATTTGAGGGCTCCAAGTACGTGTTCCTTGCATTTGCCTGCTCAGTATGCTTTGAATTGACAGTCTTTATAGTAATATGCAACCTAGGGAGGTAGTGTAGCACTATGGAGGATGTTGATGCATTTAAGAAGTCTCATTTCTTCTTCATATTGAGTTGGTTGATTGAGTGAATTAGTGATCTTAGGACCCTTGAATTGTGTGGTGTTGTGGATTCTCTGCCTGTCATGGACTCTTGTATCATGTTTTGAGTTTAACAGGTGCTCGAAAATGTGCTTCAAAATAAACGTCTCCCGTGCGAATAGGGCGAAAGTGTGTAAGGGGAGACGGGAATCCGTTCCCAATTTCCACCTACTACCTCCAGCCCCCTTACATGTCTTTCCCCCGCACGAGGCTCGAGACATCCGCTCCTGGCATGGCCGGTAAGAGCAGGTTGGGACCCTTGAAAAAGAAAAAAGAAAAGAAAAATAACAGAAAACAAGCATAATAGAAAGAAAAGGGGTTCCAACCATCCTTAAGCAGAAAATATAGCACCTTGAAAAATGTGAGTCCATGATCTGTTGTTTTTGAGAATTTCTTCATCCACAATTCATTTGTCCTCTGTTCACTATTTGCCATGATGCCGACTCGCCGAAGAAGTTATGAGATGACTTGTGTGTCGGTTGACCTCGTAAGCTGCTAAATGATCTAGGAAGTCCTCTACCTACGATCTGGGTTGTTTGTTGCTATAGAGGTCTGGAGAGTTGCATTGGTTTGAGTTAGGTTTGCTTGGGGACAAGCAAACGGTTAAGTGTGGGGGAGTTTGATAGACCGTTAGTTACACATGTTTTCACCCCTGTTCTTACACCGTTTGAGATGTGGTTTCTCGTGTTTTAGACCGATTTCACGCTAGGTTGTGCTTGTTTGTGATATTTCAGGTCCTGGCAAGTGAATGAAGGTTTAGGAGAGAGTTCGGGGTCGATTGGGTGAAGATCGGGCGCGAGACAAGTCACAAAGGAGGTCACACGGGCTGCCCTGATGTTCACACGGTCGTGTGAAGTAATGGTCTGGCCGTGCGAGTTTTGCCGAGAGCACACACGGGCAGAGCAGAGGATCGACACGGCCGTGCAAGTGGCCGGGTTGGCCGTGCCACATTCTGCGAGAGCAAACACGGGCAAGAGGGGATGTCCACACGGCCGTGCCATTCTGGCCGTGCAAAGAGCCTGGAATTCGAACTAAATGAAACGATGCGTTTTGACTCACACGGGCAACTGGGTGAGCTGCACGGCCGTGCCACCCTGGCCGTGTGAGTCGGGATTTTCTCCCTTTAAGCAGAATTTCAGCCACAATTCGGGAGGATTCGAGTTTTTGAGAGATAGAACGACTTCTAGAGAGAGAAAGTGACGAGCAAGAGTTCCCAAGTGCCCTAGATTGATCTTCAACACCATTGGAGGCCAGCTTGAGCTTGGAGAAGTGCCAATCAACGTCCAGAAGCAGGAATCCATCCTTCGCAGTATGAATTCCGTGTCTGATTCTGCTTTTGCTTTCTTTTCCATGGAGTAGTTCTCCCATTCATCTGGGTATGGAGAACCCTAGATTTGTATGTTAGGCTTTGATTGTATGAACCCAAGTACTGATTCTGTGATTGATTATATTCGATTGAGGTTTTGATGATTGAATGACTTGAATCCTGATCAAATTCCTGTTGTTTCTGCTTTAACCTAGAATGAGAATATCTACCTAGGTTAATAGAGTATCCTTGATTGAAGGTAGGGAGTTGGTGACTTTAGTCGAGGAACCAACTCACTATTCTGTACCAGATTTACTCCGGTAGTGGAGGTTTTGTTCTTAGGGCCTCAATCTGTTTACTCCGGTGGAGGTTAGTCGCCCGCTAGAGACTCAGATTGAGAGGGTCTGAAGACCTTTAGTCGAGACTTCAGGCTGTTTAAGAACCTTCCACAATATAACTATCATAGAAACTGAACTTGGTAATTACAATCCGGCTTAATTGCAGTCTAGGGGTAACCATATCCGGGTGACCTCTCTTAACTTGAATACAACCGTTTGTTTTCTTTGTTTGTTTGGTAGTTTAGACTTGCATTCCAGTTTCATTGCTAGATAACAAGAACTCACTGAGTAGTCATCAAATCTAGGACCCGGGTTGATAATTAAACCCAAACCCGCTATACTACGCTTTAGGAAGTGGTTTCACTTGGCCAATTCCTGGAGTGACAGTAGAGTCGAGTCATTGGGCATAGCAGATCATCTTCTGCTTCCTCGCAATCGGATTCGTCCGACATGAGGTCGTCCCCATCTGGGATAATCGGCATCGGCTCATTTCCGAGGACAGAGTCTTTATAAGATGCCCTTCCTGGTTGATTTCCTTCGGTTCCCTCGTTGGAGGATTCCCTGAGCTTTTGATTTTTCTCCGGCGTTTCCATTTCTGTATCAGTATTTTCCCTTCTCGCTGTAATCATCGCGACCTCCATGTCAGCCTGTCCTGAGAAATTGCTGATTGAGGTTGCCTTCGCCTTCTTACTTGGCTGCGTAGGCGTCGTCTCCGGAGATGCATCCGGTGGCTTTGGGTCCGGCAGCGGTGCCTCTGATGGAGGCTCCATGGTGGTAACGGGAAGAAAACGGAAACGAGCGAGAAAAGTGGAAGAGAGAGGTCAGAGCTAATCTCTCTCTTACTTTTTGACTGCTAACTTCTATTTTGCCATTCTCTTTTTGGATAGTATTTCTTGGTATCAAAGAGATGATAGCAATAGGGAAGGCAACTACCAAGACTTGGGAATGGGAACACATGAGGGGATCGTAAGTGGAATATCTAGTGTAATTATAAACTTGGATATATGAGGCGGGTAACCGAAAATTGTGACCGTAATAACAATATTCTTGAAATCCATTCTAATATTATAAAATATTTAGTTTCCTCTAATATCTCAAAACTACCATGTAAAACCTATTCATGTCAAATCGACAATTACATTGGATCTGCAAAAGCCCCTTCCAGTTAGACAATAGTTGAAGTCCTGATTGTTGATTAATATCGAAGGCAAATTACTTCTATTTATATCTCATAGTCATTGTGTAGGCACGTGTAGAATATTGGTAGTCAAATGCATTTTAAGCATGAGAATAATCATGACAATTGCATAATATATAATGACAATTTTTTTTAAAACAACTAAAATATTTAGGAGGGTATGTTATGTATCATGTCATAATTTCTTTGTGATTAATGAGTGGGGTATCATGTAAAGTTGTAAGGTGGAAAAAAAAAAGAATACTTAGAATATATATATATATTTTTGGTTCATGGGCTTGGAACAATGAATAGAAGGGATTGGACTTCCTTGCCCATTGAAACTAGTGTAGTTCTTGCACCTGATGGCCCAACTTAATTTACCGGACTAAAGAGGTTGTGATAACCTAGTGAATAGTGATCAATAAGTAGACCATAAGTCCATAACCAATTGGTTCAAGAAACTAGTGCAAATCTTGGGCCCCCATTTGGGCAAAGATTTCGTTTTTTACACTGCTAGTAATATACGGTACGAGAAAGTTACGTAAAAAATACATACGGGTATTTTACGTCATTTCTAGACTAATGTTACGTTTAATAGTACGTTAATAGTCATAAATATATAAAAATAAATTATGTCAAAAATAAATATATAAATAAATAAAATAATACTAAAATTCACAATTTAATTCATTAAATACGGATAGTAAACATGTTATACGGGTTTTATACGCGTTTAATATGGGAGCCATCAAATAAACGGGGGAAATGAAACGGCCTGACGAAATTATGAATACGAAAGTTTTAAACGAATAAAATACATACGGATACATATACATGTATTAAACGGAGTATTTACTAACTATGTTATACAGTTTACACAACAAATGAGTTTAAAATTCAAGCACTACAAATTTTTTTTATAAAATCATGTAATTTTCTATTTCCTGTTCATTTATGATTCATGCACCGAATATGTATAAAAATACGTATAGCAAATTTGAGATACGTATTATGGATAGAACGGATAATTCAATTTTTTTTTTAGTATTTAAGTCATATTCCCGATTAAATTATCCAGTGCAGTACTACTTTTCGGCTGCCGCGCCATATCAGTTGGCATATTTTGTTTTCTTCTTCCTCATCACCTAACTTAATTCGAATTCGATTTCCCCAGCTGGCGACTCACTGTAAGTAAACCCTTTCTTTCCCATGCCTCGCCCATCCATAGGATTCCGTTGAAGGCGTCCAGCAAGCTACTAGCTGGCCTGGTCCAAAATTTCCATGGCAGCACCAAAACCTACCACTTCTTTTACGCTACCGCGTTCCCAAAGTAAATACCCTGCTGCCCAGTAATGGCTATGACCCAGCTGTCCGCCACTAATTAGTTGCCCTCCACTCCTTTCTTCCACCTCTGCAGCAGGTGCAGCTATTTATACCGCAGCCCACTGTTCCAGTTTTCTCCACCACCATCTCTCCATTCTCCAACATCCACTTTCGCCCTTCTTACTCATTTCCACACCTTCGCCATGGCGATTCCTTCAACCCGTTTCCTCCCCCAAATTCTCATCTTCTGCACTCTGCTTCATTTCGCCTCCTCTGCCGCCAGATCGCTCAATGCTGCCGCCGGTGACGGCGGCAGTGAGGATACGGCGTTTCAGTATCACAACGGCGCTCTTCTCACCGGCAAAATCTCCGTCAATCTCATCTGGTACGGCAAGTTCAAGCCATCCCAGCGCGCAATCGTCTCCGATTTCGTCGTTTCCCTCACTTCCCCTGCATCCTCTTCCAAGCAGCAGCAGCATCCCTCTGTCCAGAGCTGGTGGAAATCCACTGAGAAGTACTACAATCTTGTCAAATCTTCGAACAAACACTCTTCTTCTTCTTCTTCTCTCTCGCTGTCCTTGAGCAGCCAGATCCTCGACGAGAGCTACTCAATGGGGAAATCCCTTTCCTCCAAGCAAATCGTACAATTAGCATCAAAGGGCGCCCAATCCAACGCCATCAATGTCGTTCTTACTTCCTCCGATGTTGCCGTGGAAGGGTTCTGCTCCAGCAAGTGCGGGACACATGGGTCTTCTCTGAGCACTGCTGCTTACCGAAAAATCAATGGCGGCAAGAAGGTGTCCAAGTTCGCTTACATATGGGTGGGGAATTCGGAGAAGCAGTGCCCGGGGCAATGCGCGTGGCCGTTCCACCAGCCAATCTACGGCCCGCAGTCCCTTCCTCTGGTTTCCCCCAACAACGACGTCGGAATGGACGGGATCATCATCAATCTGGCTGGTCTCTTGGCCGGAACTGCAACCAATCCGTTCGGAAACGGGTACTTCCAGGGTCCCAAAGAAGCGCCATTGGAGGCTGCATCCGCCTGCACGGGTGTTTACGGCAAGGGAGCCTACCCGGGATATGCCGGGGAGCTCTTGCTGGATTCTACAACAGGGGCTAGCTACAATGCCAATGGAGTGAACGCCAGGAAGTACCTGCTCCCTGCCCTGTTTGACCCGGCTTCTGCAGCTTGTTCTACTCTTGTATGATCGAATGAAAGGAGGAAAATACTACCTATCTAGTGCTCCGTGATACATATGGTGAAAAAATTGTATTAGTATTAGAAATTTTGAGAGTTCTATTGATTCTTTGATTCATTGTAAGAGACAATATCACGATTATAGAAAAGATTTGTTGTTGAGTAATTTGTGGTTATCTAGTTTTGATGTTTGATTGTTCATATATAGTAGGGCTAGGAAACGGTGTGGTCTGGTCCAGACCAGACCATATATACGGTTTACGGTCCAGACCGAGAGGCTAAAGTATAGACCACAGATCATACCACAGACTATACGGTCTGGTGCAGACCACGCCTGTGCGGTCTATTTCGGTCTGGTCCAGATAGACCACACTCAACGAAAAATTAATAATTTCTTTAGTCAACCTTAGGTAACCAGAGCGTGGAGCGAGAGCGGGAGCGGGAGCGAGAGCGTCAGAGCGTTAATTTTCGGAGAATTCAATATTGAGAGCGTAAAGAGAGCGTTATTATTATATTATTTTAATTAATAATTTATTTTTTTCCTCAAAGCATTAGATAAAATATGAGAATCTTACAAATTTATTATTAGTAATGTGTGATTATTCAGGTAAAAGAATGTTCCTTATTCATTTACCCCACTACCAATTCAATTAATTAAATTAGATTATTAATTAACCGACCTTTGCCATTATATACACGGATACACCAAAGAAAACACATATAGTTATTAATATTATAAACGATAAAAGGATAAAAACTCCTAAATAGTAAATATTCCCACATCTATCATCGTTTCTCACTCACCTAAAGCTAAAATGTAAACGTCACCGTATGCGATTCTTCTCTTTTTTCCATTTTTTTTTTGTTAAAAAGAGAATCGTGTCTCTGTGCAATTCCCAGTCTGAACAGAGACGAAGCGGAACACATGCTCGGAAGTCGGAATCGCCTAGAAGCTAGCTTCTCCTGTCGCGAGATTCCGCCGGAGCAAAGATTTCTCGTCCAGCCGTCCTAGCTCAGGCGACCAATCCCCTCCTCGACGGCTCTGATCAGATTTTGGCCATCACCGACGTCCTCCTATCTTCCGACCACTGGTACTCGATTATTTAGCTTGATCCCACCGGCACCGACGACTGGGACCTCATCAAGAAACATTACCGCTGCATCCTCCTCCTCGCCGATCAAGCTTTCAAGCTAGCAGAGAAAGATGGGAAAGCTATTTCTTCTTATATTCCGGATCCGTGCTCTAGAGAATTGAAATTCGCGCTCCCATAAAAATAGTTCGCGAATTAATCCCGGATTGGCGACGATTCGCGATTTCCACGCGCTGGAGCGGGATCGTGGAGGCCCACCCAGCGAATTGGGTGACCTAAAGTCAACCACACAGAAAATTGAACCAATAACCAACAAAAATAATTGTTATTTGCCTTAAAACATTAATCCTAACATATATGAATAATTTTGATACTCTAGATCTTATTACATAACAAAGATACAAAGTAAAAGTATCCAAATTTGCACCATAATGTCATAAACATTAACATAATGTCATATGGAGACACGATTATCTCTACTCTGTGGTTAAATGTGGTTGTGAATGAAGGAGGGAAGAGATTTACAAAATTAAGGTTGAGACTTGGGTGTCGTTGTGGGAGTTTCGAGAGTGGTCGAATGGGCTGTTAACACGTATTGACAAGTCAGTTCGGTCTACGGTTTGGTCCGGTAAACCACGGTCTAGACCAGACCAGACCAAGAGACCAAATCATAAAATAATACAGACAATGGACCAGACCAGACCATAATTCACAGTCTACGGTCCGGACCAAACTGTGCGGTACAGTTTGGACCACGGTTTTTCTAACGGTCTGGTCTATTTTCCCAGCCCTAATATATAGTCTTTGTTTGCAACTTTTTTAGGGATATGTTTTTAAGTGATGTGGAAAAAAGGTCAACCAGGAAAAAAACAACTAGTCGATTGGTGTATTATTTTTCGTTTTGCTGTGTTAAAGAAACGATCCATCTTATAAATACATCATTCGATCGCTATAATATTACCTTTTTTTTTTTTACAAAAGATAATCATATATTGATCCAACAAAAAGATGGTTACATCCTGGAACCCAGCCAGGTCTGGAAATAAAAAACACGGCTTATAGTCGGGGACAAAGAAATGGCCTTTCTAGCCACCAAATGGGCCACCCAATTGTTACGTCGACCTACAAACCGCACACTTAACCCTGGATGTCTAACAAAGTACAACAAAATTTCTTCCAGAATAGCTCCCACCCTATTGTCACCAGTCTGCCGCCGAATGATTTTATCAATAACAACTTTGGCATCACCCTCGAACCTAACCTTAGTGAATCCACGTCCTAGACACCAGCAAATAGCCTCACGGAGGGTTAGCAACTCCACGACCATAGGGTCATCCATATCAGAAAACTGAACCCCTCTTGCCAAAAGGACCTCCTTAGTTGGGGTCATAAGAACCAGGCCCCCCGCCGAATGAGATCCACTCCGTGTAGCCCCATCCCAACAGCATACAAATCCCGAAGCCCCCATCGGGACATTAAGCTATAGCGATGGAAGAGCCGAAGACACTACTTGCTCCCTCGCGAGACTGGTCCATTCCTCATACTGTTGGTGGAATTGCCGCATCAAGGCAGGGATCCCAAACTGTTTTCCATCAAAGACCACCCAATTACGAGACCGCCCAATTCTCCAGAGGACAGCAGCCAGAGCCACAAGCAAATCAGGCTGGTGAATGAGAGCAACTAGCCTTTTCAGGAACAGAGGAAAGGTTTGGCGAGGCAACCCCTGACCTAGGTATTCCAGACCCGAATGATCCCAGAGAGCACGAGCCACAAGGCAATCGAGAAACAAATGCTCCAATGTCTCCGTCTCTGCCCAACATACCGAACAACGAGGGTGTACCTCAATCCCCCTCACAATTAAGGCTTTCGTAGTTGGTAGGATCCTGTTGAAGATTTGCCACAAGAACACCTTCAGCTTAGGGGGTACATTAGCCTCCCACAGACGAATCCAGCTGGCCTTATCCATCCAACTAACCATGGAACGCCACTTACCACTCTGTTTATCCAACCGGACCGCAAGATGGTAAGCATATTTGACCGTAAACTTATCGTCCTCCGTGTCATTCCAGATAAGCCTATCCGACACATGTTCGCGGGGAAGAGGGATAGTTTTAATCGTCCGGCAAGTTGATGGGTCAAACCACTGACTGAGCTTCGAATCACACCACCGTCCTTCCCCCGAGCATAAAACCTCAGAAACCCGGAGCTCCATCCCTTCTGGCAAAACCTTGAGGGTTATACACCGGTTTAGAGGGATGCAACTGAGGAATCCAATTGGATTGAAGTAGAAGAGTCGTTTGACCATCACCAATCTGCCATCGGAGTCCCACCTCTAACAATTCCCGGCCAAACAGGATACTCTGCCACCCCCCAAGATGGATGGGACCGTGCCGTAGCAGAGAGGAATGTATCAGTGTGAAAGTATTTGCCTTTATAGACCTGGGCTAAAAGGGATTGAGGCTCATTGAGGATACGCCAGCCAATTTTAGCCAAGAGGGCCTGATTGAACTGCTTAAAACGACGAAACCCCATACCCCCCCCTCATCTTTACTCTGACACACATTTCGCCAAGACATCCACCGAATCTTAAAGTGGCCATCCTCAGTAGCCCACCAGAATCTCGCCACATGCCTATCAAGGAGCCGACAGAGAGACAGAGGCAATTTGAAACAAGACATAACATGCAAGGGAAAAGTCAGGGCCACTGATTTAATCAAAGTCTCTTTTGCAGCCCAAGATAGGGTCCAATGTTTCCAACGCTACTTTGCAAGTGTTGAACTTGGACTCCTGTCGACTAAGGAAAAATACGATCGATCGATAGCACAAAAGATCTTCCAATGATTCCACGGTAAAGGGATTCCAACTATAGATTGGTATTAGTAGTAAAGATGGAATTTCTTACCATTTAATCCAATTTAATCTCAGCAAGAGTGTGTAATATAAGCATAGAAGTTCTTGATTTATCATTCATACACTTGGATAAACATATTCTTTTAGGTTTAGAGTTTGGTGAAGAAGAAAAGATTTGATTGTGAGGTACCTTTATATTGACAAATCGACCAAATTGTTAGAGTGCCGACTAATTTGGGGCACATTATCGGCAATGTTAGTTTAAGATATGTATCCTCAATCAGTTTACCTCTTCTTTGAGCGGCTGACTAGTCTCTATGTCCATATCATAATTTGCACAACAGATCCCCCACATAATATTGAACAATCACAAGACTCTTTGGAATTATGGTACACTCTCGACTTCGTTGGCTTGAGGTAAGGAAGATAAGGCTGAAAAGATTCCCCACCTAATTTTATCGGTAGACCTCTTATCTGTTATGGATCGTTGTTAGTTTTATTTGACTTTTTAGGCTCAACAGGTCGACTATACTTAATCAACGATCGACAACTTCTCTATTCGTGGTTTGTATTATTTTTGAGTACTTTTTTAGACTCAACAGTCGACCACATAATACCACTGTTTGACCTCTTGTTTGTTCGTGGTCTATTAATCGATTGTTAGGGATATTATCATTCAAAGCACAAAAAATTATATTTTACGCAATTTTTTTTTAATTTTAATGTAACACGAATGAGATATAATCCATTGAAGATTTATAGGAGATTTAAAAAGTGTATTAACTCTCGTATAGAAATACGCGTAGACACCCAAATCTCTCACCCAAACCCTACTTTCCATTTTCCATCTTACCCCTTTGTAATGATGACTATTAGATCACTCATTCTCCAATCTCACCCCTATAATTTTTCATTCTCTACTTCGTGAGTCCTGAATCATCAAGGAATTTAGGCAATCCTCTAAGGGAGGAGAAGTTTATAATCTTGGCTAGTATCCTACATTTATGATAGGAATGTTCGAAGCCTTGTTGCTTTAGTCAAGAGAGATAGAACTTGCCATACTTCATCGTACGATCTCTTACCAAAATCAATGGATATGTGACAAATTCTTTCAAGGTTGACATTATCACGCTTGAGAAAGTCATTTGTGAGATCGGAAACAATCATGAACATATCTTAAGAAGATGTAAAAGAACGGAAGGGGTCTGGAGACACTTCAAAGATAAGCTTCAAGTCACCTCACCAACTGTGGATTTTCAAACTTGGTTGTGTGAAAATCTCAAAGCAGAGGACAATGGGGTGGAGTTCGGCCTTATATGCTGGATTCTTTGGAAGCAGCGGAATGAAGAGGCGATGGAAGGAAAGAAATTTACAACAACATGGACGATCTTTAGAATCCTTGCGTGGATACAGGTCAACAGACAAGCAAGGGAGAATGCCTTAAGATGCATCCTTCCTACAAGAAGAAGCCAAGTTACGCAGTCGTTGGCGTGGCACCCTCCTCCGGAAAGCTGGGTTCAACTCCATACTGATGTCTCTATGAATGGGTTGTCTGGGAGAGCAGTAGCGGGAGGACTTTTGAGGGACCACCTTGGCAGATGTGTTGATGCATTTACCTGCAATCTGGGCAAATGCACAATCACAATAGCGGAGCCTTAAGAGGCGGCTGAAGGACTCGAACGTGCGTGGGAGAAAGGGTTCAGGAAAGTGGAACTAAACATGGATTCATCTACTGCCGTGGCTCTCATTAATCGAAGGAATGACACCAACCATAGTCATGGAGCAGTTGTGGAACATATTGTTAGATTGCTTGATCGTGAATGGGAAGTTAGAATTTCCCATTGTTTTTAGAGAATGTAACTTTGCACAGCAGATTTTTGGCTGACAAGGACCATCGGGCCCCCTAGGTCATTGGCTGAACTTCGATTCCATTGGGGTTTCCGTGGATCGCGTTATTTTTAATATAATCTAGACGCCAGTTGGTGCCTGTCTCACTACAACAGCAACAACAAAAAAAAAAAAAACTTGGACCCACTTTAACTAAAAACCAATCAATCCCCAAACATAATTTCTCATATTTCAAATCTTGCATTTCAGCAAAATCATTTTTAAATCCCACCAGCAAACAAACCCTAAGCTAATATTCCCAAATAAATTATCCAGTGAAGTACTTTCCGGCGGCCACTTCATTAATTGGCATTTTGTCTTCTGGTTGGAGACCTATTTATTATTATTATTATTATTATTATTATTATTATTAAAATATTACTATTATATCTATTTTAATTCGGTTACCCAGCTGGCGACTCACTGTATGTATCTATCAGTCCATTAGATTAGGGATGGCAATGGGTCGGGTTGGGTCGGGTTTTGCCAAACCCAAACCCAAACTCATGGGTTTATCGGTGAAAAAAACCCGGGGTAAAACCCACTGGGTTTGAAAAACTCAAACCCAACCCAACCCGTTGGGTATCCGCTGGTTCATGGGTACCCAGGGGTTTTTGTCGTAAAAAATTTACAATAACAAGTTCCTATCAAAATTAAAGTCAAATATCAATCTCTCAATACAAATTATCCATATTTAAAACACCATTCTAGAAAATTCAAGCAAATCACAAATTAACTATACAAATTGTTCAACACCAATCTAGAAAACTCAAGAAAATTGAAGTAAATCATAAATTATCCATAAATAACATATTAATTGAAGGCTTCTTCCTTTCAATTAAGTTTCTTCACTCTCCACTCGATAACACAAACTTCATTCTACACAATTAGAAAGAAAAAATTAGACATGTCTCCACAAACATAAATAAGATTAGTTGTTTAAAATATTAAATATACCGAGAAAATTAATTATATGTGTGGGCGGGTACCCACGGGTCGGGTTTACCTAAACCCAAACCCAACCCAACCCGGTGAATAGTGAACGGGTTTAAACCCAAACCCGACCCAAAACCCGTCAACACGGATTTTACCCGCGTTGACCGGGTTGGGTCGGGTGGGTACCCGTGGGTTCGGGTTTGGTTGCCATCCCTACATTGGATTCTGTTGAAGGCTTCCAGTAAGCACCTAGTTGGTTGGTTTGGTCCCCTGCCAGCCACTGTTCAAACTTCAAAGCCAACTCCCACAGCTCACCACTTCTCACTTCTCTTTACATTACGCTGCTACGCGTTCCCAAAATGGTGTGAGCTACGGCCAGGCTGGGAATTAGTGGCTATCCACTCACTCTTTTCTACAGCCAGCAGGTGCAGCTATATATAACCGCAGTCCACCGTTCCAGTTTTCTCCACCATCCTCTCCACCATTTCTCAGCTCTTCTCATTTCCTCACCTTCGAGATTGAAATAGAAACTTACCATGGAGATTCCCTCAACACGCTTCCTTCCCCACATTCTCATCCTCTGCACTCTGCTCCATTTGGGCTGCTCTGCCGCCAGAACGATCAATGCCGCCGGCCAAACAGCCGGCAGCAGCGACGACGATACGGCGTTTCAGTATCACAATGGCGCTCTTCTCACGGGCAAAATCGCCGTCAATCTCATATGGTACGGGAAATTCAAGCCATCCCAGCGCGCCGTCGTCTCCGATTTCATCACGTCCCTCACTTCTTCCCCTGCATCCTCTTCCTCCAAGCAGCAGCATCCCTCTGTCCAGAGCTGGTGGAAATCCACTGAAAAGTACTACCACCTCATCAAATCTTCCAGTAAACAACAACACTCTTCTCTATCGCTACCTTTGAGCAGCCAGATCGTCGACGAGAGCTACTCAATGGGGAAATCCCTCTCCTCCAAGCAAATCGTGCAATTGGCGTCAAAAGGCGCCCAATCCAACGCCATCAACGTCGTCCTGACCTCCTCCGACGTCGCCGTGGAAGGGTTCTGCTCCAGCAAGTGCGGAACCCACGGATCTTCTTTCAGCACTGCTGCTACCCGGAAAATCAGTGGCGGGGAGAAGAAGGTGTCCAAGTTTGCTTACATATGGGTAGGGAACTCGGAGAAGCAGTGTCCAGGGCAATGCGCTTGGCCGTTCCACCAGCCAATCTACGGCCCGCAGTCCCTTCCTCTGGTCTCCCCAAACAACGACGTCGGAATGGACGGGATCATCATCAATCTGGCCGGTCTCCTGGCCGGAACCGCGACCAACCCGTTTGGGAACGGCTACTTCCAGGGTCCCAAAGAGGCGCCATTGGAGGCTGCATCCGCCTGCACTGGTGTTTACGGCAAGGGAGCCTACCCGGGATATGCCGGGGAGCTCTTGCTGGATTCTACAACAGGGGCTAGCTACAATGCCAATGGAGTGAACGCCAGGAAGTACCTGCTCCCTGCGCTCTTCGATCCTGCTTCCGCGGCTTGTTCTACTCTCGTCTGAAACAACAGGCGAAATACGACTACTTACCTAGAGCTCCATGGCACACTATTTTGAAGAAGAAAAAAAATGTACTAGTATTAGTAAGTTTTGAGAGATTCATTCATTCTTTGATTCATTGTAAGAGATATATATCACGATTATGGAAAAACCTTTGTTGCTATTGTGGAGTGATCTGTGGCTCTCTGGTTTTGATGTTCCTATGCTTGTTTGCTAATATGATCAGGTGTGACTGCTAGTATGGGCAAATTGTTGCATACCTTAAGGAAGAATATGCTTTTAGGAAAAGCCAGCAGGAGACTTCAACTTGATCCCCTTAGTCCTTCTGCTACTTGAGCTTTATCTGTTCTGTTGCCCCTTCAAAGCTGAACAGAGATCAGTTAGCGAGACATTTCGCCACTACCCTTCTTCAATCCGCGATGATCCTGTCTAGATCCGAAAAATGCAGCTCTCGAGCTCAGCCAATGGCGATTTTACTAACCGGAGAGTCTACTTCTGATGCTGCTTTCTTGCTTTGTCAATGGTGATGTTAGGAACCGGATGCTGGCAAGTAAACAAGCTGAAGAATACAACACCCACTGACAAGTACAATGTACATTCTCTTGAATGGAAGGTGGAGGAGAGCCCCTTCCTAGTTCCTAACAATAGTCAAACTCCTACTTAGCTTCAATCTCACTACCCGCTAGAAAATGATTCAAGTAAATCAAACCCTCCGCTATTGGAAAACAATCATGATAATTCAACCGCGGCTTTCCTTCTGTCTTTCCTTCTTCACCGTTGTCTCAATCGCAAGCAGCCCATGCCGACCCCTTTATGTACAGACCTTGGAAGAAGAATGCTGCTATACAGGATATACGCTAGCCGGACGAACAATCATCAAACTACAACAAGACTTCCATTCCAGGGATGCTGTTGCCACCACCGGTCGAAAGTATCAGGTAGTAGCTGGGGCAGGAGAAGAAGCAGGAGGGGCTTCTGTTCGATTTGCTAGCCATATGCTGTTGCCGAATGAGATGCTGTCATCGCAAGATCTGTCAGCTGCTGCACTTCTTAATTCAATAGCTGATGGTGTGTCATCAGTTGCCACGTGGTCGCTTCTGGATAGAGGATCATCACCAGGAGGTGGCAATGTTACCTCTCTCTCGTGCTGCTGCTGCCGATGACCATCATTACTCGCAGAGGTCGAAGATGACACCGCCTTCTGCTGCTGCTCTCTTGGTGTGTAGGGTACTGAAAACTCTTCCTCCCGTTCCGGCTGGATGTTTAAGTCGATTATTTGACCTTTGAAAGGTGACCCGGTGGCAGCGGTGGTGGTGGGGTCAGGTTCTGCGGTTTGACCTGAAGCTGGAGAACCACCCTCATTATCAGCAAGGTCATTGTGCGTTGTTGGTAGTGGCGGCCGCTGCTTCTTACGTGCAATGGCTTCAGCTGCCACTCTTTTCTCCTCCTTTTGCTGCCTCTTCTCCCAGCGGTTCATCATGAGGGTTCTGAACCGGCGCTTCACTGTCTGGCAGACCGTACACATGCACGACTGCTCGTGTTTGGGGCCCTTGCCGCTCGGTGGCTGAATGCACACGATGCACGTGCACCCAGGTCTGTGTCGAGGATGCTTTGTTGTCGCAGCCTGAGAAGAAGAAGCCTCCTCGCCGCCACCTTCTCCTCCTAAAATGGCCAAGTTTGCAAGCGTGTCGAGCCCTTCTTCTGAAGCTTCTTCCTTGTTGTTACCAGTTGTTTCTGATTTACCAGTCTTCATTTTTCTTAAAGCAGCTGCCCGTTATTCCAAATCGGGGCAATTGAGAGAAGGAAATTCCAAATTAAACGGATTGAAAGAGTGTATAGAAACTCGAATATGTTGGTATTATATACCAAAAAGATTAGTAAATTTGTCCCAGGAAAAAAAAACACAAACACAGACTCTTATAGTTCTAACAGCTAATCGAGGAAAAAAGGATTCATCAGTTCATTTAACTTCCTGTGTCTATATGAGAGGTGCACCCTGCATATGGAGAAAAATACGCTATTTGTTCCAAGCAATTCATACCTAGATCAGGGTGTGGCAGCAGATTTTTTAGCTGTTCTCTGCTCACTTCTTGATCTGCTAAGCATGATGATCTGAAACGAGGATTTTTTTTCAAGCAGTGTCAGAAATCCAAACGATCCATAAGTTGCATTTTGTCAAACCACAGAAGTAAGTGATCTCGGCCCTTCAGGTATATTAGAGAAGCAAAACCACATACAAGTATCACAAGCTGAACTACCGTTAACCCGCCTCAATGTGATTTAAGCGTTACGTTCTTAACCGCTTGTTTAGATAGCTTACAAAATTGAAGAAAAGGTTCATTTTCCCAACTCTTTTCATCATTTTCCTGTTTGAAATAAAGAAAATTGTGAGAGATCATATTCTAGGAGGCCAAAATAGGGGAATTTGCAAAATGGTGGGGATTTGGATGTTGTGAAGATGAATAGGTGGACTGCCATCACTTTCTTTCTTTCTCCCTTTCTATCTGTTTTACTCTTTCTGTTTTAAAAAGAACCATTTACTTCCTTTTTCTATTATGGACACTATAATTTGAAAAATGAGACATGGAAATGAATTTTCATTTCCATTTGTTATCAATCGATTGTTAAATGGGTGGTAAGAGCTGGATTAACTGGCCAAAGAAAACCTAAATGTATCCTAAAGTAAACAAGTTCTGTAAATTTAAGCAAAATAGAGAGCAACTGTTTACCTTTCTGGATCCCAGAAGTTACTCAAACATGTCCATCTGGAGGGAAGAAGCGCGTTAGCAGGTAACTTTCGCCACTTAGGGTAGGTAACAGTCAGTTTCAAATATAGAGTAAAAAACGAAATCCCTATCTGCAGAGACACACATGGAAGGGTCTGGCACATTAAAGAAAGAAGACTCATTTGAGGACGGAAACCAACAGTGCCACAAAAAGTAAGTTCGTCGCAAAAGGATTCAAGTAAATAAGATGAGTCATTTACCCAGCATCATCGCTTACTAAAAGTGTTGGCTTCCCAAGTACTGGTGCATCCTGTCGTAGCAAAATTAATATATATAAGATCTGAGAGTGCATGTATGTGGTACAAATAACTTCAACCACACAAGTGTCTGTGAATAGAATAAGAAGCAGAATAGAAAGGCGAAAATGGATGATAAACCATTGGCTTTTACGAACACAGAATTCAACTTTACAGACTCCAGTGGAGCAAGACATAAAACACATTTTACCTCAAATTCCTCGAATTCGAATCCTTCGATCACTACAACAGTGGGAATATTTTCAGGAGGAGGGCGGAGCAGCCCCTGTGCTTCTTCCCATGTTATCTGCAGTTCTATCATATCCTCACTTTCCCATCTTAGACGCTTAAACTTTGAACCTACTATTCTGTTCTTCCTCTTTTTCCCCAAAGGTTTGAAATCAAGAACTTCTTTGGCTATGTAACCCGACTTGTCAACTTTAGAAGGTGCTATATAACCCGGATAGTCAACTTTAGACCATAGACTAGGTTCTGACAGGTCAACCTGGTTGTATCAAGGCAAATAGAAGATCGTGTTTAAGTTTATAAAAACCAAATGCTAGTTAATAATAAATGTCGTGGGAAGAAAGTTTATACGAACTTCTCCATTTCCAGAAGGCCCAGTTATGGGCTTGCTTGATTCATTATCCTGCATACATAATCAATAAAAGCATTAATTCCCAAACCAAAACCAGCTGATCATCATTGTGGTTGAAGTTGGGAGAGGGAAAAAAAATTATTCCAGCTACCAATACCTGATCAGATGATGGAGTTGTTGAAGCTTTTCTGAAACCCATGATCAATTTCCCTTCAGGCTCTAACCGACTGAATGTCACTGAGGAAACAGACAAAATTCAATGCACAGGATGCAAAATGTCATTATGGCAACAGAAAATATTATGGAACTTAGATTCAAATCACTCAATTTGTGAGTTTGAGGAGGTGTGGCTGCCTCTTTTCCTCAATAGTTCTTACACAAATGTATCCGAGGAATACATGCCAGAGTACTACTGGTCACATGTACTAGATTTGCTGCTTACCCGTATCACCTGCTTGGAGTCCCATATTCTGTATGCAAGGGGTAACCCCCTCCAGAACATACATTCTACTATTGTTGTTGGGCCAAAAACGGAACTGAAATATCCATTCTTTGCCTTTAGCATCTTGAATCTTGAGAGGTAAACCATCTGCCTGAGAGATTGGTGGAAAATGAGCCTGAATCAACGAGAATAATGCATATCAGTGTATCATTTGAGGGAAGAAAAATTATGAGTTTCACTACCAAGATAAATGAGTGTTTCTAACCTCAGCACATTTTTTTGGCAGCACCAGCCGTCCAATTCGTCCAGCATCACTAGGACTCAATTGTTTCTCAAACAAAGGAGTTATTATAGAATTTGAACTTTGAAATGGTTAAGGTTTTCGATGTAGAACTATTAAGATGATGATTATCAAGTCCCTGGATCAGCCAGACCCGTCAGCATAATATAGAAAACAATATTTACGAAAATAAGAGACTGGAACGGCGGATGCAACCTTCTTCAAACATTAAAAAAAAAAAAACAGAACTTATTCACATAATGACATCAATAGATATACAATCTGAAGAACGCTCAAGCAATTAAAGGATACTTTACAGATATCTGTGCCAGCTCCTCGTCAGTAAACCTTGGCGAGTACCTTGGAAGTAACTGGCTTCTTCCACGGGCATCTGCCCGGGGCCTCCCGCGACTACGAGGTTCAACAGGAGAATCACCTCCATTCTGAAAAGTAACAGAAAGCTGCTTTACAATTGGTGATGAAGTCGCGCGTGCAGTTGCTCCAGAGCACCCAAATTTTCCATTAGCTTCATTTGCGGATGTATTTGTTCCAACCATGCCAAATTGCAGGGTGGATAAATCTTTTCTTACAGAAGAAGAATGTTGTTCCTCGCCAGATGCACCTGAATACAGACGTGAAAAATAAAGAGAGAGATAAAACCTTAGCAACCATAATGTTGGTTGCTTGTGCCCAAAAAAAATGGCAAGTCACTGTATTCAGTTGTCCCTTGAGTACCTGAATAACCATTCTCAGGTTTGTCCCTTGAACTAAGCTTCAAAGTTCCATTCGTTGACCTCTGAGCAAAATAATCAATTTTTCCTTTTTCTTGCGAAGTGCAAGATAGTGTCTCGGAGGCACTACCAACATCATAAGGCATCCTAGGATGCGCATCAGTCGGACGAATAGAAGAATTGAACACACTGGGTGTTTGTTTCCATGGCACCGGACCTGGTCCAGCTAAATGGTTCCAGTTTTTAACTGAAAGGTCCTTCAGGCTGTCAGATAAATATCCATGGTAAACGAAAGGTGCCCATGCAGGATTTGATGTCTGAAATACAGAATTGAGACAATGAAATATTAGTGTTTTTCTCAGGAGGAGTTGTTCTTGCTCTGCTGAATGATACACAAGATGCACAAAGACATCAGAACCGTACTTCTCCAGCAGCTTTCATCACATTAACCAAGACTAGAATTTCAACGTCATAAAGCTGAAAAATTATTATTAGCTTCGTCAATCCCGACAAGGGAAATAAGTTCAGGTTCTGTCATTGATAAACGGGAAGTTCAGGGCACCCACGTATACTTACCAAAACTATTTTCTTCTTTGCACAAGCCACACACTCAACCCCACCGGCATCCAACAACGTAAATGCACTTACAGAGACAATACAACCAGAGTGCACACGCTGCAATAGAGAAAAATGAACAGCTGAGACAATAGAAACTAAGAGAAGAATCGCTATAGCAGAAAAGATCAATGCGATCAATCAAGAGACATGCTCAACTTACCTTCCCACAGGACTCACAACACCTCCAGCCACTAGCACGCGGGTGAAAAATCTCACAAAATCTCCCTTCCTCATAAGCAGTCCTATGTCAACGCCGACAAATTTGATATAGAAGTCAAGTCATGAAAAGTTAAGGCCTCAAAAAGTCCCGCATAACAGCATGAAAAAACTTGATCTCACAAAGTTCACAATTCACACTCTAACTATATGGCAAATAGTAAGTCCTTCCAACTCAATGATGGGCATATTTCCAAGGAAATCCCCACCGTTAAATTCTAAAATCTCCAATTTACCATGTCCAAGTTCTGGATTACATTATCAAGATCGAAACTCAAAACGAGCCGGTACAGGTACAATAAGCAGAATTTCCATCCTCTACTCCGCACATGTCTGATAACCGTCCTCTACGAAACAAGCGGGGTGCAGTTTGCAATACTAACATAGTAACATTCAAGTCATATCTAAACAGTCTCAGTACTCAACAAATGTCAACCTCCAAGTCAAAATCTGGAATGGAGTTGCAAGAGCTCATCTAGAGGCTGATTCCACATACACAAAGCGACAGCATACATACTACTGTATAGACCTAAACCAAATCACAATTAGAACCGTGGAATTCATGGAAAGGATTTCAGAGAAACAATGCTAGCCCAACCGTTATCCTCTTCCAGCTCCTATTAGACCAGTCGAGAAATCAAACTAGCATGCATTTCACTATAACAAGACAGAGCTAGAAATTAATTCCCCAAGCTCAATTTTCCGAGCTCCGGCAACAAGAGCCAACACAAAACGGCCAGACTACGCAGAGGAAACAACAAAATCCAACCATTGCCACATCACAAAAACGAACGTGAGCCGCGAATTCACCAAACTCCGGCTACATGAAATTGGCTTATGAAATCAGAGAGTCCATAGCCAAAACAGCCAGCCGCAAAGTTCGAACTGAAAAAGAAGAAGAAAAAAAACTGAGGACGTTGAAGAGAAGCTTTACAGTTATACTCACCCGCATCGATCGCACAGCTCTGCTAGCTCCCCGGAACGCAGCCGCCAGCCTTTCTTGGACTTGCTCTCCGTACAATCGGAATTGAAGCATTTGTTGAGTGCGGGAGGAGGAGCAGCAGGAAAAGCCGGCGGCGGCGGGAGAGCCGGAGACGGACAGGGAGTAGTCATGGTGGTGATTTTGGCGTCGGAGCTCTCTCGCCCTCTCTCACTCGCTCTGTATGGCGCGGCGGAGAGTTACGGAGCAAGGAACCAAACTATCGCATAGTAGAGAAAGAGTCCCCGAGGTTTCAAATCTTTCCGCTGTGGAGAAAACCGAGAGAGTAAAGAAGGAAGGAGAGATGAATAAATAAGTAGTGGAAAAAATAGAGGAGGAAACAGCAAATATTGGAGCAACAGAAAGACGTCTCGTCACGCGGCCTGAATCTGTGTTGTACTTCAATCATAAAAGGTTCGGAGTAGCCGATTTTTTTTTTTTTTATCTACGTGGCGAAAGGATACAGTCAAACTGTCAAAGGGAGTTAAAAATTGAACTTTATTATTTTCATTAAATTATTCTTGGTATTGAAGTGTGACTGGACTGTTATCGTGAAAATGAAAATAAATTAAAAATAGATTTGCGGATATGGTGCTCGTATTTGGATGAGATTTTTTAATTAGTGGAGATAGTTATTAATAGATTGGCTTCCCAAAAAAATATCTTAATAGATTGAATCTTTACTAATTACTATTACTTTTTTATCTTTTGATTTGTTTTTAAAAATGTAGAAGGGTTATTGAGGAGAATTTTGTTTGAAATGAGTTTTTATTTATAAGATAAAGAGCACTGTTTGTATTTTTGCGAAATAATAATAAATAAACTCGTCTTATAGTATGACATACCGTTCATCTATTCAAAGTGACACTAACAATTCAAATTTTATGCAACCAAAAAACTATTCAACTCCATAAGCCAAATGATGATGCAAGAGATCCGTCTCAAAAACATTCATGAGGCTAGCTAATTTTGATTGTACACTAAGTTGAAATGGTTTCTTATGATTCTTTAATTTCGGGGCGAGCTCACCAGCCTTGAGTATATTTTCTCTTAGATCTTCTATTAACAAAAAAAATTGGTTCGTACTAATTATTGAATGGAGAAATTTACAAGGTTTAAGCGAACGAATTATGCATATCCGCTTGCAAAGAGTATTGTAATAAGACATTGGCATAAAATTCTTCATGTTGGCAGGACTAGGAATCTTAGGCAGCTATACCAATTCACTAGAGTTTACTTTGTGAGGAAAAAGTCCAGCATAGGAGAATTATTGAATGAAAGGATGAGTGCAGAGGTCGTTTGGATGATAGGTTTATGAAATCAAGCAACGTGATATTTTTTTTCTTGCAAATCTCACGTTGATGGATCAGTTCAGCATACTTATCTTTCCCATGTCACTTCAAATTGATGAAAAATAATGATATGCAAATGTTATCAATCTAATTGGTGCATTCTCGTTTTATGTTGTCAAACGAGATAATTTAACTGCCTCATTTTTACGCAATTGGTCCAAATTAGTTGAACTGATTCCATCATCTGACCAACATATACATTCATTTCAAATACGATGTACTTCATCTCTTGTGTCACAACAAGCCTGCGTATCTAGCAATTTGACTAACTTCGAACTTCCTTTAAGAAACTTTTGAAAGAATTCGATGAGGTTTTTTACTTTTTTACCAATGCATGTCTTTCACTTTCAAAAAAAAAAAAAAAAAAACCAATGCATGTCTTCTACTATCTCAGAAGTTTCTTGTAGAACTGAACTACAATGTCACGTTTCCCACGCACCAAAACCAGCGGCAGATCTAGGGGGCGCCCCCGGGCCGCGACCCGACCCAATCTTGAGCTAGTATAGCACTTGTAATTTCGGATTACTGGTATTCGTTTAAGTGTTTTTCAGCTTACGACCTAGCCCTCTTTGCCTTTTTTCAAAGGCGGTCCTGTGCTCTACCCTGTACTAGATCCACCGCTAACCAAAACAGTGATGGTCATTTCCTCACGTCGTTTGACGAAATGTCATAGATGATAGAACTAACATCCTGTTTGGATTGACAAAAAACTAAGGAATTGGAATTCCATTTCCATATTTTATGTTTGGAATGATAAAAAGGTTGAGAATTGAATTACATTAGGTCTAAATTTGGGAATTACAATTCTTATCAAACGTGATAGGAATTGAGAGAATGAAGATGGAATTAGTGGGGCCCATTAATACTTTTTATTATTTTATTGACCCATTATCATTTTACTCTCTTTCCCTTTCAATCATATTTCATTTCCCAAAATAAAACACACATAATACATTATTTATTATGGTTAAAAGTGCAATTCATTTTCATAATTGTAGGAATTATACCAAACACTAGAATTGGAAATAGAATTCTATAAAAATAAAAAATGGAATTTCATTTCCATTTCTTTCGGAATTGTATCCAAACAGGCTGTAAGGTACTTGCTCCTTTGGCGGCCGGTTTTGGAAAGGGAGGGGTAGTTTCGGGTTTGCCGCTATGGCCCCGCTGTTCAAATTCATGCAATATCACGTAACGCATATTTCCTTTTCTTATCCTCCTATCACAATCCGCAGGCGTTTCGTGTTCACATGCATTAAACAGCCCAACAGCTCCCAGTCGCCGTCGAGAAGCGGGCCCCGCCGGCGGGGAGAACCGTTGAAACGGACGGCTATAGTTCGTAACTGTAAATAGAAAAGGAACGCTTAAAAATGTGTGAAAGGAGGCATACAAGAGTATTTGTGATCAATATTTCCAGTTTCACAATCCATCATTACAACTTCCCGATTATATAGGCGAGTGGCAAAATAATCAATGGTATTGTTTTGGTTCATTGGAATTACAATGTCAATCGAGATTCAAACTAAGGAGGAAAGCAAAAATCAACATCAGAGGCAAACTTTCTGCATACAATGAATAAACAGAGATCCTGTAGTATCGATGAATCCTTCCAACAAGAATTGCTTTGTAACTAAATCTAGTATATGCATACATGATACATGAATCCCCCAGGGAAAAAAAATCAAACCTGAGTGAATTCAGAAACATTCGACAGAGAAACCTTCTAAATGGGGTAAACGAATGTCTGGTTTGATGATGAGCAACTCCATGGGATGTTCATACAAAGATCAAGTGTAATGTAAGAAAAATGAAGCTAGCTAGCTAGCTAGCTACATTGGAGAAAAGACGGTGGCTAGACCTTGGTTCACGGTTATCAGAAGCTTGTCGTAAGCCATAAGAGTCTTCTCCTCGCATTTGTACGTTCCATTTCCTCTAGCCACCACCTCGCCATCGACGTCTATGATCCCTCCGACATTTGGTTCCTTCACACGGTCGCCAGGTTCCAATATGAACGCTTTCACCTGTTGGGTTTTGCAGAGAAGAGATGCGTGATTTGCTACAGGACATTCGGTATTGGAATTCCTATGAAGCGAGTTTGTGTTGTATAGAAAAAGGTAATGGAAGAATATGGACTGACCTTGAGGTACATGACGTGTGGTGATTTCACATGACCGCCGTTGCTTAGCTCTGTCATGAATGAGAGCAAGGCTAGCCTTGGGCATTCCTTGGTGAGCACCAAGTCCAGACAGCCATCTGAGAACTGCAAAACAAGGAGGGGAGTTAACAGATATTTTTTTGTCATGCATCTCTGGAACTATAGTTCAGCAGCAGAGAATTCAGAAACATTCAAGTAGGACTAAATAGAGTTTGGAACAAAGAGATAATTGGATGAAGTCTCAACAAAGCGCCAGCTGGACCAAGTGATTCAGCACAGAACAGTCGCTCTACCTAATCTGCTGTTTCAGGACAGTGTACATGCCAAATGTGCTGGCCATGTCATCAAAATTGTCCAACAAGCACTCCACACTCCCACTCTGACACCCAGCACTTTCCAACTCAGTCCAACCTGACTCCCAAGGTGTCAGCGAGCACACAAATGCGAGTTCCAAACCCTCCACGGACCGGAAAAGACAGAGTTCAGAGTTGGGTGGATGAGTCAAGTGCTGGATCAGGGGCGATTTTAGTGACCTGGTAACTAGTAAGCCTATTGTCATTAAGATGAAATGTGGTACTTTTCCCAAAATCACTGTTTAGTAAGTGTATTTGTTAAGATTTTTAGTTCAGTGACCATTATGAGACAACCGTCATAGTTCACCATATAAGAATTTAACCGGTCCGTTATCATGTGCTATTTTCAGCCAGATTATGGTTGTATTTGTATAAAAATTCTCCATAATTGGCCTATGATTGACAGCGAAAGACTAGAGAGCTGAGGAACAGAGAATAGTAAGACCAACCTTTGCGTCAGGAGCTGCCATGGTATTTTCAGCACCCCAAGGAACATTATGAAGCCAGACTGAAACAAATGGTCCACTAATTGTCCGCCATTCTTGGTTCATCAATTCGACATCAGGCCCAAAGGAACCACAGGGATGGCTTTTCACGAGCTGTTCCTTGCTGAAATCGCAAGACTCTCGAGCACTTGTATGTCCACTGTTGTGATTGATTGGCTCCCCATAAGTTTCAAACCCAGGTGCAGGCACGAAAGAGATTTGCCCGTTATATTTTCTTAGACTGACCAACCGTTGAAGAGCCTTCAAGGAAGAAGAAAAATAAAATCAATGAATTATAAACTTTTCATAATAGCATTATTAACACTGTAAATTGTAAGTTGTAACTCTCAAAGATAAACCCGGATAATCTTGATGAAAAACAATACAGAGAACAAATATGAGATACATACATAGAAGTCCATGCGAGAACTCCCCATCCATCTATATTTCTCAGATTCAATGTCGATATCTGCGACCAGACCTGAAACAGGAGAGGATAAAGTTTGGATGAAACAGTTATTACAGCTTGCTCTCAGCAATTATCAGAAGATTGGATCTTGACTATTTGAATTTGTTGTGATGCAGGATCACTCAGCATACCCCATGCAAGCATCAAAACACTGTAGTACTTGGTCTCTCCTTGCACGATAGTGGCTACATCCAGTGAGCACTTGTGTCCTACAAGAAAGAAACCAGTCAAATGGGGCAGAATTTTCATTTTCAAATCGATGGTCTCATGATGAACTATAAGGTGAGTTTATAAATTTAGGTAGGAAATGCAAAAGCTCCACTCCTTAACCTCTTATTACAGCAAGAGCAGCATTTGCTGGGCTGCACGGTTCACCAGCTGCATCCAGAAGTGATTTTACCATGCCATTGCTTGTACCTGGATCAGGATAAAAAGTTTATCAAATATAATTTTTTTTGAAATGATACAGTCAGTCTATAATTGATGAGTTATCCATCTATTTATCAAAGAACCTTTATCCATGGCATGACAAAGGAGAAAAAGCATCTTCCAGCTCTCATAATGAGGCAGTTATTGATAACAACCGTAGAGAACAACTAGTCAACAACCATTACAACTGTGTGGGTGAATCACTTTGATTAATTTCACAAACCCACATAATAATGTGGAAGTACTGACTCTGTGAGCCCACCAATGGCTCCTTAACAGATGAAAAGATTGAACAAAAATAAGTTGGGGAAAACAAACCTGCAGGAATCATTCCGAGAGGCATCTTTATTGCATCGCTCCAGTCCTGCCTCTCCAGAAGACCATTCACCACCTACTAAACATTTCAGCATGGGTAAGGAGAAAAAGACATTAAGTAGGTATTGCAAAAATGGAAAAACTAATACAGACACTAATAACCCTTGATGTTTACGGAGACAAAAACAAGCTCCTATATTAAACAGACATAAAAACCAGCTCATTGATCTCAGAACTACATTTTGAAACTAATTACGGATCAAACAAGACCAAGGACGGCAATAGCTTCAGGGTGCTTTCCAGATTATTAGAAAAATAGTTGACAATGGAACTGTCAAGGATCACAAATTATTTGATAAACACTTCAATACGAACAGTTATAGAGACTACAAGTCTACAACAAAAGTTCTCAACTTTTTTATCCTAAACAAATCCCATCAGCTACCAAAATCATAAGCCAACTAACCTCAACAAGGATACCGTCTCCACTGACACAAACAATGCCATCATATATGGAAAGTTCCATGCTGCTTACAACTTCTTTAGCATGATGCCGATGCATAGTTTCTGATAACCCAAAAACCAAAGTTATAAGAACCAAGAAACCAAAAAACGACATCCATTAGAACAAAGAACTAATGCAGAAATGACCAGAAGCTTTTCAACCTAGCAATGTAATCTGAACACCGGCATCCTCAAGTAATGGCTTCACGTGATCCAAATACACCTTGGGAGCAATCCTCTTCCCGCCATACGGGTTCACAAACACAAGCAGCCTCTTCGGCCGGCCTGCCATGAAAATTCATTCACCAAACCAAATTATAGAAGAAATAGTACACTGAGTAGTCATGTCTAGATTCAAACAAACCAACAAGCCTAATGACACATTGAACAAATCAGTTACCTAGTGAACTGAAATAGGTAATCAAGGAGTAACTCATCAAACTACATTAGGGATGTAAATATTGATCCCAGCAACAACCACAGCAAAAGTGCTATAGGTAGCCACTTCTTTTATCCTTTTCCTTACTTCAAATTAAAACTGCACCTTCTGCAGTGAACAAATTGAACTACCAGGGTAATTAACCTAATTAGAGTTCATATTAATTAACTCCATAATCAGAATTAGAGTTCGTATTAACTCCATACTCAGCAGCCACTTAACACAAACTTCTTCCTTCTATCTCCTGACTTCAAATTACTTGAAACTAGAGTTTTAATTGACTCCGTACACTGAACTTCCAGCTCCTTGTATTCAAAGACCAACTAATGTCACATTCGATGCAGGAACTTGCTTACCAAAGGAATCGAGGTGATCGCGGAGATGCTGATACCAAAGGTTAAGTGAATCTCCATGGACGGGCTCGAACACGAAATCCTTCCTGACCAGACCTGCTTCCCTGCTCCCGATACAACCGCAACATCCTTCTTCGCTGTGGACGACCGTCTTGACCACCACCTTGGTTCCTTCGACGACCAATCCGAGCACCTGCTTTTCCAGCACCAAGCACCGCTGGTCTTCGCCGTCATTCCACCGGAGCTTCCCTTCGGAGGTGAGCGTCAGCTGGGTGGTGACCGCGCCGTTGATTTTGACCCGGTCGGAGAATACGGATTGCGGCGAGGATCCGGGTTCGTCCATTGCGCAGAGGGAGGTGGGAATGCCGGGGCCGGTGGAGGGAGATTTTTCTTATAGTCTCAGAACTGAATTGGTGTGGCGTGTGGGGGAGAAAGAAATTGAATTCTGAGTTCCGGAATGGCGAGGATTCCTTCGAATTGCAGGCAACGATGGGAGCTGGGTTGGTGGAAATTTGTAGACTGCTGAGTTCTTGTCGCTTTGTTATAAGCAGCTAGTTCGTACTTTCCCCACGCGCGGGATGCCTTGAGCGGATCGTTTAGGTATCCGGAGGGTAGAGATCGGTTTGGTTTGGTTCGGTATCCGGTCCTTAGTATCGGCGAGAATGGAAACAGATTTATAATTTGGTTCGGTTTTTTATACTAAACCAAATTTGTAAGGTTAGCTTGTGTCTTTTCTTTTTAAATTATTTTTCAACTCTAATACAAAAAATAAATGTGCAACTACATGCATCATCAATGATAAAATCAAAAAAAATTTAATATATAAGTCATAAAACACTAACATAATTCAAATATTTTAGTTTCAAGACAAACTAAGTACAAACATAAAAACCAACCACTTGTAACTTGCAATTATAATTGTTCGGCTATTCGGTTTGGTCGATAGGACACTGATTTTGAAATATGTCATTTTCACTTCTGAATACCGAACCGAATGATATTAACTCGATTTCGATTCAGTTTATATTTTGGTTCGGTATGGATTGGATCTTTTTTATCGAACCGTATGCTCACCCCTACACCGGAGTACCAAAACTTCTACTCTTTTTTCAAATTTTTGTTGTCAATTGATTGCTTAAATTTTTTTTTATGGAAACATAGCACTTAAAGGTAGGGATGATAATAATATCTGAAACCGTGGATATCCGACCGAATCTGACCTAATCGGGTAGGGTAAAACCCGAACCCGAACAATTTTCAGCGGGTACGGGTAAAATCCGAACCTGAATATTGCGGGTAATGGGTGGGGCATGGTTTTATCACTATCCAACCCGAACCCGCCCGATTATATATATGTATATGTATTTTGTCTTGAAATGATCATTATTTTCTCAATATATTTTATATGTAGCATACAAATATAATATTTTCATGAAATTGTGTTGTTTGAATTGAACTTTCTTCATTCTAGCGAATTAATATGAGTATACGTGTGAATATTCAAATTTTGATAGAAATTATAAAAATAAATTATTACCCACGGATAACCGTGGATACCGAAAGCTGAATGGGTATGGGCATGGCTTTGATTTTCTACCCGATTCTTATGTGGGTATGAGTATGGGTAAAACCCGAACTACGTTGGGTAGGATAACGGATATGCATTATACGTCCCCGACCCGTTGCCATCCCTACTTAAAGGACGTCATAATCTTCAGTCAATAACAAGGTGGATTGCCTGAACCCTAATAACGTCATGATACAACCAATAGGACAAATTACTATTAGGAACTAAAATAACGTGTCTTCCAAATTACTATCACAAACCATGGTCCCTAATTGTTCTATATGACGACACAAAACACCATCTTCAACGAAGAAGCCCACAGGGTGTCCCAAGAGCGCCCAAATGAAAGACCCAACAACTTTACATGAACCATCAAAGAAAGTTCTATAAATGAAGACGTCGGGCTTGGGGTTCTAACTCTAAGTAGAAGCAACTTACTGATCTTCATCACAACACTCTCTTCGACGAGCATTCAGAAGTAGAGAGTCACAAACCTCTTCTCTAAAATAGCTTAACCATACACTTGAATTTTGTTTGTCCTCAAGTAAACTTGATTTCATAAGCATACAACTCACTAGTGACACGTGACTTTCGATCGTAGGTAGAGGTGGCAATTGGATCGGATTCGTGGATTGGATTGGTGGATTCATGGATCAAATGGATTGGATCCAATGGATTGGTGGATTCATGGATTGGATCAAATGGATTGGTGGATTGATCCATGAATCCAAAATGACATCCAAGGCTTGGACCAAGATGTAAATTTTGAAAAGTTTAGGTACTAAAATGTCATAATGAAAAATTTTAGGTACCAAAATGTAATTTTCCAATGATATTTTTCGTATAAAAATATAAATTTTAGGTACCAAAATGTAAAATATAAAAATATAGGTACCAAATCGTAATTTGCCATTTTGGATCCATGGATTGATCCATGAATCCACCAATCCAATTGGATTTGGATCAAATGGATTGGATTTAAATGGATTGGATTCATGGATTTGGATCCTAATTGCCACCTCTAATCATAGATAGTGAATCATCGAAAACTTACAAGGTCAACCCTCGCACTTTAGATTATTAGAGAAGAATCTCCTTGGATCCTCTTCCTTATGAAATCAAGATGAACGAAGCATAATGGAAAGATCTATTTGCGCAATTGGGATACAAGAATGGTGGAGTTGAAGCAAGGAATAACCCGAGTGGGCTAGTTTTGTTCTAGACAAAAGAAGTGGATCTTACAATCAAAGATACTTCTTTTTATCATATAATGATGGAAACTTATCCTCAAGAAAGGCGAACCGTCTTAAAGAATCCAATCAAAATCGTCATTTGGTTGAATCTAACATTTTGATTAGTAAATTGGATCTTTTGTAAAATCGTTATAAACTTCAAATTTATAATCACCTAAACAAAATATCTGTGTAAAGACCATTTTACCTCTTTTTTTGTTGTCATTAACCATTTTTATATCCTTCAAGAAGATAATAATAATAATAATAATAATAACCGTTTTATTGGACCGAACTGTAAAGCCCATGAAAAGTCCATACCACTGTTCTTCCCCGAAAGCCCAAATATAAACGGCGCGCTCATAAACCCCCAAAACAGCACGAGAACGAGGTCATCGGCAATTTGCTTTTCCCAGGCCGGCAATGGCGGACGAAATTGAAGATGGAGGGCTGCAGGCATCGGCGACCCGAGTCTCGCACATAAAGAAACGAGCGTTGAAGAACAAATCTCTGGCCATATCTTTCAACGAGAAGGATCTCAGGTGGCCGTGTTCAATCCTTTTGCTCTCTTTTGCATTGAACTACTGGAGAGTGGAGACCATTGTTTTTTAACGTGGTTGAAAATTTCTTGGTTTCGGCTCTCTTCGGAAAGGGACTACGTCACTGGCTTCCATAAGAGGAAGAAGAAGAGACGAAAGGAAGCTCATAAGCAACAGGAGGAGGCTGCTCGACGGAAGCGCATCGAACTGCGGCAGAAGGTATATGTTTAGTGACGAAACGCCCGTCTAAACTTTGTTTTTGCTCGAAAATTCGTTGTTTCTCTGTTTCTAGGGTTTATAGAGTTGCTCGTCATTTGGTTGCTGTTACGTCGTGTTAGCTGCGGGACAAGTGTAGTTGGCATTCGGAAAATGGACTGTAAGTAAAGAATCGAGTTTCTAATTGCATTCTGACTAGGTTTGCGCCATTTCTGTGTAATGGTTCCTAAAATTTAGGCTTCTTATCACTCTGCACCTATAACGTTTTTGACTCTTGAGGAGCTTCAGAAATCAGATACTAATATGCTTAAGTATGACTTTGGAGGGTATTGTGTTGTATCTTTGTAATAATTGCACTTGTGAAGCTTTTATCTGAAATGAATTTCTCATTCTCGGTGGTGTCTGTCAAATGTTATTCTATAACTGTTCATGTACTTGTATCCAGAGGAGGTTGGAAGATGAATTTCATATGGACGAAGGAGCTCCCCCAGTGGATGAAGTGATCGAGGAGGATGATGAGGGCGCGGAAGAAAGTGAGCCTGTTGCTTCAGTCAGCGGTATGTCTCTTTAACGTATAACTATTATCGAATTTAGTCGAGTTTTATGTCTATTTGGATCTTCACGTTGTGCCTTTGAGGATGCTTTTTAAGAGTGGTAACGGTGCCAGTAGCTTGATAGTAACTGTTTGGTACTTTGGTTATAGGGTTACTTTTAGTTTTGATCAATGATGAAGCTGCTATTATCAAACAGAAACCTCAACAAAAAAAGCTGTTTGTTATGCTTAGATGAAAATGGAAATAAAAGAGCAACCATTTTGTGGGTTCTTAGGTTTTTATGCTTAGATGAGTATTCTGTTGGATAACCATTTCGATTTGGCTGTTAGGATTTTCATGCTCGAATTAGTCGTCAGTCGTGTAACGATTTTGATTGGGTTCATAGGGTTCTTACATCCCATCGATGGGATGTTTATTGGTCTTATGTTTATACCTCTCTTGGCAAATGACGTAATGAGCTGCATTATGTCTAGTCTACTAGTTATGGTCCAATTCTGACATTCACGGTCAGTCTAATACTCCACTGTCTGAATCTGTGTTTCTCTCCTTTTTGGCTTAAGGGACGACAATGTATGACCACGGGGACTTGAAGGTAACAGTAACGACTAGTGAGATCTCCAGAGAAGATGACGACTCTGGACCAAACGAGACAACGCCATCAGCCATTGCAAAACCAATCATTATTAAGAAGAAGAACCAGAAGCTACCCGTGAGTAAAAAACCATCATTCAAGCGATCCTCCAAGCGCAAGACCCGAGCAAAGCCACAGACCAAAAGGGATAAAAGGAAAGCGAAACTTCCGAGCTGGAAGTGATAAGTCTTCCCTTCGGAGGCAGCTTCAAAGGTCTGAGATGACTTCTTCCGGTATTGTTTTGACTTGTTTACTAAGAAACTGATTTTGATAACTGAATAGTTGGTTATGCAAACGCCATGAGCTCCACTTGTGATGTGGGAATATTGATGTCTGTGTGGTTATGTGCCTTTTTTATCCGTTTGCTTTATATCTCGAGTGAAGTAAAGAGCAAGCAAAATATGTGTTAAAGAAAAACAACAAAATGTGTGTTAAAAATATGGAGTTTGCATTTTAACTTGTAAAAAAAAAAAAAAGAGAGAGAGAGGTTTTCATTATCAATTTTGTCACCGATTCATTCGAAAAGAAATAAACCCTACACAAACATGGAAGTCCTGGCAAAGGGAGATATCTAATGGCAACATTTCGGCGACGGAAGAAGAAAAAAAAAAGCAACAAAGAGAATCGAATCAAGCTTCGGTCTCAAGAACTTCGTCTTCATCTTCTTCGAGGATGTAAACCAATGCACGCCTTCTTGCAGCAAAAACACAAGCAACTCCCCTTGTCGCTGTTTTCGGTCAAAAAAAAGAGGGAGGAACATAAAAGAGTTGATAGGAGCTCTCCTCCAGCAGAAAGAAAGACCCACAGAAGAAACTAATGAACAGCAGAACAGAAGATACGCCTGAAAAAGCTTACCACTGACTGCCAAAGGAGCGACTACAGAGTAAGGGATGGATCGAACCTTCTCGTTCTCCGTCTCCAGGCACACAGAGGAATCCTGCATTGACACATTTGGCTTTACCAGATAAGGGGGGATAGAGAAAGGATCAATCGTAGTTCTAGTCAAGGTACTATGTCATTTGAACAAATTAATATCGTCCTTCATACAAACATAGTCAGTTCTTATTAAGCCCCCGACAAAATCCATAACTAATTTGGTCGATCCATGCTTGATAAGCATGTCCTAGATGACTCGGATATCAGATATGGTAAAAACTAATGTCTTGTCCTTCAAATGTCATTCGGATTTCCGAATCAAGTGTCATGAGTCACAAGGATGTGATTACTAAGCATGACACGATCAAATTAGTAACTGATTCAGATTCAGTGGAGGGCCTCATGTGGTAAAATTCATTGTTTGTGTAGAACTAATCCGGAGAAGAGCGGAATGGGATTAACCTGTACGTGATGCATTTTCCATAAGCTTAGGTCTCTGGATTGCGAAACAGGTACAAATGGGAGCTCATTAGCTTGAACGATCATCATACAGGCATCTCCCGGGGTTTCAGGGGTGTTTGTCGTCCCGTTCAGTAGCAAAACAACTTGAGTGTCCTGTTTTAAGAAAAATTGGATTAGGAACATGAAAATATAATGAAACTAGCTGCCTAACTGTTTCGTGGATGGTTCAGTGCTGAACCTTGTATAATGACAGATCAGCACAGTTGTAACCTGCTGGCATAGACAGCAGAACAGCTTCCAATGTCGAATAACCTCTTTTAAGATTCCTCTGGTCATGCATAAACCCTCGTACTATGCCTATATAGTTTCCGTCATCGGAAAGGGACTCAGTGGGGACTTGAAAGCATATGTAATCATTGAAGTTGTTCTCATTTGCTTCAGAATCATCCTGCAACAGAAAAGAAGAGACTTGGATAAACATTGGATCTAGAAAGTCAACTAATCACTTCGAACACCAGAGGAATGCTTAAGCAAGAGAGTACCTCATAATATGATATTGACAAGGGAATCATGGCAGATCCGTTTAGTGGTAAAGATGGAAGAGGAAAGAGAGGCAGCAAATCCACAACATGTATCTTCCTTGAGATTGTGGTAAATGGCATCAAAAAAGCCTCCTTGAAACTAAAATTTGTTCAAATAGAGAAGGAATCAACAAGTAGTTCATGATTTCTACAGCTACACTCGCATGTTTCAGCTAGATATCTATAACATGAATGCACAAATACATACCTAGACTCCATTTGTTGGAATTCTTTTGCTAATGTCCTGCGAAGATATTCGGTGTCCGAAAATCCCCCAAACTGAACTAAGTCTTGGACTCTTTGCATTGTTTCCCTGCATTGATTGACAGAAAATTTAACAGTTTTGACTAAGTGCTACTTAACAATGAGTTTCAGCATTTTCTGTAAAACAAGCGGGGAATGGAAATTTCCTTTTTAATTTTTATGCCTTGGTTTAAGAAATCAACTAAAAAATAATTGATACAGAGCTCAAAAAACATTATCTCCCTATCTCGCACTAAAACCAGCTTTTGATGAATAACCATTCAACCATCCACAGAAACAACTGTCTGTAACTTTATAGGAAATAAATTCCATGACGGCCTATTAATGACCAGGTATTACAACCATCTTTAGATTACAGAAGCTGTAAAAAGAGCACTGATCCACAGGGTAACTTACAAGTCAGCTTCAACTGGGTGATCAACTTCAGAGGGATCCAGCAACTTTCTAACTGGGTCTTGATTATATAGGAACTTCAGGAATATGACAACAAGTTCACTGCCAAGGTAAATGGTATTTTCTTTCAGTACAAATTAAAACGCTATTGCAGTATTGAACATGAGAAGGCTGGATGGAAAAACCTATTATATGGAAGAAGTTGATCACTGGGTTCTTGCATCAACAGCTTTATACATTTGAGAAGCCAGTTGAAGAAATTGGAAAACTGCAAAACAAAGCAGAGGAATATACCGAGTTAGGAGTTAGGACTTGACATACAAAAATGAATACACAGAGAAAACAACCCCTTTTTATCCGATTCATCACTGACACACTGTAACAACAATAATTACAGAAGAAGCAATACTTTTGACCGTTGGGTAAAACAATGTATAGCTAGAAGCTGACACCAATGTATGATGGAATAGACCCAAACATACACACATGAGAAGTTCATCTATCTGAAAGAAGTTTGAAGTGCTAGAATTCAACATTTAGATAGAAAAATATGATACCTGCTGCTCCACAGAAGTGAGCACCCTCATGAATCGTTCAACTTGTACCAACATCATGCCTGACTTTTCTGTTGCGTGAGCAACAAGTGTCTCATCCAAGCCAATAACCTGGAAGCGTGAACGCCATCTTGAAAGGCCTCTCAGTTCTCCCATCCTAAATGCAATTATTTCTGCAGCAGGCTAGGAAAAGCGTGTATCCCTTAGTTTCATCTCAAGACTTCCTAAATGACCCAATCAGAAAACTATAGCATTATTCATGCAACTTCTTGACAGGTTATAAAAGAAGCCGACTGAACTCCAATGAACAACTTGATGAACAACTTGAGACTGAGCGCGGTCATAGTAAACAATTGTGCACCTGAAGATGGTCATGGACTACACGTTGAAGTTCTTTTCCAGCACCACAGACTAACTTTGACACACGTTTGACACCCTGCTAATCAAACAGAAATAAGAGGAAATAGCTGTCAACCATCTGTACATTCAGGAAAATGGAACTTGTGCAAGGAGTGAAGCCTACCGCTTCTCCAAGAGTGTTTACTAGAAATTGATGAACTGCTGGACTAGTACGAGCACCGCCTAAAAGGCTCAGAAACTCTTCCTGGGGAGAGGAATCCAGTGCTGCATTGAGAAACCAATTAACAGGATCAAATACAGTATAAGGAATGACAAGAGTTAAAATCAGGAGTTACCATGATCAGTAATCAAAGTATCTAGAGAAACAAACTTCTGGCTGAATGACTGAACGGCATCTGTCCATTGTTTACTCATCACTGACAAGGACGCCCGGATAACCTCTGTCAAGTCCTCAATGTTAGAAGCTTGTTGGGCTAATTGATGGAGCTCATTCTTCCTATATTGACAAAATAAGCAAAGACAAATTCATACATGATCACCTCAAAAAGTGGGGAAAAGAGGTGGAGCAACACATGGTCGTGGTAACTAATATAAATACCTCTTCCCAAATACAGAAGTATCTAGCACTAAGCCATGCATGCCACAACCAGCTACTTTATCTGCTTCTAAAGCGGCAGCTGTACTTTCAATGAGGTCGCCAGAGAAAAGGACAATCAACTGACAAAGGTCCTTTGACAATGCAACCTAAAAATAGCAAGATAGTATACTTAGATAATGAATCTAATTCATCAAACAGACTACACTCTGAAGCTAACGACTTAGAGCATCAGCATACCTTGTATATGGAAGCATTAAGAAGGTGCTGAGTTTTATCACTGTTTGGTACAGGTACAGAAAATTTGTGTACATTCTGCAACATGTGTACACATAAAAAAACATAAACAAAGTGAAAGGATTATCAATTGTATATAAGTCAAAACCCTACTCAGTCTATTCTCTTAGCTAGAACCATTTCAAAATTCCGTTTCTGCAGGACTAGATCTAACATATCTGAAATAAGATGTCAGAAACCAAGATACAGTGAACAATGTACTTACAACTTTTCCTATCGGAAATATTCCAAATATACTAAAACAAATGCTCCCGTCTTTGTCTCCACTGCACAGAATATTAAAGCGTTGGTACGACGAATTGGAAAGTTGCCGGTATGAATCTTCATTATCCTCCATGAAACTGGCTTCACTTGTCACGACACCAGGCGTCCGTGGGACTCTTGGAGCAGGAGGGAAGAAACGGGGAGTACGATCTTCAAACACCAATGAATTCTCAGTGTTGTTCTGAAACCCAGCTTGAAAAATATAAATGGTATGAGTAATTTACCATGACCAGTGAGTAGGAGAGTAAAGTCATCAGAAATTTCACAATCCCAAGCTTGCAAATAGAACTGACACGAAAATGGATCTAACCAGTTCACTGTCCTCTTCCCAGTTAAGGCAGACGACCGGGGCCGTATGAGACTTCAAGCTTCTCAACAGTTTCCCACTCTATAAAATAAACATGGCACACTTGGATCAGGAAACACCAATTACAGCATTGTTGATACAAGGCAAAGAAGTAAAGGAAATACTCGCCTCTACATCATGCAATGAAATGGTTCCATCTTCGAGCCCAACAGCTATCGCTTTACCATCCGGACGCCAACATAAAGACGTAATGGATTTGCCTGAACAAATTTCCAGAAACACGAGCGACAAGCATCAGCTGGCAGTACAGAACAAAAGCTAAGGGACCGAGAGCAGGAAAAAGCTGCGAAAATGGGCGATAGAAGAACAATCACCTGGTGAAATCGTCCATAGCCGCTGCCAATTGAATCGATGGAGCATGATTTTCGAGTCCTCAGTCACCATTGCAAGTAGATCCTTCTCCGGGTTCCATTCCGCTATTTTCACCTACCGAGAGAAAGGAGTCAAAAACAAATTGAAGACCAAACACAGGCGCCGGAGACCAAATCATTTCGGCAGTGAAGGACATCAGAACAAACAAAGAATGGGGATTGGAAGAACCTGAGAAGCGATGGGCTTGTCGAACTGAAGCTGGAACGGAACTACGTGCTCAGAGTCAGAAGCATCCGTTTCCATGGCTGAGCAGTGGAAGAAGGTCTATCCTCCCGTAATTCAAATATAAGTAGAAGAAAAAAAAATACGAAGAAGAATCAAGAAGCCTTCTATTGAACTGTGCTTGCTACTCCTTTGCATCCATCGATTAAACTAAAACCCTAGAAGCAGCAGAAACAGCTGGGAAATATGATAATGGCGCGCTTTTCAGCAGAATCAAGAAGCCTTCTATTGAACTGTGCTTGCTACTCCTTTGCATCCATCGATTAAACTAAAACCCTAGAAGCAGCAGAAACAGCTGGGAAATATGATAATGGCGCGCTTTTCAGCAAGGTTTAAGATCTGACTGCAAACTGCAAAGAGAAGGGCAGTAAGAAAAGCGACAGTGAAAAATGGGGAAAGTAAAAACGACGCCGTTGCCGGGGATCGAACCCGGGTCACCCGCGTGACAGGCGGGAATACTTACCACTATACTACAACGACCGAGTTGTTTAAACGATGCAGATTTACTTTTATATAGACGACTTGTGCAGATTTTGAGATCAAGTAACATAATTGTATGTTAGCAAATTGATTTGTAGATAATAAAATAAATGATAACATCCACCATGTATACTATATTTGAATATTGAGATCAACATTCCTCTAAGATAATTCTATGACCATATAAAAGTTTGAGTACTTCGAGTCTTCCTTATCCACATCATGGATACAAACTAACAATGTGGTGTATGTTGATGATGTTCGTATGGAGCGAAAGATGTAATGTTGTTCATGAAGCGCCTTGTCGGGAGCCAGAAAAAATCGCTAATTTATTGCAGGCAGAATTGCAGTTCGAGGTTGTTGGGAATGGCCTGATGCAAGCATATTTGGAAATATTCTAGTACCTTTAATACAGTTTCGGTTTGACTACACTGGCTTACAAGGTAAGTAGATAATTATAGAAGAGGAAGTAGTGATTGGTAGGAAAGCAATGTATCACATATATAGAGTACTTGTGACTCTAACTCGTTGTATTGGTTCCTTTCATTTGCAATAAAAAGAAACTGATTCAACGGTGAACAAATTATTTGGTATTCAAAATTTGCTTTGAAGAGAAGAAAGAGACGAAAGTCTTTTTTTTATAAAAGTAACTTGATTTCATTGAAATCAAACTCCAACCTCTAAGGCAATAACATCAGCAATTTGGGCAGGAACACTACCATGCCACATCCTGTCACTAAGTACATTAAAAGGAAAGAAATGTGCCAGCAGATGAGCAGCCTCGTTTGCTTCCCTGTACACAATCCTCCAATCAACGACACCAACCTCCAAGCCAGTCAAGGCTATGCTTTTACAAACGTTGTCAATCTCAGTCCTGCTGTCATCTCTCCCCTTCGGAATATTGATGAGCTTCTGGCAATCTGACTCTACCTGAATGGCTTTGAACCCCTTCTCTTTAGCCTTCTCCAAGCCATATTGCAGCGCCATCCCTTTCGCAAGATCAGGGGGCCAGCTTTCTTTGAGAGTTCTGCAACCTACCAGCATCACATTACCATCCCAGTCTCCAATTATGAACCTCATTCCCACCTCTCCTTTGCCACTACAACCTGCATCAAAATTAAGTTTATAAATCCCTTCTGGTGGTTTTTCCCATCTGCAATTCCTCCTGTCAGCTCCCCCCCTTCCGTTGTTTTCTTTCCCCTGAACTGCGATAAAATCCTGTATGAAATCATCAGCTTTTGTAAACACTTCCCACTCTTGTAGCATCTTGCTATCAAACAAGCAGTTGTTTCTCTCTTTCCAGAAGAACCATAACAGAGAACATAACCTTTCAATCTCCCCTTCTTTCGCCTCCTTTATCACCTTGAAAATCCACTCTTTATAGGGGAGGGATGCAGCAATATAGAACAGGTTCGCAACAGGGGTTTTGGACCAAATCCTCCCCACCCAACTGCAATCCACAAGGCAGTGTTTTAAAGTTTCTTTCATGCCACAGTTTGGGCATTCATCCGCTCTTATTTTGCTTTTTTTTGCTTATCCTAACTCCAACCAGAACAATATTATGGGCCACCTTCCATAAAAATACCTTGATTTTCCGGGGATATTCAGCTTCCACAGTTTTTTCCATCTAGCATTCATCTCATGGTCATTATCACTTCCAGCCAACTCCTCGCCCCTTCTGTTCATCTCCATTTCTTACCCTGACCTGACTGTGTACTTTCCATTCTTCGTACCAGTCCAGCACAAAGAATCCCTATCAATATCAGATGTTATAGGAATATCCAGAATAGCCCGATGCTTTTCCTGCATAAAAATAATCTCGATCAGATCTCTCCTCCAAGTTCTAGTTTCTTGGTCAATGAGGCAAGAGACTTTTGAGTCCCAATCCAGGAAAGGGCTATAAGAAAAGGCATGAAAATTGTCCAGCCCAGGAATCCATCGATCCCTCCAAATATGAACCTCCTTACCCGAACCAATCTTCCATCTGCATCCTTACTTTAGTAATTCTTGAGCCCCTATTAAGCTTCTCCAAATGTAACTCGGTCTCCAACCCATTTTTGCTTCCAGAATATTGCACTTCAGATGGTTTTTGCCTTAAGCAGTCTTGCATCCAGAGATTGAGGTTTGAGATTCAGGTTCCATAGTTGCTTTGCAAGGATAGCCGTGTTAAAAACATTAAGGTTCCTGAACCCCATCCCTCCTTTATCTTTCTTTTTACACAACTTCTCCCATCGTTTCCAATGAATTCTTCTTTCTTTTCCTTTTTGCCCCCACCAGAAGTTAGCTATCAAGCTATGAATATCATCTATAATTACATAAGGGATCCTGAACACAGACATAACATAGATTGTTTGGGCCTGAGCGAGAAAAAAAACTATTTTTCCAATTCGTCAACTTGTTCCTCACCATGTCTCTGAGATTTCTGAACACCAGCTTCTTAGATCTCCCAACCAATGTAGGAAGCCCCAAGTACTTTGCTAATTTATCCACTTCTTTGATATTCAACTCTTGGCAGATCTCCCGTCTCCTATTATCCAGGATGTTCTTACTAAAATAAACCTCTGACTTGTCCAGGTTCACCATTTGCCCAGACTCTTTCTCATAATCTCTTTCAATTTCTTTGATTCTTCCACCGTGGCTTTAGCAAAAATGATGCAGTCATCAGAAAACAGTAAATGGGAGACAACCGGAGCCATGTTGCATATTTTCAGACCATGAATATTCCTCTCCCTCCCATTCTTATTGATCAGAGCCGAAAGACCCCCAGCACAGAGAAGGAATAAGTACGGGGAGAGCGGATCTCCTTGCCTCAGCCCCCTACCAGGATTGAAGAAGCTGGATTCATGACCATTAACCAACACTGCATAAGACACAGATGATACACAATTCATAACGAGCTTGATCCATTTATCATCAAAACCCAATTTAGCCATGACTCTTTCAAGAAAAACCCATTCAACACGGTCGTAAGACTTAGCCATATCCAGTTTGAGAGCTATGAAACCTTTATCACCTTTGCTTTTATTCTTCATGGTAAAGAAACACTCAAAAGCATCTATCACATTGTCAGTGATTGATCATCCAACACTCTTTTTAGCCGGTTAGCAATACCCTCTGATAGAATTTTATACACAACAGAACATAAGCTAATTAGTCTGTACTCTTTGGGAGAGATGGGATTTTTTACCTTTGGAATCAAAGCATGAGTGTTATGTTCAGCTCAACAGGGAAGCTTCCTTCATTGAGAAAACTCGTCAACTCCTCAGTGATTTTTGACGCGATAGTACTCCAATTTTTCTGGAAGAAGAGGGCAGGGAAACCATCGTCACCCGGAGATTTGGTGGCTCCCATCTGGAACAGTGCATCTTGGATTTCTTCTGCAGTAAAAGGCCTGAAAAGTTTGTGGTTCATCTCTTCAGTAACTCTCTTTTCAATCGCATCAATTACCTTCCAGCAGTTCTGATCCGCTTTGCTTTCAAACAGCTTGGAGTAATATTGGAATAAACAACCAATCACTTCTTCTTGACCCTTATGTATTCTCCCCTGTTCATCTTGAAACTTTTTAATGGTGTTCTTCCTCCTTCTTTCGGAAGCTTTTGCGTGAAACGCCCTGATGTTCTTCTCCCCTTCCTTAACCACTCCATTCTTGATCTTTGTTTCCACCGCTGCTCGTTTTGGTACAACAGGTCCTGCAGCTCCAGCTCCAGTTTTCTCTTTCTCGATCTCCAATTGTTGTTCTTCTTTTGCATTCTCATTCCTTTTATACTTCTTCTAACCTGAGGAATCCTTTTCGGAATATCCCCAAACTTCGCCTCACTCCATCTTCTCAGCTTATTTTCACAACTCTTCAAACTTTGACCCAGGGTGCCACAATTTGCTGCCCCCCAAGCTTCTCTGATTATCTCCGAAAGTCTTTGTTTTACATATAATGCAAATTAATCCCACATGGCACTCGATTAGGGGCGGGCCTAGGTTAGGCCTACCATTGTCAACTGACAAACCTTGTTCCAATTTTGAGACAAAATTCATTTGCAAATTTTTATTTTAGCGATGTTAGTATTTTAACTCAATTACTCAAGACCATTTGACAATTCTTGATGATTTTATTTCATCGTTAAATACCCTTGATGTAATTTCTCGGTCCGCCACTGCACCCGCTATAAATTTTCACTATCCCAATGAGTTATGTTAGTATTTTACGAAATTAGTTCTTACTTCTCATATTATGTAACATAATATAATAATAAATATGATGAAATTAAAGATAAAACTACATGTTGTTTGCCTAATATAGGTATAGTGAGCTTTGTGAGTTAATGGTGTGGTTAGTAGTAGATCAAACAAAACTATTAGTCTATTATGATTTTAATGGATTTTGTGGGTCAATTGTTGTGGTTAGTGATCAAAGATCAGTATTTTACTAACTACACCCAATCCACTACCTACAATTTATGGGTATGATTAACCACAATATATGCAGGTTGGTGCATCCAAACAGCAAACCAAACTTCCACTCTAAAATGAATGCTAGTAATTTAATCGGGTAGTATGGACTATGGATCGCAGGCCAGACCCAGATTTAAAAAAAAAAAAAAAAAACACAGCCCGTCCATATCGGCCCATTACCAATTTCTACGATAACATGATAGAATGTGATTCGGTTGATGGAGAACTGTATGATCTGCTCGCCACGGGAATAGTTTATTCTCCCTTCGATTCTCTCGCTGAGAATCTTCAATCGTCCCTTTCTCAAAAGCTCTCATCTACTTGTCTCTCTCTCTCGCCGGCCGGAATTTGGTTGCGATCGACGGCCAAGGCGGTGCCAGCTCGTCGAGAAACGCTTTCAAGCTGGGAAATGAATCAGTTTAAAGTCGGCACTAGCAGCATCGTTCTTCTCGGCAGTTTGCGTACGGAGAATCTCGTAGCGGGCAAATTCAAGTATCTAGCATAAGCAGGGGAAGCTTGATGGAGAAAGCGGAATCATATTCTTCGAGCTCGTTGCTTCATTAATTCCGCTTCTGTAAGACATCCATTCGAGTTCTTTTGCTTATCATGATTTTTGGTTCGTGGTTGGCTACTCTTGTTAGCATATAACATGTTTGATGAAAGGCCTGCAAGTTCTTGTTAGTTGTGGTTCAGCAGTGTGGGTAGATAGTTTATTCTTGAACGTTGTTTGTCCCCCCCCCCCCCCCCCCCCCCCCCCCCCCCCCCCCCCCCCCTAGAAGTAAGCAATTACGGCACTAGGATAGGATCGATTTCGAACCTGTACAGAGATTGAATACAAGTTGGTCTCCTGTATTTAGATTGTTTTAGTTTTGGATTCCGTTAATATATAAATGTTTCCGCGTATTAGTTTCGTACTTTCGTATAAGTGGTGAATTAGGATTCTTTCCCTGAAAGAACAAATATCCTTTGTTTAAGGTCTAACTCTAACTGGGACCTAGCAAAAATGAAAACTTGGCAATACCCTTTTCAAATCCATGTCCTGAAGCTAATAAGATGCATTTAGATTCAGAATATTTAGGACTTTGTTGTTGCCCATGCAAGCTTGTCATGACTTTCATTGGCTTTTCTTTTCAGACATCCAACAGCTTTGTTTAAGGTCTCGTTCTGGTATTTGAGATGTCAGTTGAAAGCAGCCTGAAGATGTTAGTTTCAGGGGTGATTCTCGATCTGGATGGCACCCTTCTTAATACAGGTTGTGTTTTTTTCCTACCTTGGATGTTCTTTTTTATTTACTGTCAATTTGGTATCTGTTCATCCCCATGTGGTGGAATGAATATGTTTGTAATTTCTTCGCAGATGCCTTGGTAGTTGGGGTTATGAAAGTTTTCTTGGTGAAGTATAGCAAACAATGGGATGGTAGAGAAGTTCATAAAATTGTCGGGAAAACGCCTATTGAAGCTTCTGCTGTTATAGTACAAGAATATGGACTTCCTTGCTCAACAGAAGAATTTATGAGTGAAATCACTCCAATGTTCTCAGACCAGTAATTAACCTATGAACTTGCTTGTGTGTATAAATCAGTATCTACATGAGTTTAGAATCTTTAGTCTTGTTGCTTTTGAACTACTATTGCTACTGTTTTGGTGCTCTATTATATCTTATACAGTTATATGTCATGTACCTTGGGTGTCTTAAGTCATGGAGCATCTTACAACAATTCTGCAGATGGTGCAATATCAAGGCACTTCCAGGTGCTTGTCGATTGATTAAACACCTGGCTGATCATAAAGTACCCATGGCTCTGGCTTCAAACTCTCCAAGGGCAAATATTGATGCTAAAATCAATTGCCACCAAGGTAGGTGTTCTGTCATGTGGAAAAAGTTTAATTTTTGGTTCACCTTCAGTAATGGCAGCCTCCAGGGCGTTTGAGTTGATTACCATTGTCCTGTTTTACAATAGGCTGGAAGGAATCGTTCTCAGTGATTATTGGTGGCGATGAAGTAAGAGCTGGGAAGCCATCTCCTGAGATGTATGATATCAGTTGTCAAAACAGCTTACTACTTCTGTGGAATCTGTCATCGGCATAGATCTAACCATTTGAATTGAAAATCCAGATTTTTGGAAGCAGCTAACAGGCTAAACATAGAACCTTCACGTTGCTTAGTGATTGAGGATTCTGTGTAAGTGAATTTATGCTTGGACCTCTGCTAAATCCCAGTTTCTCTTTTTTCCTTGAGTCTCCTTTCTAGTCAATAACATTTGAGAGGGATTGAACTGCAACAGGCCTGGTCTAACTGGTGGCAAGGCTGCTGGAATGCAAGTAGTTGCTGTACCCTCGATCCCCAAGCAATCTGATCTCTTCACAGCTGCAGACGATTTGATAAATTCTCTATTAGATTTGCATCTAGAAAAATGGGGCCTTCCTCCTTTCGAAGATTGTAAGCTCTAGTCATCCATATTGCTTTTCTGTTTGGACGAACGCATGAAGCCTTTATGCTCCTCAGCTGTTACGGGAAGTATTTGAATCATATGCTTGCAGGGATTGAGGGCACTTTGCCAATAGAACCATGGCACATTGGTGGCCCTGTAATTAAGGGATATGGCCGTGGCTCAAAGGTTCTTGGGATCCCCACAGGTACCGAGACCCACTCATTTCTATTTATAATGCATATGCAGTCCCCAAACACAGCCTGATAAAATGCCATCGTATGTTCAGCTAATCTATCGACAGAAGGATACTCAGATTTACTCTCACAACATCCCTCTGGGGTGTATTTTGGGTGGGCTGGATTGTCAACCAGAGGTGTCTACAAAATGGCTATGAGCATTGGTTGGAACCCATATTTCAATAACACTGAGAAGACAATTGTAATGAATGCATATCTACTCAATTTACTAATTGGTCTCTTCATCCACATTTTCCTCTGTTCTCCAAATCTAATCCACTTCTTTTTTTGCAGGAGCCATGGCTGCTTCATGAATTCAAAGACGATTTCTATGGTGAAGACTTGCGCCTGGTTATAGTTGGTTATATTCGACCAGAGGTACGTCGTAGATTGGGTTTTGTTCCATTTCTGGATGTTGGCTCTCTGCCATATCCTTGTCTTTTACATTCTCTAAAAGGGGTCGATTTACGATCAGGCTAATTTCTCGACTCTTGAGAGTTTGATTGCCAAGATTCACGAGGACGGGAGGGTTGCAGAGAAAGCGCTCGATCTTCCACTGTACTCAAAGTACAAGGATGACCTATTCTTGAGAAGCTCTTCATTGTAGTTATTCATGAAGATGATTACTTGTAAAATAAACTTGTAAAGAACTTATTTATTAGTTTCTACTGATGCAATTCATGATGATCTGCAGAATTGCAATATACCAGTAAATTGTGAACCTGGCTCCAAAGCTAATGCAGGCTAAGTAATGATAGTTTATTTGGTTACTGTTAAAAGTTGACCAACTCATACTTATATCACATCACTTTTTAGCTGCATTAGATACCGGTATATACCGGATATCCAAGAAGTACATGTTGACATTGTTTGATCAACCCAACAGCTGCGACTGCATGAGAAGACAATTAGCCTAAACGTAACGTGAAGTGCTGTCATCAGAATAGCCAAAACTCTGCTGACTTTATACTATATGTGAAAAGGGTTTGTTATAATCCTACAACATTTTGGCATGGTGAGGTTTAAATGTTTAATCAACCTGTAAATTCTTGATTTCCCAGTTCCCTGGAGTTTTTGAGTAATTTAATAGGAGTTAAGAGGGCATAAGCGTCAATCACTGGCTACGTCTTTAAACGAACTTGGGCCTTACAACTCCCGTTATCTCTTTCGAGACCCAACCTCCGAGGCCCAATCGAGCATATTTGGGCCCACTGGTCAAACCAAGTCAATATTGTGAAATGCAGGTGGTGATAGAGAGAAACTCTCGAAAATCTTCTGGTTCCCACGCGGGCACGGCCGACGACGGGGACTCCGATACCGCGGAAAGCCGATGGAAGAAGAACGAGACGGCGAAAGCTATTCTCCCGATGGTGAAGAAGCTACCGTACAACTAAACGGCACCGATACAGTAATCGAAGAAGCTACTGAGACGGAGGCGCAGTCGAGCTCCGGCGAACATGATTATTCTTACTGGTCTTCAGTTAGGTTTGACGTTCCTCCACATAGAAACTACCATTTCTCTGCACAGTTCAGAGATTCTCCTTACTCGAACAACTTCCTCAAAGGCGTCAAATGGTTAGTCACTTTCCCGACCCTCTCTCTCTCCCTCTTTCTCGCCGCAGTGTATTTCTTCTCTGCTCTGTGAAGAGGAAAGGTTGCAATTCAAGCTTTCTCTGTTTTCACGGTGTTCTGTAGGTCTCCTGATGGCTCGTGCTTTCTTTCGAGCTCAGAGGACAATAAGCTGCGGCTGTTTTCCCTGTTAGTGCTGGTGAAAATTTGAGTATTTAGGGTTTCAGGTTAACTTATTTGACTGCATGCTTTTGGTTTAGTTATCAATAACGAGGTACATTTCCATGGTCAGACCAGATTATTACGATGGCTGTGATCCATCTGCCTATTCTGTAGCTTCTGGTACAGGTTCGTCTGTTTAAGTGGGAATTTCCAGATGTTCTGTTTTTGTTTCTTTACCTTCGTGAATGAGCTTCTTCTTGTAACAACATGGGGAATTCATGCTTTGAACTTCAGATTCTTATGGTGCAAGCGTTGTTGTGGACGAGGGGGAGCCCATTTACGATTTTTGTTGGTATCCCTATATGAGTTCCTCAGGTGTTTCCTTGTCTCCTACTTATTATTGAATCTGAATGAGCAGTAGTAATGTGGGATGCCTGCTGTTTGATGGAACTGAGAATCGGCTCTTTTTTTTTTACAGAGCCCGTTAGCTGTGTGTTTGCTACTACTACTCGTGATCATCCAATTCATCTATGGGATGCTACTTCTGGCACGGTACTTCTGTTGCTTAATTATGATGATTACAATAATTGAATTGAAAGTGGCCTTCTTTTATCAGCAACTAGCTTAATATTGTTTCTCTCTAGCTCGGTTGTTGTTGATATGCTCAATTAACAACATTGCAGTTGCGTTGCACGTATCGTGCTTATGATTCCGTGGATGAAATTACTGCTGCCATTTCAGTTGCGTTTAATCCTGATGGAACCAAGTAAGCAAATGATTCCTTCTCAAAGGCAGTTCCTTGGTTTGTCTTCGTAATTGTACTTCACATGAAAATTTATACTTTGTGAGGAAATCTGGTGGTTAAATATAGTTCCAACTTGTGAAATCATTTTTGTTGCTCTCTTTAAAGTGGTTCAAATCTCGGAATCAATGATATTACATTCATGTTTGATGAATTTTCTTTTTCTGATAGGATATTCGCTGGGTATAACAAGTGTATCAGAGTGTTTAATGTTCATCGCCCCGGTAGAGATTTTAAACAGCACTCAACCCTTAAAGGAAACAAGGAAGGACAAACAGGTACCTTCCAAATCAGAGTTAGAAATGATTTCGAACTGTTCAGGCGTAAAACTCTGAACTTTGTTTGCTGCATATACAGGGATAATATCTGCCATTGCATTTTCTCCATCTCATACTGGGATGCTAGCCACTGGTTCATTCAGCCAGACAACTGCTATTTACAGAGAAGACAATATGGAACTCTTGTATCTACTTCATGGACAAGAAGGTGGGATTACACATGTAAGTTGGAATTCCATTGTTGATACCTCAATTTGAACTACGAGATCGACAATGAGGTGATTTCCTTTCCTGTTAGGTGCAATTTTCAAAAGATGGAAACTATCTATACACTGGAGGCCGGAAGGTAAACTAAGATGCCTCCTTGTTTTAGCATATATTGGGTCATCTTCATATCTACTTGTTGAAGTTTGCTTGTTTCGCAAGAATACTGACTGTTGTGCTAGTAAATGCTTAATGTACATGGTTATCATACTTGCTTATGTGCAGTTATTATCAATTTCTTGACAGCATACCATTTAATTCCTGTAGGACCCGTATATCATGTGCTGGGATGTAAGGAAGGCTGTTGAAGTTGTTTATAAGTAAGTAGCTGTGGGAATTATCTGTCTTGTCCACTCGAATACTTGGTTCTTAGTTATTGGTCAGGACGATGATGTACTGTCTTTAGGATAATTATCTTCCGCAAACAGCTCATTAGCTGTAATGCCATTTTGGTAAACTCTATTGCTAAGTCACTGTGGCATCGTGACATAACGGGTGAAATGTAACGGCAACTTACCTACCCCGTTAATTGATTTTTCCCATTATATATACGGAGCATATTTCTCCTCCGGATTAGGGCTTCCTCTTGAATATCTGCTTTTATACTCTCATGCTTTCTCTGTTGACAGGCTGTACAGGTCCTCAGCACAAACCAATCAGCGGATATATTTCGACGTTGAACCACTTGGAAGGCATCTTGCCACCGGTGGTGAGGTATCTGTTCGATTTCATTGGCTAAGTAATCACCTTCTAATTAGCCTGTTTTTTCTCTCGTTTACCTTAAAATTGTGTTTTCGTCTAGGATGGCTTGGTTCACATCTATGATCTACAAACCGGGCAGTGGGTATCTGGTTTTCAGGCTGCTTCAGGTGTTCATACGTTCAAATCCATTGTATTCACTTTTGTAGATAGATCCCCCTTTTTTTTTTTTCTTTTCTAACCTGATTTCTGCCTGGTTCTATGCATTACAGACACAGTAAACGGCTTCTCTTTCCATCCATTCCTGCCTATGGCTGTCTCTTCATCTGGCCACCGAAGGTTTCAAGCCCCTGATGAAGAAGATGACAATTTTCACCTTAGCGGTATTTTTCATTCGATAAGTGCAGTGTTTCACTAGGCTTTTGGCCATTGGAGATTTGAGTTTCTTATCATTTTTCCGTTCTTGTTGTGCAGAAAATGAAAATTGTGTATCAGTGTGGAGATTATCGTGTGATTCTTCAACAGTGGAAACAGGGCACAGCAATGAATCTGAACATGCATGAGTCGTTTTGTACATTTAACTGTTTTAACTTATATGCCCTGATTTTGATGGTGCAATTTGGCTGAAAGTGGCTGAACTTCTCTGTTGGTATGAATAATAATTATTGTTATTATAATTGTTTTTGTTGTTGTTCTATTTTTTTTTTTTTTCTCAATTTCGACCATGACATTGAAGTTTGAACTGTTTATATCTTAACTGTTATGTGGCTTGTAGTTGATTCTTGGAGGGTTTCGGAATGAGATTTTAATGCCTGGTGATTTTGAAGCAAACGGTCAGCTTCTCAAAATTCTTGTATTTGAAAACCACCACCAGCCCTAAATGAGTGAGTGCTGCAGTGTCCTGAGGTTAGGTGCTTTCGATGGTGCTCAACGATCTTCGGATTGGTTGCGACTTGCGAGCTTGCACTCTTTGAACTTCATTTTCCCGACGACGGAGAAGCTAACAAATCTCCAATTTCAAACAAGCTTTTAATATAGCCTAGAGGGCGATCATGTCTTGCAGGTGTTAATGGATGAAAGGACACGGAGGCATGAGAGTCTGGTGACCACGAAATTGGTTTTCGGTTTCGGCAACACAAAGTCACAGTAAGACAATCGAAGGATTTGTAAGGTTTCTATTTTGAAGATCTCATTCGACAACAAGAACATCAAGTGTTCTGTCCAATAGAAAGGGGTCTTTTTTGTTTGCTCGAGCCTATTGATATAGTTTGCGTCTCTCTTCGATCATGTCGTAATCCAACGATTAAGAATGTGTGAGACGCATTTCCACATGATCAACATGCACTAATCATCCTTGCATCAAAATTCGAAGAAGGTTTGTATAGGTGATTATTTACAAACAATTATAGAAGAAAAATCAATTAATCCTGCTATATGTAATTTCATATTCCATTTTTTCTTCCTCCTATTAGAAATGAATAAAAACAATACTAAGATATTAACCTATTGCTCTAACAATATATTTTTTTTTGGCTGTTGTTATTCATGTGCTAGGTACCCAAAAAGGATTATGCTACAGAGAATATTTCAAAATTTTGGGCAAACATACTTTTAAGGTAAATAGAATTTGAACTTTTAGAAATTACTATGTGTCAGTTTGGTTCTGCTGTAGTTTTTGCAGAAGTAGCTCCTGACTTGAGTTTTTAGAGAAGTACTTTTCAAAAAAATCAGTTGAGTGTTTGGTTGAAAATTTATTAAAAGTGCTTTTTAATATGAGAGGTTGTATAAAATGACTATAAAGGACTTACAATGTAAACTATGAATAATAATTCTAAACAATAAAATGTATAGTCAAAATGAATCTTACTAGACTTCTTTTATATTAAATCATGTAATTTTATACTTTACTTTATTTTTAAAAATAATATAAATGAAATAAAATTATATTTTTGAAAATAAAATTAAAATATGGTAAGGATAATCTTGTATTTTCAAAACAGTTTTTTGCAGAAGTTCCAAACTCTTTTTATTGATTTTCCTTTTCTTGAGTGATGGCAACCCAACTGAGTGGATTTCCATACAATTTAATGGGCCGTGAGAATTAAAAGGTTGCATGATGTAAAATACATGGATATGCTCATTTATGTTTCCAAAAATTAAAATAGAAAACAATAAATGAAATAAAAATGAGCAATGCTTTGGATAAAAAATTAGTCTATCATACCAAAGTGACCAAAACTCTTATGTTTATCACATTTAGCTTCCTATCACTAAATTCAGGTAATTAAGTTTCGGTCAAAGTGGTTCGATGACAACATTTTCAATTATTCAATAGTTAAATGTGATAAAATAAAACTATGTTTTTATTATGTTGCCATGTAATTTGATTATCCTACATTTTTTTTTTGGTAATTAAATCACCACATTTATTTTTATTAAAAAAATATGTATATCCTTGCATTTTTCTACCTGTCTAGAAAATGAAAGGATATCAATTTGGTAAAACATTTATTAATATGCATTTTATTCCACATAACATAGAAAGTAATTAAATACCGAACCAAACAAGTTGGTAAAAAAAAAGAAAAATTATTTTTGAGCAACAAATTAAATCAAGTTAAATTAGTTGCCTCTTTACACATTTCCCTAACCCTCTATTTAAACCACACTGTTTCTCCAACACTACCACTAAATAAAGAAGAAGCATTTCTTACAATTTCCAACAAATAATATAAAACCAATTTTCATTTCTTACAAAATTCCACCATGATGAATCTTCGTAAGCGAACTAGAGAACCTCATGTCCCGTCTCCGAACCTCCCCCATCTTCCATACGACGTCGTGGCGATGATACTCAGCTTTCTAGACATCAAGCAGTTGGCCCAATCCGCCGTCGTAGCCAAGTCGTTTCGTGACTGCCTCAAGCTAGGTCAATTGCTGGACTTCAAGCAGCCCATCTTTAAGAAATTGGTTCGAAAGAGGGTCTACGTTCCTTTTGTGGGCCGTATCATTGACCAGCACAAAGGGCCCAAGATCCAGTCGCTAAAGCTCTGGTTTGACCCGATCAATACCGAAGAGCACTGGGCCATGGTTGCGGGCTGGATCAATAAGGCGGCTCAAAAAGGGGTTGAGGAGTTCGACTTTGACTTCTACTATGGCCCTCAGGTAATAGGTGTCAAAACAAATTGTCTTATATGTGAGAGGAAAAGTAATGAAATCACAAACTTAAATCAAACAAATAGGTTTAATGTGATTTTGATAAGATTTTTCGCCTTTGTTTTTTTGTGGATTCTATCTCTATTTGGTTCAATCTTGGATGAATCAACCCTCATAATTGATCGATTTCAATTCCTAGTTCTTTTAATTACAATCGAACTAACCATTTCTTACTACTCTTGATCCATATCAGGTGTTCTTGTTAACAGATGAGATCTTCCAAATAAAGACTCTGCAGATCCTTCGATTGTCTTACTGCGACATCGTGTTGCCGGAGCCGGAAACCAATTTCGCGGTCACGGGGCTCCCGTGCCTCCGCGTCCTCTCATTCGGGAACATGGACATCCAAAACATGACCGTCGTCGAGGCTATTTTGAAAGCCTGTTCGAAGCTGGAGACTCTCGAGCTTCTCCATTGTTTCTTCCCTAGGTACCTCAAGATTGATGCCTGGCATTTGAAGAACTTTAAAGAGTGTAAGCTCGTAACCTGTCCTAAGATCGTTGAGGTCGCCGTCGATGCGCCCAACTTGATGACACTGCACTATTCTGGGCCGATGGTGGTATTTAAATACACGAATTTTGATAAGCTGACTGATTGCATTATCGATTTCAAGCCCAACAGGTTTAGTGTTACTTCCTTTACGAATCATTGTCCATTTTCAGTACTGTTCTTTCTCCTTCATTTCTTTGTGGTTTTTCGTTCTTGATCAGGGTGTATTATTCGATCGGGGTTTACAAGCTCGACCAGCTAATGTATGACATGTCAAACATTGAGGTTCTGACCACCTCAAGCAGACTGTTGGAGGTGCCCAAAAAAATTCTGATATTTTTTTATACACCCGATCTTGGTTAGTTCGTATTTTGAAGTATATACTTGCAAAAAGTTCATTTCATATTTTTGATCATATGCAGGGATTGTGCCCAAGAGGTTCTCATGGCGAAAATACTATCGTCAATTTCTTCTGTTTCTCGAAACTCAAGGAAATCCAGTTACTGATGGAAGGATCGAGATACTGCGGTCTCTTCGCAATCGCATCATTCCTCCAGAAGTGTCCTTCCGTCGAGAAGATTCACATACATTGTCGTGGTTGGTTCAGGGTATGTTTGAAGATTTTTATTCTTTTAGTTGATATAGTAATCCAGATTACTTTCCATTGCATCATTCTGACTGTTACATAGAATTTTCTAGGAAAATGACATTTTAGACTAAAGAACCAAAGTAGAACGAACTAAAACGAATAATTGAAAAAGAATTGAATAAACACTCAAAGAAAACTAAGAAACTCGCAATAAAGAAAGACAATAAGAAAGCTATTTGAGTTCCAATCTTTTCATAATATTAAACGAAAGACAATGTACATATTTATAGGCATGGAAGCCTCTACCTTTTCCTATCTAGAACATGTCTCATATTCCTACAAGGAACTAACTAATCAATAACCAAATCCTATTAAACAAGAAAACCACTAATAAAGACAATAATAATAAGACTACTAATACTAAAACAATAAGTATAACTAGGCTCTGATAATTAGCCAAATTGCTACGATGATACAATTCTCGTTAGGGGTGTTCAAATGGTTTCCATGGTTATTACCAAATCAAATAAGGCTAAATTTTATTAACCATGGAATACAATATCACAACCAAACCGTACAAACTAATACAACAACCAAATTAACCAAACTAAAGTTTAATCGGTTTGGTTAATTGGTTAACCAGATTAACCAATATAAAATCACATTATCATTAAGTGATAAAAATTTCATTTAATTTATCAATTCACAATTTATATAATGAATAAAACATAACAATCAATACTTTGTTATAGTTGACCTTTAACATAAATACATGCAACTAAGACAATTATCTTACGGTTAGTATAGAAGTATTCACCTAGCAAAAATTTATCACAATGGTATGAGTTAATGAATTGTTGTGTTTGTTTGAATTGACTTAGTCTTTTAGCAATTTTCATAGGCTGAAAAGGACCTTGCTTTCAAGTTTTCATCCAACATAATGTATGATATTTATCTAAATTAGGCGTTCATATGTTGTGGTCTACACTCTACATATACAAATATACATTACAGGAACAATATCAAGCTTTATATTTTATGAGTCCAAAATGGATGAACGTTTAACTCTTGAGTGGTTATTCAAAGTATTAAATATGTGTATATATTAGATATATTACTAATTATTTATCTGGTTAATTTGGTTTGACTGGTTAGGAGTGTCTGAAACCAAACCAAACCAAACCAAACCATCTACACCAAACAAGCTACAAACTTTAACCAAACCAATTATCCAAATAATACTAGCTAAAACGGTTAGCATGATAACCACACTGTTTGAACACTCTAATTCTCGTAACACTGACCGTCCAATTTTCTCCTTTCTGGTTTTTGGAATTGTTGCCAGACGGACAACGTGATCAGCCGGAGCAGCAGGCCAGGCGGCTTCACATGGGTGCTGCAACAGCAGTTCCTCGTGAAACGAGGCATCGGCCCGTGCTACCCGAACCTGAAAGTGGTCAAGCTGACCGGTTTCAGGTTCGCCCCGCACGAGATGCAGCTCTTGATCCACTTCCTCGTGACCGGGCTGAGCCTGGAAACTGTGGCCATCTTCCTTCCTTCCCCTCGCAGCGTCAATGGGCCGTTCAAATTCATGGACGAGACCAGGCTGAACCAGTACTTCCGGCCCGCGATGGCCTCTCCCAAAGCGAGGATTCGGGTCTTTGAGCATTTTCAGGACAAGCTGTTCTGCCCTTCCAAGCATCCTACGAAGTGGCACAGTCGGCCTTAGTTGAAGAAGGAGAGAAAGCGGAATCGGGTCATATAGTTTTGGTCAGTTTGGAGAGTACAAATGTACAATCTTTTAGTTTTCCAGTTTGGTTTGTTTTAAGGATTTGGACATGTTTTGTTTGGAGGATTATGGTGATGTTATGTTGGGATTTTATGTTTTTATGATGAATTTAATGTTATGGGTCTTGTGCTCATTTGTTATGAGTATATCTGATGTGTTTGTTTTTTTTCTAAATTGTTAGTGTAACGTCTCGAAACTTTTCCCGACAAGATGTTGTCCACTTTAAGTCTAGGTTCTCATAGTTTTTTTTTTTGTGTGGTGCATACATAGTGACTTTTCTCTATAAGATCATCCATCATTATAGTACTTTACAGTGAACACGTTTAACTTTGGAGTTCTTACAATAACATTTTCTTTTCACCTCAATCTGGGCAGGTTATAATATATTGTATTGATTTTTTAAAATTTTTATTCTTTTTTTAGTGATGACATTGACAGAAACAATTGAGTGGGTGCCCTTACAATTGAATAGGGGCTGTGAAAATCAAAACGTAGCCTTCACAGAATAATGAGTATGGTTTTTATTTAGGGTAAATACAGTATATTAGCCATAACTAACTATTAAGCAACGGGAAATTATAGCCACAACTATCGAAATACAAATTATTAGCCATAACTATTGTTGCGGGTCAAGATTTGGCTAACAACCCGTTACTTTTTTCAATTTTTTAACGGAGAAGACCATGTCAGCATAGTAAAAAAATATGATATGATGACTGCAACGTGGGGGCCAGCTCAGCATCGTAAAAGTTTAGTCATTATTACTAACAAAAGTGTTAACTAAAACTTAACGGTTAGCTAATAATTTGTATTTCGATAGTTATGGCTATAATTCTCTGCTCCTTAATAGTTATGGCTAATATATTGTATTTACCCTTTTATTTACAAAATGATTATTTACCAACAATCCGAGGCCCAATGGAGAAGTTTGGGCCCACTAGTCAAACCCATTCTATATTCTGAAATCCAGGTGACAATGAGAAACTCTCGAAAATCTTCTGGTTTTCTCGCGGGCACGGCCGACGATGAGGACGACGATACCGCGGGAACCGAGGAAGAAGAATGATCTGGCAGAAGCTGTTCTCCTGGCGGCGAAGAATATACCGGGGCAATCGAACAACAAAACGGAACGGATATAGTACTCAGAGACGATGCAGAGACGTCGGCGCAGTCGAGCTCCAGCGAACGCGATTACTCGGCCTTCAGTTAGGTTCGACGTTCCTCCACATAGAAACTGCCATTTCTCTGCACAGTTCAGAGGTTTTCCTCACCACAACAAACCATTCAAGCTTTTGTCTGTTCTCGCGGTGTTTTTATAGGTCTCTTTCAACTTCAGAGGACAATAAGCGGGCGCCTGTTTTCGCTGTAAGTCTGGTGAAAATTGAGAATTTAGGGTTTCAGGTGAACTTATTGACTGCATGCTTTTGTTTTAGTTAACAACAACGAGGTACATTTCCATGGCCAGACAACATTATTACGATCGCTGTGATCTATCTGCCTATTCGGTAGCTTCTGGTACAGGTTCGTCGGTTTAACAGGGAATTCCCAGATGTTCTTGTTTCTTTACACCTTCGTGAATGAGCTTCTTCTTGTAACAACGTGGGGAATTCGTGCTTTGAAATTCAGATTCCTATGGTGCAAGCGTTATTGGGGATGAGGGGGAGCCCATTTCGATTTCAGTTGGTATCCCTATATGAGTTCTTCAGGTGTTACCTTGTTTCCTCCTTTTTTTATTGAATCTGAATGAGCAATAATGTGGCGTGCCTGCTGTTTGATGGAACTGAGAATCGGCTCTTCTTGTTTAACAGCCTGTTAGCTGTGTGTTTACTACTACTAATGATCATCCAATTCATCTATGGGATGCTACTTCTGGCACGGTAATTCTACGATGATTACAATAATTGAATTGAAAGTGGCCTTCTAATATCAGCTTAATTTTGTTCCCCTCTAGCTGGGTTGGTGTTAATATGCTAGATTGAGAATATTTGCGGTTGCGTTGCACATACCGTGCTTATGATGCTGTGGATGAAATTACTACCGCCATTTCAGTTGCTTTTAATCCTGATGGAGCTAAGTAAACAAATGATTCCTTCTCAAAGGCAGTTCTTCGGTTTGTCTTTATAATCGTACTTCACATGAAAGTTTATTCTTTCTGAGGCAATCTGATGGTTTATTATAGTTCCAACTTGTGAAATCTTATTTATTGCTCTCTTTAGAATGGTTAAAATCTCAGAATCAATGATCTTTATGTTAATGTTTGATGATTTTTTTCTGATAGGATATTTGCTGGATATAACAAGAGTATCAGAGTTCTTAATGTGCGTTGGCCCGGTAGAGATTTTATACAACACTCAACCCTTAAAGGAAACAAGGAAGGACTAACAGGTACCTCCCAAATCAGAGTAGTAAATGATTTCCGACTGGTCAGGTGTAAGACTCTGAACTTTGTTTACTGCATATACAGGGATAATATCTGCCATTGCATTTTCTCCATCTCATAATGGGATGTCAGCCAGTGGTTCATTCAGCCAGCAACTGCTATTTCAAGAGAAGACAATATGGAATTCTTGTACATACTTCATGGACAAGAAGGTGGGATTGCACATGTAGGTCGGAATTCCATTGTTGATGCCTCAATTTGAACTATGGGATCAATAATCAGGTGATTTCCTTTCTTGCTAGGTGCAATTTTCAAAAGATGGAAACTATCTATACACTGGAGGCCGGAAGTTATACTAAGCTGCCTCCTCGTTTTAGCATATCTTGGTTCCTAAGTTGTAGTGACACATTTCGACTGTTAATGTGTGATCCTCTAATTCCGATATGTCCTCTTCATATATTTGTGGAAGTATTCACTGCTTGTATGTTGTTCTAGTAAAACCTTAATGTACATAGTTATCATACTTTTTTTTGGAGTGAACATAGTTTTCATTCTTGCTCATGTGCATATGCAGCTTTTCTCAATTTCTTCATTCTATTTATTTCCTGCAGGACCCGTATATCATTTGCTGGGATGTAAGGAAGGCTGTTGACGTTGTTTATAAGTAAGTAGTTGTGAGAATTATCTGTCTTCCTCCACTCGGATAGTTGGTACTTAGTTATCGGTCAGGACGATAATATACTAGCTTTAAGATAATTATCTTCTAGAAACATCTCATTAGCTGTTATGCCATTTTGGTAAATCCCATTGTTAAGTCACTGCGCGTCGTTACATAACGGATGAAATGTAACGGCAACCTACCAACCCCGTTAATTGAATTTTCCATTATATATACAGAGCATATTTCTCTTCCGGGTATCTGCTTTCATACTCTCGTACTTTCTTTCTCGACAGGCTGTACAAATCCTTGGCACAAACCAATCAGCGGATATATTTCGATATTGAACCAGTTGGCAGGCATCTTGCAACCGGTGATGAGGTATCTGTTTGATTTTATTCGCTATGCAATCCCCTTTTAATAACCCTGTTTCTGCTCTCTCTTACGCTAGAATTGCGTTCTTGTCTATGATGATTTGGTTCAGATCTATGATCTACAAACCGGGCATATCCGGTTTTCAGGCTGCTTCAGATGTTCTGACGTTCATACTCTCATACTTTCCCTGTTGACAGGCTGTACAGGTCCTCGGCACAAACCAATCAGCGGATATATTTCGACATTGAACCATTTGGCAGGCATCTGTCAACCGGTGATGAGGTATCTGTTCGATTGTATTGGCTGCGCAATCACCTTTTAATTACCCTGTCTCTGCTCTCGCCTACCCTAGAATTTGTGTTTTTGTCTAGGATGGTTTGGTTCACATCTATGATCTACAAACCAGGCATATCCGGTTTTCAGACTGCTTCAGATGTGCTTACGTTCAGATCCATTGTTTTCACTTTTGTAGATAGACTGTCCCCCTTTTCTCATCTCTAACTTGATTTCTGCCTGGTTCTATGTATTGCAGACATGGTAAATTGCATCTCTTTCCATCCATTCCTGCCTAGGGCTGTCTCTTCATCTGGTCACCGACGGTTTCAAGGACCCAATGAAGAAGATGGCAATTGTCAACTGAGCGGTATTCTTTGCTTGATAATGCGGTGTTTCACTTGCCTTTTGTCCATGGAGTTTCGAGTTTCTTATCATTTTCCGTTCTTGTGTTTCGCTTGCCTTTTGTCCGTGAAGATTTGAGTTTCTTATCATTTTCCGTTCTTACTGTGCAGATAATGTAAACTGTGCGGACATTATCGTGTGATTCTTCAGCAGTTGAAACGAGGCACATCAATGAATCTCAAGATGCTTGAGAGTCATTTTGTACATTTAGCTGTTTTAACTTTCATGCCCTAATTTTGATGATTCAATTCAGTGTTGGTATTAATATAATGAGATTCTAATGCCTGACGATTTTGAAGCAATGACTAATGAGTCAGCTTCTCTAAATTCTTGTATTTGAAGACTACCATCGGCCCAAAATAGTGCAGCGTCGTTAGGTTGGGTGCTTCGATGGCGACCTCAACGATCTTTGGACAGGTTGCGAGTTTGTACTCTTTGAACTTCAAATGCCTGGTGGCAATGAAGTTTTTGGGTTGGGGAAGCAACAACGGAGAAGCTCCGAGTCTCGAATTTACAATTTCAAACAAACTTTCAGCAGAGCCTCGAGAACGGTCATGACTTGCAGGCTCATGTTCCTGAAGGAAAGAACGTGGAGGTAAGGGAGCTTTGTGACCACGAAATTGGTTTCCGGCTCTGGCAGAACAATATTGCATTAAGACAACCGGATAATTTGCAAGGTCTCTATCTTGAAAATGTCATCGGGTAACAAAAGCGTATAGTATGCACTAATTGCCCCTGCGGCCCAGCAACTACATCCTACGGTGATTTTCTATCTACAATTTTCGTATTTTCTTCATTCATTTGCATAATAAAAATTAGAATTTAATAAAAACGATAATAGGATATTACATTATTGCTCTAACACAATTTTTTTCCCCTGCTGTCATACATGGGCCAGGTACCCAGAAAGGATTTTGCTACTAAGGATATTTGACTAGAGTCCGAATCTGGCGCAAACAATTTTTAAGGTAAATAGAATTTGAATGTTTTAGAAATTAGTACATATGGAAGTTCGATAATAAAATTTATTTTAGAATGGTAAATATATTATTAAAATGGTGGCGTTAGTTTCTTTATATACGAGTTTTTTTTTATATTAATGAATTTCCTTTTCTTGAGTGATGACAACCCAATTAAGTGGATTTCCTTATTATTTGAAAGGGATGTGAAAAATTAAAAGGTTACCTTGATAAATAAAATGCATGTGTTTTTCTATTTTTATTTTTGGTAAATAAATCCACACATTTATTTTATTATTATAAAAAGAAAATATTCTTTCATTTTTCTAACAAGGTAACCTTTTAATTTTCATTGTGGCCTTTGTACTTATTCAATAAGGCTGTCCACATACATAATTTTAGAACTTGATAATGTAACTTCCAAAAACAATGATAAGGTAACCAAAATTTGGTCCCTACGAAAGCCCAATTGAATTGTTGGAATATGTTATAAATTTATCATTTTTGTTTAAGATATTCCTTTAAATTATAATTTGGAACTGTATTTATTAGTATGCATTTTATTCCAAATAACATGGTATTTAATTAAATACCCAACCAAAAAAGCCATGTAGACAATAAAAAAAAGTTGGTCAAAACTGAACGTTACTTTGAGCAATAAAGTAACTCAAGTTAAATTAGTTGCCTATTTACCCATTTCCATCCCTTCTATATAAACAACACTATTTCTCCAACCACCACACAAACCAATAACAACAACAACAAAAAAAATATATCAATAACAAAAGTTATAAAATTTTCATTCTCAAAATTTCACAATGGAAACTGCCCACAATAACATGGGAGTTCCCGAGGGGTTCGCCCCAACGTCGTCGATTTTGATATCGACGACGCCACAAATGAATCGTAGTAAGCGAGCTAGAGAGCCTCCCATTCCCCATCTGCCAGACGACGTCGTGGTGATGATACTCAGCTTTCTGAATATCAAGCAGTTGGCCCAGTGTGCTCTCGTTGCCAAATCGTTCTGTGACTCCCACAAGTTTGGCCGACGACTCGACTTCGAGCAGCCCATCTTCAAGAAACTGGCCCGCAGGAGGCTCTATATTTCTACCGTGGGCCGGATCCTTGACCAACACAAGGGGCCCAAAATCCAGTCCCTGAAGCTCTTTTTGGACCCATTTAATGACGACGAGCATCGGACCATGGTTGCAGGCTGGATCAACAAGGCGGGCCGAAAAGGAGTTGAGGAATTCGACTTCGACTTCTTCCAAAAGAGCAATCAGGTATATGTGTCAAAAACAAATAAATAATCATTTTAAATCACTAAAAATTGATTAATAAAAAAATAACAAATTGATCTCATCAGTTTTAATGTTTGATCCAAATTCATTTATGTTTCAGGTGTGCACCAAAAGAAAGCTTTGTTTATTTATGAATTTTAAAATATAATATGTAAAAAAAAATATGAGTTTGATGAAGAAATCAATTAGCATACATACTAGACTTCAAAATTAGGGGACGAAATAAAAAAAAATAATTTTTTGTCGAATTATGGAATTTATATAAATTATAGGTAGCGGATTTGGCTCATTAGAAAATCTGGGAAAAAAACCGGATTTTATGATAGAATTTTCCGGATTTGTGAACTTAGAAGTTAGAAGTTAGAACTAATTCATTGCCCTCAATAGTGGGCATAACGAAAAGAAATGAGGATATAGTAGTCACTATCACAAACATTTTATTATCTTTTTCAGATTTCACCTATTCATGTGAATTTCTTAAATCTAGATTTAAACAAAAAAGGATCAAAATTCATGGGCAACACAAATTTGTTTCCAACTTTGATGTATAAATTTTTTTTCTGTCCACTTTTTTGTGCTAGCAAACTTTATATTGATGCAAATCCCACAAGCTTTTGATTTGGGATCCAAATTCCATAAGCAAACGACCCATTCATGTCAATTTCTTCGATTTTTTTTTACGTAATGGTGGCAACTGGCAACAATACAATTCAATAGTTTGAATTAAGGAATCAATATTTGGATCCAACAAAATTATTTGTTTGTGTTTGGTTCCATAGATTGGACGGAAATCGCAACTGAACCATATCGAATCAAAACAAATAAGTTAAACTTGCTTTTAATTTAATTTTGATAGTTGTTTTCAATAAAATAAATTTTTGTATATACCATCTCTACATATTCCAATCTTGGACGAATTAACCCATTTCCCCAACTCAAGATTATTCAATTTCAATTTCCAAATTCTCAATTATAATTCGAACTAACCATTTCCGACAACTCTCATTTACATACCAGATGTTCTTGTTACCGGATGGAATTTTCAAGATAGAGACCTTGCGAATCCTCCGGTTGTCTTTCTGTGCCGTTGTGCTGCCGGAGCCGAAAAATAATTTTGTGGTCACCGGGCTTCCATGCCTTCGCATTCTATCCTTTAGGGAAATGGACCTGCGAGACATGACAGTTCTCGAGGCTCTTTTTAAAGCTTGTTCGAAGTTGGAGACCGTCGAGCTTCTCCATTGTTTCTTCCCCAAGTACTTCAAGATTGTCGCCGAGCATTTGAAGAAGTTCAAAGCGTGCAAGCCTGCAAACGTTCTTGAGATCGTAGGGGTCGCCATCGACGCGCCCAACCTAACGACATTGCACTATTCTGGGCCGTTGGTCCTCTTCAGATACAAGGATTTTGATAAGCTGACTGATTGCATTCTCGACTTCAAGCCCCACAGGTTCACTATTGTTTCTTTATGAATCATTGTCCATCTCCGTTATGAAATACTGTTGTTTCTCCTTCGTTTTATTGTAGTTGTTTGTTATTGATCAGGGCATACTTAGCTATGGATCGTTACAAGCTCGACCAAGTTATGTATGACATGTCAAACATCGAGGTTCTGACCACCACGAGCAGACTGTTGGAGGTGACCAATTTTTCTAAAATTTTGTATAAAACCTGATCTTTATTTGAATTTGGTTAGTGATCATTTTATGTGTATACTATCAAATTCATCTCATATTTTTATTATAAATAGGGGTTGTGTCCAAAACACTCTGATGGCAACAGTACTATCAACGATTTCTTCTGTTTGTCGAGGCTCAAGGAAATCCAGTTGCTCATGGAAGGATCGAGATATTGCAATCTCTTTACAATTGTATCATTCCTCGGGAAGTGCCCTTCCATCGAGAAGATTCACATAGATTGTCGTGGCTGGTTCAGGGTATGTTGAACATTTTATTCCTTAAATTGATATAGTAATGCGTATACATTTTTTATTTTAGTACTCATCTTTTTTTCCATGGTATTAACAAGGAGAGTTTTATTCATTAAATCGACCAATGCTCATTCTAAATTCATAAAAAGGACACGATTGTCAATAGATTGGATCTTTTGTTTTTTTTTAATTGCCATCTACTTTATGTCGAGCCATTCTTTGGGTTTCATTTCATAGATTATGAAACCGATAATCCTTGCCCTAACATTGTAGTAATGTAGTCTAGACAAAAAAAATTAGGGTTAAGAGTATTTTGTGTGTTCACGAGTCAAGTTCATCATGAGACCATTAGGTTCAGGACTTAAGAGAGTCAAGTATTAAACTGTTTCGACTACCACGAATCACAAATTCATAATCACGGATCATCACTAAACGTATCATATCAATTACACATAGTATGTTTTCCTTTTTCAAGACATCACAAGTTATATCACCTCCAACATTCATCCATATCATTTGTGGCAGGCGGACATGGTGCTCAGCAACGGCTACGCATTAGCGGTTCAGCAGCATTCGCTCCTGGACTGGGTCGTAGGCCCGAGCTACCCGAACCTGAAGGTGCTCAAGCTGACCGGTTTCAAGTTCGAACCGCACGAGATGAAGCTCTTGTCCTACTTCGTCGAGACCGGGCTCAACCTGGAAATTGTGGCCATCTTCCTTCCTTCCCCTCGCAGCAAGGAAACGGTCCCTTTCATGGACGAGAAAACCCTAAACAACCAGCTCCGGCCCAAGATGGCGTCTCCCCATGGGAGGATTCGTGTGTTCCAGCATTTTGAGGACCAGATGTTCTACCCTTCCAAGCATCCTAGGAATTGGTACGGTCGGTAGTTGAGAAGGACAAATGGGATTGGGTTGGTTCGGTTTGGTTTGGGTTTTAGCTGGTTTGGTGAGATTTAATCAAGAGTTGCCTGGGCTGGGAAAACAGTACAATCTTTTGGGTTTTTTTTTTTTGCCAGTTTGGTTTTTTTTTTAAGGATTTGGTTATGTTTTGTTGAGGATTGTGGTGATGTTATGTTGGGATTTGGTGTTTTCTTATGATGAATTGATGAAATGAGTTATGAGTCTCTTTTTGATTCACCTTCGGTTTGTTTGAGTTGATTTCTGTGGGTGGTAGAACCAAGTTAAGGTGGAGGTGTGTTGTAACATTTTAGACGAATCCCACATCGACAAAGTATGAGAGAGATCTGTGGTTCATAAGTAGGAAATCGGCCTTTACTGACAAGACGCATTTTGGGGTGAAATGAAAGAGTTCTTGTCGCCAAAATTTTTTGTGAGAGGATATAAATTTTCGATAAAAAAAAACTTGAATTTGGGATCTCTGCGACACAGATCATCGTTTTATGCCCTATTAACTAGATAGGTGTTGGGCCTACTTTGAAGTAGCTAGTGTTAATGGACCAATACAGACTTTGGGCCTTAATTAAACTCTAAACCGTCGACTTCAACAAAAAAGCCCACGTAAATAAGGCCACCTCACCCAGAACCCAGATATTTCGCGCGAAATTTCTAGCGCCAATCTCAAATCTCTTGTACAGCAGCTAGCTTTCCCTTGACCACACCTATATAAACCTTCGCCCTCCATCAGAATACCCATTTCCTATCACGAATTACTCCTACCTTTTTTCTTTCAGATCTTTCCCTCAAGATGCCGTCGCTTCCCGGCAACCCCGAATTCCGTCTCTCCTCCTCCGCCGCCGCGGCCGTAAGCATCTCCAAAACTCCCAAATTTAGGCCTTGGCAGCGTGGTCCTCTGCTCCGGCGGGATTCGGGGATCTCACAGAATTCGCCGATGTGAAGTTATATTATGAGGTAGGCGGTCCTGCTTTCCCACGCTTCATTTGAACTTGTCAATCAGTTTGGTTCTCGGAATCGATCACCAATCCTCGTTGATTTGGATCTATTTGCTGCGATGTTGATTTGAATTTCTAGTTGTTGAGATTTCACTAGATGAATTTTCATCCATGCTCGATTTGGTTTGTTTCTTTCTTTTCGAGCCCCCAATTAGACTACGAATCTTTATTTTGATCCAAAGCTTGATTCCTGTTTAATTATACAATCACATAAATTTAATTGAACATAAAGCAACGCATTTCTCATCTCTTTCACCCATCTATGGAGCATTTGGGTTCTCTATCTTCAATTCCAACCCCTTACAAATCTACTTACAAATTTGTAAATAAATGGGTCATATAACTTATAAGGATATAAATTCGATTATATACAATAAACTTTGTATTCGTTTTTTAAAATTTTCACATACTGTTTGACAAATCTTCGAGTATAGTAATATTTTATATCCCTTGTAACATTTCGGATGCTCATACAGATCCGACAATAATCTGATGACAATTAAATGAAATTTTGTATGAGTTACTTCTTACATTATAAATAAAAATTAATAAATATAATAAGTTCGACTCGCGAGATTTGTGGATCGTAAAAATTATCTTCATATCGTCTATATCATTCTTTGTTGTTTGACATGTGTACTTTCAAGGCATAACTGGAATTGTAGATGTTACGAGGCAGGCAACTCACAACGTAGTTGCTTTGGGACAATTATTCTGGTCAATAAAGTGGTATACAAGTTGGAAGTTGAAGCATTCAAACGGCGTGGTGTGGATTGACTCACGGCGTTTGGATTTACACGTGGGGGCTCTTCTTCATCTTCTTCCACACGGAAAACCTGTGGCTGAATTCATCCCGATCCAACTCACCTAATTCCGCCGCCGTTTTAGAATATTTCCCAGTCACACAATTAAAATAACAGGATTCTGGGCTGGGCCCATTGTAGTTGAACAGTCCCAACCACTTAATAAATATTTATTTATTTCACCCGTGGGCTTGCCTCGGATTCTCTTGTCACTCCGGATCCGCCCACAAATAAAGAAAACTAATTAATTATGTTTTAATTGGCCAAAAAAAAAACTAATTAATTATGTTTTACACATTAGGTAACCCGACTGTCAGTTTATCAAAACGCTTTCCGCCCACTAAAAAAGGCGGAGAATTCTAAAGCGTGTTCGAGAAGCAGCCGAGTAGCCGACTTGGACCGACCATATCAACCACGTCATCACACGGGCAGCACAGCCCAACTTGGCCACTTTCACCTCCTGCTCGACTCATCATCCGCCTCCCTCGACTCTCAAACGGCTAGTTTTTCTTCCCCCCATCTCCGCCAATATTAATATTTTTAAAAATTAACCGCCAAAGGATAAACTTCCCCACGAAGCACAAAATCTTTTTTTCCTAGGAAACCTCCAGTATTTTCTCGGCCTGCCCAATCCAAAGCCCACCACCAGCCCAGATATTTCTATTATTTTAATATTATTTTTTTTTTACTGCCTTTTTCCATCTCCTTTCCCTCTTTCCTTTTTCCAACTTCCCCTCTGGTATATAAAACCCCCCAAAACCTCCCCGTCATTTTTTAAAAGCAACTCGGTAAAGAGATTTGATTCACTTACCATTTCCACTAGCTTCCGCTCAAGAAAATTTAGGGTTTCCCAAATCCGATTCAGATCTCCCTTTCTTCGATTCTGCCTCAGATTCTCGTTCGGAATCTAATTTGAGAAGACAGTAATGGCGCTGGGACGAAGATGCAGTTCAATGAGGTGGTCGTCTTCAAGCTGCTACGCTGCCGCGGAGGGCGGCAGCTGCGGAGAGGAGTGTCCGCCGTTCGAGTTCGGGAGGGTCCGGTCGTTTGGGAGGAAGAGGATTGTCGTCTCGCAGAATCTGGCTTGCTGCTGGGATTCGGAGATGAGTCCTCGGACTCCATTGAAGAGGCTCTGCAGCGAGCCGTTGGCGCTGGACGCGGTAATGGCCGAAATCGACGAGCAGCGGGCGGAGAAGAAGTCTGTTCTCGCGAGCTTGCCGCAGGACATTCTGGTGAGTTTTCTGCTTGCTAATCAGTTCAATTTTAGCAACTTCTGGAGACTTGATTAGTTTTGAATCCGACGGTTTTGTCTGAATAGAGCCGTTTAGTTAATTTAATTTTGTAATTGTTTTTGCAGATTAAGGTGCTCTGTGGAGTGAACCACGAAGATCTAAAGCAGCTTCTCCTCGTCTCCAAATCAATCTCCGAAGCTGTAAGTTCTAATTCTGCAAATCGCTCCATTTCCAATCCTCCTCCCAAAATCCCTAATTCTCGTTTCAATTTCTCTCTAAACTGAACCTCATCAGTTCTTTTCCTCTCCTCAACAGACTTTGATTGCGAAGGAATCACACTTCGCCTACAGCACGCCGACGAAGGTGCGTGCATTCCGTTCACCGACGATCGATTACGTCAGCGAAATCGACGAGATCGAAGCGCCTGGAGCTCCTAATAGAGCAGCTCGCCGGCTTCCCAAACCGCGGCTGAGCGACAAGGAGGTTTCGGATTTGTCAGTGGCGCTCTTCTCGGACGCTTCTTCGCCGCCGAAGAGGAAGAAGAAGGGATTGTTCATGGACATGGAGATGTGAGAAGAGAAGAGAAGAGAAGAAGTAGCGATGTGTACATAATCACACGGAGTTTCTGTCTGTTTGTTTGTTGTAGATACAGAGGCGAAAGGTAGAAACACGAGATAGAACCACCATAGAGAGAGGCCAGATGTTTGTGCAGAGATTCCTTCCTTCTTCAACGTTTCCAATTGAAGATCCGAGGGTATCTGTACATGTTCTTGGCTTAGAAACACTTTGTAATTTATTACTTTCGTAGCCTCTTTTTTAGGGTTTCTGCATTTGAATCGGAAGGGGCAGCCTCTGCCCATTCTGCTTGATAGAGTTATCGAAAAGCTTCATTGAGCTGCAGTTGTTTAGATCTCTTTTTCTTTCTTTTGTCTGGGATTTTCTGGCTTCTTATGAGCTAGGGTTCTCTTTACCTCGTATCGAGGGAGGAACATATTTGTTTCCTATTTTGCGTTATTTGATGAACATTGCAGTGTGAGTATATCTTGACTACACGTTTTGTTACCATTTTCATCCTTGGATATTCGGTATAATAATGTGAATAGAAATTCGCATCGACGAATGTTCATACTTGATATTTCCATTTTGTTTGTTTTGGCCTTGGTGATCTTTACGATTTGTTCTTATTCTAGATATCCACTCAAATTCGATTTTAAGTCCGACGATGATATTCTGCCATCCTGATTGCAAGTTGGATCAACAAATCTGATTCTAAAAAGAATTTGTTTGTTAAATTTGCGTGATTAAGCATTAAGAAAGCCCAGGGCACATGACTGGTAAGGGTCTGGTTTCCAAGCAGAAGCTGAGCTGTAAAAAGGGTAACTGTTTCGGACTCTACAGCGCGGATCAAGCCGTAACCGTCTAATCAAAGACAGTTGTTCGCTGCTTTGCACGATGGGATTGGTCATTGGTGGTGGATTTTATTTATTTACTAGTGTGGGCCCCGGCCATTTGGCCGGAGGAAGGTAGGATGGCGATGGGTCGGGTTTTGCCAAATTCAAATCCAAATTCATGGGTTTATTCGTGAAAAAAATTCGGGGTAAAATCCACTGGGTTTGAAAAACTCAAACCCAACTCAACCCCCTGGGTATCCGCGGGTTCATGGGTACCCACAGGTTCTTGTCTTAAAAAATTTACAATAACAAGTTGCTATCAAAATTAAAGTCAAATATCAATCTCTCAATACAAATTATCCATATATAAAATACCATTCTAGAAAATTCAAGCAAATAAGAAATTATCCATAAATAACATGATTAATTGAAAGCTTCTTCCTTTCAATTAAGTTTCTTCACTCTCCCCTCGATAACATCAACTTCATTCTACACAATTAGAAAGAAAAAATTAGACATGTCTCCACAAACATAAATAAGATAAGTTGTTTAGAATATTAAATATATCGAGAAAATTAATTATATGGGTGTGGGCGTGTACGCATGGGTCGGGTTTACCTAAACCCAAACCCAACCCAACCCGATGAATATTGAACGGGTTTAAACCCAAACCCAGCCCAAAACCCGTCAACACGGATTTTACCCGCGTTGACCAAGTTGGGTAGGGTGGGTACCCGTGGGTTCGGATTTTGTTTTCATCCCTAGAGGAAGGTGAGGTATGAAATTTGATAATGTAATGGGGTGTATAACTTATTGTTGTATAGTTTTTTTTTTGGGAAACACGTGATAAAAATAGTGAATTTTAGCAGGAAAGAGACATTAATGATGCAACAAATCAAAAATCGGCCTTATGAACCAAAATCAAGTACCTGTTACCTTGTGAAACAATATTGTTTCTGGTAATATGATGAGGTGGAGTAAGTTTTATAGAAACTGAATTCCAGAAAATCGAATAAAAAATCGCATATCCCGTCGGTTTTCGGGAAATGAGCATTTCACAATCGTTGCTAGCTTTTACTCGGCCTGTTGGTCGATTAATTTGGTTTATAAAACTTTCATCTTGTCGTCATTGTGCTTTCTGGTTTTTTTCAGGCTATGATAAAATCTAACGAAATAAAGAACGAACAACACGATTTGGGATAGGAACCGTCGTTGTCGTATCCCTAGAAAATGGTGGTAAACACGGACTCACCTGCCAAACTGGTTTGGATTGAGATTTTTATCGGGTATCAGGGAACCATGTGATTATAAATTAGACTTTATCAAAAGGGGCCAAAACTTGAAATGCAGCCTGTTTGACCGACCCATGCCAAATTCTATTTATTCTTTACTTTTAAACTTTTTATTTGAAAATAAAAAATAGTGAAAGAAAAGAGATGACTGCTATTTGCACGTCACTTATTCGGGAATAAAACCATAGAAATTCAAAAGGAACTGAAAATGTTAGGATCGGTTTAATGTTTAAAATAACCAAATAGATCTTTCTGTTTAGTTTTTTACTAACAAATACCAAACGATTCCCTATAAAATACACTATGATTTGATCATTATGATATCAAATAATCATATAATATATATTTGAAATGATAAAAATTGGACTAATTGGGTTGGTCGAGGTTGAACCATTGAATAACTTTAAAATACATTATATTTTAGCCACTAAGATATAAAATAATAGCATAATATATTATGCCAGAGAAAATAGCTTGTTTTAGAATGTCAAACCAATGATGTTCATTTGTTTTACTTGATGGCCAAATCCCATATAGGTCAAACCAATTCAACTCTTTTATTTTATGGTTAGCGGTTAGCCCATTAGATATCATGCATTAGTTTATTGTTAAATTTTTTATATTTAGCAATAAAAAGAAGTATTGTTTTTGCGTCTTCATATATATTTTATCACCACGGAGAAATAAAAGGGCTTAATGAAAAAATTGACACTCTTGAACCCGTTTAAATCCGCATGTGTACGGTAAGTTGGCCCGTTCCAAAGAGAAAAGAGGAAAAAATTGACACTCCCTATTCTATCATTCCTACAAACGCTCCTGGAGCAGGAAATTTGAAATGGGGGAAGGGTTTTTCCTCTCTGCTATTATATCTTTTTAATTTAAAAAGATGCAACAAATGTACTTAGTGTGATTGGTTATGATCCTTATTTTTCCTTAAAATGGTCATGGTTCGAATCCCACTACGTGTCTCTTTAATGAATTAAAAAAAGTAAGTGTGAAGACCAAAATGTCCTTCCTACTTTCACTCTCGTTGCAGGAAATTTGAAATGGGGCTCCCGTTTTTCCCTTCGGTGTATTATATTATGTGTAGATACAAATTATCCATATATAAAATACCATTCTAGAAAATTCAAGCAAATAAGAAATTATCCATAAATAACATGATTAATTGAAAGCTTCTTCCTTTCAATTAAGTTTCTTCACTCTCCACTCGATAACATCAACTTCATTCTACACAATTAGAAAGAAAAAATTAGACATGTCTCCACAAACATAAATAAGATAAGTTGTTTAGAATATTAAATATATCGAGAAAATTAATTATATGGGTGTGGGCGGGTACCCATGGGTCGGGTTTACCTAAACCCAAACCCAACCCAACCCGATGAATATTGAACGGGTTTAAACCCAAACCCAGCCCAAAACCCGTCAACACGGATTTTACCCGCGTTGACCAAGTTGGGTAGGGTGGGTACCCGTGGGTTCGGATTTTGTTTTCATCCCTAGAGGAAGGTGAGGTATGAAATTTGATAATGTAATGGGGTGTATAACTTATTGTGGTATAGTTTTTTTTGGGAAACACGTGATAAAAATAGTGAATTTTAGCAGGAAAGAGACATTAATGATGCAACAAATCAAAAATCGGCCTTATGAACCAAAATCAAGTACCTGTTACCTTGTGAAACAATATTGTTTCTAGTAATATGATGAGGTGGAGTAAGTTTTATAGAAACTGAATTCCAGAAAATCGAATAAAAAATCGCCTATCCCGTCGGTTTTCGGGAAATGAGCATCTCACAATCGTTGCTACCTTTTACTCGGCCTGTTGGTCGATTAATTTGGTTTATAAAACTTTCATCTTGTCGTCATTGTGCTTTCTGGTTTTTTTCAGGCTATGATAAAATCTAAGGAAATAAAGAACGAACAACACGATTTGGGATAGGAACCGTCGTTGTCGTATCCCTAGAAAATGGTGGTAAACACGGACTCACCTGCCAAACTGGTTTGGATTGAGATTTTTATCGGGTATCAGGGAACCATGTGATTATAAATTAGACTTGATCAAAAGGGGCCAAAACTTGAAATGCAGCCTGTTTGACCGACCCATGCCAAATTCTAATTATTCTTTACTTTTAAACTTTTTATTTGAAAATAAAAAATAGTGAAAGAAAAGAGATGACTGCCATTTGCACGTCACTTATTCGGGCATAAAACCATAGAAATTCAAAAGGAACTGAAAATGTTAGGATCGTTTTAATGTTTAAAATAACCAAATAGATCTTTCTGTTTAGTTTTTTACTAACAAATACCAAACGATTCCCTATAAAATACACTATGATTTGATCATTATGATATCAAATAATCATATAATATATATTTGAAATGATAAAAATTGGACTAATTGGGTTGGTCGAGGTTGAACCATTGAATAACTTTAAAATACATTATATTTTAGCCACTAAGATATAAAATAATAGCATAATATATTATGCCAGAGAAAATAACTTGTTTTAGAATGTCAAACCAATGATGTTCATTTGTTTTACTTGATGGCCAAATCCCGTATAGGTCAAACCAATTCAACTCTTTTATTTTATGGTTAGCGGTTAGCCCATTAGATATCATGCATTAGTTTATTGTTAAATTTTTTATTTTTAGCAATAAAAAGAAGTATTGTTTTTGCCTCTTCATATATATTTTATCACCACGGAGAAATAAAAGGGATTAATGAAAAAATTGACACTCTTGAACCCGTTTAAATCCGCATGTGTACGGTAAGTTGGCCCGTTCCAAAGAGAAAAGAGAAAAAAATTGACACTCCCTATTTTATCATTCCTACAAACGCTCCTGGAGCAGGAAATTTGAAATGGGGGAAGGGTTTTTTCCTCTCTGCTATTATATCTTTTTAATTTAAAAAGATGTAACAAATGTACTTAGTGTGATTGGTTATGATCCTTACTTTTCCTTAAAATGGTCATGGTTTGAATCCCACTACGTGTCTTTTTAATGAATTAAAAAAAGTAAGTGTGAAGACCAAAATGTCCTTCCTACTTTTACTCTCGTTACAGGAAATTTGAAATGGGGCTCCCATTTTTGCCTTCGGTGTATTATATTATGTGTAGATTTATGTTTTGGAATTTCAAATGATTGTCAACTTGGCGTTGAATCTCTCAACTCAAGAAAAGATAAATGAAGTATTTGATGAACATCTTTGATTCATTTACTGTGGTTGAAGCCCATCAAAATTGCTTTCTGTGACATGATTTTTGACTAACAGCTAAAATAGAAATTTTAACCAATTTATATGTTATTTAAAAACAATCCCGATTTATATAATTGCTCGCCACCTAATAATGAATATGCAACTCCAAGATAATAGAGCACAATAGTATCAATGAGCAGTTTAGAGAGCGATCAAAATGCTTACTTTGTTGTAACAACCATATAAATTATAAATCGAAGCAAGTACCCACACGATTTTCTCAATCAAGATATTGTCCGCTTTAGGGTCATACCCACACAGTTTTTGACTTGGGGGTGAATATCAAAGTGACTTGTCATAAGGTCGTCCATACTTATAATGTATTATACTGAGTACATTTAATTTTGAAGTTCTCACAAGAACTCATTCATTTTAATCCAAAACCCGACTTGTAAGTTAAGATTGGTTTCGTACCTATAGACCATTGCGCACGTTTAACTTCGTTTTTTTTTTGGTGTGAGGGTTTAACTTCGCTTTCTTCCAACGGCACTATACTAATACCAACAAGATAAACTAAAGCCCACCCTTTAGCCCAGAGTGAAAAGCTTCAGTAATAGAAAGGCCCATGATCCATCTGGAATCTAAACTTTAAGAGGCCCAAAGCAGGGATCCAGTGTAATCACCGGAGTCGGACGGCAAATCAGACAGAATCCCCATTCCCATACTTCTCCCCACATCGCCCCGCCGATTCTCTGAGAGATCGGGTAATCCAGACGTTTACCCGGCGATCTTCGATTCTTCGCAGCGAGAAACTGGCCAGTATGGGCTGGGAGTCTAGGGATTCCTCTTGATTTCCCTTCCCGGCGTCTACCGTCTTCTTCAAACCACGGAACTTCGTCTCCCTGCATTTCTAGGGTTTAACTTCTGAAGAAAGTTTGAAGTTAGCTCTCAATCATGGAATTTTGGACTGGAGATCCAACTGCCGGAGCAGATGCTATTCAACTTTCAGGTACTGTATCTTATCTTCTGTTACTATATTCCCATATGAATTTAGTCTGAAGCTAATTCCTGGAACGGAACATTTTGTTCTATCGGACGCCATCGCCGGAGCTTAGAGTTTCACTCCGATGCCTGGTTCGCCTTGTGTTCTTATGATTTCACGAGAGCCGGCAGCTTCTGAATGAGTGTTTTTATTCTATTGCTTTTCTTTCTCAGTTGATGATGCAGCTGATGAGATTGTACAGACTTCTAGACAGCAGAGATTAGCTTTTCCGGGGGATCCCAAATGCGTGATATGTGGCCGCTACGGAGAGTACATCTGCGATCAAACGGACGACGACATATGTAGCTTGGAGTGCAAGCAAACTCTCCTAGACAGAATCGCCAAGGCCCAAAGCTCGGCTGCAATCAAGAAGGTACCTGGAAAGGATGAGTGCTTTTATGTTTCTGATGGTAGATCAGAATCTATGTCTTTAACTGCTGATCAAACTGAACTGCTGAGGAAGAAACTCGGCATCCATGTTAAGGGCAATTCAGTTCCACCTCCCGTGTTGTCGTTCTCTTGCTGCAATCTTCATTCGAAGCTCTTGAACAATGTAGAATCTGCAGGGTTCGATTTGCCTACACCGGTCCAGATGCAGGCGATTCCAGTTGCTTTGAATGGAAGGAGCGTGCTTGCTTCTGCTGACACTGGTTCAGGGAAAACTGCTTCCTTTCTGATTCCCGTCATCTCCCATTGTGCAGCGTTTCGCCTTGCCCAAAATGCTAATAACAGTACGAAGAGGCCATTGGCGATCGTTCTAACACCAACCAGGGAGCTCTGCATACAAGTGGAGGATCAAGCCAAGTTGCTTGGCAAAGGTTTGCCATTCAAGACTGCTCTTGTTGTTGGTGGTGATCCCATGGCCGGACAGATCCACCGCCTTCATCAAGGTGTCGAGTTGATCGTGGCTACTCCAGGGAGACTGATTGATCTCCTCGCAAAGCATGATATGGAGTTAGATGATGTCACGATGTTTGTGGTTGATGAAGTCGACTGCATGCTCCAAAGGGGGTTTCGAGACCAGGTCATGCAGATTTTCCTCAGTCTGGCTCAACCCCAGGTTTTGATGTACTCAGCTACAATCTCTGATTCCGTCGAGAAGTTGGCTAGCTCAATGGCTAAAGACATTGTTTTGATCTCCATTGGCCAGCCCAACAAGCCTAGTATGGCAGTGAAACAGGTGGCCATCTGGGTCGATACCAAGCAGAAGAAGCAGAAGCTTTTTGACGTTCTATCAAGCAAGCAGCATTTCGACCCACCAGCCGTGGTCTACGTGGGGTCCAGAATAGGAGCAGATCTACTTTCCAATGCGATTTCAGTGAGTACCGGGTTGAAGGCACTGTTGATCCACGGTGAGAAGTCGATGAAGGAGAGGAGGGAAGCGATGAGGCAATTCTTGATGGGAGAAGCTCCTGTGATCGTGTCCACTGGCGTTCTGGGTCGAGGAATTGATCTGTTGGGTGTTAGGCAGGTTATAGTGTTTGACATGCCGAATTCCATCAAGGAATATGTTCATATGATCGGCAGGGCTTCCCGGATGGGGGTGGAAGGCAAAGCGATCGCGTTCATCAACGAAGAGAGCAAGGCATTGTTCCCAGAGTTCGTCGAGGTGCTCAAGTCTTCCGGAGCTGCAGTACCTCGTGAGCTTGCTAATTCCCGGTATAGTTCGAAATCATTGCCTTCTAGCAAGAGCTGGAAGAAAAGGAAGCTTGGCTAGTAAAGTCTTGCTGGCGGATTCAAGCCTGGCCGCTATTTGCACCCAAGCAAGCAGCCTTTATTATTGTTTTCGTTATTAAATTGAATGTATATATAATTCCTTGGTAAGATCCGGTGCTTGGTGCTTAATCCCAATCTCTTAGAAGACAAATGGAGGAGGGGATAAGGGGATATACTATATTGTTAAAAGTACAAATTCAAGTTATAGAATAAAAATTTAAAGTAAAAACTAAACCACCAAATCTTTAAAGCATTGTAAAATTCCTTTTAAAAGAATGCAATTGACAAATCACTACTTCGATTATGGTGGTTTCCATACATATTGCATTAAAAAAGCCGAAATACCATAATTTAAAAATATTTCTCAATCTATTATACAAATAAATGAATTGGGGTGTACACATTCCAATTGTATTTGTCCCAAAGAAAAATACCAATTGAAGCATGTGCACCCCAATTATGTTTAAAATGGTCCTAAAATCGAATTTAGGAAGAGGGACTCTCGCCCTAATTAGGTTTTTCCTCGCCATGAACACCTTTAAATCCACCACAATCATGATCTCCTTCTTCCTCCACCACTCCCACTGAACACTCGTCGGTAACTCAAATTAATCGCTAGAAAATTCCCTTCCTCTAGGGAGTAAAGAAGATGCATAATGGCCTAGCAAAGGTAGAAAATCAGCAACATAGTTTGCTTCGCGATACACATGCTTGATCCTAACAAGCCGAGGTTGAGCAAGCCATCGGTGAATCTCTACCCCACATGCATAGTGCGGGTGGTGAGTCTTAGGAGTCTCTATCAGGGTCTTAGCTATGATCAAGTCTATCTGTAGAACAACTTTTCTAGCCCCTTCTTCCCATGCGAGCTTCAACCCATGCACAATACTTGTTGGCTTTGCACGAGTAATCAACCCCCGTCCTATGTTTGCTGAAAAAGTTTTGATACAACGACTATCATCTCCCGACTCCCCGCATGATGCTTTCACAAGTAGGTGCACCCCAGAATTGTGTTTCTCCTTCTCCAAGGATGAATATATATTGTTCCTTGGTTGTGCGGTGATTAACTAAATTTGTGCATAGGGTATAGCTCGCCTCGGAATAAGTGGTTATTTTGGTTCTCCGCATAATCCAACACGTTCCTGCAAACAAAAGTGTTGTCAATAGTATTACCGCGCCCTAAAAGTTTTTACAAAGACCAGTGATGTAAGTCTCGCTTAAAGAAAGCGTTGTCCGACTCATTATCACGGAATCCTCCCACATTGATCTGCCAAATGAGAAATCCAACTCCACATATCTTGCAGCTGGTGGTGTTCGTCGTCAGATGTCTTTTGCACCTCTCTGCATTGGTGAGAAAACTGTCGTGGTTTAGTATCCATAAGAAGGCGAGGACACAATGTACGGTTGGCTCCAAAACTGAATTACTCTCCCATTTCGTAAGTTCCATATTGTGGTGTTGTCTAGTAGGAAGAGGTGCCGATTCTCAATCCAATACATCCACTTAAAAATCCAATTAATCCAATTCATTTGATCTAAATGAAAAATTATGATTTTTAGTACCTATACTTTTTAAATTTTACATTTTGGTACCTAAAACTGTATTTTTATAAGAAAAATGATATCGGAAAATTACATTTTGGTACCTAAAATTTTTTATTATGATATTTTATTACCTAAACTTTTCAAATTTTACATTTTGTCCAAGGCTTGGATGTCATTTGGATCCATGGATCAATCCACCAACTTATATGATCCAATTCATGAATCCACCAATCCATTTGATCCATGGATCCATCAATCCAATACACCAATCTATGGATCCAATCCATTTGACAGTTGCCACCTCTACTAGTAGGTGTAGCACCCTGAGAACTCCCCCTTCTATAGGTTCAATAAGCGATCACTCGAGCGAATAGCAATGCCATTCTCCATATGATGGCAGTACGTGGCCCTAATCACTTTCTTACTCCCACCCAAAGATCGTCCGGTTAGGTGATAAACTGTAAGACGATCTTTAGCATGTATGCCTCATTGGTTCTTCTCGAGTCTGGTAACCTTAGGTTTCGTCGTCTTTTGGACAGAATATGGTATCCCAGTCCACAAAGGTGGATCTCCTTCTATGGTATGTACATTCCCACACGAATGGCGTAGCTTCTTGTCTATGTACTCTTGAACGCTAGTATGGAGGAAGGCCGTTGACATGGTACATGTTGGGAGAGGGGAGAGAACAGATTAAGCTAGGGGATTCTAGATGATAGGGACATAGTCAATGCTTTCAGTTGATGTGACTTGAATCGGACTATCAACCGCTACGACTGGAATAGTCGGGGGTCTCGTGGTGTATAAGCTCAATGTTATTTGGGTTCGGGTCTGGGCTTGGTCTGTAACCGCTTCCTTTACCATATTGGATTAGGTTTAGACCCACATGGAGAAGTATAAATACTTCTCATCTCCTCTGTAATTTGTAAAGTCCTCGTAGGGATGGCAATGGGTCGGGTTGGGGACGGATAGTGCATATCCGTTACCCTACCCAAAGTAGTTCGGGTTTTACCCATACCCATACCCACATATAAAACGGGTAGAAAATTAAAACCATGCCCATACCCGTTCGGGTTTCGGGTATCCACGGTTATCCATGGGTAATGATTTCTCTTCATAACTCCAACTAATATGTTAACATTCACACGTATTCTCACATTACGGAAGATGAAAAGTATGACAATAATTCACTAGAATGAAGAAAATTAATTAAAACAACACAATTTCATGAAAATATTATATTTATATGCTAAATATAAAATATGTTAGAGAAAAATAATGAATATTTCTAGACAAAATACATATGTATGTGTATAATCGGGCGGGTTCGGGTTGGATACTGAGAAACCCATGCCCACCCATTACCCGCAATATTCAGGTTCGGGTTTTACCCGTACCCAATGTCCTTCGGGTTCGGATTTTACCCTACCCGATTAGGCCGGGTTCGGGCGGATATCCACGGTTACGGATATTTTTGCCATCCCTAAGTCCTCGATATAGTGAAACTAGCTCTCTCTCGACCGTGGACTAGCTAACACATATCGTGGTGAACCACGTAAATCGTGTGTCGTGTTTTCGATTTTCGCTTTCGTATTCTTACTTTCTCGATTCCGACGATTTCTCGATACGTAGCGACACGCGTTTATAACACTTTCCATCCTAAAAGATGGTTATCAATCCAGCCAATCAAATCAATGTAAGTAGACTTACGCACACTATTGTGAGTGACCGGCACTCCTAAGTTAGTTGTCTCTGGAATTTCGAGCTTCCCAGTCACCCTTTGTTTGCTTCTTTATTGGCTTTAAGTCCCACCAAACTTCTCAAAGTAGGCCGCCATTTCCTGCACCTGTGCACTCGTGGCTTTGCCAAAGAGGATAAAATCATTTGCAAAGAAAAGATGAGACAGGAATGGCCGATGGGTACGTAGGCTGTTATCGAACATTTTTTTTTTTTACAAATAATACCAACTTTTATTCCACCTTAAAAGAGAGCCAAGAAAAGGCTATTACATTCTTAAAGGAGAGCAGAAATTAGATCAAGAATATTAATCCAGTCATCTGGCAACCTATCTCTAGCTTTTGATCGTGCTACCCAATCCGCTTTGACATTCGAGGTCCTCGGAATTTCTTCCACCGAAATTGCAGGGTTAGTCCGGAGAATATTGACCATTGTTCTAATCCACGCTGCACATCTCCAGGGCCATCGCGACTGCCTATTCTTTAGGGCCTTCACCATCATCTGACAGTCAGTTTGTACTGTACAAACCGATCCATATTCTTGAGCTAATTTAATTCCTTCCAAGAGAGCCTTTGCTTCCGCTTCAATCGGGGTGGAACAAAGAAGATTTTCAGCTCTCCCATCATACACTTGTCCATGGTGGTTAACAACAACAACACCATATGCCGCCGACTGGGAGTCGCTAAAGAACGACCCATCACATTGAATCACTATCGAGTGATCACTTGGCGGGGGATTCGTAGTAGGGTGGGATCCCCTGAGCTGAGTGGGACCATCTGAACCTTGAGGTGGGGGCCTCAGGCATGCATTCCATTCCGTAAGTTCTCTGTACGTTTGCAGACATACATTTGGGGGCCAAGGGATTCTATTCTTGAAAGTGCACTCATTCCTAGCCTTCCAAATGTTCCAACAAAGGTAGATAATATGAGTAAGCGAGCTCTGAGGAATGGTATCTTTGAGGGAGCAGAACCAGTCAAGGAAAGAGATGCCCTGAGGGGGAATCGGAAGGGAAGGGAAAATGCTAGACCAAGATTCTCTCGCATGCGGGCAGTAGAAAAGGCAGTGGCTAAGGGACTCGTAAGGATCATGACACACTTGACAATTCGGGTTAGAGGCACATTTTCGTTGGAAGAGTCTTGCTTTCGTTGCCAACCCATTTCTGGAACATCTCCAAAGAAAGAACTTAAGCTTGGGCGGGATGTTCAGCCCCCAGATCCACTTCCACCTCTCTTCACTTCCTGTTGACTGGAAATTAGTGTTGATTTTATGAACTGCGTGGTAGGCCGTCTTGACCGAGAAATCTCCCTCTCTAGTGAGGCTCCAAGCCCAAAAATCATCAGCACCCTCCTCCCCGATTGGGACTTTAAGTATCGCATCCACTTCTTCCCTCGTCACATGTCCTTGCAGCAAATCCAAATTCCAGCTCCTACTAATTGGGTCTATCCATTCCTTGACTCTCATGTTCTGCTGGGGGCCGCTTCCTACAACAAAATTCTGTATGCTCGGTATCCATGGATCTTGGCCAAACCATGTATCCTCCCCTGACCCGATTACTCTAATGGAACCCATTTTGATAACTTTTTTGGCCTCCCAAAGACTCGCCCAGATCCATGATGCTCTACTTCCTTTTTTGGACTGCATGAAATCTCCTCTCGGGAAGTACAACCCCTTTAGGAGCCTACACCATAGGGCATCAGGGGAAATAAGGATTCTCCACGCTTGTTTCGCCAACAGGGCCAAGTTGAAATCTTTAAAGCTTCTGAACCCCAATCCCCCTTCAGATTTTGGGGCACACAGAATCTCCTTCCTACACCAGTGCATTGTGCTTTTTTTGCATTGACCCTGACCAGAAGAAGTTGGTAAGGAGGGAATCCATCTTTTTGGTGAGGTTAACCGGAAGGTTAAAGAGGTACATGATGTAGGAAGGAATAGCTTGGATGACTGCTTTGAGCAACACTTCTTTTCCTCCATGGGAAAGGAGGAGGCTCTTCCACGCTTCCCCCATCTTCTCCATTCTCTGTATCAGGAACTGAAACGTTTCCTTCTTTGAATTCCCCCATTTCGCCGGCACTCCTAAGTACTTGGTGTGGCAGTTAGAAGAGGCAAAACCGATATGATCAATGATTTCAGCTTTGTCCACATCTAGTACATTTGCACTGAAGAAGACAGAAGATTTGTTAATATTCACTTCTTGTCCTGTGATGGCTCCGTACTCTCTTATAAGATCCAGGATCTTCTCCGCTTCTTGAATGTTAGCTTTCCCAAAAATCACTGTGTCATCAGCAAAAAGACAGTGGGTGAGAATCGGGCATCTCGCGTTTAATCTAATTCCGTTTACCTGATTCTGGGACACTGCTTTATCAATCAGAAAGGTAAGCGCATTAGACATTAAAATGAACAGGAAGGGAGAAAGCGGGTCTCCCTGTCTGATCCCCCTGGACGGTTGGAACTCCTCTGCTGCTTCACCATTGAAAAGGATGGAGAACTTGACTGTCCGGATGCAAGAGCTAACCCATCTGCACCATCTAATATCAAACCCATACTTCTCCAACAGAGTTCCTAAGCAATCCCAGTCCACCATATCATACGCCTTCTTCATGTCCAACTTGAGCATCATGTCCCTTCTCCTTCCCCGCTTGTGGTTTTTGAAGTGACGAAGGGCCTCGTGTACAATAATGATATTGTCTTGAATAAGCCTCCCCCCGGTGAACGCTGTCTGGAGTTCCGAGATAAGATCAGGTGTCCAGATCTTCAGTCTGGTTGCCATAATTTTTGATATAATTTTGTATCTAAAATTGCAGCAACTAATAGGCCGAAACTGGCTTATCACTTCTGGGTGATCCACTTTTGGAATCATGACTATATGTGTATCATTCCATCCTTCCGGCATTGCGGCTGTCACAAAAAATTCCTTCACCTCTCTACACACCGTTTCCCCAATGATCTCCCAGAATCTCTTGTAAAACCTACCAGAGAAACCATCTGGACCAGGAGCCTTCTTTGCACCAAGAGAGAAAACCGCCTTCCTAACTTCCTCATTGGTTACTGGGGCACATAGAGCAACATTCATTTCCGCTGTTACCTTTGCTGGGAATCCATCCAGAAGGTGGGTAAAGGGAGTAGTGTCTCTAGCCTTAAAGAGGTCATTGTGGAAATCCTGCGCCAGACCTTTCAGTCTATTTTCGTCCTCTACCCACTCGCCCCTCTCATCTTTGAGTCTAAGAATCTTGTTCTTATGCTTTCTATGAATCGTGCTGGAATGGAAAAAGGAATTGTTCTGATCCCCTTTATGCAGCCACTTCACTCTTGAGCACTGATTCCAGAAAGCCTCCTCCTCCCTCCACATCTTTGCCAATTCTTCATAAAGCTTCTTTTCCTCCTCCACTCTTTCCTGCGATCTTGGAGGACGTTGTAGAATATCCAGACGTTCCAGTATTTCCTTTTCCCTTTGTAAACTGTTCCTATGGAAGTCTTTTGACCATTCCTTAAGATCCTGTTCGCACTTGGCCAGCTGGTTAGACGATTGCACTCCCGGGTCCCATGCTCTGACCACAATTTCCTTGCATTCTTCCTTATCCAGCCATCTTTCATCTATTCTGAATGGTGTTCTCCTCCTCCTATTACCCCTATAACAGAGCTCCAGTCTGATTGGGCAATGATCCGATTCTACCATCCTTTCATGGAAGACAGTTGCCTCCCCGAATAGAACTCTCCAAGAAGTCGAGCACAACACTCTGTCTAATCTGACTCTTGTTGTATTCTCGCCAACACGCTTATTGGTCCAGGTGAAAGGTTCTCCTTTGAACCCTAGATCAATAAGTGCATTGTTGAAAATAAACCTTTTAAATGGTTCGACATTCTCGTACCTAAGAGGACAACGCCCCTCTTTCTCGCTTTCATAAATAACAGCATTGAAGTCACCAACTATGACCCAGTTATCCTCCCTACTATCCCTTCTACTCACAGCTGTAAAGGGTGCATGAACAAAGGTACAATAAAACTTCCTACCCATATCAATACTACAATCCATATAGTAGCTATCGCTACTCAAAAAATTAATACTAATACCCGATTTCCACCAAAGCGCAAAACCCCTTGAAGAGTTGACCGGTTCCACATACTCTTTATTGGGGAAAACTTTGAGACTTCTTCTTTGCTCCTCCATGAATGATTCATTTTTGCTTGTTTCCATGAGGAAGACAATCGAAGGGCCTAAACGTCTACAGAGACGTTTCGCATAACTTCTTGTAAGGGTTGGGCCAAAACCCCTACAATTCCAACTTATGATACTCATTCTTGAAGAGGTGGCTTCTGGCGAACCACCGCTGCCTTATTCTTCTTCCCTCGACCCTCTTGATTGTTTTCATTCTGATTCCCCTTTGAGGTGCAAGGTTGCAGAGACTTGAACTTCATATTCTTCTTTTTGGTGCCATCTCCATGCCCTCCCACTTCAATCCCATATGCTGGCCCAAATTGGAAGGCCTCTACTTCTCCCAATTCGGCCCTGGGCCTTGCTCCCCCAAACAAGCCCTCAACCAGGCCCATCCCCTTTCTCTTCTTCTGTTTGCGGCCCGATCCATCCTCCCTTTCATCATGAATGTGCTGATAATCAGCACTCATACTTAGGCCTGCCATGTTATGGCTTTGGGCTGGGATTCCCATATGGGCTTGATTGGTCTGTTGGGTTGGCCCAAGTGAGAGAGTAGTCTCCACTGTTGGCCGCCCAAGCTCTTGGGTGCTCCGCTCCTCTTCCAGTCGCAATCCCCTCTCCATCGCCGCCGCCGCCCTGCCCATCTCAACACCCAGGTTACTTGCTCCCATCTCCTCTCGGTATCTTCCCCTCCCTCTTCCCTGTGACCCTTGGCCTTCCTCTCCCTGAATTCCTTGCTCCATTCTCCTCACTGTGAACCCTGGGGGAATTAACACATTCCCTTCAGAACTCCCTCCCTCATCTGCTGACATCGCTCTTCCCTCCTTCTCCCCTGACTTCCCGAGCTAGCCCTACTCCTTCTTGCCATCGCCTCTTCTTCCTCCCTCCATCGCCCCAGGCTTCCCGAGTTCGCCCTTTCCCTTCCCTCCGATGATCCTTGTGAGCTTTCCCCCTCCCTGCTGCTTCTGTAACTGGCCGCCTGGTGCCTGTGAGGTGAGTCAATTCCTGCTTTTAGCGATGAATTGTATACCTCAGATAGGTAAGAGATTCCATTCCTCTTCCTTTCTTCGTTCATTCTCCAGCAAGTCGGCCAATTGTGGCCAACTCTCCCACAGAAATAGCACAATTCCACCAGCCTCTCATATTTGAAGTCGATGACGTCGCAATGCTCTTCTCCCGTGACTTCATCTGTGAACGGAAAATCAAATCCGATCGGGACTGGTTCCTTTAGCAGAGCCACGTGTTGACATTGAATAATTAGGATGGTTTATTTTTAGCCAAAGATATCCCAAAAAGGGAGACAAACCAGATATTGTTCTTATAAAAAACCCATTACACTTTTCATCTTTAACAAACAAGAAATTAAGCTATAATATTGCTACTAAAGAAGCACATATAGATTTTCATTTTTTTTAATAATTCTTAGACCATTGGCATACATTTTAATTTAGGGCTAATACCACTAGAAAACTCGAACTATTAGCTTTGTGTCATTTGTGTCCTAAAGTATTCGATATGACATTTTTGTCCCAACCTATTATAGTTTTGTGTCATTTATGTCTTGACGATTTTGTTGACCGTTATACATAACGGTTGACCAGACGGTGGTCAACTTGATGTTGACTTTTGCTGACGTGGCAGCCACGTAGATGCCATGTCATTGACAACTCATATTTTTAATACAAAATTAAATAAATATTAAAATTGAAAAAAATGATAAATTAAAAAAAAAACTCACCCAAGCAATCAATCCGAACAATTAAATAAATACTAAAATTGAAAGAAAAAAAACCAAAGCAATAAAAAATTCGCCGCCACTGTAGCCCATAAATCCACGTCGACGCTGTCAAACAAGGATGCTCTCAAACAATCAATTCTCGCTGCCACTGTCGAACAATCAATCCCCGTCGGCGCTGTCAAACAATCAATCGAACAATCAATCCGTCCCCGGGGATTGCCTTCCCCCCGCAGACATCGCTGCCCAGCTCCCCGCCAAGAACCCAAAAGCCCCCGACATGCTCGACCGCATCTGCCACCTCCTCGCTTCCTACTCTGTCTCCGTCTCCACCCCTCGAAGCCTACCATCGCCATCATCAGAGGCCGCGGCCCAGTCGACAACGTCTCCGCCAGTGAGGCGCCGCGCTCTACGAGGAAGAATTGGGGGTGAGAGATAGATGCAGCGGCGACGAGTGATTGCGAAGAAGAAGAATTGGGGGCGGGAGATTGATGCAGCGAAGGCGGGTGGTTGGAAAGAAGAAGAATTGGGGGTGGGAGATGTTAGAGAGTGGTATATGGTCCACGATTGAACCTCTCCCAACAACTCGAGTTATTGGGATCAACTGGTTCATGACATGGTATCAGAGCCTCGAACCAAAAGGTCATGTGTTCGAATCTCCACGACCCCCAATATTAATCGTTGTCTTTCAAGCACATGGTATAGTGGGCCTGTGCAAACTTCAAGCCCGTGAGTTGGCTTTCGTTTGAGAGGGCGTGTTAGAGAGTGGTATATGGTCCACGATTGAACCTCTCCCAACAACTCGAGTTATTGGGATCAACTGGTTCATGACAGGAGATAGATGCAGCAGCGGCGGGTGGTTACGAAGAAGAAGAATTGGGGGTGAGATATCGATGCAGCGGGGCGGATCCGACCTGGAGGAGCTTGCCGAGGATGAACCAGGGTTTTGGGCATGGCGGGAGTTGAAGAGACGGCTTGCGCTTGCGGAGCAGGTGAGGGAAGCTTGAGTCTCCCTCCTTCTTCCACTTCTTCTTTTCTACCTTTGTTCGGGAAAGTGGAATTTTTGGGAACTTTTTCATTGTTTCCCCCCGGAGATGCAGATCTGCTGATTTGTGTTTTTGCTTTTTAATTTTTCTTTTAATTTCCTTTTGTTAGTTTATTAATTTTATATGGAAAAATAAAACTAAATAAAAAATAAAATTCCACGTAAGATACCACATCAGTGCTGACTAGACTTTCTGTTGAAAACTAACAGTCAACTCTAACAGAAAAATAGTTTAGAACACAAATGTCACCGGATACTTTAGGAAACAAATGACACATTCTTTATAGTTCGGGTTTCCTAGTGGTATTTGCCCTTTAATTTATAAAACTTCTATTTGTACATCGGGTACGAGACCAATGATCTTTTTTACAATAATGCTAACTCACATTCCAACATTTTGTTACCACATCCAATTTTTTCTTCATTTTTCCACTTTAGAGGAAAGTGGACTCTCTGAACTTTCATTTCTCTATATGTCCAATGTAGCAGTTGATAAATAAGCTCATAATAAACTTATTTTGTCATTTTGCTACTACTACAGGAGCAGTTTTTCTTTTGCAATAATGTCAAATTCATAGATTCAGCAGAAAATTATTTTATTTTGCTACTTTTTGTATATGGAGTTTAGTTTCAAAGATTTCATATATCTAAAAATCTAGATATATCAAATCTCTCGTACAATGGCTCACACGCATTTTTTTTTTTTGGGATGGGATGATATTTGGACTCTAGGCTCACTATTTTCATTGTGGACCAACTAGTTTTCGATTCCTGTATCTCTTCACATTAATGAAATAATACTGGATCTTAAAAAAAAAAACTTTTAGATACCTGAAAATCTAGATATATCAAATCTCTTATAATAGAGTAGACTCTATATTTTGATTTGTGATATTATTTTTCCTCCTACTTTAGCCCTTTCTTTTTTATTAATCAACTAAATACTTTTATCAATATTTCTCGAGCAACTATGATTATTTTATTTAAGGGTGAACATATGATTTAATGAAAATAAAAATTTCTATTTCTTATTGAATGTTAACAATCACAATTACCAAAAGAATAAAATTTAATCCTTTTTCAACAACCGAGAAAGCTAGAATCTATAGATTTTGACTCCACTTCTCCAAAAGTGTCCTCGTTACTACAATCGCTCAAAGAAACTCATAAGTTTTTAGTTATTTAATATAAAAAGAGAGACTATTTCTCCAAAATTAGTATTCATTTCTCTAGTCATATGATCGAGTTAATCAAATGACCACACTAGATTCGTTTCTTAAGGACAGCTAACATGATTTGACAGCTTCACAACGTAATTAACTTGGGAACTTTGTTAATCGTTATTTGTTCATCAGTCACTGCAGTGGCCATCACTATCATTATCTACAGCTGATCGAGTCAACGGACGACTTTCACATTAGTTTCTCAAATTTATCAATCGCATCTAGAGCTCGGCAATCTACGGTCTGCTATATATGTTCTTCCCCTCCACATCATTCAAATTTATACTTCCTGTGTTCCTTCTCCAGTTCTCTAAACCCAGAAAGAGAGAGAGAAACCATGGCGGAAACAGCTCTGTTTAGCATCGCTGGTGTTGTCCTGAAGAAGTTGGGTTACTTGGCAGCTGAACAGGCAAGCTTACTCTGGGGTCTCAGCAGCGAGATTCCGAAACTGACGTTTACTGTTTCCTCCATCCAGGCTGTGTTGTTGGATGCAGAGGAGAAGTCTGGTCACAATCACCAGATCCAGCTTTGGCTCCATCGATTGAAGCAAGTCCTTTACGATGCTGATGATTTGCTGGATGATCTCTCCACTGAAGCTCGGCAAAGAGAACAAATGGAGGGTCATTGCGTCATGAACGAGGTATATCCTACAGCGTTTTAACAAATCTATTTTAATATATCCTCTCCAAAATGCGATTTCGAAACTTTGTTTTAAGATTAGCCCAAATTTAAGACGGTAGGATCTGGTTTGATAGTATGTTGCTTGGTGTCCTGTCCTGCGCATATGCTATAAAATTGGTTCGGAATCGCGGTTTCGATCCATATGATCGATTTTTATAAGCGATTTTGATTGATTTTGCGTACTAAATGATTCTACAAAGATTTCTTTAATTCTAATGATCTAAAAACACAAAACTGTAAACTTTTACAACTTAAAAGGCATACTTTTTTTGACTATATTGTCTTAAGAGTGTTGATAGCATCAAAATTGACAACAGTTCTGTTACACTATTGACTTAGTAATCCTTATCACACAAGCTTCCTAGTTCCAATATGATTAGTCAACATTCCTTTGTTTCCCATGTTGGGCACTTGTCCCATCGGCAATGAACCTAAAATCATAGACATTTACTGGGCATAGAGGTGGCAAATGGATTGGATCCATAGATTGGTGGATTCATGAATCAAATGGATTGGTGGATTTATGGATTGGATCAAGTGGATTGGTGGATTATCCATGAATCCAAATGACATCCTCAACTTTGGACCAATATGTAAAATGTGAAAAGTTTAGGTACTAAAATGCCGTAACGAAAAATTTTAGGTACCAAAACGTAATTTTTCAATGATATTTTTCGTATAAAAAATTAAATATTGGGTACCAAAATGTAAAATATAAAAATTATGGGTACCAAACTGTAATTTGCCATTTGGATCCATGAATCCATGAATCCACCACTCCAATTGGATTTTGGATTGATTCATGAATCCACCAGTCCAATTGGATTTGGATCAAATGGATTGGATTTAAATGGATTAGATTAAGTGGATATTTTTAATGGATTGATGGAGTGGATTGGTGGATTGGATTGAGAATTGCCACCTCTAGCTGGGCACCTAGCAACTTATCAATGTCACCAAGTTAATAAAGGGGAAAGAACTCGACCATCCTCGTTTGTAAACATGTCGTGTATTATGAGTCTCTAATATCATAATATCACGATGAGATACAAGTCATGCATATATGCTTTTTATAAACTCATCTTTGTGTCGATACCATATATGACAGTCTAGTTCAAGCTCAAATGAAGTAATTATTTGATTTGGGGTTGGCCAACCACTTCATAGACACTATCCATCAAAGGGCCTCATGATATTGTACTCTCCTACTAGTAGGAAGGACTAATACAACATTGCTTTATCAGATCCCTTTCATGCTTCAAATTCATGCACACTGACTATCCACTTCCCGCACTCATTCCAAGCAACTGAGCATAGTATCAAAATATCTTTTTTTTTTTTGGTAAAAAATGGGACGGCAAAAGGGCGCCCCTGCCTGATACTTAAATTAAACGGGTTTGGGAGATTCCCAAAACGTTATACAAAATCCAGAAGGACAGACCCGAGTCTGTACTCTCAAAACATGGTAACCTATACTATCAGAGTGGCCTTTATTGGCAAGGAAATCAACCACTTTGTTTCCTTCTCTATAAATGTGGGAAATTATGACTTACCAGTTCCGTTGTATAAGCCCCTGAAACTATAAAACCAGATTATGGTACCTGTGCTCCGTCTGATCTTGGGAGGTTAGGATGTTGATGTCTGTAGTGGAGTCCAATTGGAGGAGGACATTCATGTATCCTTTCTCCCATGCCATCTGCAGGCCTCGAATGGCAGCCATGATCTCTGCTCGGGTAATTGTGCACACGCCGAGGTTTTCCACAAAAGCTCCCATACTTTTCCCCGTCCAGTCCCGGACAAGGCCACCCCCTGCTGCTTCCGATCCTGGTTGCTTCACTGACCCATCGGTATTGACACACATCTAATCCTGTGGTGGCGGTATCCAGGCGAGCCGCTGTGCTGTCTTCTTTGGCCCCTCTTTGTGTGAAGCCGTGTCATTATCCTGAGCTTACCTGATTGTTTACGTCCAGCAACCGATACGTTACGCCAAGACATGATCATTTTGATTCAAGTTGTGGAAGACCTTCTCATTCCTTCTTTTCCAAAGATACCAAGTTGCCACGCCAAACAGAAGCCCTTCCTGATCCCTCTTGAGGTGTTCATCAAGCCAAGCTGCAAACCCAAGGCCGTAAGTTAGTGCAGTCTCCTGAATACCCAACCTATGCCATACTTGTATGGAGCTCGGACACTGGCGCAATATGTGTTCGGTGGTTTCCGGTCCTCTTCTGCACGTCAGGCATGTGTCGTCCGTCGTCAGTTTCCTCTTCTTGCGTTGCGCATTCGTCATCACTCTATCATGAAAATCCAACCACAGTAAATGTTTAATCTTGTTCGGGCCCGCCCATTTCCAGAGTCGCTTCCAGTGATGGTGGTCGTTTTCCTCCTCTGTCTCACGCTCCTCGTCGCTCAGCCACTCTACTGCCGCGGAATAGGCTGAATGCAGCTTGAACTTTCCGTCTGGCTCTATACCCCAAGCTGTAATGTCTTCACCCGATCCCAGCATGGGAGGGTCCGTGCCTGCAACCATGGCAAACAAATTATGAGTCAGGTGCGGCGAGAATTCCTGCCATTCCACTCACCTTCATTAGTGACCATCTCGGCTACGGTGGCATGCCAGTTGATTCCCTTGCCATTGCATGTGATATGCTCGTTCAGGATTGTTCCCTCGGTAAGCCAAGGATCTGTCCAAAATTGGACATTATGACCTTCCCAAATGTCCCACACGACACGCCACTTGAGGATTGGCCAAGTATCAACAATTCCTTTCCAAAGCCACGAGAAGTTGCTTTCTTCATCACCAGAGCCCCTGTCTCGTTGACTTTGGAATACTTCCCTTGCAGGATGCGGATCCAAAGCTCATCCGACTTGTTAGAAAAGCCCACCCCAGCTTCATAAGGTAGGATAAATTGAGAGCTCTTGCAGATCGCATGCCTAGGCCGCCAAGCTCCTTTGGTTTACAAATGGTTTCCCATTTGACCAAGTGAGTCTTGGAGACTCCGTCTTTTGCTCCCCAGATAAAAGCTATCACTTTCTTATCAATGGTGTCGCAGACAGAGATAGGGAGAACCGTCGTTTGCATAACATAGTTCAGAATGGCGTTAAGCACCAAGGTCACCAAGGTAACTCTTCCTGCTAGGACGAGACTCCTCGCCTTCCATCCTGAAAGTCGTTGATCAATCTTATCCAAGATGAACTTGTAGGTATTTTTCGTGACTCTGCCGTGGATAGTTGGAACACCCAAGTAGCGCTCCAAGTTGCGTGTTTGTTTGATCCCCAGCATGTCACTTATACTTTTCTTCAGGTTCCCCATGGTGTTTTTGGAGAAGAAGACACATGATTTGTCTTTGCTAACTTGTTCCCCTGAGGCCTCACAAAATCGGTTAAGACAAGTTAGAACTTCTTCTCCTTGCTTTGGATCAGCCTTTGCAAATAAGATCAAGTCATCTGCAAAAAAACAGATGAGTAAGTGCAGGACCATCCTTAGACAGAGTAATAGGTCTCCAGGCTTTCCTATCTACAGAGTCCATGATGTAGTGATTTAGTCTTTCAATACATAAAGTAAAGAGATAAGGTGAAAAAGGACATCCCCGGAGAAGACCCCTACTAGGTTGGAAAGGTTCGGTGTAGCCACCATTCCAAAGCACCTGGAAAGGAACAATCGTCACACAAGCCATGACAAGTTTGACGAAATCATCAGGAAGACCAGCCGCCTGCAGGGTTGATTCTAAGAACTTCCAATTAATCCCGTCGTCGGCTTTGGCCAGGTCAATTTTCAGAATCATTTGTCCTTTGGCTCCCGTCCTGAGTGACATAGTGTGAACCACTTCCTGCAGGATGATGATGTTGTCTGTGATATCAGATATGTCTCTTCGGGACAAAACTTGACTGGCTCGGGTTGATAAGCTGAGGCATAAAAATTTTGAGCCGATTCGCCAGACACTTTGCCAGGACCTTGTAGATCACGTTATAGAGGCCAATGGGCCTGAACTGAGCTACTTGCTTCGGGGAATCCACCTTGGACAACAACACTAGAAGGGTTTCATTGCACCTCTTGATCCGCTCCGGGTTCCTGAAACAATCAACAATGTGGTCATGGAAATCAACTCTCACCCTGTCCCAGCATTTCTGGTAGAAGGTAGCATGAAAACTATCCTTCCCCGGTGCCTTTAGCCCTCCCATATCCTTGATTATCTGATACGTCTCCTCGGGAGGAGGGTTGGCGGCAAGGTGCGATGTCATTGCCCCGGTCAAAACATTGAAAAGTGATGGGATATCTTGCTGCCCCATGTTGTTATCCGAGTAGAGCCGGACATAGAACTCTCTGGCCATAAGTTTCAGCATCTTCGGATCCTTGATCCAAGTCCCATCCTCTTGTTGTAATTTGGTTATTCTATTTTTCCGGCATCTCGTGAGAGAAACATGTTGGAAGTAATGAGTATTCTTATCCCCATTCACAATCTGATTGGCCCTCGCCTTCTGAAGCCACATGAGTTCTTCTTGCCATAAAGTCTGCTGAAGTTCCTCCCGAATCTGCCCTTCTCGTCTTAGGGATGCTTCACTTGCTGCCGTCTCGTTCTGAATTTCCAGGCAGGTAAGCTTCTTTGACAGTTTAGCTTTCCTCCAAAAAAATGTTTCCAAACACCTCTTTGTTCCAACGTGCAAGATGCGCTTAAAGATCCTACAAAGACACCAAACAATCCATTCCTCGGTTCCACGAGGCCTCAAGTGTAGAGGGAAAATCCTTGTGATCTAACCACAACACTAGAAATCGAAACGGTTTTACCTGCCTAGGAGGGTTATGATCATTGTCACTGCAGATGAGAATTGGTCTATGATCCGAGCGGAGCTTGGGAAGGTTTGTTGATAAGGTATCTGGGAACTTTCTGATCCACTCCTGGTTACGTAAAACTCTTTCAAGGCGCTGGGAGAGACTCCCATTACTCCAGGTGAACTTAGGTCCAGTAAAACCGACATCTAGAAGTCCTCAATCACGAATGCATGCATTGAAGTTAGCCGTTATGCTCAGATTGTACGCAACACCTCCTGTGCGCTCTAAAGGGCAGGTGATGGAATTAAAATCTCCCGCTAAGAGCCACAACCTCTCAATGTTTTGCTCCAGTCTCCGAATAGCCGCCCACAGGGGTAGCCTGGCATGGTCGTTGGGCTTGCCGTATATAGCAGTCAAGAGAATTGAGTTTCTATTCTGATATGTCCACAAAAGATGGAGAAATTGTGAGTCTCGATCCAATTCAGAGATCGCAAGGTAAGTATCCATCCAAAGTACCCAAATACCACCGGAAAAACCAATAGCATCCACCACAATATGGTTATCAAACCCCATAGACTTAATAACATCTTCTGCATCCTTGCCACTGATCTGTGTCTCTACGATGAAGACAATATTGGGTATGTGGGTGAACACATACTCTTTGAAAGTTGCAAGAAACTTTGGGTGTTTTGCCCCCCGGCAATTCCAACTGAAAATTTTGAACATAAGGAAATAAAGAGATGAGAAGGGGCAGCAGACTTCCTTGACTCGCAGAAGTAGTAGGGGCTTCGCTTAGTTAGTCGACTCCGCTAGCGGAGCTCCATTTTCCACCAGTGCGGCCGCATCAGGCTACAGCTCTCCCTCAGTTCCAGTGGTCTGAGGCTCGGCGATTTCAACCATGGGTTCATTGTCCTCCCTGGTTCCCGAATTAGTAATTCCAGCAGGCGGTAGGGACTTGAGTTGGAGGAGGAGTTCCTCCACAGCTTTGCGATGACTAGGATTACTCTTATTTTGTTGTGCTCGCTTGCCGTTGCCCGGTCCATGTCGCAATCCGTGGCTCTTCTTCCCTATGCGGAGATTGGTATCCTTCTTCTTCTTAGGTGGGGAACAAGCACTCCTTGATTTTTCTCTAGTGATATTTTCGAATTGAATTGATCGCTTGGGGAATCACAGCTTCTTCTGGAGACGAAGGGCCATCGTTGAGTGGAGGAAACAGATTAACTGAAGAGGACTCCTGCTTGTGGGTCGGGTTTAATCTGGTGGGCTCGATTTCGGTCTGATCCAACATTATCAGATCAGTCCCTGTTTTCTCTATGGGCTGCGAGCCTGAGCTGAGAGAGGCCTCCTTGGTCTTAGGGCCCACCATACTCCACACCTGTGTTGGGCTGTAGCTAGATTTTCCTTATTTGGGTTGGCCTCAATACCGTTAGCCTTCCCCAACTGCGATGCAACCTTCCCCTTCTTCGATACCCCTTTCTGTTCCTCCTTACCTTTCCTGTCTTTCATATTAGCTGTATTACCTTGTTCATTCTTGGGCTCTTTCCTGATTTGGTCGTCGCTTTCCTGGAATCACTATTTCTGCCCGTTTGATTTCCTTGAGCGAATCCTTGGTTGGCCTGGACTTTACTTGTTTGATTTCGAGATTTTCACCCAAGGACGATTTCGCAGGCCTTCTCATTTTTTTCTGGTTCACCTGTTATTTCTCCTTGGGGTATACTTATTTGACCCAAGTATACCCCAGGAAAAGCAACTGCAGAATAGTCATCCCTAAAAGAAGCTGTTTTCAAATTCAAATAGGTTGCTTTTAGAATAGGTTGTTCTCGAATAAGCTCTTTGAAAGATAACTGAATGCGTTTAGTCCCTTGGGGATGGGTCTGCACTCAGGGGCTCTTTTTAGCACTTTTGAGGAAGTGAAGACGAATAGTCGACTTTGTTGCCTGCTTGACTGCTTTCATCTCCTGATGTCAGAAAAGGTGTTCTATCGCATTCTTTTAGCTGCAAGGGAACCGTCAGGTTGTAGTGGTTGAAGTAGAGCCAAGCAGCGATGGACTAAGCGAGTCAAATAACGCTGGTGCGAACCATGTTGGATGACGGGTGAGGGTGAGAAAGAAGTCCTGCTCTGCTGCCCTGTGTTAAGCAAAGTGAGTTTACTTCGTTTCAGGCCATGTTATTCAGTCTCATGGAACTAAACTCTTAGATGCAGCATGCAGCCGCCTCCATCCATCGGCACATCCGCCCCAGATGCACGCTTAGCCGCATTGTTCATCTTGAGCGGCAGGGGGAGCGATCAGGGATAAGATGGGTCGGTTAGTGAGGGCTTTCTCTGTTGATTTGGTCTTCGTTCCTGCCATTGATTCCATTTCTTCACCACCACCAGCAGATTCTCTTCCGAGACGGGTTTCGAATCGAACTGGGGCATGGTCTGTTAATCCGGGGTTACACTAGCTAGGCGAAATAGCCCTCACTCTTCTTCTCGCTTCCTAACCCTAAACAAAGACGAATGGTGTCGCAGATAAGCTGTTAAGAAGGTACCTTTAGTCATTATCCCTATCACCTGGAGATACGATTCAGCCCGGATAAGCCGTATTATTGAACCAGACAAAGCAACAAGCAATGAAACCAAAAACAGCTAAAGCACCTAAACTATAAGACAAGTAAGCTTCTCCCGACCAAACAAGTGCACGGCGAGCCCATGCACATTCCGTTTTGTTTCCCATCCTAGTCTTTCGCGATACTTCAGGTTTACTTCTTTTGTTAGGTCTCGACTTCTCCGCTATGATCTTCCCAGTAGTTCATATAGGAGCTATAGCCGTTTCATTCCTATTCGTTGTTATGATGTTCCATATTCAAATAGCGGGCTTCGCGAGACCTTTTCGATCTACACATGGCTAAGCTCTATTAGGCGCTGGCTTATCGAAGCAAATCCCGAATTACCGAGTATATTCGTTCCTCTCCCTTCTCCCTTCGCCCTACGGGCTCATATATTCCCTTCCTCTCCTTCTTGTTCTAATTCAAATGCGAGCAACTTCGCACCTTCTCCCTACGGTCGAACATATACGCTTTTAGATGCGCCGAATCGCTTGCCGAATCACCTGTCGGCAAAGACGGGCTAACTCTACTCTAATAGATATAGGAAATAGAACGTTCAGCGGGTGACCCTTGCCTGGCTTGATGGGAAATCGAATAGATTTATTCTGGACTGATTCGGAGGATAGTAAATCTGGACTTGTATCGTATAATAAGTCCGCTGCTACCGGGCATTGAATTGGCCGAAGTGGACCAAGTTCTGGTGCTTTTGTCGCCGAAGAAGCTCTTACATCGGATAAAGCGTAATTCCAATGTCTTTTTAGCGAGAAAGTAGGAAAAACGGTGCTTCAACACGGCGCATTTAGCATTTAATCCTATTTATTAGCCAATTTTCTCATAAAAATGCTATGATACGAAGTGCCATTTATAAGGATACAATCCTTGTTTGCCTATTAGTTCCTAGTTGTTCTCTTCATCACGCGGGGTCTTTCTCCGGCTGAACACATTCTGATTTCCGGACTTTCCCTTCCTTTTAGATTCACTAAACAGGAAGGCGGATGCGCTGTAATCTCTGGGCCCTTTAATTTTTGTCCATTGTTTCCTTCTTCTTCTGTGAATGAAAAAGCGTGAGATCGTACACCCGCAAACAATACTGCCGGGAAGCCTGCTCCTCGGGCTGTTCGGTACTTTATATGCTTGCCGCGGATAAAGACGACTTTCCTATTCGCTTGCCTGCTCTCCCTATTTTGCCCGAATTCCCCTAATAGAGCTGGTAATGAATTTCACTCTGTATCGAGATGGTATACCCCAGTGGATCTATATGTGCCCTAACCATCTATCTTAAAATGGAAATTCGGGACTGTCTGAGCTGTCTGATCGAGAATAGGAATCAGAATAGACAAAAATACATAAAAAGGAATCCCGGCCTTTTTTAATGATCTAATCATAAGCTTATTACCACCTGCATCCATGGTTCGTATCCCGCAGGTGGCTCCGGCGGTTGGTCTTCTGGAAACCGCATCAATTCGATCGTACACGTCTGAGGAACACTCGCCGGCAGATTGTGTAGCTTAGGGATGGCAAAAATATTCGTAACCGTGAATATCCACCCGAATCCGGCCTAATCGGGTAGAGTAAAACCCGAACCCGAAGGACATTTAGTGGGTACGGGTAAAACCCGAACCCAAATATTGCGGGTAATGGGTGGGCATGGGTTTCTAACTATCCAACCCGAACCCGCCCGATTATACGCATGCATGTGTATTTTCTCTAGAAATAATTATTATTTTTCCCTAACATATTTTATATTTAGCATATAAATATAATATTTTCATGAAATTGTGTTGTTTTAGTTAATTTTCTTCATTCTAGTGAACTATTGTCGTACTTTTCCTCTTACGCAATGTGAGAATACGTGTGAATGTTAACATATTGGTTGGAGTTATGAAGAGAAATTATTATCCATAGATAACCGTGGATACCCGAAACCCGAACGGGTATGGACATAGTTTTAATTTTCTACCCGTTTCACATGTGGGTATTGGGTATGGGTAAAACCCGAAATACTTTGGGTAGGGTAACGGATATGCACTATCCGTCCCCGACCCGACCCATTGCCATCCCTAGTGTAGCTTGGGGCAGGCGGCTTCAGAGTGCCCGATTCGGCCACATTCGAAGCATATCTTCGGGAGATTCTCGTAAATCACTTGTTGCCAGAAACCATTGAGGCAAATCCGCGTCTTCAGAGGCTTTGTCATATCGAGCTCAACGGCGATTCGAACGAATTTTCCTCTTTCCATGTGTTTCGTATGATAATCGAGTTTAACTGTTTTTCCCAATAGGTTTCCCAGCGCGAAGAGCACTTCCCAATGATAAAAGTGAATCGGTATCTCCAGTAATTGAACCCATATTACCACAGACCGGTGAGGTTTGTCCGACATGCGGAAGGTGTGTGACCATTGATGAACGATCAAATAGTGATCAAGGATCACCCATGGCCCGCCGGTGAGGGCGTTAAGATAGTCTTTCTCATTGCTGAAGTTAACCAGGAATGTCGAGTTGTTCAGGTCAAGAATCTCCATGCCCCCAGTAGGTTTCCATTTCCAGTGGAGCTGCGAACATATGTACTGGTAGGAAACGGACTTCCCCAGAAGACGCGCAACCAACGTGCGTTTCCATGGTATGCAGAAACGTTCTTTGAGCTGGGACGAGATCTTCAGTTCAGGCTCGCCATTGTAGAGCTCGGCTTCCAGGTCATGCTAGCCGATGAAGGTCCACTGGTGGGCCTTGGCCGGAGATGGTACCAGGGTTCCCGCCAGCGCCGACTTGTAGCTCAACGGTGGCGAGCTTGGTGTGCCTTGTGCAGACAGTGGCGAGAGAGAAAATAACGTAGTAGAATGGTCCGAATGCCTACCCGAAAGAGCCGTGTCGGCCTCTAGCGGGTTGCAGGCAGTCGGAGAGACTGAGAGCATTTCAGAGAGTTTTCTTAATTTCAGTATCAAAATATCACTATAATATTAACGGTGGCGGATTCAGGACAGGGCAGAGCACTAGGCCACATTTGAAAAAAAGACGAAGAGAGTTGGGCCGTAACGCTACGAACACTGAAACCTATATCAAAATCGAAAATTTACATGTGCTATACTTGTTCTGCATCCAGTGAGGGCTGGATCGTGACCCAGAGGCGCCCCTGAATCCGCCGCTGAATATTAATATATGTAAGTAACTTCCAATAAACTTGAATTGATAGACTCTTCCTCACTCAAACACAACACTTCGATGATTATCTCTAATGTTTTGGTATCCATGTCTAGTGTCTCACCTTCGGGTTGGTTTTACCATTTCGGTTAACTCGTAACCTCGATGTCTACATATGAAGCTACATCAACATATGTTAGCTTAGTGTGTGTCCAGCTAAACTAACATCATACTTGACGAGAGACATTTTGGAGTTATCCTAGGTTATTGATTCATTATTCAACTCAAATGCAATATAATTGAAATAACACAATCAACGGTCAACCTTTATTAGTTAATTATATTAGATCGAATCAATGATTACTAAAATGGTCACAAATTAGACTTGCCATGGCCCCACTTTGTGGCACCATTGCTCGTAAGTCGAAAGATGTATTGTCTAAAATCTAAATCTATCTTATAATAAAGTGGAAGTATACTTTTCGTTCTTTTCATAGACTGATACAATGTTAAGTTTTTTGTCAATTCGTTGTAGTGAAATATCTCTGAAAGGAGGTTTTGGACGATCTTACTTTCTAAAATGCAAAGGGAATAAATACGAATAAATGCAAATAAATTTCGTGTGAAAGTCACAGGAGATACATACGAGAGAAACATTGGAATTCACAACCTAGATTGTCCAAATTAATTCTTCTTTCTAATCACTTTAACGCTACTCTCTACAATCAAGAGATCACTAATATGCTAGCTATTCTTGTCTAGAATCAAGGGCGGAGCCAAGATCAGTACTCCCAGGGCCTTTTTCTTTTGCGTATTGTCAATAAAACAATTTAAAATATATAATATGAATGAAAAGAGTTATTTATTTGTCATAACCACAAAAAAAATATAGGACATCTTTAAAATAAATAGTAAATGACAAGCAAAATTTTATTTATTCTTTTCAATTGTATCATGTTATTCGTTGTTATTATAACTGAACGATACATGTATTTGCATATTAGCATTTGAAACAAAAAAAAATATCGTTTATATATTCAAAGTTGTTCTTAACAATGTGCATTTATAACTAATAAGGTGTCTTATCGACTCTATAGTCTAGACATTGTCTATTAATATTATTTATGAATCTTTTTGATTTTTGCGTGGTTCTTTGATAAGGAAATAATGCATAAACGATCATTTTGGCAATTTGTTGGCTCTTAATTCTCAAATGGATAAAGAATCGACTAACTTTGTTGTTAAAAAAATGTTGAATTTATTGTTATTTTTGTATGAGTAATTAGTAGTAGTGTGTCACGATTTGTTATAGTTTACTGCAAATAGACCACATTAGTGATCATTTCATACCACAAACTAAAAAAAGAGACTACAAATCAAACCAAACCAAACCATAGTTCTGGCCTCACAATCTAGACCAAATCATACGATACTGTCTAGACCGCGGTTTGGTCTAGATTCCCAGCACTAGCTCTCCCTTTGGGATCTTCCTTCTATCCAAACTCTTCCGTGTTCTCCCCTCCCTCAACTTCTTCCCCGCTCTCCCATTGCGATGCGACCGGCGGCTAGGCGAGTTTGTTTCCCCTTCCCTTCCGATTCGATCAGATTGGCAGCTAGCGGTGTTTGGGTGAAGCTGCTTGGCGACATGCAGACTCTTCTTCTTGCTCCTCTATTCGTCTCCTTCTGGTCAGCAGGCGTTTCTAGCGGCTGTCGATTGCGTTTCTTCATCTTTGAGGGTGCAGAACAGGAGCATAAGAAATCGAGAGCCGTCGCTCACACTTCGGTCCGCCCTGCAGATTAAGTTGTAGGCGCAGAAGACTCAAATTAAGGGGGAAAGTGAAGAAGGAACCCGAATTTGTCGAGGTTGGTTCGAGTTCTGCGAGGTGAGAAGAGACGTCGGCGAGAACATGAGGTGACTCATCCCTCCGACGCCGCCTCTCCTCATCCCTTCTTTCAAAGAAGAATCCCCAGGTTGAGTCCGAAGATGCCATTCTAATTGTCGATTCCCTGATTCATTGGTAAAGAAAACTGTAATTTTGAGTTCTTTTCATTCCTCTGTAGCTGTAACTTGCGTTCCTCTTTCTCATTGTGCTGCTAAGAGTAGATAGTCTGAATAGACAAGGTTTGAGCTACTTTCTCTTGTTAGTTTAAATTTTTGGGTTCAATCCCTTTGCGTTAAATTCGAACTCTACTTAATGGTATACTTTGTTGTTTGATGTTCTTGAACTTGCTCTTATTGCTTCAGGGTTTAGTCAAATTTCTATTGAGTGTTTTGGTTAAGATTTGGCCATTTTAATCAATATATAAGTTCAAATTCTCAGTAAACTACTTCCTATATTGAAAGGAAAAGTTGAGTAGTAGCAGTTGAAATTTATTGTTATCGTGTTGTAAGAACTTTTTATTGTATTTCCAAAGCATTCTTGATTCTTCTCCTTTTATTTAATGTCCAAGATCCCTTCTAGATGAGATAAGTGATTTCAGGACTGATTGACATGGGACCGTGAGTTTCATTTGAAATTTCTGATCTGACTTGCATTGTTGTTTCAAAGAAATGCAAAATGGAGGACAAAGGTTATATAGATCCATCATGGAAGAAGGGTAGAAAATCCAACTGTTTTCAAAGATAATGGCAATGAAGAACTTCTAAGTTTCCTACTGTGCTTCAGTTTTGTTTGGAACGCTTATATGCTTCCCAATTAATTTTGCTTTCTTTTATTAATTTCAAAGCTGCTACATTCTCGTTTCATTATAAGGTTGGAATGTGGTACTTGATTATCTTCAAAAAACAAGTGATGTTGATTCTTGATATCATATCTTTCTCCAATCTGGGTATTTGTTGTTTAGGGAGAGAAAGGAAAGTGAATGAAAAGAGCAAGATGAAGTTGAGTTTTTATCCTTGATGTGTACTTTGGTGTCAATTGGCTATCAATCACATAATGAAACATATCGTTCCCTTAATGTCATAGATGTGTTAATTACACTTTTTTTTTTATGTTCACTCCGTTGTCAGTATTTTGATTTCCTCTACTTTTTACTTTAGAATTCATAATATGAAACTCTAATTATCAATTCATTGGAAGTTAGTTCAATATGGATCGAACCGATTATATAGTTTTAGTAATCAGTCAAGTATTGCACTATCTCACCTTTAATTTCCCTTTAACAGGTAGGCCTCTTCTTTTCTGGTTCCAACCAAGTTGTGTATGGTTTGAAGATTGCTAATCAGATTAAGGGCATTCGGACCAAACTAGAGGAGATCGATAAGGATAAGAACCAGTTCTATCTCGGAGAGCGCTCCCAAGAGCCCGATTTTTCATGGAGGCAAACTGACTCCTTCATTCCCAGTGTGTTTGTTGGTAGAGGAAAAGAGAAGCAGGACATAATGGACATATTGTTGTCGACCAATCATGCTGAGAAAGTCGCGGTTGTACCCATTATTGGGATCGGTGGATTGGGGAAAACTGCACTGGCCCAGCTTATCTACAATGACTTGGGTGAGAGCAGTGGTTTTCAAATCAAGATTTGGGTATGCGTATCCAATAATTTTGATGAAAAGCTGTTGGTGAAAAAGATGCTGGAGTGTGTCACCAAGGAGGAAGTCAAAGATTTGGAGTTGGGCACTTTGAAGCATAAACTTAAAGAGGAAATGGAGAGCAAGAGGTTCTTGTTGGTGTTGGATGATGTCTGGGATGATGATGTCGACTTGAGAAACTGGGATCGGCTCAGAGATTTTTTGTTAGGGGTGGCCACAGTGGGCAGTAGAGTTATCATAACGACACGTATTGGGGAAGTCGCAGAGAGAATGGCGTCTAGTGGGATTAAACCACAGGAGCTACAAGGTCTCCCTGAGAAGGAGTCATGGGATTTGTTTGAGATGATAGCATTTCATGGTGAGGAAGGACGTGGGGAAGTACATGTGAAGGTAGCAAAAGAGATTGTGAACAAATGTGTGGGAGTTCCTTTGGTGATAAGAGCGATGGCGGGCACTCTGGCCAGCAAGAAACATGTGGACGATTGGGTAACGATAAGGGACAAGCAAGTAATGATAGGCATGCATGACAAACAACAAGGTATATTGGCAACTCTTCGTCTGAGTTACGACAACCTGCCTTCACATTTAAGACATTGTTTCGCTTATTGTAGTTTGTTTCCCAAGGATTATAACATCGTGCCGGAAACAGTGGTGCAGTTGTGGGTAGCACAAGGTTACGTTGACGATGAATCTGGTGAATATTTCAGAAGTTTATTGTCCAGGTCATTTTTTCAAGAGGGTGAAAATGATACATCGGGAAATGTATCATATAGAATGCACGATCTGATGCACGATTTGGCTGTCATAGTTGCAGGGGAAGAGAGTTTCACCTTGGACGTCTTGAATTTGACGGCAGCTATTATCCGTCTTGACAAAGCGAAAGTCGATAAACTTCGACACTTGTCATTCGACTTTGCGGGAAAGTCAGAGAGGAAGAATCTGGCGATCCCAACTTGTTTGCTTAAAGAAGCAACAAGGTTGCGGACATTTTGGCTTACCAATATCCCGGATGGAGGTTTTAGTTTGGGGGAATCTGAGTGGCAGCAAAGATTGATCTTCTCATATATGACTAGACTCAGAGCGTTGAGCCTCCGTAGTGGCAGAATGAAGTCTATCCCGACCTGCATTTATAAGCTGAGACATCTCAGGTATCTTGATCTTTCAGACAACGACATGGAGACGCTTCCTGACGAGATTACAAGACTCGTAAACTTGCAGGTGCTCCTCCTGGAATTTTGTTCCTACCTTCGGGAACTGCCAAGTGACATTACCAAGCTTCCGGACCTCAGTGTTCTGGGCCTGGATGGCTGCACTAGCTTGACACACATCCCCGTAGGAATTCATAGACTCTGCCGCCTACACAGATTGAACTTGTTCGTGGTGGCAGTGGAAGGAAATAGAGCAGCCAGAATCAGTGAGCTAAACCGTCTGGGAAATCTTGGCGGGAATTTGTTGATAAGAGGGCTGGAGTTGCTCGAGGATAAATGTGAAGCAGAGGAAGCAAATTTAGAGGAGAAAAACATGATTCGGAGCTTGGTGTTGGAGTGGGACAGCAGAACATCCAGTAACGGTGCTGCTGACGAGATGGTACTTGAGGCTTTGCGGCCCAATGCGAATCTGGAGCAGCTGTGGCTAGGAGGTTACAGCGGGACAAAGTTGCCGAGTTGGCTCTCTTCTCTTACAAGTGTGGTTAGCATCCAGCTGGGCAGATGTGGGAAGTTGAGGATTCTGCCAGCCTTTGATCCTTTCGTTTCTCTTGCAGATTTGCGGTTGGTCAATTTACCCAATTTACAGTACATATTAGTTGGCACCCCATTGACATTATCATCATCATCTTCTGCTGCTGCTGCTGCTGCTTTTCTCCCCTCGCTCCAGTCTCTGGAGATTCGCGGGTGCCCCAACCTAGAAAGATGGGCAACTGAGGAAACAGAGTACGTGCCAAAGTCAATTTTCCCTTCCCTCTCCAAGCTAGTGATTGAGCATTGCATGAAACTGGTACATATCCCTCCTTTGTCGGCGCATGTGGAACATGTTGAATTAGGAAAAGTGACAAGTGAGCTGGTGGTTAAGTTGGCTACTGCCCTTCCCCCTCCTCCCCTGACAGAGGCAGAACTTACTACCACAGCAGCCCACTCTGTATTGAAATCGCTACGACTCCAGGGCATCAGTGGTACAGAACTTCTGCCGCAACAATTGCTCCCACACCTTACTTCACTTCACACCCTCTCCATCGCCAATTGCCAAGATTTTATCACCCTGTCCCCTGCTATGCCGTATCTCATTTCCCTGCAGAAGCTTTCCATCTTGGATTGTTGTGCTTTCGGGTCTTTCGATCGTGGGGATGGTGTTAGTGGCGAGTCTGCTGTCCTGCCTGCATGCGGATTTCCAAGCCTCCATTACTTTTACATCTCGTGGCTTCCAAAGCTGGGGTCACTGCCGGAGTGGCTTCAGCACTCCCCGAATCTGAAGGAGCTGAAGATTGTGAAATGCGACGGCATCACTTGTTTACCACACTGGCTCGCCAAGCTTACGGCCTTGGAGTCGCTGGAATTGAATCTGTGCTTTGAACTATCACAGAGATGCCGGAGCAGCGAGGCCGAGGACTGGCCCAACGTTGCTCACATAAAAAATCTTAAACTCAGCGATCACGAGCCGAGCAGCTTGGGCGGCCGGACTAGGCCGTCCTTATGCGACCAGATCCAGCAGTACGTTCTCCTTTTCATTTTCTCTCGTTTTCTCTTACCGCTATTTTTACCTTGTTATACAATTCACGCAATACCCAGCTCGAACATACATAACAAACTTCGGACATTTTGCTGCAGGTGCGTTTATCTCCCAATTATGTTGTGTGTTCTGGCCTGCGCAGTGCGTGCGTTGCAACATCGGGCTCGAAATTGAAGGGGGGAGAAGTGCTACATCAGCGTCGACAGAAACTGGGTTAAAGTTAAGTCTTGAATGGTCCAGACTGTCGAGGTTCCCATTCCTTGGCCTTGTACGCACTATATGCTAATACATGGAGAAGATACCCTGACCTTTTAATTTGTTTGATCCGGCAGTCAAAGAAGCTGATCCTATAACCAAGCTAGCTGGGGATGGCAAAAATATCCGTAACCGTGGATATCCGTCCGAATCTGGCCTAATTGAGTAGGGTAAAACCCTAACTCGAAAGACATTTAGTGGGTACGGGTAAACCCGAACCCAAATATTGCGGGTAATGGGTGGGCATGGGTTTCTCACTATCCAACCCGAACCTGCCCGATTATACACATACATATGTATTTTGTGTATAAATAATCATTATTTTTCTCTAACATATTTTATATTTAGTATATAAATATAATATTTTCATGAAATTGTGTTGTTTTAATTAATTTTCTTCATTCTAGTGAATTATTGTCATACTTTTCCTCTTACGTAATGTGAGAATATATGTGAATGTTAACATATTGGTTGGAGTTACGAAGAGAAATTATTACCCATAGATAACCGTGGACACACGAAACCCGAAAAGTTATGGGCATTGTTTTAATTTTCTACCCGTTTTACATGCGGGTATGGATATGAGTAAAACTCGAACTAGTTTGAGTAGAGTAACGAATATGTACTATCCGTCCCCGACCCAATCCATTGCCATCCCAAAAGCTAGGTAGCCAAGTTGCAGTTCATCCACATCGGCTCTTTGGTCCTCTTCAGTATTCCCACCTCTTCTGTTATTATGCCCCTTTCATGGAGGCTCTTCAGGCTTTTTGTTTTGTGCTTTCTTTCTCTTTTCTATTTTTCAGAACTCTGGAAATGTTGGATTGTGTTCGGTTGTGCTTTATTTTATTTTTTTGTTAGTTGATTGGAAATCTTACTCGTTTGTCCTTGATTCCTTGTTCCTAAGGACATATCTTTGGCACAATCGGATGCATTTACCATAGCCTCTATTCGGCCCGGTTTTTAGGCGGGTCGTCGATGTTTTCATTTATTACGGTTACTTAACACTAACCGGTTAGCATGCTAACCCCCCTAGGGGTTGGAAAAATGACACCCCCTAGTATATTAAATACAACTATAATTAATACACAATAATTAATACACACATTAAATACACATTAGGAATTAAATGTACCATATTAATTAGGAATTCTCTCACTATTAAATACACATTAGGAATTAAATACACACATTAAATACACATTAGGAATTCTCTCACTATATTTGATTTTTCCTTTTTCAGCAGTCTCCGACCATCAGACTTCCTCCGACCGCCACACTTCTCCGGTGAAAATCCCATCGGCAGACTCCCTCCGACCACCTCCAAAAAATATACTACTGCACTGATACGTTGTACCACTGTACTGGTAGATATACCACTTCACTGATACGTTGTACCACTGTACTGGTAGATATACCACTGCACTGGTAGCGATATCAGTGCACTGGTAGCAATGTCATATCTGAGTATCGGTGCAGTGGTACAAATACCAGTAAAGTGGTAATTAATGTGGTGTATTTAATGCTTACTTTGTATTTAATAACAGAACATTTATTATGTTTACTTTCATTAATACTTGTCAATAATTAATGAAAAATTGACCAATTAAAAGGGGGGTGTCAAAAAACCAACCCCTTAAGGGGTTAGCATGCTAACCCATCCCCTAACCTGTGCATATATCACTTATCAGCTTGTGACCGGTAGCTTCATATTGTAGTTAAGTGGTCGTTGTATTTGTATATAAGTACCTTTTATGTCCAACAGAGCAAGGCAGACATTGTGTTGTGCCATTTTTCTAAAAGCACCTAGAGCTCAGTCTTATCCGTGATCTCTAGCTTTCACTCTCTTCCTCTTTCCGTCAGAAGTAAATGAAGGAGGGGAGAGAAATGATGCCATGATTCTTGATGAGGGAAGCTCGGTGATCATTTCAACTGGAGTTCTGGGTTCAGGAGTTGATATGTTGGGTGTTAGGCAGGTTATAGTGTTTGACATGCCGAATCTCATCAAGGAATATGTTCATATGATTGTGATAGAGCTCCGGAAGAAGTTCTATCGAGAGATTGGGGATTAGGGATCAACTAGGGATTGATCCGGGGAATTGGGGAATTGAAATAAGAAGAGAGGTGGGAAGGGGGCTGCTGCCGACCAGCAGCTTGGAAAAGGGAGAAGGAAACAATTAGGATTTAGGTTTATTCTTGCCTGCCATTACCTACGTAAAACAATAGTTTAAATACCAAAACACAATTACCGACTAACTACCCCAACTTATTAATTCCCCAATCTATTTTCCAATAACCAAAATAATCCCGAACTAAATAATTCAAACCGACATAAATCCCAAATAAGTAAAACGTCTATCTATCAGATCGGCAGGGCTTCCCGGATGGGGGTGGAAGGCAAAGTGCTCGCGTTCATTAATGAAGAGAGCAAGGCATTGTTCCCAGAGTTCGTCGAGGTGCTCAAGTCTTCCGGAGCTGCAGTACCTCGTGAGCTTGCTAATTCCCGGTATAGTTCGAAATCATTGCCTTCTACCAAGAGCTGGAAGAAAAGGAAGCTTGGCTAGTAAAGTCTTGCTGAGATTTTGTGTGACACTGCAAATTCTGCGGTCTCTCCAGGTGATGATGTGGCAAGCCGATTTCCACATCAGCCCTCGCCAAAACGGTAATGTTCACTGCTCAATGCCAATGGCCGGCGGTTTCCAGCCTGTCCGCAGAGCAGCCAAGTAAGCAGCCTTCTAGACGTCAGCATGTGCCGCTGGCCGCTGGTGGACCGTTCTCTGTACCGATGACGACAGTTTGTTATTGGTAGCATGTTTTAATTGAATGTATATTCCAAATTTTCCTTGTATCTCTTGTCCGACAACTAGGCCAAATTATTAATACGGAAATTCCTTTCTCCAAGTGGAAGAAAATCGAAGTTGACAAGTCTTTGGTTTGACCCTACCGAATCTGACGGTTCATTTCAGTCCTTCTTTCACGCAGTCCAGCCCAGCCCAGCCCATCTAGCGGCAAAGAAACGCCAGCTGCGGGCCCAGTATCTGGAAAAAGCAAGGCGGGAAATAAAAAAAAAATCTTCCCCGTATCCACGTTGGTTCATATCCTTGCCTTTCAAGGCAACAAAAAAGAAAAAAGAAAAAAGAAAGAACGGCTGGAATGGAAACCTCCATACGTACTCTCACGTTCCGCATTTCGTGCATCACCCCCTTTTCCCTCTCTCCAATTCTTTTGGGGAAAATTTCTCTCTGTTCTGAACTTTCCCTTTCTTCTATTCCTTCGTCCCTCACAGCTTTCCATTCTCCAGAAATTCTCTCTCGCTCTAATCGCTCCGGGAAACTGTTGAATCGGCGGCAAGAACCATAGACGTCGGGATATCCTGCGGAGAATTTGGAAGATGAAAGCGATCAAGCTGTTCGAGAGAGCTTCTCGAACGTACAATGACAGCTCGTCCTTCTCGAAGCTGCTTGTGGTCTTCACCGTCAGGTATGGTGCCGTGTTTCTCCGATGCGCTTCTGTGTCTCCTCGTTTCCGTCCGCCCGTTGCTTATTGTGTTTTGGACGGTTACTTGATACCGTGCTTCGTTGCTCGATTTGCTCTGAATTTTCTGAACTGAACTGAGTACACGTATGGATTTCGATTGTGATTTGAACGGTTTTGGAGTGACTGCACATGCACTACTGAGCTTCTGTAGGTTGTTTTTGGCAACCTGAGCGTGTTCTCATGGCGGATTTCCTTGTTACATGCTTCGCGATGCGTTTATGTGGATCTGATTGTGAATTGTTTGTGGAAAATCAGGCTCTTAGTGCATCTGTTCCTTCTCTCAGATCCCGATCAGTTTTCTTACAATCGATGCTAGTTCTTAGAGTATGTATCCTGTACTATTAGTGTTTAGCTCGTTTTTCCAAGCTTACGCGTTTGTTTGGATTGTTCGTTCGCGGCGGAATTTGTTTGTAGTGGTGGAGGCCTCTTGGCTTATGCAGACGCGAACTCGACGAGTCCGATTGCTCCACCTGAGATCAAGAAGAAGCGCGTCGTCGTTCTCGGAACCGGATGGGCGGGGACGAGCTTCCTGAAGCAATTGGACAATCCTTCCTACGATGTTCAAGTGATTTCGCCTCGGAATTACTTCGCGTTCACTCCTCTGTTGCCGAGCGTCACTGTTGGGACAGTGGAGCCACGCAGCATCGTGGAGCCGATCCGTAACATCGTCAAGAAGGTTGCACTCTCTAAAATGTCTATTTCGCTTGTAGTTATGGTGTCTGTGGAAAGTGAACCTGTGGCTCACGTCGTAGCTCGTGTTTGATTTTCTCCTTCTGCAGAAGAATGTTGACGTCCATTATTGGGAAGCTGAGTGTTTCAAGATTGATTCCCAGAGCAAGAAGGTTCACTGCCGTTCCAATAAGAACATCGATGGAAAAGGGAAGGAAGAATTTGTTGTGGATTATGACTACCTTGTCATAGCAATGGGGGCCCGTCCCAACACTTTCAATACTCCTGGTGTCGTCGAACATTGCAATTTTCTCAAGGTGATTTACTCTGTTTGTAGACTAGTATCGACGGATTTCTATTTCTATTTGTGTTTGTAGTTCTGCTTTTCATGGTAGATGGATTTTTTTGTTGCGTGTCAGGAAGTAGAAGATGCTCAAAAGATCCGTAGATCCGTTATCGATGCGTTTGAGAAGGCAAGCTTGCCGAGTTTGAGCGATGAAGAGCGGCAGAAGATGCTGCATTTTGTGGTGGTTGGTGGTGGGCCCACGGGGGTGGAGTTTGCTGCAGAACTTCATGATTTTGTGAAGGAAGATCTGGTCAAGTTGTATCCTGCAGCTGGGAAGTATGTCAAGATAACACTGCTTGAAGCAGCAGATCATATTCTAACCATGTAAGTGACTCCTCTCTGTGCTTTTGTTATGATGTTACTGATGGAGTCCTGTAGCTATCTTTTTTAGAGGTTTTCACTTTGTTCAGAAAATACCTTGCACGCTTGATTAACCTTTTAACGAGAAAGTTAGGGAAAAGTGAGACTTTTTCCTGCTTTCTTATCGATTTGTGAACGGAAAGAGAAATGGATATTACTGCCGGCTGACACTTCGAGAACTTACTGTTGAAATGTTTAATGTCCCATCTTCTCATTCTTGTCAAATCTTCATTGCAGGTTTGACAAGCGAATTACAGAATTCGCTGAAGACAAGTTCAAAAGAGATGGCATTGATGTGAAACTAGGGTCAATGGTTATTAAAGTATCTGACAAGGAGATCTCCACGAAAGGCAGAGTTAATGGGCAAGTTTCGACCATGCCTTACGGAATGGTTGTCTGGTCAACTGGAATTGGAACTGATCCTGTTGTGAAGGATTTTATGAAGCAAGTCGGTCAGGTTAGCCATTTTCTCACTCTCACTGACTAGTCCCTTGGTCTTTCTTTGCCTTATTGTACTTTACAATTTACCAATAGCACCATAAACGCTTCTTTGTCAACAGGAAACTAGGCGTGTTTTAGCAACTGATGAATGGCTGCGAGTTGAGGGAACTGATAGCATTTATGCCCTTGGTGACTGTGCTACAATTAACCAGCGCAGAGTCATGGTATTGTTTTCACTTTCTTTTTCCATTGTTATCCAAGACCCTTATTATCAATTACTGATCAATGTCCCCTGTTATGAACTATTGATCAATGTTGGCCTTCCCTTAATATTGATGAGCATATAATTTTCACAAGCAAATAAGCAATTGCTTGGTCGTGGAAAAGCTCTCTGACACCAAGTTATTTGATAAATGGATGCTCTCTCCCTCTCCCTCTTCCTTTTTCCAGTCACTGTTAATATCTTAACTAATAGCAGTCCTGCTCTTCTGATTTCTTCCTGTGAGCTCTTGTCAAGATTCTTATCTGGAATAGGTTGATTGAAGCAAATACCCAAGATTGTCCTATTAGTTTACAAATCTAATTTTGTCGAATCATTTTTGAGCAACTTGTGCTAATTTTCACCAATGCAATTTAGGCCATAGTTGATCGAATTGGCTTGTGCTTTTAATTGCCTTTTGCACCACCGTTGCTTGCAGGAAGACATATCCTCAATATTCAAGAAGGCAGACAAGGAGAACTCTGGTACCCTCACGGTGAAGCAACTTCAAGCAGTGGTCGACGACATCTGTGAAAGGTACCCTCAAGTGGATCTCTACCTGAAGACAAAGAAACTTCGCAACATTGCGGATCTTCTCAAGGACGATTCGAAAAGCTCCGTCGCAATCAGCATCGAAGAGCTCAAAACAGCGCTGAAAGAAGTCGACGCCCAGGTCAAGAACCTCCCAGCAACAGCTCAGGTGCGTACAACAGTTACTTCCCCACCCAGTTCACATGTCTTTTGCCCAAACCGAATCGGCCCCTTGACCGAATCCAAACATTGCTCTTGGCCCCGCATAATGGACTCTGATTTGGGTTTTGGTTTTACTTTCTCGGTAGGTTTAGCTGAACTTCGATTTTCTCTTTGCTTTTCAGGTTGCAGCTCAGCAGGGCGCCTACCTTGCGAAATGCTTCAACCGGATGGAAGAAGCCGAGAAGAACCCAGAAGGACCCCTCAGGTTCAGAGGAGAAGGCCGCCATCGTTTCCATCCCTTCAGGTCCCTTCCCTTTCAGTCTATATCATATACCAACCATGGTCCTAACTGATCCGAAACAACAACGTTTTGCTGTGGTCTAACATGATCGTTGCGTCCCCCCTGCTTCAGGTACAAGCATTTCGGCCAATTTGCTCCACTGGGAGGGGAACAAACGGCTGCTCAACTTCCAGGCGATTGGGTGTCCATTGGCCACAGCACTCAGTGGCTCTGGTACTCCGTCTATGCAAGGTAATAGATGAATTTTTTTTTTCTCTGTTAGCTCTTCCATCTCCGGCGAGATTCATCGTTCAGCAATTCTCACTTCGCCGCCGTCGTTTTCCTCCTCTCTGTGTGTTTTACAGCAAGCTGGTGAGCTGGCGCACCAGATCTCTGGTGGTGACCGACTGGGTGAAGCGGTTCATCTTTGGAAGGGACTCCAGCTCCATTTGAGTCACTTCACCAAGCCAGCTGAAGAACAAAATTTTGCACCTCTGACCAAACTCGTTAGCCTTTACACATTGCGTTTGGCTCTTTCTATCTCTCTCTATAGACAATATTCCTTTTAGGAAATAATCCCACGCCCTGGTTTACAGTGAGGCGAAATGGAGCACACTTTTATTGGATGGGGACAATAGGCTGATGGCTGAGACTCGTTTTTTTCTTTGTCCGAAGGTTTTAAGGGGTTAGGCGATTACATTGCCTGGGAAAATTTTGATACTTACTTTTCGGTGGGATTATTGATGATGACCCATGAATCATGATTAGAGGTGGCAATTATGATCCAAATCTATGAATCCAATCTAATCCATCCACCAAATTATTCACCTAATCCAATCCATTTAAATTCAATCTATTTGATCCAAATCCAATTGGATTGGTGGATTTATGGATCAATCCATGGATCCAAATCACAAATTACGATTTGGTACCTATATTTTTATATTTTATATTTTGGTACCTAAAATTTATATTTTTATACGAAAAATATCATTGGAAAATTACATTTTGGTACCTAAAATTTTTCATTATGACAATTTAGTACCTAAACTTTTTCAAATTTTACATTTTGGTCCAAGCCTTGGATGTCATTTGGATTCATGGATCAATCCACCAATCCATTTGATCCAATCCATGGATCCACCAATCCATTGGATCCACCAATCCACGAATCGGATCCAATTGCCACCTCTAATCATGATTGATGCATACATATGAGGATGAACAGCTTCATATGGGGATAATATTATAATAATAAGGCTGACGGTTGAGACCAGAGACTCAAAAAACTCTTGGATACACAGATGTAGTGCGAGTCAAATTCAGTTGATTTGTATGTCTAATGCATGGCGTGAAGGTACAACAACCACTGTAATTTTTTCTGGCAAAATCGTTCACAAAAAAGCTAGCAAGGGTGGCCTTGATAAATTTCAATGCAACCAGGCTCTAATCCGACCACAAATACATCATGCAACATGGGCCAAGCAGATTCGTAACGACACCAAACCACTCACAAATATATCAGAAACAATTTTCAGAAGCCACTATAAAAGTTCGATGGGCTAAAATGCCCTTTGATAGAACAAACAGGTACTCGATGCTACAACTACTAGCACAAAAGTTTTGCCCATTGGCGTGTGGATCTCACTTCTTCTTGCCTCCCTTGGCAGCATCTCCTGCCTTGGTCTGCAAATAGGTGGTAACAACAGGTTTAGTTTACAGATGTGAATTGATAATGCAATCCGACGACAGTGTAACTGGAAAAAGAGAGAAACTAAAAAAGGGGTGGAGCATTGGTTTGGGCGCTTACCTTCTTCACACCTCTAATCTTCTTAGCTCTGTTCTTCCTCTCCTTCATCTGTTTCCTGGATTTCTCTACCTTGGTGGCCAGTCCATTCTGACATCATAGCAAAATGAACAAATTCACTTACCAGAGATCAAAGTAAAGCCCTACCTAGACATTGTCAAGCACAAATTCAAGGGCCAAAGCACATTGCATTATCGAATTCAGGCGTAACATGACAGGCAGCTCACTCAACAGATTAAGTCAATTTGCAAGGGAAGAAGCAGCCTGATAAAAATTCTGTCTAAACCATATCATATCTTGTTGGCATTTACCAAAAAATTACTTGATTGCAATTGGTACATCCAAATTGCGAGAGAGCACATTCTAGGGATAATCTTTAACAGCAATAAGGGAAAACCCAAGGCTCTCTACAAGAGGCAACCGTGTATCGAACATCAGTCTTCCTAGTATTGCAAAGTATGGATGATGCCAAAGCAGCCTCACAAATGAACAAGGCATATTTCAGAACAGCAAGAACTTCAACAAACCGTGAACAGCAGACAACGGTACATGCTGCCAATCATTCAGTGGTGCATATATTCACAGATTCGCAATAATGGAAACTTTCACAATGAAGAATTCTGATATGCATCCCATTTACACATACAGAAGCATAAGGAGAAAGCACTAACCCTAATCAGCCTGTACTTAGGCTCGTACTTCTTGGCGTTGTCGACAGAGTCGTAAATCAGCCCAAACCCAGTCGATTTCCCACCGCCGAAATGGGTACGGAATTTGAACACGAATATGGTGTTCGGGTCCTTCACTTCGTACAAGCCCGCGAGCTTCTCCTTCAGCTCAGCCTTCAATTTAACAAAAACGAATCAGCGAATTCAAGAAAAAGGGACACGCGAGAACAACAATGGCGAGTGGAAGTACGAAAAAAGCCAATATACCTTGGAAACGTTAGCCTTCCCTGGATGCAGCACATCGATGACGAACTGCTTCCTCGAAAGGAGCCTGTTGGTCATAAACTTGCGGGTCCGAATCGTCACCGCAGGCGCCGTCTTATCCGTCATTTTTTCCGACCTCCGAGTTTCCTGATACCTCACACTAACGCCGACGGAATACGATCTGAGCTAGAGAGTAGAGACCACTATTCCGCAGAGGCTGCCTGCTGCTGCTGTTGTTTATGGCGGCAGGGAGGGACTGATTAGGGTTTTATGCCAGAGAGACGGACGTACTCCCAAACGGGCCGGATCCATTCGGGCCTTTGTTGGGTTTTGGAAAGAGATGAACCACTAGAGGAAAACGGGTCAGGCCCACTAATGCAATTAAGCAAATAGGAATGAGAAATGGTGCGTTACGGACTTACCGTTCATATTAAACTATATATATGGGCAACGGTCCAGACTGAGGGGTTGGAGCAACCCTAGCTTTATATGGAGAAGCCTTGTCAAAGCTAAGGAAGAGATAGTTTTTGTTGAAAGGGTAGGTGATGGTGAAAGTATCGGTGTTTGTTTGGGAGGATTGGTGGATTCCCAATATCAGGAAGTTATCACCAGTTCAACAGGGCAGCGAGTTTGAAGTTAATTTAAAGGTTAGGTCTTTTATTGACAACGACAATGGGTGGTGGGATCATTCTAAACTTCAGACTCTATTCTCAGTCAATGATCAATCAGAAATCATGAGGATTCCCCTGAGTAATCCCCCCACATAAGACAGAATTCTATGGTCTGAAGTGGGAAATGGTATCTACACCGTTAAATCGACCTATAGAAAACTTTGGCAGAGGAAGTATTCGAGGGTGGATGAAAGCAACATGGATGCCCACAAAATCAAAAGCTACTGGAAAAGGATCTGGAACCTCCCCATCCAACCAAAAGCGAAAGTATTTCTCTGGAGAATTAGCAGGGATATCTTACTTGTTGGGACCATTGAGAGCCGAATTGAATAGGCCCCCTCCAATTGTCCGTTCTGTGGACTTCCTGAAACCCAACTCCATTGCTTGAGGGATTGTGAGTGGACTCACCGTCTCTGGCAACCTTGTGACGATAGTGAAATCTTCAATCAAGGGGAAGGATTATCTGGTCGAGATTGGTTCCAAAGAATCTTCGAGTCTCAGTCGAATGATAGCCTTCAAAGATTTTGTGCTATCCTGTGGTTTATATGGAAAGAGAGATGCAATCACATGTTCAATAACAAAAAACTTGAGGAGGAGGAGATTATTCCAAAAGCGATTGCATGGATCTCTGATTACCTTCAAGCTCGGGGAACCATCGCTTCGAATGGGAGACAATCAACCAATACCTAGGGATGGAAGACACCACCAGCTGGAATCTTCAAGATGAACAGCGAAGCCGGGGTATTAAAGCCGTCTGCGATCGGTCTTGGATGTGTGTTCAGGAATTGGGATGGTGAGTTTTTGGGAGCAGTAGCTAGGAAGGAGACTGGAAGCTGCAGGCCGGTGGAGGCGGAAGCCAGAGCTATCATTGCTGGGTTGAAAGAAGCGAATCAAAGAGGATGGAGTCCGTTGATTGTGGAATCAGACTGCCTGAACTTGGTAAAGTTACCGGAGAGGGATGAAGAGGATCGCACAAAGCTGTGTGTGTGGTGCAAGGAGATCAGAAGCTTGGCGAAAGTCAACTCAACGATGACTGGCAAACGGGTCGAGTGGGCTTTTGTGCCTATGAGCTCTAGTTCCATGGCCCATTGTCAGGGCCATATGGCTACTCATTGGAACCAAATTTGTATTTGGACTGACTGTCCACCCAACTCCATTAGGAGTCTGTTAAAGGTTGAAAAAGCCCAAACCCTTGAAATTTGAGCAATATATAACAGGGCTTCCTATAAAAAAAAATAACAATATGTGGTCTCGACAAGATTTTGCAGTCTCATCTGGTATGATCCAGACCAGGAATATTATGTTGAGCAAAAATTAACAACATTTTGTATCCATCAAGAAAAAAAAATCAACTTAATAATCGAGGAAAACAATAATTTTTCTGCCTTAAAACTCAAATTTCAACATGCCTGTATAATTTTATCATAGTCAACCGAGTTAATGACAAAGAGACAAAGTTAGAGCAACTAATTTTCACCATAACGTCATAAAACATCAACATGATTTTAATACGAAAATGTGATCGTCTCTACTCCCTAGTGGAGTGTGATTTGTGAATGAAGGTGAGGACGGAATTTGTAAAATTAAGGTTGAGATTTAAGTCTTATTGTGGATAGTCGAGTGGGTTGCTAACATGAATGAGAAAGTGGGTTGGATACACGGCCTAGTATGATAAACCGTGGTCTGGACCTAACCCATTCAATAAATTAAAATATCTCATGCATATCATGGATCAGACCAAACCATTTTTAATAGTTTACAGTTTGAACTAAACTTTACCGTTCGGTTCCACAATTTATCCAACATTCTAATCTATGTTCCCAGCCCTAAAAGTGAAGTCTCTAAACACTCAACATTATTGCTATAGTTGGAACCTTACGTGATTGAGTGGTCGTTCTCATTATAACCACCATGAGTATATCTAATCTAGTACTTTATAGTCAACCTAATTCAAATAAATATTTTCATAATAATTCTGGTCCTTTCCATCCCTCTACAATAAAATACCATTCCAGATAGGATCATAAATATCATATTTCGAAAAGATAAAATTGAAAGATCTACTTGAATATATAATAAAAGAGTGGATTTAAATATGTGATATCTCTCAAATCTCTTTCAAATGCGTCGAACACTTTAATCATTTACAACATAGTATAACACCTAATAAGTTAGATATTGATTCAACCATATTCTTTTCTTAAAATTAAGTAGATATATCACATAATTAAACAAATTATAAATTTATAATAAAGATTTAATTCTCTATTCTTCTCCCGCCCTCTAAACAATTTTATTATCCCTCTTCAAGATAGAGATCAATGGAATCAAATTAATAAACAAAGAACAAAGGTAGAGAGAGAGAGAGAGAACCTAATGCTTGCTTTGGAAATAAGGCATCATGTGAGTTGGCTTGTCTACTTCTTTTCCATTTCATCTCCACCATTTGGTTCCAATCTATCCATCTCCCACTTCATATTTCTTCAACTCCTCTCTCTCTCTCTCTCTCTCTCTCACACACACACCCACACACACTCAAGCAAGCAAAAGACAGATGAACGACGAGGCGCCAAGCTGGGCAGATCAGTGGGGCACCGGCGGGATCGGCGCAATGGACGACCACCACAACACCGCCGCCGACCAGGATGCCGCCGCGGGCAAGTCCGGATCCAAGAACGGCGGAGGCCTGTTCAGTAAGATCAAGACAAGTGGCATCAAATGGTTCAAACCCAAATCCAGTAAGAAGACATCGACCTCCGTTTCTGCCTGAAGCTGGAGGAAGCAGAAAGATTGAAGCTTTTTTATGTATCAGTTTAAACAACCCAATATTCCTTCATTTCTTCCTCCTCGTAATGTTTCCTGTCATTTTGTTGTACAAATCCTCTTGGAGGAGAAGTAATCTTGGAAGTTCTGTTCTCTCTTCTCATGTTGCAGTCTTGCAGACCCTCTTCTTTTCTACGCTGCTGATTATGGCAGTCAGTGAAGTTGATTTGTGATTATCACCAATCTTGATATGTCTATTGATTATTGATGGAGTTTCTGTACGGTTCATGTAATTGACTGAACCCTTTCCTTTTGCCACATTTGGCCAACTGCGGTTGCAATTTCAACAACCAACAATGCAAAACATTCAAGGTAGCTTACCAACAACTACCGACTAGGATCTACTGCAAATTCTCTCCCTTGGGTGGCATTAGATTCAGCTTTCACAGCAGAGTCAGAGAGAGAGAAGAGAACGAGATCAAATCCAAACTGAAGAGAAATGGACTAAACAGAGACTAATCAACTAAATCGAATCCGATTACAGATACTGAAAGCAATTCTACTGCCCGACTTATGGCAGAAGTCCGGATCCAGTAGGAGGATGGAACTTTTAGGTCAAGTCTGAAAGCATTAAACTTTACAAATCCAGAGCTGAGAATTTACATCTTCTTCCAAAAGGGGCTTTCTTCATCATATCAAGGACAAGAAGAGACATTTTGTTTGATCTCCATCTTAGTGAAGACATCCAAAGGTGTTCTCTCCACTGTAGGTCATGTAAAGAAAGCCGTCTTCGTCCTTGTTCTCCTCATAGATTGCAGACATCAGAGCAGCTGTTTTGTACGCATGATCAAATTGAAGAGATTCAGTTACTGAAATAGGCGGGTTTAATTATTGTAATCAGACACAAGATGCAAACTTCACTAACCTGAGGGTGGTAATGTGTTCTTGACAAACACAAATATGGCTTTTTCAGCACTGAGCTTGATCCTCTTCCGCACAACATAGACAAACTGACCAACGGTTAAATCTGCTGGGACAAGGTACCTGATTTGGCAAATCCACAGATAGTAACATTATGATCAAGCCCCCAACTCGACAGAACTTGATCAACCAAAACTTCTATACAATAGCCCAAGACTATTTGCATCTTCGCACAACACAAACACCATACTTTTCTCGATATGCCACCCAATAACTTGAACAAGAACTTAATTAGTGGAAACTCATAGGCCAAAGCTCAAATACACATATATAGTAACATTATGATCAAGCCCCCAAAACTGCATCAAGCAACACTCAATACAAAACCTCAAGACTATTTGCTTCATCACTCAACATGAACATCATACTTTTCTCAATATGCAACACAAAAACTTAAACGAGAGCATAACTAGTAGAAACTCATAGCTAAAATACATTACTAACTGCCTAATGTAGAGATCAAAAGGAGGTCATAAACCTTCAGAGAAACCCTAATGAGCACATTGGATACAGCCATAGGAGGATTAAAAGTGATGATCTGTTGTCAATCAACTTACTTCTTCTTATCAATGTCAGGGACATCACTCCTTTCAGCCTTCTCCACAATGACCTGAATCCAGAAAGCATAATATAAGCAAAACAGGCAACTGTACAATGATAAAGGCAAGGAAACCAAAGTTGGCAAAGTGAGAAGATAACACTCACAGGAACTCTATCAGGGTATTTCTCCCTGATGCGAGAAGCTTCAGCTTGGCGCCTCTCTAAAAACACAGCCAAAAAGCAAATTAGAGGACATGGAAAGATGAAACATACTGCATCACTAATGTTTCATCGTAGGTCGACTCCAAATTCATTAGCCAATGTTTCAACTTCCAATCCAACAAGATGACACAGCAAGATGATGACGAAAAGCAATAATAGAGAGAGCCAACTACACTAACAGGCTAAACAAACACAAACTTCCATTCTCAGCTCAAAAGAACTATTCCCAACCTCAACAATTCAGCGAAGAAAAGATATTCCTCAACTTAAACATAAACCCATCAGGGAGAATACATCAAAGATATCGTCTTTCACAAGCCACCTTATACCAAACGCACAAACAGTTCAAACCCTAAAGATCGCGTACAAAAAACGAAAGAGAAGACGATCATAGAAATTGAACGAACCCAGAGGATGCTCGAACTTGAAAGAGCTTTTAGCCATGACGATACTGGGATTAGGATCGCGAGTTCCTGCAATTTTCATACAGCGAAACATTAGACGATCATCTAACTTGAGCCCGCCTTCAAGCAATCAGCGCGCACAGAAACAAGAATCACAGAAATAGAAAGAAACAAAGAAAGAAGAAAAATAGATGAACATACCAAACACGAATGCGGGTGGTCGATCGCGGGGAGACGAAAGATGGCGAGAGGAAGGGTTTTGCGAGAGAGAGATTGGACAGAAGTAGAAGGAACAAAGGGAGAGACGGGAAGAATAAGCAAAAGGGCGTCGGAAATCAAGGAGAGGATTATTGGGAGTTGGCTTGTTGCGGAGGATTTTATATTTTTATTATTAAATTTAATGATAAAAAAGCAGGAGAAAGGAAGGAATTCTGTTTTGGATTAGAGATTGAGTTGGGCTGGGACACCGGAGCAAAGCCCACTCAATGGGCTGACAATCTCGTTTTGGTTATAACCAGATTCTTTTAGTCGGTTCTCGATTAAATACTTTGTGTTTATCATAAGTTGTATTATTATTTATATTGGTTAGTTAACTGTAATCGTATAATCGATTATAAGTTATTTTGTTGATTTAATCGAATAACTGTTAAGTAATTGATTTGACAATGTTATACCAAAAAAAATTATTCGATAACCTAATCAACAGAAGACCTCATTCTATTTTCAATTGTGCATTTTGTATATTTTTTCTTACATATTTATGCGTTTAATTTTTAAGTTGCTATTTTAGGATAAAAAATTTATCAGCCAAATCTTTCAAACTTTCCAGATTATTAGCCAAATCTTTCGAAATACAAATTATTAGCTCAATCTTTTGTAATACATCAAAATATAAGTATTTTTTTTGTCACCGTCAAGTGTCTCTTCCAAGTCAGTATCATGTTTTCAAGTTAATATTTACTAACAAAACTGCCAAATGGAAATTAGCATTTGGCTAATATTTTGTACTTTGAAAGGTTTGACTACTAAATACTATTTATCCAAAATAATTTAACACAGATATCAATCCATATGAACTCAATTCAATACAAGTAAACAATTACACCATTATATTGTAAAATTTTATTAAAGAAGTAGACAAGAATAATAGACCCAACACCAATTTCTCAACTCATAAACCCCATATTAAATTACATAAAAGGTTAAATGTTACTCATTATTGTAGAGTTACTGTGTGCAAGCCCAACTTTCTATTGTGCTTCTAAAACTCTCCCTTGAAATTATTCTCATTTTTCTACAAAAAAAAATTACTCTCATTTGAACTCAAACCACTATTACAACTATGGTAAGCAAGGGTCACACATCATATTCTTTAGGCTTTTGCCTATGACTGATTGATGCCTATTATCTTCCACCCTAAGTATGATGACGATCGTAATCGGTTAATGGAAAAACATTTAATCGTCAGTTAGTAATTAGTTAAATTAGACTATCAGAAATCGAGAGTTTACTATTTATTCAATTATTAGTGTAATGGTTAACCACTGATTCTGATTTGTTATCACTTACACTGCTAACATAATTACAGTTAACTAGACCTATACTCAATCATGTATTTTTTTTTTCCAAATCGTATTATTATTTTAGGTGGATAGTACAATTTTGCCCTCTACTATATTTTTTTCAAACGGGTCATAAAGTTGTCTTCTTTTTTCATAACTATGGTACCAAACTTGCTCCTTCAACTTTGGTTCAAATTTCGACCGGTTAGTAATTGTATAGGATCAATAAGTGAATCTCTCTCAACAACTCGACTTATTGGGATTAACTACTTGATATTATATCAAAATCTTGGAAAAAATCCAAAAGTACCACTGTTTAAAAAAAAGAATTCCAAAAATACCACCCAATCCCAAAAAATTCCAAAAATACCACACTTTTTCAAAAACCGCCACCCCACCTGTAGTTTACACGAAAACCGTTTGTTGGGGGCGCGGTTTTCTATGCAAACCGCGGGCCTAGGGGGCGGTTATAAAAAAAAAATTTGGACCAAACCGCTGGGTGGGGTGGCGGTTTTACCCAAAACCGCCACCCTACCCAGCGGTTTGGTCCAAATTTTTTTTTTTCCGATCAACTCCCAACTTCGGCCGAAACTTCAAACGAACGTAACTTTGCACTCGGGTATCCGATCGATGCGATTTTTTTTTCATTTCGCATAACTTTTCAAGATCTACAATTTTAGTAGGATGAAATTTTCAAAACAGGAACTATTTGTGGATATACGGGACCTTGAGAATAACTTTACCTTTACTTTTCACAAATCCATGTACATTTTGAAATTATGATTATATTAAAAGTTGTAGATCTTGAAAAGTTATGAGGAATAAAAAAAAATTCATAACATTCGGATTTTGGAGCACAAAGTTATGACCGCCCAAAGTTTGACGAAATGCGAGACCCGGCGGTATGCGGCTTGCAAGATCTCAAAAATTTTGCGGCCTCCATTTTTTGAATCCGAATAACTTTTTGAGATCTTGCAAGCTGCAAACCGCCGGGTCCCGCCTTCTTCTCGAAAAAACGTCATTTGCCACCCCGAACGAGCTTTTTTTTATTTCGTCAAACTTTGGGAGGCCATAACTTTGTACTCCAAAATCCGAATGTCATGAACTTTTTTTTGATTCCACATAAATTTTCAAGATCTATAACTTTTAATATAATCATAATTTCAAAATGTACATGGATTTGTGAAAAGTTAAGGTAAAGTTATTCCCAAGGTCCCATATATCCACAAATAGTTCCTGTTTTGAAAATTTCATCCTACTAAAAGTTATAGATCTTGAAAAGTTATGCGAAATGAAAAAAAAATCGCATCGATCGGATACCCGAGTGCAAAGTTACGTTCGTTTGAAGTTTCGGCCGAAGTTGGGAGTTGATCGAAAAAAGAAAAAAAAAATTGGACCAAACCGCTGGGTGGGGTGGCGGTTTTGGGTCAAACCGCCACCCCACCCAGCGGTTCGGTCCAATTTTTTTTTTTTATAATCGCCCCCTAGGCCCGCGGTTTGCATAGAAAACCGCGATCCCGACAAACGGTTTTCGTGTAAACCGCAGGGTGGGGTGGCGGTTTTTTAAAAAAGGATGGTATTTTTGGAATTTTTTGGGATTGGGTGGTATTTTTGGAATTTTTTTTTAAACAGTAGTACTTTTGGATTTTTCCCCAAAATCTTATGTGACAAAGAGGTATTTTCTAAAAAATCCTGGTTCTTTTAAGCACATGATATTTGAACCTGTGCAAACTTCAAACTTATATGAGCGACTTTCGTTTGAAGAGGTAGGTTAGTAAATGATATATGATCCATAATTGATTGATTCTTGAGACAACAAGGATCAAACTATAATTAGGTGTTGCGAGATATAGGTTTACTCCTAGAGCACTTCTATTATGCTTTATAGTATTGGTGCTTGAATGTACAACTTAAAGTTGTACCATAACATTAAATGTATAAGTTTAGATTGTACCATAAAACAATTTGTATCATTATATTATGGTACAACTTTACAACTTGAAGTTGTATCATCACATAAAGGTACAAGTTCAAGTTGTACCATAAAAGAATTTGTACAAAAAGTATAGGTACAATCTAAATTGTATCATAACATAAATGTACAATTTTAAGTTGTACCATAAAAACAAAATCATATAACACCAATACTATATAGCATTGTAAAATTTCTCTTACTCCTAATAAAACAAACTCTATTCTTTTCCCCTCTTTTCAGTTTGGTAGTCTCTTGAGGCGGCAAGGATTGTAAAGAATGCCAAATTATGCATGGTAAATAAACACGGTTCCTAAATTTTACAGTATTAATCATGAATTTGAATGAAGAAATCTAGAACTACCATTGAGATGGAAGAAATAAAATTTCATCAATTTAAAAGTCAACTTTTGTGTCTCCAAACAATAGCAACAATTAAATTACTTTCAGTCCATAGAATTTAAACACAATTAAACCCCTTAATCGATTAACCCTAACCAGTCTAAGAGGAGGGGATGGGGAAGAGAGAAAGGAGGTTGCATGGGGGAAAATTGCTAAGTAAGTGATATAATTAATGAAGATGGGAGTGGATGAGTTGTTCCATGTTATGGTCCTTTTGTTGGCACAAACATGGCAATCATCAATACCCATAATAATTAACTCCATTTATTAGTTAACCCTACACACAACCTTCTCGTATATGATATATCTCTTTCTTCCACATAATCCAATAAGAATGAGGATAAATATTTTATATATATATATATAGATAACTAGTCAAACATTCATTCAGATGATCGGTCCAAAATGGGTCAATGCCGATTAAATCGGTGATACGAGAAGGAACGCTACGAGAACAGATTACTTCGTAAAGATCTTAAGGGGATATACGAGTAAGAAGATGAGCAACAATGTTTCTTTCTCGATATGAGAAGACACAATCTCTAACATTCACTATCTCGTTCATGTGCTTTGTATCCATCCCTACACACATTTGCCACTTATGTTATGCAATCATCATCTTTCCTCAACCTCTACAGATGAATCGGCTTTTGCAATCAGATTCCATCAACGGATCAATATTCATGTCTCGAGCTTTGGAGAGACCAAAGGAAGCCGCGCTCTAGCGTGAGTGATCGACATTAGTAGAGCCCATCTCTAGCTCCAAGAAAGAGGAGAATCAAAGCAAGATTGTTGGATTCTAAGCAATGACAACAAGGTCCAAATCTTGACGTTTGATGCTTTCAGTGCTCCATTCTCGCTCGACAAACGACTTTGAATTTCAAGAACACATGGACAATTTTTCATGATAAAGAATCCATTCATTCGAAAATGGAGCTAACTTTGACCCAACCATCACCACAAGCACATTGTGGATCCAAGTATAAGCAACTAACCTAGTTAATAGATTTTTCCTCAAGCCGGTAGCGTTCGCCATAATATTCTTCTAAGGACGACACGATACATCGTACATTATTAACCAGGAAACGAACCGATCAGTCCATCGAGCAACCTTACCATTGGGGACTACCCCTTGTCCTTTTGTCCTTGGTACCACAAAACGTTAATGGGTTGAAGTTGGAGGGGCTAGGTAGGTAGGGGCTGCAAATGGAGAGTGGTCAGTCGTATTATGTAATTTGAAATCTTATAGGAAGAAGAGGACTAATCTAATCATCATATATAGGCTTTACTAGTTAGTAGTTTAGTATATAGGGGCCGTAGAAAGTAACCAAAAAAACAGAGGTCGTGTTTTTATGACTATGGCAAATGGGGAGAGGGAGACCCAACTCATTAGGCTTTGGTTTCTTGCCTTTGTAATTGTATTTCTTCTCTCTTCTCTGCCTTTACTTTGTCAACACAAAGCCCTAAAACAAAGGCAGACTGTTTATTAGTTGACTTTGGTTTCTCAACAAATAATAATGACAATTGATAAACAACCCATAAGCTTCTGTTTACTCTCCCCATTTGGAATTCCATGGTTTGGACTTTGGGCCTTTGCCTAATAACTCCAAATACCCACCTCCATACGTAAAATGGAAGCAATTAGCCTGTTACTTTTTTTTTTAAAGATAATCAATAGATTGAAACAAATAGATCAAAACATCCTGGAATACAGTCAGGCCTGGAAATCAAAAGATCGACATGCAGCCTGGAACAAAGACAGGGCCTGTTTAGCTACCAAATGAGCTACCCTATTGTTTCGTCGACCTACAAATCGTACAGAGAAACCTAAGTTTGACGCAAATGAATTGACTATCTCCTCCAGAATCGCCCCGATATGATTATCCCGAATATCTTTCCGGAGAACCTTCTCAATAATCACCTGAGCATCACCTTCAAACCTCATGATAGTGAATCCATTAGCCAAACACCAGCCAATCGCCTCCCGGAAAACCAGAGCTTCCACCATCATTGGGTCACTAAGGAACGGGAAATGAACCCCCTTCGCAAGGATGACCGCTCTATCAGAGTTAAGGATAACCATCCCCCCTGCCGCATGTGATCCCATCCGCACAGCCCCATCCCACATACAAATTGCCGTTTCAGGTCCATCAGACACTAAAATCATATTGAATAAGGAATACAAGTCATAGGCATACGCATTGGCATCTTGTAAATGGTACTTAACACATTTTTATTAGCATCAAATAGGAGCTCCGGAGTACTAGTAAGTTAATATCGTCGAGAGTATGGGGTCCAAAACTTACAGAATCGTACTAAACCCTAAATATCTAAAGGGTTTTGTTGCCCAATTTTTTACCAAATGGGGTTCTCGGACCCCTGTCCCCCTCACCTTCCTCCGCCACTGCAGTCTGCACGTACACTATTACTTTCGTTGTCTATGCTTCAGTTCCTTCAAACCGAATACTCTTATCATTTTTACGGTTTCTTTTTCACTAATGCTTTCGTCGTTTCTACGTCGATTCCTCGGTATCTTTTTTTCTCAACAATAAGAGTAAATATTTGGGAAAAACTTACCGCCACATATAGTCTAGAATGTAGTGTCTTAAATGATAGGGGGACAAATGTGGACAGAGGGAAAAACCCTACCGCCTGTCATTTCCACATCCCTCCCCCATGCCCTTGCTATGCATGGAAGGGAACATATATCCCTCGACGCATTTAAGACCAAAGGACTACGATTTTTTAACAAACACCAACGTACCCACACCCACAAAAAAAAAAACCCCATTTAATGGTTGCCCACATCTTACCTAACATTGAATGGCCGGCCCCCTTCTTCAAAACCCTAAACCAAAATTCATAACCCTAACCCTAACCAAAAACAAACAAGAAAGAAGCTCTTTGAAACATGCATTCTGAGCGGTGTCCATTAAACCGTACCGTACCGGCGGTTCAACCACGAAATACCAGTATCGGAGGCTAAACAGATATGCGACATTTACCGGTATAACGGTTAAACCACGGTTTTACCATAAAATACCCTACCGCTGACTTTCCCGATACGGTCTCCGGTACGGTTTCATGGACCATGATTCTAAGTGAAGGGCAAGAGGAGGAGGAGAAGGAGGGGCCTCAACCTCTCTGAATCGCATCATTTCTTTCAATGGCTGGCCTGGCCTGCCTGCAAAAAAATTGAATGCACATCTAAGGTGCTACCTTGGTAGCAAGTACATCCCTTCAATATACTTAATTAATGGGGGCATCTAATTAAGGGGATACTTTGGATGGTAGAAATGTGTAGGTTAGAGACGGTTCATGTATCTGAAGACGCGCGGATCGAAAGAATACATGTGATGTTAGAATACGGTACATGGATTGATTGGTAGCCGAAGTACCGGGTAAAGTTTAGCATATCGGTGTGAAATATTTGCGAACAACCTTGGTCATCATATATCGACAACGATAAATATGTGTGAGCGGCCATCACTTCCAAACTTGGCTATCTAGGGGGGTTATGAGTCACAACGGCTCAAGCTGAGTCGATATAGGTTTTGTATGCTCTCGGACTTACTTGGAAGAAAGTTGTGTGCGCAGAGGTTCGTCTATGGGTAGATAGATTCCTCGTTGCGCTGCACTCCATTTGTTGTTTTAATGTGTGACCATTTTTATCCTGCTTTTGCACTAGATGCTTCCATCCGACAATTACTGCTACTCGGTGCCACACTTCTTACGAACATCTATAGCATGTTTTTTCATACGAGGCGAATTTTGTATTTGACTTTCTTGTCCCCAAGACTAATGATTAAATTTCAATTTTCGTATTATTGATAGTCATGATATCGATCTCTCACACCGGTTAGTATAACGATATTTTTTGAAGCATTAACACCCCATTGAGGTTTCAATACTTCAGATTCATTTTCGTAAATTGAAATTATAAACTACCCTAATTCAAACAATAAAAACAAGAGATTTTGTCAAAACTTAAATAGTTTCTGTTTACCAAATCAGCTTTTAGTTAGCCCTCGTTTCTCGTTTGGGTTGGTGACAAATTCAATGCTTCCAGCCGGCCCTTTCTCCTTCCTTACCTATCTCTATTTATACGCTTCCACCAATATCACCAAATGCTCCATCCATCACCGATCCCTTCTTCTCCTTCAAAACAACACATTTTCACCATCATCCCTTCCAATGCCTGCTAATCCTTGGTCTTTCGCCTGTGGTAATGTATGTTTCCTTTCTTACTTTGCTAGCATATCATGAAATGGCATTGAGAGTTCACCAGTGTAAGAACCGAGATATTGGTGCGGTTCAATCAGAAAGCCAATCTCCCCTCAGTAACAGGGGGGTTGCTATTCGATTGAGCCGCGTCAATATCCCGTTTGTTCGAACTTCCCTCCTCGTCGAGGATCCACACTGGCTCTTAACTAGCACTAGCTCATGTTCATAATCACTCATATGTCATATTGCTTGCATGTGGTATGTGTTCTTTCATTCACTAAAACAACATTTTGCAGCATGGTTTCTGCCAATGTATGTAAGCAGCTGCTGCATGGCTTACACAGAATGTAAATGCAGGCTTTCTAAAGTACGGATTCTATGCATGCACTAAATGAAACATGGGTTCATAACTGCATATAACTAAATGAGATAGTAAGGTTTATTTATGAAGCCAGAAGGCAGCACAATAGCAGCAGCCATATGAAGATTCTACACTTGGTGCGATTATTTGTCTCAATTGTCATGGTTAGTAGAGAAGCCTACAATATGGCTTTCCAAACCATTCAAAGAATCATATGTAACATTCTCTCTCTTTCTCTTTGCTCATGTTCCGAGTGGGTCTCGGCCAAAATGGAGAAGTCAGCCCCTGAAGTTTCTTTTCTCTCTCTATGTGTGTATAACTGTATAACTACAGGATTTCTCTCTACAATGTGCAAAAAAGGAGAGAAGCAGCAATGGCGCACCTCATAACAATTTCGCCATCCCTTGCTTGCTCCACACGGCGTTCTCGTCTTCCCCACACCGCTTGTGAACCTCTGCCATCCTGTCCACTGACTTGCATATCCCACTGCACTTCCAGTCGAACGACACTGCACATGTCGATCCCAGACGAGCCCTCGTCTCGCAATCTGGTGGAGTGCCGCAGCAGAGTCTCCTCTCGTCCACGTGCTCCACGTCCAGGCCGAGAACCCAGGAGCCTAGGGAGACATCTTCATTGGCGAATTTGTGCAGCATTTGCCTGGGAAAATGTCCAATGTGTTGTTTCATTGTGGCATGACATTTCGAATCATTATATACAAGAAGCAATGTGTTGGATACGAACTTACTGGTTGACTGATATGTAGGTGGCCAAATCCTTTGAGATGGCATAGAGTTGACCTGTGGCATGGCGGAAGTACTTGTTCCCTACCTCTCCAAATTTCCAGTACTCTGGTTCATGGTATTTGACTCCTCTGTGTTTATAAGGTAAAAGGTCAGCACAACATGGTGCTATATATCCTGATCTTAATACGAATCTTAGTACAGCTTTACTTTTTGGCAAGCACAGGGCCGGACTTCATGCAACCAATGTATACCCTCGGCTTCTTAATGTGTTCTTGTAATATTGATCCAAGAGTAGCTGCAACATAAGAATACTTCTTAATGGTGGAGAATTAAAGTGAATGCTTTGGAATAGCAAAATGTAGTGTATTTGATAATTCGGTGTAGTTGTAAATAGATGCTATCAATGAGGCGTGTATTAGTTGTGCTATCTCAAATACACTCAAATACATCAAAATTCAAAATTGCACATCTGTTTGCACGCGAATAACATCCTCGCACACACACCCATCCAAATCTAATCCACCTGTAAAAGCAATTGATTCTGCATTTCTGTCACCACTCACCACTATCTAACGCTCTCAGCTTTCTTGCTTCTAGTATGATTATAGTATATGATTCATGCAACAAAACTGTATGAAATGAATGAAAAAGTAACATAAAACACATGCTCACCAATATTCACATGAACATCATCATCCACTTTGATATAGAAATCGGCATCCCACAAAGCAACTGCTGTGCTAAAGTAAGTCTTGGTCTTGGCTGACAATTCCAGGTATCCCTCCACATGATCCTACAGATAACACACAAGACCAGATTAAGTACCATATAACGATGATTGGCATTAGTACTTAATCAAACGACAACAAGATTAAGAAGTTTAGAGACACAAAAAGTGAATCTTTACCAGCCTCAAGAAATCTCCATGCATCTTCTCCTCTGCATCAATTGCCTTATCAAGAATGCCACTAGATGTGGAACTAAGCCGAAAATGGGAAGACAATTAACAACCATCGTCATTCATTTGCATCTGATTAAGCCCTTTATGCAAGATTACCATACTTGGCTAAGAAGTAAGGAAGATCTCTCACCTGTGCCCTATAACAAAACGAATCACAATACCCATTTCCTTCTCCAACTTCTTCCTCTTTTCACCTTGTGGCATCCAAGTTGAACGCACTGAATCTCTTCTTTTCCTGCTGCTAAAAGCTGTGTTGATTCCTATAACCATAGTGTACTTTCTCCTTGCTGCAACGGTTCCATTTCCCAAAGCTTTCTGCTTAGCCTTAGCTGCTGCTAATTTCGTCTCTAGAATTGAAATCTTGCTATCTAAACTTCTGCAACAATATGACATTTTCCCTTTTTAAATGTCACCCATATAAGCTGAACCAATCATTCATTAGTTTGAAGAAATCATAACAAGAAAAAGGGTCTTACTGGACAGGATGTTGGGTCTTGGAAACTTGTGATGAGCTGTGGTTTGATTTATGGGTCGCAAATTTCTGCTAACAATTTGGATTGCAAAATATGATCAAGAATTACTCCAAGAAGTTCCACCAAAAAAAAGAATTACTCCAAGAAGCCATCATTTACTGGTAAAATATGCAGAGCTCAGTTCATTCCAAGATCACTATAAGAAAACCACACTTACAAGCTTTGGCTTACAAACCTCAACTACAAAATTCGTTGCTTCAGGCACCACCCACAACCTGATACAGAAAGAAAACCATTTCCGTTAGTCCTTCCATTCATGTAGAATGTGATGGAGTAATTTTATGAGGGAAGATCAATCCAATCCAACAAATCGAGTTTATTAATTGATTCTCGACATGTTATACAGAGGCTTCTGTTGATGAATCTCTCACAACAACTCAAATTACTGGGAAGGAACGATTATTGTAAACAAATTCTTCAGTCACCAACTCACCCCAACAACTCATTACTGGGACAAATTATATATGAGACCCCTTCAATGAAGAATCTATCCCTATAATTGTGAAATTCTCCCTTATTGTACAACGAAGGGGTTTTTCTATGTTCTTCAAACCATTGGAATTATTTGGACGAAATACAAAAAAAATTCTTCCTCAACTCGATCAAAGTTGGAAACTTGCAATGGACTAAAACAATGGGCACAACAGCAATTCTGCCATCTCCACTTGAGTTGAATGAAAATGCAGAGTGAACGAATAAATTCTTCCTCAACTAGAACAAAATTGGAAACTTGCAATGGACTAAAACAATGGGCACAACAGCAATTCTGCCATCTCCACTCGAGTTGAATAAAAAATGCAGAGTGAACGAATGAAAGAAAAGAGTTCAATCAAGTTTCTACCTATTCGTGAAGAGCATCCCAGCCAAGAAGCTGCCAAAGCAGAGAAAGACCGTCCATTTCCTCGAATACAAGTGCTTCTTCGCACACAGCTCCGTAGCTGCCGCTCTACTCTTCACCGACATTCCTTCTTCTTCTTCTTCTTCTTCTTCTTCTTCTTCTTCTTCTTCTTCTTCTCCCACCTACTGCTCACCCGACCCGAGCAGGAGCAAACCCAGAAGCCCGAACCCAGAAAGCGAACTAATGGGTCTGCCTAAGAACTCTGTAATTCACTTTACAGCAGCAGCAGCAGCAGAAGAAGAAGAATGAATCCCACCCTCTCTTTCTCTCGGGGAGGAAGATGAAGAGAGAGGGGGAGATTAATCGAGTTGGAACAAGACCCTCTCACCCACTTTTTCCAAGCATCGCCACTATTAATCGCCCTCTCTCCGATCTCTCTTCCTAAAACCGTCCATTCATTTTCAGTTCCACACTGTACAATATAACCTTTCATACATTCACATACCTGAAACTGTAGCCAGCCAGCGGCAGTTTCTATTTGTTCCACCTGAACAAGAAAACAGAATATGAGCAAGGCACAAACAAGACGAACAAGAATATATATACGGCACTGTAACCATATAATAATAAAAAATATTTATTGTATGCACAAAAATCCATTTCGGGTGCCTAACTATGAATTTATTATTTCTTGGTATGTGACGCCTAATTAGGAGCTTATTAGCGACAGTTACAAAGACGAAACTGGACCGGACCTTTCATTTATTTATTTATTTTTGTGATGCATTGCGGGGAAGAAACGGGTAAAATGTGCAGAAGAAATGGACTTTGATTGTTATGTATGAAGCTCTTATTAAATTCATTAGCAGTTTCGTAAGCAATTCACTTAATGAATCTTCTAATATAGAAAAAAAACAGAGCCCTCTTAATGAATGAAATGTGTACACAATTAAACCGGAGAGAACAAGGACCGAATTTCTCGCGAGATTCGAGCTAAACCATTTGAAGAGTATCGTCTCATCGTTGATATCGTTGTGTTTTGTAAATTGACGTTAGTAATTAAAAATAAACGGACCGTTTTGTTTTGTCCTTTTCATTTTGGTGAATTAACGAACTGAACAGAATGGACTATGGAGTGAAGCCAAAGTCGGGGCATCGGAAATGCCATCGGCGTCGATGATACAGATTACAGAATCTGTCATCTTTCCCGAATAAGGCCTGGCCGGTTCTGGGCCCATTGCTAGGTAAACTGTATTTCTTTAGGGGCTTTGAGTTGAGCCCATAAATGGGGTTTTACCCAGAAACAAAGGTTGGAATGGAAACGCTGCCGTTTCAAAATTCAGAGAGGCTTTATTATTTATATTTAAACGTAGTTAGTTAACCAATTGGACACGTGTACATATCCTATTGGTTATTTTGTTCTTCTGTTTTCTTTTACTGTGCATTAGCCGTTGCTAAATGCTAATCACAGCTTCTTCTTTACACTTCCGTACAGACTTGGTATATAAATGGAAATCTGAAAAACCCAGAATGCTCTCGAGTCGAAAAATCCTTCACACAAAAACCCTAATCTCATCATTTTCTTTTCTCAATGGAGAAAGGGGAATTCCAGAGGCGAGCGTTTCTGTCGGCGTTCTTCTGGTTTCTGATCGTCAACTCCTCGTCGGCGACTGTGAATGCGTCAAATGAAGCCCTCATTGCGCGGGCTGGAAGACTGCTGCAGCGGAAGCGGAAGTGGAGGTCTCTGCGGTGAGGTTCTTGAGTCTTCCTCCTCCTCCGGTTCTTCCAAGAATCGCTGCGATGGAAAGGCGTTCATCAGGTGCGATAGTTCTCTTTCCTTGTTCAATCGTTCGCGTTCGCGTTCTGGCATACTTTCTCTCCATGGTGAAGTGCATCTTGTGCAATCCGTAACAGAACCCAACAAGGTATTTGATTTGGCATCCTATCTCTAAGATTTTTGTTCAATTAGTGTCGCTCTGCTGCAAATCGAATTGCGTCGTCATATAAGATGTATTGGTGAGACCTCAAATGGTGCAATAGGCTGGATTCTGCTCCCTGAAGCTTTTAGTTGGCTCATTTTTTCTTTCGTATATAGGTTTTGATCTTTGAAGCTTTCATCGGATAGTCGATATCTAGGTGTTAGTTTTACCTATTATCCTTATGTCTGTGCTCTGCTTTGATGGTTCTTATGGATCAATCTATTTCTCTAGACCTGTTTGCAGTGACAAGAGCAGTTTCCGTTTCTACAACATAATGGGTTCTGTGAATGGTTGACCATGATTTGTATCTCATATGTTATGGGTCATTTTGAACTTGTTCTTCCTCCTCTTCCTGTCATTAGTCCCAGATAATCTCCAATTAACCCAATAATCAATACATGGGAAATGTTTTAAACAAGTGATGTAATCATTAAAATGTCGTTATTCAGATAAGACAATCTCAAAGAACGAATTCTTGTGTCAATTAGTATTCACAACGACGAAATCAACTTGTCATACAAAGAAAGCCAAAACGGAAAAGTCAGAGACCGAAGAATTGAAAAATACCGTTAAATTCGTTAACGAAAAGACATTTAAACACAATTCTACCGCTCGTTTCGTTCGTCCAAGCGACCTTTCGATTTCCAGGCTACCAGACAAAATCTTAAGAGCTCTGCTCCCCCAACTTCATAGAACCCAAAAGAAAAAAAAGAAAGGAAAAAAGAAAAAAAAAACAGAGCCAGCTAGCCTCTGAATTGTTCTTCTCCTCCTCCTACAGTAGCAACCCTACTAATTACTAATTAGCAACCATAATTGGGGAGGAAATCAACCACATAAACAGAACAAGGTTTCAAATTAACCTAAACTAACCCGCATAATTAACAATTAATGACGGCGGTGATGGTAATAATCAAACTGAGATCACTCCAGGAAACCAGTTTTGGTCAGGATGGCATTCCTCACTTTACTCAGATCTCTGCCTTTCAGGGTCCTCCCCATCCCTTCGCAAACCGAAAACGAAGAAATCTGCGACCTCGCCAGCTTCTTCGCCAGCCATTCATGCGGCGGCACCACGTCATCGTCGCCGTCGTCGTCATCGTTATGGGCATCGTCATTGTTCTGGTAATCACCATAGTGCTCGCAATTGTTCGCGCCGTAGATCTTCGACCAGTCGGGGATATTCATCGGAGCCGAGGAGCGCTGAGCCGTCGCCGGTGTCGATTTACCTTCGCCGGGGAATTCGGCCGGGATGGCTCGAGGCGCTGTGGTAGTGCTCCGCCCAGTGGCAGAGGAGGAAACAGAGGATTTCCTGTTGGTATTGGAAGTAGCAGCAGAGGAGGTTTCACTCTGTTTCGCAAAGGACCAGACCTCTGCTTCCTCGAAATCCCCATTTCTCCTGCTGTACCAATCGGCCATCGAAACCCTGCTTCAAAACGAACTGTGAAGTTAAGCGGAGTGAATGAACTCAAAGAAGAAGAAGAAAGATTCGAACTTTTGCCCGATTCCTGACCTTTGGAGCCTTGGTTTGGAAAATCAGAGCGAGAACAGAGCCCAATTCAGAACAGAGCAAAGACAGGAGAGGAGATGGGGAAATGAAGCTGCTGAGTGAGTTTGTGGGTGAAGAAGGTGATGAACTGATGATGATAGATAAAGGGGGATTTGAGTAGCAACAGCAGTCAGGAGGAGAAGGGAGGGGAATACTTCCAAAGAAGATTGCAGCTTTCGAGAATAGTACTACTGCTGTGACTGGCAAAAAAAAAAAAACAGAGCAAAGCGGGAGAGGGGGAAAAAGACAATGGAGGAAGAGTTGGTTTCCGAGACTGAGGTTTTTTAAGTATGGCTGAATCAATGGCAGGAACCCTGATATGGAAAAAAACAGAGGGCTGGCTTGGCTGTGCCTGTGTAGTGTGTACTGCGAAATGATGAGACGGGGGAAAAAGAGGAGTTGAAGGAGAAAGAAGAAATCATTTTTTCTCTTTTCTTTTTTCTTCTTTTGAGCTGTGGTTATTTATACAACCCTTGAAACAATGAAAGTTTTGACAATTGCATCATGTGTAGTTTGATTCTTAACAAACAAGTTCATGTGATACAAGTTAGTAGAAGTTCATCCATGCATCGATTCAAATGGCTCACGTGTCATGTAAGTTCGAATTTCATGTTTACTTGACATGTAAACGAGATCATGACTAGTTAACGAAACCGAATCAAAGAATGTAAGATGTGTTTTTTATTAACATTTGTAAAGGTGTGTGAAAATGCCTCTCAATCAAAGGCAAGCAGTTTGGTGGATAATTACCGTATAGATAATAGTTAGATGTGGGTGGTCAGTGCTGAAACAACTAACAACTCGAGAGTTTGTTTGAAGAGGTATTCTCCTAAAACCTCATCAGTCATTTCTCAAGCCCATCAATCTCTATCAAATTTAGTTTTGATGATGGATCCATCACCAAAGCTTGATCTTGAAGCCTTATAGAAAAAAAAAATTCATCCGATTTGATCCAATAGATCGAACTTTGTTTTCTCTACCTAGCAGTAGCATGCCCTCCAATGCTCAGCTCCTGCTCCGTTGTCACCAGATACTAGCTCACACATAGTGAATTTTTCGGTGATTGTCTCGTTTACTGTTATGGAGCCGAAACTCATTTGTTCACTTTCATTGTGCCTAATATTTAAAATCAATTTGTATAGGGTCGACATGGTATGTGGACTTGTTTGTCAAAGCCATAATATGTAGATGTTTTTTTGTGAAAATAACGTAATGTGGCTTTCCCTTTTCTTTCTTCTTCTTTTTGGGTAACCGTAGTTATGGCTGTGATGTGTAGAATCTCTGTTGCTACCGTTTGTACCATTATTAGCATCGGCTTTTTTTCCACCCTTTTTCCTTTTTCTTCCTTTTCTGTTGGCTGGAAATGAATAATGTGGGTTGGCTACGAGGAAGGAGGGAAGCCAAGCCTTAATTTTCATCTCATAGATTAGGGTAAAAGTGGGGTTTGTTGAGAGGTATGGGGAATGAGGGTTTTTGTAATGGGGTTTCATTAAATATGCGGTTTTGGGTAGCTCATAATTGGGTTAATACGACAAGTCAAATGTGATTATTGTTCGTTTAAATGATTTATCGGAGTTGTTGTTAAGTTAAGAAGGAACTACGTATGTGCATTATTATTCTTATTGATTTTGTGTGGTTAAATGTCTTGGTTTAGTCGTTTAGATGTATTTGTGCACTTACTTGATGTTTTGATTTATAATGGATGCGTAGAGTAAGTGTTAGACTTTGTTTTTGGAATTCATCTTGTACCGAGAGAGTGGGAGTGAAGATTATTTGGAGAGGCAGGAGGAGGACGGACAAAGAGAGAGATCTAAGCGAAAATATAGGATGAGAATATAAAGAGAACTTGGATATAAGAGGGACAAAGTAGCGATCTTGCTACGAAACGGGAAGTTTGGTGACCACTAATATGTGATCGTGACTGCTTTATTCCATTTAGCAAAATTTAATCACGATTGAGGTTTAAAATACTCGAAATCAGGCAGAGTAACGATCTCGACATCTAACTACGAAAACAACAAGTTTGATGACCACTAATATGCGATCTTAAAGTTCTTCATTGCATTCAACAAAGTTTAATCACCATTGAGGATTCCAGCCCCTCAAACTCCTCCCATTTTTTACCAATTTCCGTGATGGGAATTAGCATGAACTCGATGGTCCCACACCCATATCTCTCTTTGTTTTAATCCCATTGAAATTACAAACCAGATAAACCCTTTACTTTCAAACTAGTGATTGATGAGAATTGACAACTTTGGGATGCTTTTCCCATTAAGAATAATTAAGTTCATCATCATGCACATATAATTATGGGATTAGGGTTCGTATTTGGCTTCGGGGAAGGGCTAATGACTGTTGAAAGGGAGGCAGAGCCAGCAGTGTTGATTGGGCAATGTGGATGAACGCGATTGGTTACTTAGCACAGTTCAGTCTCTCACACATTTCAGTAGTAACGTTATCCCTTTCGCTTTCTTTCCTTCCCCAAAACGCCAAAGAAAACAGAAACAAAGAATTGTTCCATCTCACTTTGGACAGTTTGGCAGAGCAGAAAAAGGTTGTGTCAGGCTCAGTGATAACCTTGGGAGGTAGCAGCAGAGTGACCTTGAGTTCTGATGTCAAAAGGCTTCTGAATGTCAAAGGCTGGAGTTAGGTAGGATTTGGATGGCGGTTTCGGTGTGATGTGTTGTTGATCTCGATTATTTATGTATTTGTTTTATTTTATTTATGAGTCGGAAGTCGGAACTTGGAAGAAATAGACGCGAGAGTCTTTTTTCTCCTTTCATATGCTAATGTTATCTTGTCGTTTGTTGTAGTTTGTCGTTCTAAACATGCTAGGACATATATGACATTTTTTTAAATACTTTGACCTTTCAATGATTTGCGTTTAAACTCTAACTTAGTTGCTATATTGGCGTGGGGCTTAGTCACTCACTCGAAACGACTCGATTTCATAAGCAACCCTCCATCCCTTTCCCTTCTCGATTCACCAATGTAGTTGCGACAATTTTTCCCCCCTTCATGTGAGAATCGAGCGATTTTATTCCGGTAACAATCAATTTTATCGAATTATGCATCATGGTTGAACTATTAATCCTCGTAGAAACAGATAACTCGACCTAATCATCGTTTTCTGTTATGAGAGATACATATACAATAATCGAAAATATTTGTGACCGCTATTCCATCGGCGTCATCTTCACTTATTGAAATTAAAGTAGAAACCACAACTAAAAGTGAGTGCACTCCCCTCCCCCTACTACATCCTACCCAAGCCACAAACCTAGCTTCCATAATTGAAACTATAATAATTAACTTATTTCAAGTAAACCTAGATAGTTAAACAAACCCCAAATGAATCAAAAAGGGGTAGATATGGTTCAAGTTGTGTTGTTTAGGAGGAGTGGAATGGAGGGAAAAGGGTCATTTTATACATACCATCAGTCTTCAACAAATGGTTCAAGTTGTGTTGTTCATAATGTTCGGAGTTAGATCAAAACTAGTGTAGAGTTGGAGAAAAATTGAGGAAAATTGAAAGACAATATCATTAAAAAAACATGTCGTCCTTAGCCGTTCTGATCTCGTATTTCGTTTGTTTCTTCACTTTAAGTGATCCACTAGAATTGAAGCAAAATAAAAATCATATATTTGAGGATGGAAATCAAATCCAATTTTACCTGGATTGAGAAACCAACCTTGCTTTGCTTCTTTTTTCCTAAACTTGAGCTTTCAAATGTCCTACTTATACATCACAAAGAAAATAACAAAAACAATACATACTTGCTTTTTGGGTGGGGGCTTTAATCTAAAATTCTACTAATACAACTGGGGTCTGGGGGTTTCTTTTCCTATTTATGGTTGTGTTTCAACATTTATAATCACCAAATAATGGGCTTAATTGCCCTCTTTTAATGATCCAGCACAAAAGCTGTTGGTGGGGCCCATGGGGCCTGCAGTTGAAGGCCCCCACCCAACCCAGGCCCATTAAACTGTTTCATTGTGATTCTTTACTTATTCTGGACCAACTAATTAAAGTCTATTAATTAAGATCTCAGGCAAGTAAAATTAATGGGAAAATGTATTAAAGCAAATTATTTGTGGCTGCTGGGATTCGAGCCCAGGTCTTCACGGCCACAACGTGAAATTCTTACCACTAAACTACAGCCACATTATTAATTTCTTGATCCTTAAAAGCTTTATTTATACTAACAAAAATACTAGAAAGTCGTTATCAAACAATAATAAAAATATACTAGATAATTCACCGACATGTGGTTGAACTATTACCATGCTAGTTTTACATTCTCACTAGATCAGCTTTTTGTATAGGTAGCTGCGGGAGCGGTTACGGTGCTAATTGTACAATAGTTAGCACCATCCTAACCAAGGGAAAAACTACTACTAGTTTGAATTAGTAGTAATTTAGCTTAGATGTTGTATTGATTTTATAATAATCCGTAGTGATTTCGTTATTTTTAGTAGCGTTTTTTGCTAGTTATCACGGTGCTAACCCCATCCCGGTAGCTGCTCGTTACATGAAAAGATACAATAATCGAGTACCGGTCAAAACTCATTCATATGCATAAAGTAGGATCTTGAATTTAAACATGGTGGAGAAGGTAGATCATATTACCTATATGTAATCCGATATTAATTCGCATTAGCTTAAAACCTTTCTCTCATACCAAAACGTACAAAATAAAATGTGTCTCCAATCTCCCAGATCAAAATTATACAAGATTTAGTTCCAATTTTTAATTTCATATCATACCGAACCATATATATCTCTACTCACCATTTAAAATCATCTCACTCGTCAATCGTCATATAAGATCAAACACAAACTTTCTTTTATGTTACAATCATGACCAAACATTCATATTACCACCTGAAACTCGTCGTGCACCATTGGAAATAGCTTTCCCAAGTAATGATCATGGTCAAATCAAGCTCAAGGCTGTCATGGAATCTGAGTAGGAACTCGAGCTTACGACCATTCCATTTCCCAACCCATAACATCAAATCAAATCACAAAAACCCACCTCTACCGTCCAAAACAAAGAAAACTACAACAAAAGGTGAATCCACTTGGATCATATCAATGATAACCAGCAGCAACAACTCATCTTCACCTCTGTGATTGGTTGATTCCCTTTTAAATCATTCCCCACTTATCACTTATCAACCTCACATAGTTGGCAAAGTCAGGAAACTATCAATGTCACAAAAAAAGATCAGTCGAGCAACTTGTGCGGCAAGGCAACAAGTTGCCACCTTTTTCTCTCCCAATTTGGGCAGCTTTCAACAAAAAAGCATTATTCAAGATCCTAGAGGGATAGATTTTATGTGCAGAAGAATTGCAGATGAGTAGGTGATCCGAAGAACGTATCGATAGACTAACCCTGTACATAACTAGGCTACTTGACTGGTTTTTCTCACTTCCGGGCAGAGTGGTAAAGCTCCATGTAGTCTAGAGCGGGCTTATTCCACGACCAGTCTTGCTCCATCACGGTTTTACATAACGAGTTAAACCAGTCCCGGCCATCGTACCAAGCAGATATCGCCCTGACATTGTTGAACAATAAAACACATGGACTGGTTAGATGCATGGAATCTGGTGACACTGTGGTGTGAAATCTATGATCTCACCTGTTTAGTGCATAGTCAACCCCAGAAGCATCAGCTCCTTCAAAGCTGAACCCATTCGGTTCGATCCCTTGTGCTTGTGCTCTTTCTTTATCATGGTCAACGTCGAACACAGTGTCGTAGAGGCCTCCGGTCTTTCGGACAACAGGTACTGAACCGTATCTCATGGCTGTGAGCTGTGTCAGCCCACATGGCTCGAATATTGACGGAACCAAGATGAAATCCGCTCCAGCATAGATCTAGAGGGAGAAGAGGGGGCAATTAATATGCATGGTCTTAGCGTTTGATGATTCAACAAGTTTTCATTGATGCATTACCAAGTGTGAGAGTGGCTCATCGTAGGTCAAACAAAGGCGGGCACGGGTTCCATGGGTCGAATGCAGTTGATTGGCGAGATTTACAAAATCGTTCTGTATCCGTGGATCTGGAGCTGACCCAAGTAACACAACCTGTCCATTTCGTTCTAAGGTGCGCCAAATGGCATGCTTGATGAGATGGATTCCTTTCTGCTGTGTTAAACGGGTAATGATGCCGACTAGAGGGAAATCAGCCTTTTTCAGACCAAGCCTCTCTTGCAGAGCTTCCTTGGCTGCTCTTTTGCCTTCGACGACATTCTCAGAAGTGTAATGTACCTGGAGATTAAAATGAACGACATCCATTAGAAAATGTTTGACAAAAAATCTCCAGGAATGCATAGGTTTGAGTGGTCAGGCAAGTTTCCATCTTGATAACAGAAGTCTGTGCAGCAAACTAGCAACATCTTGATAAGGATAGTACTAAAGCAACTTACAGGAAGGAACTGATCATTGTACGGGTCCCATATATCTGGGTCGATTCCATTGAGTATACCGTGGAACTTGTATAGATGAGGAGCAATTGCAGCGTTCCCTGCAACCTCCTTTGCATATGTAGGGGATACCTGCTCGTATTTCCAATAATAATGTCAAAACACAGAAGGTTTAATGACTAAAAACTTCAACCACTGTATTTACGGAAGTCAACCACGTGAAAGACTTTAATGACTAAAAACTTCAATTGATCATGTCCATGAGCCAGCGGAAACTATCTCAGTGATACATCTCAGACAGACATAGCAAATGTTGCTATGGCAAGTAAAAGTTTCAATCTTTGCCATTACTTCTTGTTCTTCAGCTCATAATTTGCATGGCATTGATGTTCTAATGTCTAGTAACACTTCTTCATACATATAGAAAATGATTACCAGATGAATTACAGAGGGAGAACATTCAGGAGCTTTGGGCGGTTAATGAGAATGATGATGGTTTATGCCAAGTTGTTAGCAGAAACAAACCCGAGAATCAAACCTACCATTATTATTCTCATTGACCATGAAAAGAACTTGAATTTTGTTCTTTTAAGCCTAAATAGTGAATAAGAATAACACAAAAAGATATGTACTTAATAAAGATGGCTGCAGTAACTCACAGTTGTAGCCTTGTCCGAGAAGGCCATTGCTTTGCTAATGTTTTGCGCCCCAAATTCAAGGTTGTGAATAGTAAATACAATTCGAGCTTTGCTCAGACCATAGTGCACGTAATGGTCCTTGAACAACCATGCAACTGGAGCACTAGACCAATCATGACAGTGGATAATATCCTGCACATAAAAATGCCTTAACACGCATAATGCATATGATCAAGAGATGAGTACATTAATTACACAAAATGCTGCAAGCCTGCCAGGTAATGGATCTTACAGGATGAGATCCACTTTGATGCAAGAACTCAAGAGCTGCATGGCAAAAGAAACCAAATCTCTCTCCATCATTTCGGCAGCCATATATACACCCTGCCCAAAACACACTGTGGGAGGAAAAAAGTGAAAGAGAAGATAATAAGCAGCAGCATATGGCGGATCACTTGGATAGACCAATTTGTGGCACAGAATTAGGCATAATTATTTTACCCGTTCTGAGGCTCCAAAAAGTAGACAGACAGGCCTTCCACTTTCCCGAGCCAGACTTTTATTTCAGTACCTCCCCATGAATAGCTTCGGTTATACTGAAGGTCTTGCACCTTTGTCCCGAAAAACACATGCAGTTTGATAGAGCTAAACTCGTCAGAAATATCCAAAAAGTATAATGCTTTTCTGTCTAAACTAATACAGACAAATATTTCAATGTTTTCAGATTCTAAGTTTGCTCTATCCATAAGCTTCAAGTCCAAACTAAATACTAGACGAACATAAATCTGGACGAAAAAGCAAATGAAGCTTACATGATTAAGTTTCAAGCAGTCGTACTTTGGGAGAATGATGTCCACATTGTGGCTTAACTCTTGAACAGCACGAGACAGACTAGTCAGTACATCACCAAGTCCTCCAACCTGCAATGACAACAATCTATTTAGCATAAATATATAAAAATGTACCTTACCATCTTCTACATTACTGGAAGCATTGCACCAATTGCAGAAGTAACATTAATGGATTTAAGTTACCTTTGCAATAGGAGCCATTTCAACGGCAATATGCACAATATTCAACGGCGGCTCCTTTGCAATTCCTCCAATTACAGGGATATGGTAATCCATGCTATCTCTGTTGTCAAATATTCCACCATCTTCCTTCTCTGAGAACACAAAATCTATCATGTATGCATCCAGTGGAACCTTCACTGCAACCGAAAAACACAGGGAACTTATATCAACATAAGCAACTGTAATTAGCCATCTCACACAAACAAGTTGACTACCAAATATTTCCACTCTTCTGCAACAATCACTAGACAGGCAATAAGATCTAGTAAGTCCATTACCAGTGGTTTTGACATGAGAACCATCTTCAGCAGGCGACATTTTCTGAGGTGGCAATGGGCCCTTGCGGTGGGTCCAGCGATTAAACGAACCTCTGAACCAAACTTCAGATTTACCATTGAGTACCGTGTTTGCAGGATTGTAAAAAATCGTAACGGTGCTTCCAGCCTGAACATTGACTGGTTCCGTATAAAATACGTGCTTCTGAGACAGGAGAAACTTCTTCAGAGTTCTTTCCTTCATTTCAGCTTTCATGCGTTGTGTTTTCTCAGCCTACAGGAAAACAGTAGAACACAAGTAAACCATACTTGCCATGAGTGAGAAATAGAACTCAAGTAAAACTAAAATGATGTCAAACATATAACCTTGACACGTAGAGCTTCCTCTCTTAACCTCCTGCCTTCCTGTAGCTTGTTATATATATTGTCCTCTTCCTCTACCCAATACAAGTCTTCAGGAATACTGTTCGGAAGAATTGCATGGAAATCTTGGGAACGGTTATTATCATACATAGCAGCACTTTGTGGTGGACCATCAGCAAAGACCCAGTCTAAGACAAGGGCTCCTTCAGGAACAACAACTGCAGAAGATACGTTTTCTGAGTGAAACTAATGTCCCAAACTTTATTGTGGAAGGAGCAAATCATACTACTGGCAACTTAGTTTGAATTTGGACCTTCTAAAATTGACAAGGACACTCTGGGTCATGCAAATTGGAATACTGATGTACATGAAATAAAAGACTTACCATTAGCATACCACCAGTCACCATCCTTTCTCTCAAAGTCGACAAGCTTTTGGACAATGGCTAATCCATCGCTCCAGTTGTTATGGCCACCATGTATCCAGAGGTCCTTGGAATGAGCAAGTGGACCCGAGCTTTTGTTATAGTACAATCTCACCGTACCCTCTCCTTGAAACTCTCTGGGCTCCATGAACCAGACATTCTCAACTGATTTTACAGCCTTTTCCGTCATTTTTTGCAACAATTCACGCCTCTTTTCAACTTCTGCCTTTGCCTGAGCTCTATCAGCTTCCCTTGCAGCCTTCTCTGCTTCTATTAAGCGTTCTTCTTCAGCCTGTCTATCCCTCTCTGCTTTCTCCTCAGCAAGTCTCTCTAGCTCCCTCCGTTTTTCCTCGAGCAAAAAATCCTCAAATTCAAACTCATCCATCCCACCTTCCACTAGCACATAGAAATCCTTCTTGTTGTTGTTCTCGTACATATCTTTTCCATTAAAGAATACGAAGTCCATCTTATACGCTTCTTTAGGAACACGAATGCGGCAAGACCACCAATCCTCTCTCAGATCGGTTTTACTCAACCTGCCAGTAAAAGACTTCCATTTCCAGTCATTAAAAGCTCCCATGACTAAAACTTCAGGCTGATTAACCAGAGTTGATAATCTCCTGTTTAGGAAGACCTCCACTTCTTGATCAGGTTTAACCACCTGTGGATAAAAAAACATTTTGACGCCCTCCGATAAGCTCCTATCAGCAAGCTTATCAACTTCTTGCCTCCGTAAGTTCTCTTCACTTTCCAATTTCAATGCAAGGAAAGCTTCTTCCTTTGCCGAGTCACTTGTGATATTATTTTCCTCTTCGTAAGCAGTCTCAATGCTACCAACACTTCCATTTTCCACTACTGAACTTGTTTCATCAATAGTCAACTCTTTGTTGGCTTTAGATTCATCCTGCATTGTTTCAACTTCCTTCTTAGGTGGTTGCCCTTTCGGAGTGCTTAGGGCGCTCATGATATTATTTTCCTCTTTGATAGTAGTCTCAATGCTCTCAATGCTACCAACACTTCCTTTTTCCACTACTGGACTTGTTTCATCAATAGTCAACTCTTTGCTGCCTTTAGATTCATCCTGCATTGTCTCAAATTCCTTTTTTGGTGGTTGCCTTTTCGGAGTGCTTGTGGCGCTCATGCTATAATTTTCCTCTTCAGCAGTAGCCTCAATGCTCTCGATGCTACCAACACTTCCATTTTCGGCTACTGTACTTGTTTCGTCAATAGTCAACTCTTTGCTGCCTTTAGATTCATCCTGCATTGTCTCAAATTTCTTTTTTGGTGGTTGCCTTTTCGGAGTGCTTTTGGCGCTCATGCTATTATTTTCCTCTTCGGCAGTACTCTCAATGCTTTCAATGCTACCAACACTTCCATTTTCCGCTACTGTACTTGTTTCATCAATAGTCAACTTTTTGTTGGCTTTCGATTCATCCTGCATTTTCTCAACTTCCTTTATTGGTGGTTGCCTTTTCGGAGTGCTTGTGGCGCTCATGCTATTATTTTCCTCTTCGGCAGTGGTCTCAATGTTCTCTATGCTACCAACACTTCCATTTTCCACTACCGTACTTGTTTCATCAATAGACAACTCTTTGCTGGCTTTAGATTCATCCTGCATTGTCTCAACTTCCTTTTTTGTTGGTTGCCTTTTCGGAGTGCTTGTAGCGGTAGGTGTCTTTGGTACAAATCCCTTTGGTGCAGGGATTTTTGCCCTTCCATTCGACAACTTTCTGAGTCTTTTTTTAGAAAAGTCTGCATATAAGCAGAGCTCAAAGAGTTTGTAAGAACATTCTGGATTCAACAACAAAAGTTTTAGCTGAGCAGCATTATGTTGTAAAAGAGCAACTCACCTCCACTGGAAGTAATTTTCAACGAGAACCCAGATGATGATGATGGAAACTCATTGCACCAAGCTGCAAGCTGAAATCAAATACAATGTAGTCAAAGCCAATTGAATAATGCTCTAAAAGGAGGGAAAGGCAAACCCCCCTCCCTTTGCTTTCCTGCAGAAATATGTGATTCATTTAGCATGATTTTACAGCAATCATATGAAACGCATATATAACCATGAGCTTCATGGAGCTTCCCTGTTGGAATTGAAGTTCAAATGTGGAGGGAAAAGGATAGCAAATCCCTACCATTTCAGAATCAGAAAAGCAAAGGGCCCCAAATGGGGAAAAGGGGAACAACAAAAAGTGACCCTAAACAGTGAAAGATGGGGGGAGAAAAGGACTCTTACACTAACGAAACGAGTGGCTGCTCCATTAGGGAAAGACCCAGAAGAAAAAGGTCTGATCTTGAAGCGCGTTCTCTCGCGAAACAAAGCTCTGCATGAAGTGAACGGGCCCTGCACTTGCATACCCACTTCCATGGCGGACGCCGACGGTGGTCGTTGCCGTTGAAGAAGAAACGAGAGAAGATGTGATCCTGCCTCTTCTGCTGCTGAATTTCTCAAATCTTTTGACTTTCAATCAAGCTTCGATCTTTCTCTCATTCTCTCGGGGACTGCATTTCATAAAAATCCGAGCTTTTTGCTCCCTTGAAATTCCGGGAAAATCATTAAACAAAACAAACCCTCGAAATAAAGATTATTCTTCTTGTGCAGAGAATTGCAGCCATAAGCGTCAACTACTGGGTTTTCTCGTTTTCCCTGGCTACAAAGGCGTGCGGACCAGATATTTTAGATAGTATTTTTGTAACTCCTCCGATTAAGATGCCTCAGGCTTTGCATTTGAGCCGTCGGAAATTAGTTTCGTTGAGAGATTTTGTGTTTCTTTTTCGGAGGTCTTTTGACGGTGGAAATGAGTTTTTGATTGACAACCGGCTGGGATGTAGCGGATTAGGCAGAATTCTTTTTCTTTTTCTTTTTCAACGGGTTGTTATTGAGGGGGGAAAATGTAAGGCTAGCATGGATCAAAGAAATATTTAAATGCACATGTTGAAATAAGTGAATCTTCTTTGTTTTTTGTTTTTTTTTTTAAATGACAAATATCGATGTGACTCAGATCGTACTATCAGGCTACAATTGAAAGTTACGGGGTTTTGTAGCGCGATCAACGAGTGGGGTCCAGGGGGAGTGATGCTTCCTCGATCCCCAGTATATGGGATCGATGTTTTATGAGTTTCTGTTATGGGTTGGTCTTTTACCATATTGGATTTCGGATTAGATCGATTTCCTTTGGCAGGTTGTGAAGAGGATCTTTCGATGCGTGAAGGGTACATCTGATGTGGGCATTAGTTTCGGAAGTGATGCAGAGTGCTTAGCGGCTGGTTATTCATATTCTTATTATGCTGGGAGATGTTGACATGAGGAGATCGATGATCGGTTATGTAATCACTCTTGAGAGTTCTATGGTGAGCTAGAATGCAACTTTACAGTCGACATACCTACTGAAGCAGAGTACATTGCGTTGATAGAAGTTGCTAAGGAGGGAATATAGTTGAAGGGGCTGGTTGGTGATCTGAGTTTACATCATGATCATGCAGTGGTGTATTGTGAAAGTTTGAGTGCAATATGTTTGGCCAAGGATCAAGTCCACCATGAGAGGGCTAAGCACATCGATGTGATGTATCATTTCTTGAGGACATAGAAGAGGGTTAAGGTGAAGAAGATTGACACCGTGGACAATCCTACTGACATGTTCTCGAAGTCGCTTACACATGGCAAGTTCCGACACTGCTTGGACTTGCTGAATGTTCTGAGTGGGTGAGTCCGCTATAAGGGGCATTGATGGCAGGAATGAGAGAAGGATGAGAGTATATAAGAGTTTCAGAGAAAGAGGATTCAAGTCAAGGTGGAGATTTGTGGATTTGACTTGAATCATACTATTTTGCTAGACTGTAAGTCACGGGAGTCTCGTTGTTCGGTTAGCGAGTGGAGTCCATGGGCGACGCCCCGATCAGGGGGAGCGATGTTTTTCCCGATCTAAGGTGTATGGGCTTAATGTTATTTGAGTTTCTGTTCTGGGCCGATCTGTAACCAGATTGGATTACTATAAATACTTCTCATACTACTTTGCAATCTGTATCTTCTCAAAGTATAGTGAATCTGACTCTCTCATGCTTGTGGATTATCCAACATACATCATGTTAGTAAACCACGTAAATTCGTGTGTCGTGTTCGTTCTTGCTTTAGTTATTTCTTGTTTCGTCGTTCCTCCTTTTTCCTTATCCGCAGACAAACAGTCGTGACAATTCATAAGAGAATTAAGATGAAAATATTGTTAGTGACATGAAATCAAGCGCCATTTTCATAAAACTAAATTGACAATTAGGTTTGATAGGATCTTCACGAGGTCGATGAGGTTATAAAGGACGAGTGAACATAATTTGTAAGTCGATCCTATAGTTAAAAGGAAAACCATTGACCTCTACAATGAAACTGAAAATCAGAAATACAAGATGACCGTTCACGAGGTGGATTAACTCATAGGCCACCATAAGATATCACCTACAATGGTGGTGACATAATGGGAGTGGGTTGAGAGTCTTGAGACGAGTACTTCAACACTCATGTCAATCCTACATTAAGTGCATATTAGGTTGATCAATACTACTGTTGGACCAACCAAACTAACCAATAACCACTACTCCAATCACCCGCGAATCAGCACAACCAATCGGAACACTCCGCGCCAAAACCACTCACAGCACAAAAAACTGGGCCGAGGAAAAGCCCACTAATTAAACAGTTGAAGTCTTGAGGAACACAGAAATAGAACTTAGCCCAATCCAAACTCTTAAACCTGGTCCATCAAGAAAGTTACAATTTGGCCATTTTGCATAATTGCATTAAGACTAACTTAGTTATACAGTCTCCCACATTACCCCACAAAAGTATATAAAAATGCAAAAGTAAAATCTCATAACTGATTGAGTTTTTGGTTCAAAAAGGCACGCTTAACCTTACGCTTAGACACGCCTAGGCGCAAGGCAATAGCAAAACGCCTCGCCTAGGGATTTTGCGCCTAATTAGATACTAGAACACGTCAATGGAGTAAGGCGACATAAAAGTCTCTCCAAATCATTAGGAGATGGAGCTAGGAAGTCAATATCAAAGGAGAAACTTAACATCAACTACGAAATCAATTTTCTATATCAATATTTTCAATATCTTAAGAACTTTGTGAGATATTGAGCTATGATTCTATGAATTCGTGAGCTATGTTCTTGACATTCAGTGTTGAGTAAGTTATTGATCATTTTGACTGAAGTGAGAAAGTGTTGTATATTATTATTTCATTCATCATGTTGTGCAAATATCTATTTTTCTTCCAACGCCTAAGCGAGCTAGGCGCTAGGCAAAGGCTCAACGCTCGCCTTACGCCTAGCGCCTTTTTAACCTTGGTATTTTCTCCTTTTTACCTACACAAAAACAGATTAACAAGTAGAGAGGCACAGTTTATTTCTTCCCCCATTTGTTCCGATTACACAAGAGCATCGGCTCCGGCGACGATCTCCAGAATCTCGCCGGTGATCTTGGCCTGCCGCCGCCGATTATAAACATTCGACAGCGTCTTCTTCAGCTCCGAGGCATTATCCGTCGCGTTGCTCATCGCGCTCATCCTCGCGGCGAGCTCACTCGCCAGCGATTCTTGCAGGGCCTTGAGAATCTGGCTGTTCAGATACAGGGGAAGCAGAGCATCCAAGATCTGAACAGGGTCCTGCTCGAATTGCAAAATGGGCGAGAAATCAGGAGTCGCCGTCCTCACGACATCCCTCTCCACCGTCAATTTCCCTTCTTTGGTCGTCAGCCGGAAGAACTCATCCTCCGCCGCATCGACGCAAATCCCGTTGATGTCGCAGATCTCTCCCTTGGGGGACAGTGGGAGCAGAGTGTGAATTACAGGGTCCGATTTCACTAGGGAGACGAATTTGGTGTAAAGAAGCTCGACCTTATCGACTTCTTCGCTCACGAAGAGAGAGAAAACATCGTCGGCGATCGCCTGAGCTTCTTTCGCCGTCGGCAAATTCGTCCCTTCCAGAAACCGGTCGACGGGGATGTACGGACGGCGGGTGAAGTAAGTATTCCCCTTTTTCCCCACGCTGATCAGGGTGAACTCGATCCCCAGAGCCTTCAATTCCTTCATCCGATTCTCCGCCTTTTTAAGAATTTGATTGTTGAACCCGCCGCAGAGCCCTCTGTCTCCGGTGACGACGACGAGGGCGACTTTCTTCACGGGGCGGACTTTGGTCAGCGGGGCATCCACGTCTTCCGTCTGGAGCTGCTCGTTGATGTTGTAGAGGACTTCGACCAGAGTCTCGGAGAAGGGGCGGCCGTTGACGACGGCTTCCTGGGCACGACGGACTTTGGCGGCGGCGACGAGCTTCATGGCCTCGGTGATCTTCTGGGTGTTCTTGACGGAGTCGATTCGGGTTCGGAGCTCGCGGAGGTTGCACTGAACAGGGGAAACAGAGGTGGGTCTGGAGGTGGAAGGAGAAGGGGAGTTGGGAGATGAGATTTGGTAGGGGGAGATGGAAGATCGGAAGGAGAGTGGTGAAGCGTCGGATAGAGCTGAGTTTGAAGAGACCCACATAGTCAGATTGGAGCAGGCCATGGCTAAAGCTGAAGAAGTCGAAGGACAGAGAGAGGGAGATAGAAACAGAGTGGCTGAAAAACAGAGTGGTCGAGGAAGCGGCAATGGAGGGCTCTGTTCTTTTGTTTGTTCGGTGACGACGGAAAGGGGAGAAAGGGAAAGGAGTGGAGGGAAACGAGATGAGAGTTTTGAGAGGATGAGGTTTTGGGATAAGGATTTTGACTCTTTGGAAGATTGCGCCGTCTCTATCTCCCTCTTGCTTGGCAATAGGCGTCCAATTGGGATGCTTTCTCTGATTACTTGTAATTCTGTTTGCCTGGTGGCGCCAAAAGTTCAAAAAAGGATGAAGAAAATGGAAAGAATGGGATTTTATTTTATGGGTGAAGAGATTAAATTTGGAATTAGGAAGATATTTACTCGCTTCTGAAATCGATGTTAACCTAACCATATCGATATCGGTTATACCATGTATCGATCACCAAATTAATAAACTTTATAATAAGGTTACCATGATTTATACACAACAATCAATCTAATCGATCTAACCTTCTGTTATCGAGACAAATTAAACGATTGATCAATAACAAAACAACCACTTAACTCCATTTCAACAAAAATGATTATTTTATCCATCTCATTTCATTTCTACGTTCCGCACTAAACTTTTCCATTTCCCCATCCAAAATGAACTAATTCGGTACATCTCCTTTGATTTTCCAGTCCAAAATGAACTGGTGCATTATAGCACCGGACCGGTCGACTCACGTGCCCAGTTTAGAATTATTATTTGGGTCTTCCTTGTTAATTAATTATTGGGTTATTATGGTTATTAGGGATATTCGTATTAGCTTATTGTGTCTTGTTGAGAAAGTTATTATTTACTTGTTGGGTTAGGATTAGTATACCTTGTTTGAGAGGGAAATGGTTTGTGAGAGAGTCCTATAAATATGTACGTTGTTCTTTGGTTTCGATACGTCAATGAATAATAATAATACAGTTTAGTAGAATTCGTAGTAGTTTTAGAAATAGAAATAACGTAGATATCGTTCTCTCGACGCATTAGAAACTATTATGCGTCGAAAATTTCAGGGATTTCTTCTGGCGGGATGACGACGACGAACGGCAATGATGATCAGATTACTGGGGAAGTCACAAGCCGGAGCTCTAGCCTCTAAGATACACTGTCGGCAAATTTCGTCAAACGACAAGCCGTTTTAATCTAGGCGGGAAAGTGGCTGGACCTTTTTTTTCTATCCCTCTAGCCCAACTCATTACCTTGCTTTAAGCCCATACAATGAGCCCAATTACAGAGCCCCCTTCCATTGAATAGGGGATCCAATGGACTTCATTATTCTACGTGAGTGTTCTCATAAATAATATCAAACATGTACCCTATCCTAATTTAGAATCGATTCTCCATCCTCAAATAAAAATCTGCCGGCATACTAGGAAAAATTATCGCCAGTCATCTATATAGTGAGTGGATAGGGTTAGTGCTGCAAATGAGCCGAACTACTCGCGAGCAACTCGAGGGTCGAATTGGGAAAAATTCGTTTGAAACTCGACTCGTTTACTAACGAGCCAAGCTTGATTTTAGTTATATTCAGCTCGCGAAGCTAGCTCGGCTCGGTGGCTTGTTGAGCTCAGCTCGTGAGTTGGCTCATTTAGAGCTCATGAGAGGTCTCAACATTGTGGCTTGAGGGCCAACTTGATCACCGGCTTATGGACGAATCGATCTAATTTGGACTTTCATAATTCATAGGATTGTTAAATTATATATCTCACATCATGTGAAGTTTAACATGTTGAACATGTAAGAAAATATGCCTTATTTTTAATTATATAAAGAAGTTACGTACAAAATTGTTTCGATACTATGACATAACATGATTTGAACTAGTTAAAATTTATTAACTAAAACCATATGCCACCTAAAAATTATAATATAAGATTAATTAATATTGAATATTTGATTATTATTTTTTGACGTTACATCAATCACAAGTACCATACACGACATACAAAATGAATGTATCAAATACGATCTAAGAATTTAGTAAACAAGTCTAGTTCTAACTCGACTCGACTCGGCTCGTTAATAAGTGGTTCGAGCTCGAACTCAGTTCATTTGTTAACGAGTCAAGCTCAAACTGGGATAAAACTCGGCTCAATTCGGCTCATTTGCAACTCTAGATAGGGTACATAACTCTTTTCTACATAACTCTTCAAAACCCCGTGTTATAACTTATACGCCCTATATGAATCATATATCTATGATACAATCATATCACCATCGTATCAAAGGTGATAAAACACGGAGCTTTTGCATGTTTTGTAGGCCTGAGTTTTATACCATAACCCAGATCTTTAAATATTTATAAACTTCATCTTCAAATAAAAAATTATAAAAATTCATTTTTAAAAGTTTTAAATTTAATTCGAACTAGCCTTAAAAATAAAATTATGCCTACTCCACTACGTGATGTGGCCACAATTGGTATCTACCTCCTCATATTTTAGCCTATGTTAAGACTAGCAAGAAGTCTCGACTCGACAGACAGTGCTTAACCAAGAGAGAGCTAGGGGCGTTGACTTAGTAATTTGTTGTTATTTTAGGTCAATCATGAAACCATTCTCTTATGGTTGAGTGTCCAAGTATCTTAGTAGAGAATTGTCTGCTAGTGCTATGTCAAGATTGATAAGTCTAAATTAAAAGTCGAATTCTTTGTAGTGAAAAGACTTTTCTCATGAATGAAATTATGATTTTAGAAAATTCAATAGAACAATTTAGTCATGAACTTAGATTGTTGTTATTTTAGCTCACTATTTTAAGGTTCAGTGTCTTGGATGAGAATGGTCAACCAACACTATGTCAAGATTTACAAGTCTAAATTAAAAATCGTGTGTTGTATATTATTTGCAAACTTCAAAATAATAATTCATTCCTGAGCCTAAACTCATTAACCTCAATCTACATGGACATGATTAGTGGTGGTCAACGATTTGGTTCGGACGAAACCAAACTCATGTGAGCCACGGTCTAAATAGTGAAACAATTTTAAGATTAAGGATCGTACCAACGGTGCAATCGGTCCAGTTTGATCAGGTGCAAATGTCAATTCGGTCTAGTTTTATTAAGTATTTGTCAAATTCGTAGGACCAAAGACTGGACCACATTATATTCGATTCAGTATGATACCGTCCAAATATCGATTTTATCCATGCAGTCCAATACAGACATACCTAAAATATTGCTTCAAACAAGTGATATTGAATGAATCAAAGACGAACTTGTACAATTTTTTAGGCATGGCCATCGGCCAGCAGCCCACAGGTAGACTGGTCGGTTGGTGGCAAACAGTCTCTCTATCAATGTGCTTCCTGCCCCAATTCCAGCACATTTTTTCCAATGGAACACATAGCATTCATTTCACCTACCGTAGTTTTGCCTTAATGGTCCCTGCCTGCATCTCGTGACTGAAAGCAACTTAGGCTAGCACTTCTGAAGTGATGGTTTACTGTGTCAGTGTCGCAAACTCGCAATTAAGGTATCAAAACATCACTTTCACCCAAAAATCGAGATGTTACATTCGTCCCATATTACAGCAGAAGCTTTGAAAGAGATAAGATACAGTCGTATAAAATACGTTCTCAATCGTCTAAAGATGCACAAAATCTGCTGAAAACAGCACCCAGAGAGTGTATACAACTATCATGCATTCCCCCCCAAACAAAAGCCCTGGCACTCAGCTCGACTTGCCCCCGTCGAAAGATTACATCAAAGAATGGAAAACTCGAAAGCAAAAGATATGCACACAGAACATCATCGTACGAACGCAAACTCGAAACGAAGACATCGGCTTTTTGTTTTCCATCAATGAGTAACATACCTCAGCTTTTACAAAAGCTTTGCTTGAACTTCGGCTCCTCCACTTCTCATCATAACACAGAACTCCTCGTAGTTGATCTTCCCATCCTGTTAACGAACATCACATGCCGTTCAGTAAGTCACTGAGCGAGATAAAATTGCAGCAAGAGAGTTGTTAGTACGAAACGGGAGGTGAACTCACATTGTCTGTATCGACTTCAGCAATGATCTCCTTGATGCTGCCTTCATCCCCTATTCCGTATTCCAACATGGCACCTTCCAGTTCGTCTCTCGTTATGTACCTGAGCATCATCAGTAGCAGGGCGAGCAGGTTGTAGGTTTTCATTGTTTGAGCTATGGACAAGTGCATCTAAAGTTATATGGCACAGCATTTGAAACGTGCAAGAGTTGGGGGAACTCACCCACTGCCATCCTTATCGAAGTGCTGGAATGCTTTGTACAGATGCTCGTCCCGTTCAATCTTGTATCTGTGCATCGTTGCAGAGATGAACTCGGTGTAGTCGATTGTTCCATTTCCATCCACATCAGCCTAAGAACAAGCAATACGAAGGTATTGAATATTAAAAAAACAGTACTCGGGAAAAAAAAATGAAGTATTTTTGGTATTCTTTCTATGGGACTTACAGCTTCCATGAGTTGCTTAACCTCAGTTTCAGATAGCTTTGATCCTAATCGAGCCAAACCAGTCTTCAGTTCTTCATATGTAATGGTACCACTCTTGTCCGTGTCCAAGCTCATGAACGTTGCTTTGAGACCCTGGATCTCTTCTTCGGAAAGATTCTCAGCAATAACCTAGGAAAGCAATTCTCACATTTACTTCTAGCATACAGAAATTAATTCATTAAGGAATATCACAACTTTCTTTTTTCTTTCTTTGTTGGCTCTGTACCTTCAAGGCAAGCTTCTTCATGTTATTCATAGCCCTGAACTGCTTCATTCTGGAAAGGACTGCACTACCAATTGGTTTGTCTGAAGCTGCACCACCCTTGATCCATGGATGCTCTGAAAGATACAGAACCGTACGAGTAAGAAAATTGTAAATCAATCAAGAGAAATGTCAGATAAAAATGAACCAAGCAACCATTGCAGGGTGTGTTTCATACCAAGCACTTGTGCAGAAGTTAAACGCTTTTTGGTGTCTTGAGTGAGCATCTTCCTAATCAGATCCTTGGCACTGTCAGATATAATCGGCCAGGGATCAGTCTCGAAATCAATCTCTCCTTGGAGAACGGCATCAAATATTCCCTTCTCATTTTCTGCAATGAAAGATCAATGAGGATCAACAACAGGAAGAGAGAGAGAGAGAGAGCAGAGGTACTATAAGCATATTCTGAGCATTTGACAAATGGGATTGCTTTACCTCCCCAAAATGGAGGCACACCACTCAGCAGAATATACAAGATAACTCCTGCGCTCCAAATGTCAATCTCTTTCCCATAGCTTCGACGCAAGACTTCAGGAGCCACGTAGTACGCACTGCCTACTATGTCTCTATAAACTTTGCCTGCAATAGTTGTTTCCGAAATTTTTGTGATCAGAACGTTGAACACTAAAAGGAACATTTCTAGCATCATTGCAGCGTACGAAACTCAAAAACACCATTCATAGAATAGAACAGCCAATTACCCTTCGGTTGGAGCCCAACAATACTCATCAATCATCTCCTAAGAACACAACTTTTCGCCATGATAACCAACTTTTCTCAAATCATAGTGATATAGCATAACAGTTAAAGCAAACCAAGTGGATTTCCCTCTATTTAACAACTCGAATTATTCGAAATAAACAGATTCTCTACCAATTTCATCGACTAATCAGTCCGACCCAACAACCATTCTATTCAAAGTTCAACCCTTTTTCACAAAATATACCAACCAAAACATAAGCTAAGGATGAAGAAATTTCCAATACCTTCTTCAACGAACACCGAGAGTCCAAAATCAGTAGCCTTCAGGGTCGCCGCTTCATCCTTAGAACTCAGCAAGAAATTCTCCGGCTTGAGATCCCTATGCAAGACCCCCATGAAATGACAAGCGTGGACCACATTCACAACCTCCCTGCAAATCTTCGCCGCATCTTTCTCCGAGTAATGCCCCTTGGCAATAATCCGATCGAACAGCTCCCCGCCGGCGCAGAGCTCCATCACCAGGTGGACCGACAGCCTGTCCTCATAACAGCCCCTGAACTCCACAATGTTGGGCTGACCGGACAGGTGCTGCATAATCTGAACCTCCCTCTTCACATCCTCCCTGTCGCTCTTGCTCGTCAGCTTCCTCTTCAGTATCGATTTGCAGGCGTAGGTCTGGCCGGTGGAATTCTCCGTGCACAGGTAAGTAATCCCAAATTGGCCCCGACCCAGTTCTTTACCCAAAGTGTAGAACCGCCTGATGTCCTCAAATGGCTTCCCCAGGATCGTATCCCCCGCCGCCGGCTTCGCGACGGGCCTTGCCGGAGCGGGAGCTGGTGCCGGTGGTGCTGGTCGCGCCGCCGCCGCCGGCTGGTGGTGGTGCTGGACGGCGGCGGATTGGTGGTAGTGGGTGTTGTTAGAAGGATGAGGAGGAGGTGTGTAGCCATTGAACTGTGGCTTGGAGGCAGAGTCTTCTCTGCTGCTGCAACATCCCATTTTCCCCCTTTCCTTTTTGGGGAAAGATTGGAGATTGGGGATATGGGTTAGATTCGGATTGGGATGAAGAAGACCAAGGAAGAAGAAAGGGGGAGAAGTTTTTGCTGTTTTGGGGAGAGTGGTTTGCCTTGGGAAGGTACTTTGAGAAGGAGATTAGTAGGAAAGGGAGAAAGTTTGATGTTTGTTTGACTCTTCTCAAATCTTTCAGCTGAAAACCAGCAGCCGATTGATTAATTTTCTTCTTTCTGTTATTTTTTCTAATTATCTTCCATTGATTTCTTTTTTCTCAAGTTTTTTGGTTGGTGAAATCGACACCACAGTAACGACACAGTGACAGATAGTCCTTTTATCTTGTCTTTGTATTAGTACTTAGTACTATGGTGTTAGTTTTCAATTTTGCTTCTCATTGACCATTTTCAATAATGTGCACTAGCAATTCTATCTCTCACATGGTATCCGATCCTTCTGTTCGAAGATTTTTGTATTGATCGCGTAGTGGATGAGTATGAATAACACATGGAGAAAAAAAATGGAGATGACTGATGAGTTAGAGATGGATTAAGGTGTCTCTGCCCCATGGATCTCCATATCAATACTCGTCACGAGGTCAATTCCTATGATGCATACAAGCAATTACATGTTACTTTATCCTCTCTCCTTCATCATTCACCAAAATTTCAAAATAACACATCCAAACTCTATAACCATGTCTGTTTTCAACTTAACTACATTAATTTCGATTTCAATATTGACGTGACTTGTAGAGATCATATTATCCCCAATTGTCCAAAAATCACGAGGATGGGGATGAAAAAAAACTACACTTACACGAGAATGGAGAGGATGTGAGTCTAAAAATGAAAATGAGGACGAGAATGAGTTTACAACAATTAGTTCCAAAACCCACCCACTGTCCTCCTATCTGCAGTACTAGTGTCCTTCGCATTAACGACTAATTTGGCGAAGGAGCGGGGTCAGATGTCATAAGTGCTTGTAGACGTACCTTTTGTCCTTTGTGTAGGATTTGATAACCTGAATTATGATTGTGCTTGAGGGTTGCAGCAAGCGAGCATGACAACCGAAAAGAAAGATCCATCACAGTGAACAACCAATTAGTAATTCATAGAATGTGTCTGAATTCACAGTGGGAATGGCCAACCCCCAAAAATTGAAGAGGAAAAGAAGCCCGCCTTGAAATTTAAAACTAATATTTTCATACTAAAAATCAATGACTATACCATTAGACCAAGTCTTTGTCTGGTCGCAACAGATATGAACTCCAGCTAAAGTTAATGATTTTTTGATGCTCAACACTAATTCCTCCATGGTTTTGGATAAAATTTTAACACCGATAATCACTTACCCAAATACAACCAGGTGGAGTGGCACAAGATCGGCCTCTTGACTTATGTCGAGATATTCACCATCCAAACCCTTTCTAGAAGGCCCGTTGTTGTTTTTCCTTCATGTTTCACGGTTTCTTTCAACAATTGTATCTAATGAAGGGCGGTTTTTCCCCTCTCTCTACCTTCTCCTTCTCCCACTTCTCACTAGCGGTAAATTACAGATCTGAAAGGGGCTGCCGCCGGCTTCCTTTTTGGGACCTGCGGTAGCCCTGGATCCTCCCTCTTGATGCTTTCCTTTGTTTTCTGCTTTGCCTTTTTTTCCAGTTCCTTTTCTTTTCTGTTTCTTGCATCTGGTTGGGATTCCTCTGCTTCTACTTTTCGTTTGCTTTCTTCTCCATCCTCGTGATGATGTTGCTCATGCCTCCTCGAGGAGATGTTTTTGCTGCCCACCAGATTCTAGATCTGTGCGGATGATTCTCTGGTAGGTGTTTGAGGGGGCCGATCCTCGTCGGTCCGCTTGCTCCTCTCTGGTCCTCCATCCTCCTCCACTTGCTTCATCCATAAATGGGGATGTTTCGGAGAAGAAGGGACCTCTGTTGTCTTGGCTGAAGAATCAGGGAGCTTGTGAGTAAGGATGTCACTTTGGAGGACGAGATCCAGTTGTTTGCTCAGATTGTGGTGATTTTGTCACCATTCCTCTGTCCTTGGCTCGAGATTGGCTCTCGAGTTTTACTTGTTTGTGCAGGTGGAGTTCGAAGTCGTCTTGGGGAATGGTTCGCCTCGTCGTTGGTTCTCCTTTCTTTCCTCTGGCCGGTGCTTCGTCGGGCTGGTGGTGTTGCCGGTGCCTGGAGCTGTTCTTGGCTTCTTCACCATCGTTCCCCAGCGTTTGTCTTTGTGAAGGCAGAAGAGTGAAGGAGGCTGTGTTCGGCGGTGGAGGATGCAATCAGCGGTCGTCCTCATGGTGATTGGGCCAACGAAGTAGGGTTGCTAGGGGTGGGTTTTGGACCAGGGTTCTTTGGGCCTTGTTGGGCCACCGTTAGTTTCAATCTTATTTTGTTTGGTTTTTTTCCTTCCTTTCAGTGTTGTAAAAACTCTGTACACCGTGTTTCGTATTAATGAAACGGCCACCCCATTTAAAAAAAAAACAAACCCTTTCTAGGAGAGAGAGAGAGAGAGAGAGAGAGAGAGAGAGAGAGAGAGAGAGAGAGAGAGAGAGAGAGAGAGAGAGAGAGAGAGAGAGAGAGAGAGAGAGAGAGAGAGAGAGAGAGAGAGAGACAATGGAAACCATTGTCGCAGTCACTAGTAACAACTCCATCGAAATTATTGATTCCAAATCCAGGCTCTAATAATGGGTATTTGAGAGGGGAAAGAAGAAGGGTATTTAGGCTATAGTGACAGGAAATTGGTATCTAGCTTATAACTCTCCTTTTCTAGGTTGGTGGTGGGTCGATGGCTCCATTACCAATTCTCAGTTGTCCTCTCAGCAGGTGGCAGTAATTATAGGGCTAATCTTGCATCAATTATTGATCATTGGATGGGAGACTCTCCAGAGATGTGGCTTAGTGATAATGATTTGAACTTCTGTCGAATTTAGTCAGTTGTTCAAGTCGTACTGTACATAATTATTGTCGGTATAATATCCAGAATGATCGAGGGCTAGCTTTTATGGAGGTTCTAGTTTGTTCTCACCAAACACTAGATTTCCATTGGGACGTAGATAACGACCTAAATACAAGTTAAAACATATATTTTCAAATTTAACCGGAACACAACCAAGTGGAAAGATACAAAAGATGTTTTTTTAAACCAACATCAAAGGTTTTTTTTTTGTTCGTCTCGATCTAGTTCGAATCTTATGAAATTACTAGACCGATAAAAAGAGATTTCATATATTATACTATGCAAATTCATACTTATCAATCACACATAAAAAATATGTGTATGTGTTTGTTAACAAGAGTCGGGCTTAGGAACATCGAGTAAGTTACAAAGAATCTTGTCCATTCTTTCACATGCTCGATAATAAACAATGATTGTATAATACGACGATGACGTATTAATCCGTTCTCTCAATTAAACCACGTATCATAACCCGCGTATACATGGGTTTATCCACAATTATTTTTCAAAGGGTTTGACAACATTTCCCTTCTGGTATGCATTGAACCTTCTCTACTTACAATCAAATATGTTAATCCAATTCAACAAGAACAAAAGATCAATCAAATTACGATTGACTAATGATTTAGTGGCATCATCATCATATATTAACAAAAAATTCAGGACAGGTGCCCCAATCCAATTGAGAAGCCGGCGAACTAAGAACATGACAGAGGACACAAAGGTATTATATACAGGGCAAAAATGAATGAGTTATGGGTATAAAAAATTATACAGAAACAGTTGGTATATAAGAATCAGAATAAAACGAGACAGAGACAGAGACAGAGACAGAGATAGAGATGGAAAGAAGAAGACTACTGGTGGTAGCTGGCGTACATTGTCATATTAAACGTTATCATCCTAAAATGACGCAATTTAGGTATGTTTGGAGGTTGGGATTCTCCAAATTGAAGTATTTAATTAATTTGTGTATTGTAAATGTATGATTTTGAAAAATATATTATTTGAAAGTTTATATTGTACTTTGTTATAAATGAAAAAATAGAGCGCAGACAATCCCTTGATCACAATCTCACATTTTGGTAGAGATTGATAATCACTCATTTGAATGATTGTTGGTGGGACCAAAAAAAAGTAATACATGTATTTTGTCACAAATTAAAAAAAGACTTAATCTTGACATTATATGCATTAGCTAAATACATTGCTTGAAATCACAACCTCCGCAGGTGGCCCCCAAATTTAGTAGGACCCGCTGTCACAAAGTGGCACATGGGGCTGAGGTTCCTGGGTCTACAAAAAATCACAACCTCCAAATGAATCGTTTGTCGGTTTAAAATTGGTTAGCTGGTTCCCCGGCCCCTTGAGCACAAAACAACAACGTGGGTGGTTAATCCGCAGGTTAATATCGATTCACCTGCAAATAACTCGAACTGCAAACAGTGGGTGATTGATATGGTTGGTTTGTGACTTGATAAATATCTCACCCGCACTTATGTGGATGGGTGGTGGGTGGATTGCGGGTCACCCAAATGACCCGCGCCCTATTTTCACAGTGGGTGGTTGATTGTTTCTTATACTATCGAATATTCATCATATTTCCAATCGCATTACACATTGACCATCTACTTTTTTGCTACAATTATTGGTCATTGTGTTGTGTAATATCCATTAGATATTGGATATTGGGATGCAAATTATTGTTAATATCCATTAGATATTGGGATTCAAACTATAAACTATTAATTATTTCAAAATGACAAAATGCGTAAGTTTTCTCTACACAATTGGTTGATAGAGTAATGAAAATTTTGATGCCAATACTACATGGATTCACATGAGATTACATGAGAAGTGTCTAAATTGATACAATCTTACTAATTTGCTATGAACTTATTATCATTGTTAATCAACATTCTTAATGACTAGTTGGAGAATTACTTTTGCGGGTTAACCCACGACCCAACCGCACCCATCCGCCACCCACCCAACCCGATCCACAGAAGAATGTATATGAGCTTGAAATTTTTATTTTATTTTCTAATTTATTTTATTTTATATAATTTAAACATAATTTTTAATTACATATGCAATTGCAAGTGGATTGCATTGATGTAGGTCCAATGACATTTATATGAGTTGGATTGCAAAAGTATTGAGGTGGAAAAAAAACTTCATATGCAATTAAACTTGCAATTACATTGATGTGTATGCTGTTAAAAATATATAAAATTAATTATTTTAAAAATAAATATATAAATAATAGTAAGTTAACAATTTAATTCATAAACGTGCTATATGAGTTATATATGTGTTTAGTACGGAAGCCATTAAATGAACGAAAAAAATAAAATAACTTGAAAATTATAAAAAAATAAAAATTTTAAACGAATAAAATACGTACGGGTACATATACTACGAAGTTAAATTTATTTAACTATGGGATGTTAACGTAAATCAGAGGAAATGGGGAAACAAAGGCCCATTCAAAATCCAATAATAGATGGTCCAAATAATCGAGTGGGACCCTTGGCCCAACATAAGCTTGCCCAAACAAATCCTAGCCGCAGGCCCAAAAACTGCATCTCCAAATCTCGCCGCCGTTCCCTTTGCTCTGCAGTTTTTGTTCTTTTTTTCACGTCGGCCTTGCTTTTCTCCAGCAAATCCACCGTTCCTTTCTTCTCTCCGACAAATCGCCGTGCTCCTCATCATCTGAAATCCCTCTCTGCAAATCCGCCGCTTATGAGCATAATCCTGCGAAAGATCGCGGCGAAGTTGAGAACGAAGTCTCCATTTTAAGCAGCGATGGGATTTGGAGCTTTGAGAAATATCGTTCTTCGGCCGCTGGCCAGAAGGCTTATTGCATCCGGCGCCTCCACTACTTCCAATTCGTCATTGGCGGGAAAACCCGATTGTCGATTTGGTCTCGGCCTCCGTCAAGCTCCTTCACCACCGTTGTTGGGCCAGCAGCAGCTGTGGCGTCATTTCAGTTTCTTTTCAGAGTCTGGTTACGACAGGTTAACGGACACGAGATTACCGAATCGCCGGAAAAGGGCCGGCTTGAGACCTGCCGGTAATGTTTCTTCCTTTCTTGCTGCTGTGTTTAGAATGAATTTGGGCGTTAAATGATGAGGAATTGATTAATTGGCTTACTTAAAGGTTGTTGCTTTGTGAGGCTTTTTACTTGAATTGGGGTGGGTAGGACTTGAACTGTGATTCCCAATTGTGCAGGGGCATTTGCTTGGGTGAAGTATGATGCTGGAGAGCCGATTAAACCCAGTAACCCTAATGAAGGAAGTGTCAAGAGAAGGAATGAGAAGAAGCGTAGAATGTTACACCGCGCCTTTGTAAAGGGACGTATCGAATTGGCTTTAGTTTTGACTTGATTGTTGCTGGATTGTGCCTGGATAACTTGAAATTCAACAGTTAAACAATGGGTTTGAGCAAGCATATAGAGAACAGTGCAGACATTATTGGCTTTCTCTCTGTCAAGAATTAGTTGTCTCGATAACTTGGGAGAGTTTTCAAAAGCATGAATCTTGTACAATTCTGATGCATGTTTGATGGCTGTCATTACTAACTACATCAGTTGCAACTATCTTAGGGCCCGTTACGACGTTAGAAATCACCGAAGTGCATTACTTTCTTCATTGGGATGGATTAGATTAACGGACATGAATAAACCTGTGGTGGTGTTTAACTTAAAACTTGAACAGACGGAGGCAAAGAAGAGGAAAGTTGAGTTGCAGGCAGCTAACAGGAGGAAAATGGCCGCGAGAGTGGACCGCAAAATGGCTGCTGTGGCGAGGGATAGAGCTTGGGCAGAAAGATTGGAACAACTGCAGCGACTCGAGCAAGAGAAGAAGAAAAACTACTCCATGGAGTCGTAAGAGTTTTAGTGTCATACATTCTCTATTCCCGAATGCCTCTGCTGCAGCAGCTTTTGCCTGTTAACCGCAGAACAAGAAAACCCAAAAAATCACCTTGAATAAATATTTATACCTATTTTTTATAAGAGTTTATTATTTATACTTGATAAAGTTCATCTACAGTAAAAACATAATGGTAATTTAAACTGTAATTTAAAATTCACTTACCGTGACTAACGACCAAGTCATAGTTGACAATGGATTTGTTCTTCTGACCCGAGTTTGATTCCCTTTTTCCTCTTATTTCTTCGTCTGCTCCAACGCATGGTTTGCTGCCATCCACAACTCTGCATTGCAACTCGACAAACATATCAACCACTGTTTAGATGCTTTTTTGGATCCATGATCCAATCCGCCAATCCATTTGATTCATTGATCCACCAATTCAATTCAGCAATCCACTACGATCTTGCATAGAGAGTGAGTCATTGATAAAATGCAATCTGTATTTCATTTTGAGAGCCATTCTTACAGTTCTCTGCCATGTTTGATAGTTCCTAATCGTACCACACAAAATTTCAGAAACAATAGACCACAGCCCAGATTTTCACTTGGATTGATATTATATGGACTATGAAGCTAAGCCACACCTCTGAGAAGCCTATCCTATGATCATATAACTGATGCAAAATTTACCGTGTAGTTACGCCACCTGCTCAAAGGACAAATGAGCATTGATAATGGGGCAATCGACCCACCACACCAACCTAGAAAAGGAGAGGTTTATAAGCAGGCTAGATGCCAATTTCCTGTCACTATAGCGGTTGTCTTCCCAATGAACCTCAATTCCGTGGTGGCTATAGTCACCAAAGACTTAAAAATGTTTATGAGCAGACATTTCTTGGGACTTCTGATAAAAGCAAGGGCCAGATTTGGTTTGTTACTATTGAATTGCTTCTTCTGCTGTTCTGCTTATTGATTCTTGGCTGGCTGCCACTGAAAGCTTCACAAGACCAAATGCTTGTTGAAGCTTCCAAAGGGTTAATGTCATCCACTTTCCAAAGGGTTTAATGTCATCCTGTTTACCATTACAGTTGTTCAAGAACCCATTGAGTTAAAAAGAATTTTGCAGGTTGCAGCAGCTGCTGAAATCATTGTCCATATCGACACAATCAGCCCACAACTCAGACTGCTGGAGAAGCTTTCATGGAGGCAAACTAACAAGTTATTAATGAAATGTTAAAGAGCTATTAACAAGTTTGGGTCAAGAGAGCCCCAAAAGACACCCATAACTACCAGTGCCACACATTTGACCATTAGCCATGGCGCAGTTATCAGCTTGCTGAGCTTTTTTCTGGGACCCTCCCCTGACCCTACTACCCTAAACCCAAATTAACAAAAGAGAAGAAAAACCCTTCACAGTTCTTCTGTACTGTTTGTTCCTTCTATTTACACCATAAACATTAAACCCCAAATCTAGACAAATGATCCTTAAGAACGACGCCGAATGCAAGTTCCTAAGAGATTGATGGATGCATGAATTCATAAGTTATAAAAAACCCCCAAATCATCAGATGCAAAGCCATTTTGCTGTGTTGCTATGTGCAAGCTATGGCCTTTTTTTTCTCCTGTTATTTTGTTCTTAGTTTTAGCTCAGATCAACATCCACCCTTTCTGGATTGCCCCTTTCAGTTTGGTTGTTCACCAGCTCTACCCCAAGCTGACCTTTATCCCCCGCCCCGAACGCATAGAGCTTCCCGGATTCTGTCAGAGCGAAAGTGTGAGCATTCCAGTAGATGGAGTTGGTCAGGCTGACCTGGACCACTCTCTCCTTCACTTCTTTCAGTGATGTCACCAGCTCGGGGCTCAACACGTTCGCGTGCCTGTTCACTTGCTGGCAAAGCAAACAAAACGAATTCTCGGAGTGAGTAAACTTTAAAGGTTTGATCAGTGCAGGGTGAACTAAACCTATCAAATCAATTGGGGAAGAAGTTGCCAACGTTCAGATGGACCTAAAGAAGTAACCAAAAGACCACACACTTGACACCTGAACAACCGGAAGTTGGGATGTCAAAAGGGAGAGAAACAAGTAGTGTGACTTTGAATGGAAAACTAGAATCCCTGACCAAGAAGATGGACCATCAATTTGCAGATGAGAGGAAGGCTGAACATGGTCCAATTGGGTTCAGTATTTGACCAATTTTGGCATAAAACTGGATAAAAAATAATAGATCAGGACCAAAATCAGATAAAAACTGCTGCCGACACCTAGAAGAGAGCTTCTTTTTTTTTTTTTTTTTGGAAGTTTCATTCAATGCGACCAAGTCAAAGGAAACCAAAGTAGAAGCTCGAGAAAAAGGAGAGAGATGGCAACCTCTTCATCGACAACCGCATTGTGTCCAAGGCTAGCCGATTCACCACAACCGAACGAATACACATCGCCATCTTCAGAGACCACAAACGTGGTGTAGTCTCCAGTAGCCACATGAACAGCTTTCACATTGCCGAGAGCCTCGACGACTTTAGGAGCTGACTCACATTCCTCATTCCCGTGGCCCAAGCAGCCATAACGACCCCACCCCCATGTGCACACTCGTCCATCTCGGCCAACCACAGCTGCATGCCAAGCACCAGCTGAGATCACCGTCGGCTGAAGGTTCAATGCCTGGAACTGCTCGATCAGTCGAGGTTGCTTCTCGTCGGTTCTCGACCCGTGCCCTAACTTCCCACCCAATCCACACCCAACTGAGTACACCGACCTGGTTCATACACACAAACATTAGCACAAAGTCAGCATGAGTACACAAATAACCTCGAGCAAAGGTCCATCAAACAAGGTGACTATTAGACTCACATGCCACTAGGTTGGCAGGCAAGGGCAAGAAGATAGCAATATCCAGAAGCAATTTGTACCACAGGGATGTTCTCAAGTGCTCCCAACAATGGGTGAGGCTCAACATCGTTAGGCTCAGTCTGGTGACCAAGCCTTCCGTCGTTTCCCCACGAGAAGGTATAAACTCTCCCTTCTCTTGATAAAATAGCAGTAAAGAAGTTGCCAATTGCAGCTTGTACTACATATATGTTCTTCAAAGATTCAACAAGTTGAGGACTTGTGACCATTTTGGAACCCTGAACTCCATACTCGGCCTCTCCAAATGAGTCCTTACCAAAAGCATAAACTAGGCCTGCGTCGCTAATCAGCATTGTCCTCCCCGGGCCAGCAGCGGCTTGAATTATCCTAATTCCTTGCAATGATCTGTTAAACACAGTGAAGTTCAAGCTTCCCATTAACTTCAGAAGCAATTTTTCACACTGCAGGGATCATTGACCATAGTTTTACTTTTTTATAGCAACCTGATAATACGAGGACGCCATTCCTCCTCGGTAGTGCCATGCCCGAGCTGTCCAGAGCTGTTCGAGCCGAATGAGTAAACTACACCAGCGGAAGTCACAGCAATGCTGTGACCAGGTCCAGCTATCGCCTGGGACTTCTCCCTTCTACAACAAGCTTCTCCAGCCAGCAAGAATCTCAGCACGAGCTTCCATGAGCCACCACATCTTTGCTTCAAATCCTGACGCTCATCAATTGTCATTGGCTTAAAGATCGCCCTTTTCTGGCACATGTCCAAAGCAGCAAGCTCTGATATCGACAGTTCATAGTCAGGGGCGAAATTCGCTGGCTGCCTAAAGAAGGAACATGTTGCCTGCACAAATGTTAAGGTGAAAACGAAATCAGCAGCATCATCAATCCATCAGTAAGGAAAGTGAGGTCCACAATCGAACCAACGAACTGGAAAATGAAATGACTTGCCTCGAGCTTGGCAAGGTCCTGAGGGTCCAGATTGCATGCGGTGAGGACATGGAGGACAATGGAAGGGTTAGCAGCCAAGGGGAATTCTCCAGGAGTGGAGTCTCCATAGCAATGGCGGGTGTTCCTTTGAAATGTGGATGAAGCAGAATTCGAAACAGCAACAACAATTGCAGTAATGGGTTGGTCTGTTATGGTGTGGAATTGAACCGTTGGGTTTCCACTAGCGGTGGCGTCCATTGGGCACTGCTGGAGAAGGCGAATTGCAGTGCCCGAAACGTTGTCAAATTGGGGGAGAAGAACTAAAAGACTAAAACTTTCTTTCTCCTGCAATCACATTGTCACCAAAAGACACAAAATTAGCTTAATTTCCTTTCTCGCAAACTCAATTCAATCTTGCTTATGGAATTCCAGCTCATCTACCTAGGAAGTTAAGCAGTGATCAGCAATAATGGCAGAAAACTAACATGAAACACATTCCATATTAGTTCAAAAATCAAACATAGCAATAAGGACAAAAGACTCTTATCATTGAGCAGCACACATTCAAAAAAGGCAGAAAACTAATATGAAAAACGTCAGTTCAAACTAGTAAAACCCAATGCCCATATGTTGTGACAAACTACCCTTTGCTCCAAGGAGCTCTTACTTCGCACCAACGCGATTACAATCAACATTGGCCTCAGTTTGGCTCGGCAAGTAAAGTTCGCATCTTTCATGCAAAAGCATACTGCCCCTACTGGGAAACTCAGCACTGAAGCCACAAGGCACGCAAAGAACACAAGGACCCAAGCAACAAACAACCAAAACCAGACATTGGAAAGCTACTGGCAAAATACTCAAAAAAGACATTAGTAATTCTCACAATCAATAAAACAGAACCCCCCATCAATCAGCCGATACAAACAACACAAATCCATCCAACAAAAGCAGATTCATTTCTTTGAAATGTTCTCCAGAGCCACTTCGCCTGGTCAAAAAAGGGCTCCGATGGGGGAAATCCTAGCCACACACCACCAGTTCCTTCATCACCATAAATGGCGGGAACACAAACAGGACCCAAAACAATACGAGGGAGCTTCTTTTTGAGAATTGGTATGTTGATCATAACCAAAAAGAGGAAAAGAGAAAAAAAGGGAGCGCACAGATGAAAAACCCATCTCAATCCGACCTTACCGACGCCTACTGATCAAGCTAAACACAACAATCTCTGGGAAACGGCTCACCGATCAACGGCGGAGAGCATGAAACTCCGGCCGATCCAAAAGAATCCGAAGCCGACAAGCCAAAACTGAATCAATTTTGAGAGACCTCCAACACCCAACCAACGAAACAAACAAAAGGGTGAAGAAACCCCCAGGAGATATTCTCTGGCAGACGTACGTAAGAAGGCGATTGAGAGATTCTCGAATCCTCTGTCTTTCTTCTTCTTTTTGTTACGTCTCCTAACCTTCTTCTCTCTTCCTGAAGCCGGAGGAGAGAAAGCAAATTGCAGAAGCAACGATCAACACCAGTTCGGTTTCATATCGCAGTGGATTGGTCTCCTGAAATCGTCGAAAAAGATCAACCGACACTCAATTGAGGGAGAATCAGAGGAAGAATTGGATGAAGGGGAAACAGGGATCAAAAGGGGTTACTTCATCACAGATGGAAAATCGGGAAATGGGTTGTTCGAAAGGAGGAGAGGAAGAAGAAGAAGAAGTATTGATGATGACGAAGAGAAGGAAAAGATAAGGGGAAAGGGTGATCGGTAGCTTGGGATGGAAATTGAAACAGAGAAGAAAGAGAAATATAATTCCCTGGCAGATGTTTATTTGTTTTGATCTTCACCAGCACATACGCAACCAACTTACTTCTTGTTATTGACCTCTCCCTCTTGGTCAATTACCAATCAGCCACCCAACAAGAATAGCTGTACACAAAAGCCCTCAATTATTACAAAATTATATTTAAGTCCCTTATCAATTATCATTATAGGGTGAGAGACGATGGATCTGAACACCATTAATCGTTATTATCTACTAATGCTAGTATGTTTTGTATACTATGTCGCTTTGATTTGTATGTTATGTTAGTCTAGTATGTATACGATGTTACTCTAGTTTGTAACTAATGTAGTTACGGTGTGTGAATTATATCTAATAATTGTGCATTAAATGGTTTTGGTTCTGCAAGCTACAAACAAATTGATTGTATATCAAGTCACTCTAATTTGTACATAACATAGGTTTTGCTTTGTATGCTATTGTCAAATTGATTTATATATTATTTCATTATGACTTGTATGCTAGGTTAGTCTATATTTGTACATTATTTCATTTTGATTTGTAAACAATTTGGCTATGGCTTGCATATCAAGCCACCCTGGTTTGTATAGCACGCCACTCTGGTATGTGTACTATGTGATTCTTGTTTGTATACCATGTGATTTTAATTGGTACAATGTATTGTATCACTCTAGTTTATTAAAAAAAATGTGATTTTCAATTTTGTTACACATAACGTTTATAACTTTTAAGGATTGACTATATTATTTATAAACACTATTGTCTTAATCTATAACTTTTGTATTGATGATTTTTAGTATTCATAAGTCATTTTATAAACACTATTGTCTTAATCTATAACTTTTGTCTTAATCTATAACGCTTAGGCACTCGCATAAGCTCGTTTAGGCGCTAGGCAGAAGGAAACCACCTTGTCTTGGCCTTAAGCAGTGGAAGAAACATCTCGAGCACGTTGTTGCATTGACGGTGCCTCGTTAGCACTTAGTTGCGTCTCCAAATGAAATCGCGGTGTCTCTTTTCTACATTTTGATATTCTACTAGGTTAGAGAAAGAAAAAAACACAAGACCATCCTCCCTTTTCCTTCTTCCCCTCCCAAGTTTTGCTAGCCGCTAGGCTACACTTAGAGACGACCATCTTTAGAGTAGCATCTTCTCTTGTTTTAGAGCTTCTTCTCTCTCAATCTACTCTGCTATTTTCCAGCTTCTTCTTCGTTTATCATTTCTCCATACTATGTTTTATACTTTAGCATGTGTTGTTAATAAAGGTTTAGAAATGAGAGGTAGACAGACACTATGATATTGGTTCATATATAAACTTATAATTCTAGACAAGTATGAGATATGTTTCCAACGCTTAAGCACGTCTAGGCATGCTAGGCACTAGGCAGTCCGCCTAGCGATTTCTTTAACCTTTAAATAATAACACAATACATGATTAACAATCATATAGTTATATCATTACAAAAAAAACAATCATATAATTAAAAAAAAAGGAGGGGAAAAACATAAGCCTAATTTGTAAACATTTTGGTTGTAATCAAGAATGTGGATTTGATTCGTAACTTTATAAACATCGAGTCTAAATTTGTAATTTGTACAAAGTTTGGTGGTACTATATTCAATTTTGTATTTTTTTATTTATATAAACAGAAAAAAACAGTCTCCAACTCGAAATCATAATCCACTTCCCTTTCTATTCCCCTGTCCTTTTCCGTTTTGAAAGTATAATAAGAGACACAGAGACAGAGAGGTGGCAGCGACTTACCGTTGCCGTCGCCGGAGTTAGGGAAGGAGAAGAAGGCCTACGGTGGCGGATGGAGGAAGACGCGGCGGCGGCTATAGCTAGCAGCTGATCTCTTCCGTTTAATTAATTTACAGTTTGAGGAGGTTGCATGGAGCGAATTATCTATGAGTGAAGCTCTCATCATCATGTTCAGTTCACTGTGAAGGTTTCCCAGAACCTTAACCTGGGAAGAGAAAGCCCCGCCATTTCATTGCATGGGGAACAGCTTACCATCATTGAGTTGTTGGGATTGACTCGCTGCAGCAGAAAACAGCATGATGGCTAGGCGACATTAGACAGGACAGGATCTGATGCAAATCAACAACCCGATCTAAAATTTCCACCGCCAGATGTGCCGACATTGAGGTATGACAGACAACGGCTCGAGAACTCAAGTTATTGGAATCAATTAATTTTACGTGAAGAGCTGTCACTCAATTAGGGATGGGCAATTTCGACCTCACTCGTTTTACCCGACCTGTTTGGCTTGTTTTGGGGCGAGGCGGGGCGAGCATGGGTACCTTTCAACGACCCGACCTGCCCTGCCCTGACCCGTTCTTGTCTAAATTACTTGTAATTTTAATAAAATTACTTATGATTTTTCTTTCATTATCTCATATTTTAGCAACAATAAAGTTGTAAATAAGAGAAAATCTCAATTTCTCCAATAATTTTACTGTATTTTATCATATTATGGTTTGTTTCTTGTTTTTTTAATGAAAATAACTAATATTTTTCATATAAATTACATACCCATTGGGTTGACCTGTCCCGACCCGCGCCCCATGATAAATGACCCGACCTGGACCCGACCTGCCACGTGACGGGTATGGGTATCAAGATACCTGCCCCGTACCTGCCTCATTGTCATTCCTACACTCAATATGATTATCACCATGAAAACGTTTTACAGGACATGAGGTATGGTCTTCGTCCACATCGACATATGTGGCGGCGTAGTTATGTGTTTCACAGTGTTTTCTTGTTTTTATTTTCAGTCTATAGAAATTTGGAGTGTTTCTTGTTTCGGGTTTCAAATTGTTGATAAGTTGTTATCATAAATTTGAAGAGTGTATTAGAGTATTAGTAGTATGAATAGTATTATGGCCAGTGGCGGACCTAAGGCATGCTAGGGTGTGTCGTCCGACACACTCTCGCTCGAGAATTTTACGAAGGACCTACATATTTTTGGTACAAAATTTTTTACTTCGGGATAGCCGACACACCCTCAATAATTATAGCCGACACACCTTCATTATACTCGAAGAAATTATTATCCAAATGAATCAATCTTAATCATAATCCTTTTTAATTTTGTTTAAAATAACTCATAAAGCATAATCCTATCCTTCCTATTAAAAAAACACTCTTCGCCCATACAATATACATTACTATCAAGTCGATTTATTCTATGCAGTTATAGATTTGCAGCTGCAAGAATTGAATACTCGATTTGGTGAGGTGAACACTCAATTGTTGGACTGCATTTCTTGTTTTAGTCCAGCTAACTCTTTTGCTTCTTTTGATAAAGCAAAGTTGATAAGTCTTACTGAGTTTTATCCCGAGGAGTTTCCATCCAATGTGCTCTCACGACTTCATCAACAATTGGGGGGCTACATTTCTCATGTCAAGGAGGATAAGAGCTTTGATGGATTTCGAGGAATCGACGAGCTAGCTAGGAAATTGGTGGAAAGGGGAAATGACACTCTTTATCCTTTAGTTTACTTGCTGTTAAAGTTGGTGTTGACCTTACCTGGGGCAACTGCAAGCTGCGAAAGAGCATTTTCAGCTATGAAGATAATCAAGAACGATCTTCGAAATCGGTTGAGTGACCAATTTATGAATGATTGTTTAGTTGTATATATTGAAAAAGATTTGCTTTGCAGCATAAGTGATGAATGTATTTTAGAGACATTTCAGCAGGTGAAAAGTCGTCGCGGTTCGTTGTAAACATGACATTATGAACTTTATGAATTAATTTCTTTTAATTTTAACTTAATTTTTAATTTAATTATTATTTTATTTTATCGGCGACACACCTCTCCGACAATCCTGGGTCCGCCACTGATTATGGCATAGTAGTAATTTATCATATATAGTCCAAGCCTATATTAGTTTGGGTTTCCATGATAGAGTTCCGGATAGGTAGGAGTTTTTCCTTATAGTTATCGTGAGCATCAATGATCGTAGTAATCTCTATATAACTAAATTTTTCGTCATTTCAGTAACAAAAGGCAACATTTTCACCGAATTCTTGATTTTCTCAACATGGTATCAGGGCATTTGATGACCGAGAGGTCTTGAGTTTGAATCCAGACCATCCTCAATTGTTAAGCACATGGTATTCATACCTGTACAAATTTCCATCCATTTGAGTTGGATTTCGTGGGCAGGAACAGAGCAGAGAACGAAGTTATACTGATGAATTGGGAATGATTGTGTAAGGAACAATTGTTAGTGATGGGCAGTAAGCTCGGACACAAGATCATTGCCAGATGCATGCCAGTGCTGCCTTAATGAGGAGTGGATGTTGGGAGGCTCTTGATACATGCAAAGTCATGAACAACAATTACTAATCGAATTGAATCGAATCGAATCGAAGAACTGGACACCGAAAACAATTTTTGCTCACATATATACAGCCAAAAAGTAATTTTGTTGAACCAAGAGCTAGTAATCCGAGAGCCCAATTTCAAAACCACAGAAGGGATTCGAAGTAGTACTACAAACTTGGGGAGGCCCATTGGACATGAATTGGACAACAAACCCTTTTGAGGACAAAAGAGGTGACCAAACCAAGGCAGCCCAAACCGAATTCTACTGTTTGGTACGGTTACCAAACTGGATCGCGTTAGTCAATTTACCAAGAATAATAACAATAAGAGGATTAATGCATCATCATCATCTTAACTCTTAATCAAAGATGCTCTGTCTGACTCATGGGCCATGATCTTAGGCTTAAACAACAAAAATAATGACGACTATGATCCTGATAAGTAAGCATAATGGTACTGTTGATCCATTATATTATAGTTCACAAAAGTGGGTTGCCTTATTATCAAGCTTTTAGGGGTTTATTCGACCTAAAAAAAGAGTAAAGCCTCGTTTGATCAAATTACTTGTAGTCTAGTCTAGTCCTATCATGCCATACTTCAAGTCTTCAATCCCCATATGCAATTAGCGTCAAGTGAGGGTCTTCATCTCTCGAAATAAGTTGGCTAAAAAAAAAACTATATTATCCTCTCCATTATTATATATAACAAGTGTTATTTCTTGATTTTTTTTTAACACGTACATGCTTCATTCTAAGTAAACCCAATACACGTAACTCATGGCAAAAGCAGCAGCATCATCATCTAGTTTATTAGCACCTGTGTTTATCCGATTAGTATCGAATGATAATTAATAGCCAATTAAACAATGACTGACAGAGGGGATAAAGACCCTCGCTTGATGATAATTACATTTTGGATCGAAGTATGTGAAAAGAGGACTGCCCCATTAAGCTAGCTAGCTTAATGCTGCTTAATGGCATGAGAACTTGTACTTGGTAGCACTTCTAAACAAAGAACTTGTACTTTGGTAGCATCTAACACTTTTTGTTTAAATAGTATGGAACCAAAATTCAATGGTCCAGGGAAAGGAGAGGAAATGGGGTTGGTTTAAATGGAAGGAGGTGGGGAATGGGCGCATCACTTTCTCTCAAAAAGCTAAGCCAAAGTTAAGGGCAGTGACATGATGGCCAAAGCAAGAGCCATTGGACAAAAGGTGTTAGATTGTGGTCCATCCAGTTCAATTAATATATTTTGATTTCTTACTAATGATTGAAATGACATTGCTAAAACAAAAATTGACATTGCTTATTAAAAGTGACAAAAGAAAACGTAAAAGAAAAAAAAAACAGAGTCGAGTTATAAGTTGGGTATTCAACACTTGTAACATCATGTAAATAATTGGTAAGATTTTTATGATTGAATTGCAAGTAGGTTGTAGAGGTATAAACAAATTGAATAAGAGAGCATCTTGACTTTTATAAGAGTCGATTTACTCCACAGGATGAGTTTAATTAATTTACAACACGTCATGTTAAGGTGTGTCCTTCAACTACGTTAATTAAAAACACGTTACAGTCACCAATTTGTCGAATACTTAAATGGGCTACTACCTTGAAATTTAATCGAAACCTATCTCTCATGAAACAGGAAATTCAACTCTAATCCTCTATAAACTTAAAATTCTCTCATCCTGTCATTTATTCATTACAAAATCTATTAGTTTCAACGAAACACGGGCACTATTTAAAGAATCATGAGTGGCATCACTCTTTTTGTCAAGTTGTGCTATATATACCAACCATCTCCTTCCATTTAAAGTGGAAATGCAATCTTTTTTATTACGATTAAGCTAGTTTGGTATTGAAAGATGCATGAATTTGGTAATTAATAATAATTAGAAAGAAAGAACATAGTTCAGAAACTTAATTACCATTAACATTTTTTTTTTACCAAAATAGCCCTCTTTATGGAAATTCCCTCGAGCCACCAACCGCCAAACCCCACCTTTTTTCTGATTTCAGGAGAAACAACAGAGAAAACAGCTTGAGCTCAGTCGCCGGCTGGTTCGACTCAACTCCCTTTCGTCCCCCGGCCGAACCAAATCATCGCCCAAACCCAAAAACTTCCAAAAAAGCAATCTAAAACAAAATCAAAATAAACAAGAAAATTTGGGGAAGAAAGGAATCTATATTTATAATCAAATTGTTTTTGGTGGTTTTTTTCTCCGGCGAGGGGACCAGTGGTTGATTTGATCGGTCAGCCATCAAACCCGGTTTGGCTCCACACCGCATCCCTCACGCGCCTCAGGTCACGCCCTTTCAACGTCCGGCCCACCCCCTCGAACACCGACGCGCCTCCGCTCTTCCGTCCCCGCGCGTACTCACGCGCTAGGTACTCGTGCGGCGGCACCATCTCATCGTCATCGTCGTGATCGCCGCCCCAGCCGAACCCTCCTCCGCCGTTGCTCATTTCGTGCAGCGATTCCACCGAGTCGATCCGGAGGATCTTGCTCCAATCCGGGACGTTCACCGGCGCCGACGATGCCACCTGCCGCCGCGGCGACTCTCCCGGCCCAGCCATCTCTTGGCCGCGGAATTGGTGCACAATCCTCGTCGCCGTTGTAGCTGCCGCCGCGGCCTGAATTTTCTCCGATGAGGGTGAATCGGAAGAATCATCGAAAGCCAACGACAAGCCGCCCTCGGTATGTGGGGCTCGCCGGCGGGTCGAAATGGACGTGCTCGCGCCGTTACTCTCTCTCCCGGCGCGTGAACTCCACTCGCTCAACGAAACGTGCTCCCGATCGTAACGGTTACCGTCGTCGCTGCCGTGGAGCGTGGACCACACGTCCTCCTCGCGGAGCTCCGGCTCGGCATGGTGGCCGTTGCTGTAGCCTCCGCCGCCGTAGGCTCCGAGCAGGCGCTCGCTGCGGCTGGTGGTCAATCTCTTGTTGCCTTTGGCCATGTGGTGGTGGTTTGGGCGGCGATGTTATCATAAAGATTTTCGCACCCGCCCTTTCCGGCGGACTCCGGTCGGCGGAGGAGAATCAGAAGAGAGAAATGGAAAGGGCGAAACGGAAAATGGAGAAGAGGGAATTAATTGTCAGGAGTCCATTTCTTCTTCTGGTTCATAAGGCGGGATTGGAGAGGAGGTTGTGTATATATACACGACGGGAAGTTTTTTTTTTTTTTTTTTTCATTTGAGGTGAATTTGGAGTTCATTTGGGATGATTTTTTTATTTTATTTATTTATTTTGGGGTTTGGGGAAATTTAAAAAAAATGGAGGGTGGGAAATAATAAAATATTTTCTGTGATGATGGATGGTGAGAATAAAATACACTAACACTAACACGATCACGAAACTGTTTTGTTTTTATTTATCATATATGGTTTTTAATTTCTAGCCATTGTATTTTTATTTTATTTTGTTACATGATGAAATATAATTGTGGGATTTGGTGTGGGTTTCATTCATCATGGCCCAATTTTGAAGTAGTATGTGTTTCCAATGGTAAATTTGATAGGTTATATAGGACACTCTTCTTCATTAATAATTTTATTTATTCTCCGTATTTATACATCAACGTGTATATGAATGGCATGTGATTGTTAATTCGTTCTTGAATGATTATCTTGACAAAAGACAATATATTTTACGTGTATTATTCATGATGTTTGTAATCTAATGCATATGTTTAATTGCTCGATACAATTGTACGTCAATGTCAAAACGTAAGAAGTATCTAGCTCGATAACAACCATATTCTGAGGATTTGACCTAGAATTGATCAGTGCTTAGAGCTCAATGATAATCATATCTCCTATCTTTTAATCTAGCATTTGGGATTATAAGTTGAACTTTTCATGGATAAGTTAAATGAACGCCTGCATGTAATAAAATGGATAAAAATGCACCATTAGGTAAGCTAAGCTGTCACTGATAAAAACAAGTTTAAGAGTAAAAAATGAAAAATTACAAAAAGATTCTTACATTATCTCAAAGTTATCAACAAATCATGCACATGTCATCACGTACATATATTAGAGGCCAATGATTAAACTTCTGTTGACAAATGACAGTGACTTTTACCCTCGGTGAAAATGACAGGATAATTAAATTATTATGTTAAAGATAACAGTAAATTAAAATTTATAACTCATCTCTTATCAAATTATAGAATTGATTGATTTCCCCTTATTGATTTTTATTGACATGCAAATCAGGTTGTGAACTCGATTTAGCATGTTGGTCCGGTCGAGTAAGTGGTGAAGGGTTTATTGTCTAATTCTTTTAGCTCGATTTAGCTTGGATGTATGAAAAGATCATCTAATAATAATAACATGCATACTACACCAATATAATAGTTAGTACTTGAATTGATCATACAATAAAAAATGAAACACACTTAAATCCACCCTATAAGTTCATGATTGGCATTTTGAATGAACTAGAACAACCTGTGAAAAGCCAAGCAAAAGTGACTTTATGAAATTAAAGTTTATTGACAAGTTGTAACCGGTTTTAACTCGTTTTAACGGGGTTTTCACCCCAAGCCGATCCAGACCGACCCCGGGTTAAAACCTTGCTTGCTAATATTATTACCTTGTTTTTTTTTTTCATTTTTGCGTGGCCTAGTACTAGTTTGGCCTTAGTAGTTTGGTACTAAAACGGAATTTGCCCAAAACTGACGAGCAATAATTAAAAGGTTGGTTGTGATAGAGCCCTAATCCAAACAACAAAGAAGGAATATAAACGTTAGCTGTTTTCATACAGCAAGGAAGTTCAAGGATAAGCACATCCAAACAACCTATATATACTATACGGCATTGAAGGAAAATGAGGGGTTTTTGGCAAAAGTAGTAGGTTAATAGTTTGGTAACAATGCATTTTAATTACTCTTTAAGTGATCGCGGAACAAATACTTAAGTTTACGGTTAATGTCGACCTCATGCCTACCAGATTTCGAGTCAACTGTAAGATATGATTAAAGAATATAATTTTTTTCGTCGTAATTAGAGAATAATTACCAACTCATCAACATGTGAAGGTTTGTATATATATTTTTTTTTCTTCAACTTTTGAGCTTTAAGTAGTAGGTTGATAGCTCCATGATAATACGTACAATCGTGTAGTTGTCTTGTTGACGATGTCAATTGGCAAACGCATCCAAATTGGGGCCCCGACCTCCACGTGGGTATATAAATAAACTCCAAAAATATTTACCTCTAATCTCCCACTAATATCACCAAATTACGTAAGTGGATCCACATCTCTTCTCACGTGCCACGTGGAGCTGTACCCACAAAATAGGAACAATACGCAACAATTATTATTGTTATAATTTAAAGGATAGGATATCAAATTTTATTATTATTTGTTGGGGTGAATTTCTTTGCCCTTTTGTAGGAATTGATGTTTTTTGGATGTAAACTGGGCAAGAGCAATTCTGGCTTTATGTAGTTTGGCGCTTAGGTATATTAGGTGTTGTTGTTGGACCATGAGGTTGCAAGGTTTGTTTGTTGTTAATGTGTAAATTGATGGCTTGAAATTGTGAAAAAAAATAAGTGCTTAAGTTTATAGTTTTATTTAATTGATAATTAATTAGGTTTTATTAAGGAAGTGGTATAATGACCATATACTTTAGTCTCTCTTAACCGTTTAAATTATCGAGACATGAAATCATAGCGCGAGGTTTCACCAAAAGGTCTTGAGTCAAGTACTCAAGTTCTCACGTGTCACAACTCATATTATTAACCGTTGGTTTGAGCACATGGTATGATCAGTATGTGCAAACTTCAAACTCTATGAGTTGGCTTCCATTGAACGGGTGTGGTGAGAGTAGGAACGGTGGAATTAGGTTTCCTTAAAATCTACGACTAGGATTAATGAGTGCACTTGTAGGAAGTATGAAATTCAAAACTAGAGGTTCACAAAGTCTTGATCCCGACACGCCTTGAAGCTAAAAACTTAATTAGTATCGCTAGCTCAGTTACTAGGTGATGAAGTATGAAATTCACAACGATAATTATAGAAAGAAATAGAGTAAAGAAGCAAGAAATTCATAAAATCTTGAACTCAAATCATGTTAATATCACAGTCCGACTCAGACCTCTGAAAAATGTCATCGTACCAAGTACGAAATTCGTAACGATAACTAATAACAGATCGAGATCAAATTCAATCAGAACACATACAATTTCCAAAGTCAGAGAGATTCACAAAGTTCAAGCACCGCATACACCATGGAGTTGCAAATTAATCAGTACCCACTAATTTAGATGCAATGTAATGATCACTCAAAAACCCAATATCACAAATCAAACTTCTCAAATTAGCCAAGTGCTTTCAATGGAACTTAAAACCAGTTAGTCCAAAAAAAAGCTTGCACATATTTCAGGCGAGTATGTGCCTCGTGATGATGGATGGAGCACATTGAACGGTTCAAAATACAAAGTTTGTGGTGGTGGTGGTGGTTGGGCATAATATATAAAAGAAATATAACATCAATCTCGATCTCCAAATTGCAAAAAGGTCCCACCAAGACTTGTCAGTGTTTGAATTAGACGAGAGAACCTTATCCCCATTCGCCATCATTCATTTCACGATCAACAATACAATTTCATTTTCTCCCAAAAATTGAATAGACACCAGATCGATAGTCATGTGTTCATCACCACAGATCCAATCCAATAGAACATGGGAGCAATAGCTACAAATGGATTAAGTCAGTTATCCATGTTTCAATCTAGTTGCAAGGTAAAAGTTGTTGTTTAGGTCAAATGATTAACTCAGTTATTCTTCGTCGAAGATCACTTACGTACCATGTCTCAGCGCCCAACTTTAACAAGTTGGCTTCATGATCATGTAAGAATGGAAATATTTTTCAAGTGGGCATTTCAACATTTGAAGGCAGTATCGCGCGTCTATAAACATACTTATTTTATGTGTAAACCATCTTGCGTTGGCCTTCGTAATATGTTCGTACACAAGTCATTTTATGTTGATATTGTATCTGTGACAATTATAATTATGTCGCCATATATACAACGTTCTAGATTGCATGATGAATTTTAGCTTGATTGTTATTTTTAATGGTTTAGTGTAACTCATAATGAGGGGGAAAATAACATGAAATATCTTTAACAAAGTAATTAGGAGAAACTCGACCAACAATTTGTTCTTGCATTATTTCTAACACGCGTGCACCCTACCCTTCTCGTTTTCGCAGCCGGAGTGTGTGAGGTCGCTTGCCAAGTTTGAAAGATTATATACAAACACATCATACATCTCGTAATTGTACAAAACACAACTCGTCGAACAAAAACCTCTAACATATCATGTCGATTACGATCTCCTTCCTCCAGTACTCACTCAAGTCATCAGAAAATGTACCGTGGCAATAAATATTGGTAATCTGTGGCAAATTTAACCTGTGATGGATGGATTCCAGGTTTGCTGCTGCACTTTTTTTTTTTTGTGGATGCTGTTTTGATTGTTTACTCTGTTGAGTGCGTTTCTTTGATGGTACACTATAATAATAAGAAGAAAAAGCTTGCTAGGGAGTACGTAGTACACCCATGATCCGACACGACGTATCTTGGACCGGGTCGGGTCATGATATTGATATATATATCTGTATTATTATTGGAGCTAGAGGAACCCATCACTTTCCTTTGGCTCATTTACTTCAATGGCCACTAATCTTTGAGCTCACTCACAATTTAAATAACAACAAATTGATGCAAAATGATTCTAGGGTTTCAATGTTACCCCTTCCTTCTTCTCATTAAGCATGTATAGTCTCAAGCTACGAGCTATTGTTGGTAAAAGGTTTACGGTAAAAAAAGAAAAAATGACCAACGGTAAAAACGGTCTCTCTCTAAACAGTTTTAAAAAAATTATATTGGTTGAGAGATGTCCAACGAGTGAACGACACCCGACTCTTGGAATCTTCTTAGCGATGTACAAAAAGACAATGTCTGGTTTAACGACATTCTTCTTGTCTCTTGGGCTGGGTTCGAGCTTGCCAGATGAAGAAGAAACAACCTTGTTGGTTTCCTTTGTTACAGTTGGTGACTAAAGTTTGAAATTTCACAAATTTGTCCTCGGATATAGTTAACGTCTGTAATAGTCATCTCGTCCATCTTCATTGATCAAACTTTCCATCCAAATTGTTTGCAAGAAAAAAACCCATTCAGAACCTAGTTAGATTAGCTTAGATTGAAAAGCTCTTACTCGATCTAAATACAAACATGTTACTGGAGCCGATTTTAGCTCATAAAAGTGTTTCAAACCCTCTCCTCCCCCTATTTGGTAGATCATTTATGGTCTCGCTACAACTTTTATATTAATTTGGGATGAAATGAATTTTGGGATGATAATAATAAAATTAATGGCAGTTGATAGAAAGATTATGATATCCTATACTGTCAAACTTAGTGATGAATTCGTTCAAATTGAAAGTTGAGTGACCAATTTGTGATTAACAAGTAACAACACTTCCCCTTTTGGACGTTGCATGTAAATGTTATTGGGCGGGACCCATCAGCGTTTATCCCGCGGTGTGACCGGACTTTCTCAATCGGTGCGGGTCCCGCTTTTCCGGGGTTTTTTTGGTCGGGTCTCGCCAGTCCGTGGGCCCTGGGCCCAATCGCCGTTTCGCCGGTTGCCGGACATCCTTATTACTGCGTTGACAACCGATGGAGGATCCAATGGAATATTTATATCGCACGGCAAGAGATTCCCGGCGAGGCAAAGATGCGGAACTATGAAAATTACGGTCTATTAGTTAAAGTGTATTTGATTTGGGTTGTTTTGTTTCAATCTAAAAATCAATTAAGCTAATTTTTCTTCCGTGTTTATGAAATTTATTAGACAAAAAATTGAACTAATTAAATTATATTCTCTATATTATGGTATGCTTTAAGTGTCCGTTCTGTCCGGTGCGATCCGGTGAGAATATAATTATTCATATATAGTATGCAGAAAAATAAAGTAACAAAAATTCTACATTGATTTGATTCGAGAGAAATACGAAATTGTTGCTAACCCGAATCTATTTCCTTGGCTCAATCATCGTTGGTAGTTTTCATCATATGTTTGGGTTGGGTTTTGTCTTGCTACGACATTTTGCCTGAGGGATTGATCTAACATGTTCAAAGCTGTTATCACAAATTAAGTATATCTTGAGCATGTAAGATTGAGCATTTAGCTCGATTAATGACCTCCATGGAGAAATTTTCTACAAAATTGTAGCATGGATTAAACTAGAAAAATAATTTAAATTGTGGTGTTTGTTATAATTAAGATAACATCACCTATGAAGATTCATTATAGATTTTTTTACGAACAAGGGATTGGTCTATTGGTAATACTACTAGCCTTGAACCTTGAGGTCCCGGGTTCGAATCTTTTCAGTAGTACCCAATTACAAAAAATAACCTATATCACCCTTATCTAAAAAAAAGATTCATTATAGATTTAACCTTCTTTACCGTTAATTACCATGTGTTGCAAGCTCCTCGTGAATGAGATGGAGCACTTAAACAAACATTCCCTTCAATTCATATGGCCTCCGAGACCATTACGTGGATCAACACGAATCGTGCGACTTAATAAAGTTAAAATTCGTAAAATATTTCGTAACATCGTACAATTCCAGAAATTCGATCCCAACTATCAAAACACACTCATCACCATCAAAATTTAAACTACAAAATTATATATTGCCCTTTGTAGTCTACAAATTTCCTCGAAATTGAACCAAGGACGATGATCGATTGGACATGCACTTCCCCAGCATTATTGGAGCATGTCGCTTTCTTGTATTATTATATGATATTTGTATATGTGGGCAGCAAACGGTAACGCCAAAATATTATTGGACATCCACTCGATATTTCGTTATTGCATTATTATATATTTATGCCTACAAATTAAATATTTTTATGCAAAAACAAAAAAAAAAAGATAGGAAATAAAATTAGAATATTTGACAACATGCATGACACGAGAAAGCCAGCCTTTCCGGAAATCGTACAAATGCACAGAGTTCATAATAATATACTAACTATATATAATTTTCCGTTAGTATTTTAATTATGGTCTAATTAAGGTTGTCCTTGAAACTTATTATCTATCTAATTCAGGCTGGAGGCAGAAGCAGCAGGATCAGAATCAGAATCCGAATCCGAGGTGGCGCTCGGGAATCCAACCACCGCCGCCATGTGCCCAAACACAAGATTCCAAAACATGATTAATTATATTAAAAAAAAAACCTTAATCTGCAGTACTTATGATCTCATGTTCTTCAACAGTGGGTGGGAGCTTTTGAATTTGTCTCACTAGCTAGGTTTCAAGTTCTACGAAAGAGCTAGCTGTTAATTGTTAATCCTGGGATAATAATACTAAATTCGCCATTCATTAAATATTATTGCAAAGCTGGACGTGTGAACTCAGGTAGATTAGGTTTAGGTAGATACGTTTAGCCAGAATAACTATGTGGTTATGTAGATATTAAATTACAAATTGATAAGTTTGTTATCATTATAATTAGTAGAGCAAATTACAACTTAAGTGGAAAGTGGAAGTGGGATTAGTTTAAGTTACATTATTAGATCATTGCTTTATTCCTTTTATTTTTTACATTTTTTTAATTTAAATTAATAGTATTTTCATTTTTTTTAACAATTTTCTGTTTTCTGGAAATTTCAATGGCTTGAGTTTGTCGCGTAGTAGATATGGAGCCAGCCCAATGAAATGAGATTCTCTCGCACGCGCCCCACTCTATCAAACCGTTCACTGGGACCCACTTTGTGAGATTGGGGTGAACATCCCCAACTTCATTCGCCGGCGCGTGTATCCTACTCTCTCCACCACCGGACCACCACGGCCGTTGGTATATCTCGATTATCAAATTTAAATTTCCCCATTTTGCACTGAATACATCGTTCATTCATTCATTCTTTGCATGAATTAGTTATCGATGTTGGGTATTCTGTTAAGCAACCTAAGAATTGTATTAGCGTTGGTTCATTTTGATTGATCCGTTGTTGCTCGAAAAGAATAAATTTAGCAACATGGTTAGAAGTCGTTAAAATTTACTTTGTATCCATTACATATAAGCACTGACATAACAAATTTTGGAATCTCGTTTTTTTATTTCTCTCAAAAAAGCGCTATAGTACGAACACTACCGTGAACTTTAAAGACTCGTATGCCTCATAAGGAAAGAGTGACAAATTAGGAAACTTGTAAGAGTCGAGTACTGTTTCGCGGTGAAAACTATTTTAAGTGTAAACAAGTACCAATAGACAATGCAATGAATATTGACGGCCGTGCAATATGAATAGTTGCCGTCGGCATCCAAGAGGCAAAAGGACGGTGGAATGGAGAGTCACAATCAGATGAGAAAGGAACATGAATGTAGTTTTGCACAAAGATGAGAGAAGCAGCCAATTAGCCCATATGCACCCAAATACCCAAACCGCCACCATTGATTGAGAATTTTGAGTGGTGGCTGCATATGTAATGGTGGATGGGGTGGGGATTCCTTCCTACAATGTCCATCCATCCACCACCTAATTCTTTACATTTTTCGGACTGATATAATAAAGAAAGATTCTCGGGTTATTATATGATTCACAGATCGTCTTACGATAGTATTGCATTAGCCAGAGTAAAGATGAAGATGATGCTTGATATGCGCTCCCATGTTTAAGTCAGCATGAGCCGTAAGAAGGATAGAAGGTTTAGGGTGTGTTTTAATAGGATGATTTGAATATGATATTTGTGATTTAGATTTCCAAATGTCAAATCATTTGTTTGGAGATTAATTACATTTGGTATTTGGATTTGTGCCAAATTCATGGGGTGATTTCCAAATATATGTTTAGTGTATTTCTTGTCAACTTCAAATACATTTCAAACACTAGTGATTTGAAATGCCTTCTAACAAAAAAATAGGACCTATTTGTAAAATTTTAAAAGTTTAGGTACTATTATGTGAGAA